TCCGGAACTCCACCATAAATTCGCCGGAGCCGCCCTCCGCCGCTCCGCCCAGTCGCTGGCTGTTCGCCGATGAACGCCGACCTGCCGCCGACGTCGGAAGAGACCCCGCAGCCGCGCTGACGAGCCAGAACCAGTCCCAGCTCCTCACAGGCCCCCCGCCGGATTTTCCCGACGCTCCGCCGCCGTCGCGCCGTTTCCGGCGCCGCTTAGACCAGGAGAGCTCAACCCTCCCTGGTATCGTCGGCCGGATCGTCTCCTCTCTGCTCCGCTTCCCGGCGCCGCCAGAGAGGCCGATCCTTCCGGTGACGGTTGGGTTTCCGCCCCAGCCGCTGACGCTCGGCATTCCCGCCGAAGCGCCGCTGACGCCCGGCCTTCCCGCCGAACGTCGACGCTCGGCATTCCCGCCGAAGCGCCGCTGACGCTTGGCATTCCTGCCGAAGCGCCGCAGACGCTCGGCCTTCCCGCCGAAGCGCTGCCGCCGCGTGCGCCCCGCGCGCCGGCTCTTGCGGCCCGCTCGGCCACCCGGCGCCACTACCCGCGTGCCCTAGGGCACGCCGCGCGACTTGCCGTGCACGCCCGCTAGCGTGCCCTTTGGCCCACCAGCGGGCCCACGCCCACTAGCGTGCCCTTTGACCCACCTGCAGGCCCACGCCCACCCCGATTGTCCGATTGTGCCACGCCCTAAGACGACGACTTCCGTGACCCTCGACCAGGACCGACCATCGACGCTGAGCATCGCTCTTCACCGGACGTCTCTGCCTTCGTCGGATCTCTGCTCTGTCACGACTTGTCGGGCTACGCAGCCCTGAAGGTTAGCTCCGTACCCCTTCTTACTTAAGTTTAATTATCTTTCGAAGGGTTTTCTCGGTTCGTCTCTACCGCCTTCAGGAGCATGTAGATAGAATAGGATAGGTTATCAGATCGTGACTTCCGATGCTACATCAGACTCATCATAGTTCGTGAGCTGTAGCCCTAGACTACTTCACGACGACAATTCTGCCATCTGTCTAGATGTGGACCGAGAGGGCCTCTCACTCACCATCGTTGAGTGTTTCTCTGGGTTGTCCTGAGATAATCACGCATATTAGTACGCATGTCTATGCTTAGGTTACGTGGTCAGACCTAGAGTCTAGGGTTAAAACCTTCTTATTAGATCAGTGCGACTGCCCTATCATGGGACTCGAGTTTCATTGATCAGGTACCGGAGGTTCTCGCCCCATCTTGCATCAAATGGTTGAAGAAAAGAAGATGAAGAAAGGCCACTATAAGTTTCATGGTCAAACAAGCAAGACCACATGGAGAAAATGGATTATTACTCAACATATATTCTTTGGTACACATTGAAATGTTTCAATGTTAATGTATAACACTTAATCTAAACATCAAAAATGATATTCCCCTCTCTAGATGTTGTATTGGAGAAGATCATTGATCACCTCAAAAAATTGTTTCTGGTCAACTATTGAATAGTATAATTCTTTGATTTTTTTTAATTCTAACATCTTCATACTTATAGCCTAATAATGTCAATCATTTATCTGCTCTCTAGGTGTCATGAAAGATTCTACATTTGCATTGTGCAATTTGTTACTCAATGTTTGATGTTGACATGTTGAAGACCACATTTTTATTATGAGTTATTTACATTAATTCATAGTAACTCATATGCATTCTTAATGTCTCTTTATTTAGTAATTTTGATATATTGAAAATTAACATATTATGAGTGTTCAATCTCATAAGAGAACTAGTTATCAAAAATATATGATTTCATGCAAATGAATTAAGACATTTAGGTCATTCCAATGACAACCAACATGCACCTAATTATTTTCTTATGCTCGTAGTTGGGTGTATGTAACAACATTGTAACTTAGGCCATGACATTGTATTGAGAGTATGTGAAAGAGTTATATCATAACTTTTTTTTTTGTTCTCTATTTCTTACTCATAAGTGAGCCAAGATGAAATGACTCTTTTCCTAAAAAATATAAGTCAGCTCCAAAACATATCAAAAAATCATAAAACTTCACTTTAATGAATGATATGAACAACACAATTTCTCAACTCTAATATTTTTTAGAGTGTCATATCTACAATTTTACATATGTTATAATTTTTTTTTAATTTCACATGTGTAAATAAAGCCCTACGAGCATTCCAAAATTGAGTAGTAATGTTTTTACTTGCCTTTTTCCAAAGATGTAAAACCCCTCCTTGGAGCAGACTTTTGCTATGCCTACCTCACCCCATCCCCTTGCCTCATCTTGCAGCCACTTTAAGTCAATATCTCCCCTTGTCACCACCTCAATAAGCCTTGGGATCAACTTGTTGCCACCTCAACAAGCTGTAGGCTCATCTCAACTTGCAGCCACCTTCCTCACGTTTATTTTAATTCATAGTTGAATCCCTCATCTTCTTCCTCTTCACCTCGACTCATCCTTGGCTCAGCCATGTCACATTTATCTTCATTTTTATATTTTATATTTTAGAAAATAGAAGAGATTTATGTGATTGAATTAATGTTAAAAAAAATCTAATGGAGTGACTCACACTTATACATTTTTAGACATACCAAGTTCATCATATGATGGATTTTAAAGTTGAATGATCCCACACATTTTTAGTCCCTCTCAAAAATTGTGGAGTAAATTATGTGAAAGAATTAAGCTCTCTAATTCATATAGAATAGTTAATATGTGGGATCTTTCTAAATGTTTTAAAGCCAGTTAGTTGATTGATTAGTAGATTACTATAACATACCCTCATATAACCAAGTCAAAATTCAAATATTATTTTGTGACAACTCAAGTTTACAATTCAAGATCTCAATCATAGCCTTTAAAAAAAATAAAAAATTATTTTCTTGACTAAAAGTTGAAAGGTAATGAATAAGCAAGCCAACTTTTAATCACAAGGTAGAATTTTTTATTTAATGAGAGACTATTCACAAACATATCGTCTAAGTAATATCAAGATAGTCGCCAAATAATTTTGGGGACATTCATCAATATTTACTAGTAGAATTACTTCTAAACACATTCACAAACAAATACTTTCACCTGCCTTTCTTTATAAGATCTCTTGCAAGTATATCTAAGGGAAGAATGGCCTACAGTAGCCCCAGTATGGAATACCTATTATATAAATATTTATATATCACTTAGAAATAAGTATTTCCTCCATTGTATAAATCTTAGTGTCTTTGAAATATTAATTATGCATGTCTTGGTCCAATATAAAATTTTTCATATGCACTTAAGTGGAACCATTGTGACCTACTTAGAGAAGGTTCTAGGCTGCTGATTTTCTCCTCCATTCATAATCCACTGAAAATACACAACTAATGGAGCACTAATATGCAATTATAGATTAGCACAATAACAATGACAAGTATTTTGGCATGAAACTAATTTTCATATCATTTTTTTTTGTACTCATATAATATCTTTAGAAAATCTATCCTTAGGCAAAAATGTAATATTTTTGAATCTAGAAGTTACACCTCAGATGTTGAAATCTACTATGGTGATTTTCAATTACCAAATAAAAACCAAAAGAGTAATTTCATCTTAAATATCATAAACAAAAAAAATCAATGACAATTCTATTTCATTTTCTAGTTGTACTTATAGCTAGTCCTTAAGTTTAATAAGACCCACTTGACATGTAACTTATTATTAAAATGAAATAATCACTCTCATTCTAAGCTATGTTTCTCTATTATGAGCATACAAAAGTGTAGAAAAAGAGATGCTGATGGGACCAAATGATGCTCATTCTTTAAGTGTGTAAGGACTAGTACTATTTGCCCTCTCCCCACTCTTCTTCATCATGATGGGACTAGAGAGAGATGACGTCATCACTCCCTTTCCTCATCCTTCTCTCTTATCTTTGACATGAGGAAGCTTATCATATCACAATTTTGATGACTACTGTTTTGTTATTCGGGGTGATCATTAAGAACATAGTCAATGTTGAATAGATGTGGGGCATTAATTCATTAAGAATCCAAGTCATGACAAGCCTCTTTTCCTTCACCTCTAACAACTTTTCTTATTTTTTGATCTTCAATGAGGTCCTTATTTAGGTCATCACAATGAACGAACACAATATTGTGAGAGTAATTTTGTGTTGTATAAACATATGGTAATATCTCTGATTAGATAGATAGATAAAAAATGCATAATATCTAGACACTTAGAAGTACAACAAAAAATGAGACAAACTTATCATTTATTGACTTGATTTTCATGAAGGTAAAACTAAAATAAAGATGGCTCTTATAATTTTTAATTTATATTGTCATATACTATATTGAACAGTAATATACCTTCGGCACTAACAACGTTTTACAATTCAGATAGAAAAACTTTTAGAAGTGGTGAAATGGTTGATTTCATGATAGCTTTTGGTGGTGGTCAATGGTCTTCTTTGCAACAAAGTTGTGGACACTTAGCATAGGAAAAAGGTTATGATGTCCAAATTGAGTTTTGTACATTCAAATCTTCCAACATACATCAACTTACAATGTCTTTCTCTATAAAAAGATCACTAACCTTCTCAAACCTATCATTGCAAGTAGAAGCAAAGCCACCTTAATCTGCTAGTGATACATATTCTTTGACCATGAAACTCATGGTCACCTTTATTTGCCTCACTTTCCTCTTCCTCCTCTTCTCTTCAAGCAATGGTGCATGGGCAGTCGTCGACATTGAAGGGAGCGAGGTGGGGAGCAAGATTAAGTATTATGTCCTACCCAATAGTGGCATAAGTGAAGGACTCACGACTAATAGTTAGAATGCCAATTGTCCATTGTATGTGAAAAAGTCAAGCTTTGAAATGCCCTCTAGTATCATCTTGATCTTCTACCCTCTCATACGGAGCAACGACGCCCTGTAGGAGGTGTTGGACACAAATGTCATCTTCTCTTCCTCTATCTTATGCGTGCAATCAATGGTGCAGAAGCTTCAAGGTAGCATTGCGAGGACATTACCTATATGTATGTGGAGTTGGATGACTCCTTGGGGATCCCTAGCATAGAAACACTATCCAATTGGTTCAAAGTCATAAAGGTCAAGGAGGACAGCTACAAACTTGTGTTTTGCCTAAATGTTTGCAAGTTGTGCAAGCATGTCTATGGTGATCTGGGCCTCTTTGTAGAGGATGGGAAGGCCTAGCTTGGTCATAGGAGATCCTCATTCTTGGTCATCTTCAAGAAGGTCTAGAAGTAGATCATTGTGCATGAGTGTGCATAGACGAATGAATTAACAACTTTAGTAAAGGAAATAATGTCATGAAAATAAATGACATCATTGCATGCCTTTGGAATTATAATTATTTATCATGTTAGACTGATGGAGGAGACTCATATGGTTAAGTAATAATTTTTAATATATTTCAATCCACATGAATCACTATCGATTAAAATATTAATAGTCATACTCATCTATGAATCTGATTTGCCAGTTAAATCATGCAACTAGAGTCAAGCAAAAGTTCTTTGATCGTCTTCACATAATCTCCTACCTTTTTTTGGGAAAAGAGGGGTGATGATGTGGCCTTATGAAAGATAAACTGAACAATCTAGGATATGATCTATTGAAGATGATACATCATTCCCAAAAAATATATAAGACAATTAGGAAAAATTGGCACTAAGACGGCCTAAAACAAATATCATATGGCAACAGATTCATATGTTTTGACTTTGTAGTAAGCCTTCCTCGATCTCTCAAAAAATATCTCCATACATTTCACTAAAATCAACATGTCAAATATTTTTTTTGTTGTTTGAGAGCCAGTTGCTCTTAAACACTTGCTATGGTGGTAATGTCATATCACTATAAACCTTTGCGATAACTTAATTAGTTTAAGTCTTACAACTTTTGAAGAGCCAAAAATTCTAAAGCCATGACAACTTAGAGCCTTGAATGTGAAAGCTTGAATGAGTTTAATAAAAGCTTCAAAAGAATGTTAAATCTCCATGTTAATGTCGAAAATAGATGCTTCATTGACCTTGCCAAAATAGATTGAGGCACAGTCTTCAATTTACACTTAAAAACCACATTTAAAAAATTCATACTAAAAAAACACTTATGTACATGTGATGGCCTTCAATTCACATGCCATTTATCCAAAAACTTATTTTATAAAAAACTATGTCAAGATAAGGCATTTGTTTTTATAAAATCCTTTTTGTCCACCTAGATATTTACAAAAGCTGTTGGTGAGTTTTTTTTATGAAAACAATAGAGAAAACACTTGCATGACAAATAAAAATGAATTTTTTAAAATTGAATTGTAGTAATATATAGGAAAAATAGAAAATGTTAATATCAAATAAAAATGTATGTTTTACCTATCGTGAGTGAATCCATAATATGCATTAGAAGTATTTAAACTTGTATGTATAAGCAGCTATTTTTTAATAAGTGAAGCATTTTTTTGTAAAATCTTGAGATAATCTCCCTAAGACTCTCGGCGAACCAGTCAATCATACGGATTATTTGAGCGTTCTAACACTGCAATTCACCAATTATATTATTTATGGTGCATTTTACGATCACCCCTGAGTTTGATCTTTTCAAGGGATTGGAAAGGTTCCTCGAGGTGTTCTCTTACTCGCCCTCTTGAAGACGACTGGGAAGAGCAACTAGCCCAGCCCCACCCACCTGCGTCCCTTTTCGTAGAACACTTCCTCGTCCCTGCGGATGACCTTGTAGGAATTACACACGCTGGGGCAATGTCGAAGACCGTAGTTTTCCCCATTCCTCTATCTTGAACCAGTTTCCTCCGTCACCCCGCCGGTAGACCCGTAGTACCTGCCCGCCGACGAGTCACCCTCACACCCTCCTCCATAACGTCGATTGAGGGCAGTCTGGGGCCGCCGAGACCACCACCACTCTCAGGTCTGCTGACAACCGCACGGTATTGGCGGCAGTTGTCCCCACTAGCAGTAAGCTCGCTCGGCCGTCTCCTGCACCACGTCAATTAGGCAACTGCCGTCACTGCCAGCGAGGGTCAACCCCCGCCTCCGCCGCTAAAGGTGGCAAGGATATAGTACTCGGCCCCACGCTGGAGCTTGCTGCCGGCGACGTGAACGACGCGACGCAGGAGAAAGGGAGTAGCGTAAAGACGAGGATTAGATCCAGGGTTGCCGTCGAACGTGATACTAATCTACGTGCAAATGAAAGATGTATCAGTATCGCCAATTTATAGATAGACGACAAAACTAGTAGGTTACACAGAAGTCCTTTTATGGAGTGGGTCATAATAGGCCGTCCTTTTAGGAATGCCTACGTAATTATATTGATATATGGAAGTAATGGTGGACTTTATTTTTAATTAGAATCTATATGGAAAATGGCGCGCTTATGGCATGCATTTCTCCTCCATTCCGGCTTGATGGGATCAAAAATGTGACCAACCTCGAAATCGGCGAACTCCCATTGTGAATCTGAGGCGTTGAGATTCGGAAACCCCGATAAATGAGGACTGAAGTCAGAAGCTGGATTCCCGTTTGATTTTGGTGAAGAAATATAACTAAAAATGAAGATTAACAAGTAGAGCTATCGAGAAACTAAGATATTAGATTAAAATGTACATTCTTAATGTAGTTAATGTCAGCAGCTGAATTATTTACGAGAAATACGGCCTTCTTTAAAAAGAGGACATCGACTGGTTGGCTAACTCATACTGTGACCCTCTACGAGGAGTATTGATAGCTTGCGGTTTTCGTGGCTTGTAGTCTCCCAAAGACAAGGGCTAGTGCCAATGCGGAGTTTCGACCTAGACGATGAGGTTCTTGTATAAGAGCCGAACCAGTAGACCCAGTGGAGCTTGCTTCCACGGCCACCCAACAAGGGCAGTCCCGAAGGCCCTGACGGGGTTCATGGAGGCTCCGCCGAACGGTCCACCGGTGAGGATGTTGACCCTCAGGATCAGGCCGATGAACACCTCGAAGTTCACCGTGGAGTTGACGTGGCCGCCGGAAACGTTATAAGAAACAGCGACTGCGGCAAACAGGGCCAAAGCATGGGCTTGGGTCAACGCCAGCAGCCCGACGCCCGCTGAGACGTCCTTGGAATCCTCCCTGAAAGAATCCGTGTTTCAAACGGACATTACACTCAGGCCAGCTGGTGATCCTTTGATTGAGTAATTACCTACAGAGAAGACGAAGCCCTAGGCAGCGAAGACGAAGATGTCGGTGGCGACGAACTCTGCCCCCCCACCCCCTCTCCATGTGTATATTCATGGTCAATGTCTCTAGAGATTGGCTATCGTGGAAGTGACAGCCGTCGTTTGCGGGCCGTATGGAAAGATGAGATGCATCCATGAGATCATACCGAGGAGGCGATTCTCCCTCCCCCAGGAGAAGTTTCATGGCCGATGCCTCTAGCGATTGGCTATCGGCTGGAAGTGATAGCCGTCGTTTCTGGCGGCATGGGAATATGAGATCCATGCAAGAGTTATACAGCTGAGGCAAACTACCCATCCAGGCAAGAAGAGATCATACCGAGTAGTCAAATGTTGGACCACGTTAGGATTTCTGCCTCGCCGTCCGTCCAAGCAAACCTGCTTCCTCCTCCTTCCCGTAAGGAGTATTCATCTAACTCAGAGATACACCAGGCTAGAGCCTCACCTGCTCCTTAAGGTTGAGGTTCTTCACATCGCATGATGTCTGCCCAGACCGCGCACGCCAACTAGCGCGCTTCATACGCACGCTGAACCTCGCAAGTTTGCTCGGAGACAAACGTTTTTCCACGTTCCGTACTACCTCGGCAAGCTGAACCACGTGAAGAGAGATAGGACGTCACTTTGGAGTCAAACACTCACCTCTCTCTATCTATTTGTTTTGTAATCCCTCAGCAGCAGCTTCATTTTATTGGTTGTAGACTCGATGTAATTAAGCAGAGAGAGAAAGAGCGAGAGAGAGGGAGGGAGAGCCTAGTGAAACAGTACCCTAGGTTTCAAGCCTATTGAAGCCCCGCAGATCTCGAGCAACCTCGGGGAATACACGGTCTCGTCATCACGTGTTCTTCCGAATCGGACTTTACTGCCCTCCCGGCCATAAAAAGTTAATTTTTTTCATCGATTATCATTGTGTTCTTGAGAATTCCCATTTGGGTCGCGATGATATTCTTATAAATGATGAAGGTCATAAATATTTGAGTGAGGCCATCGGGCTCCCTTCCAGAATGACCGTGTTCTGTGAGATTCCATGGGGTCCTCACCTACTCGGGTTTTATAAACTACGGGGTCAACTGCATTGCCCTCCGTCTAATACCAGCTGGGAGCGAAAGGAGAGAGCAGAGCACCCCGTCATGGGGATCACCCAGACGGCTCCCCTTGTCCTTCTCCTTGCGCTGCTGCTCGCCGTCACTTCTCTGAGCAGTGCCGATCTGTACGGAAATCCACCCCCACCTTTCGCCGTCAAGGGGAAGACCTTCCCGCCGGAGTCAACCTTATGCATAGACCCCAGTAAGTCCTGCTTCGGCCAGAGTATCAAGTGCCCGGACCAGTGCCCTATGGCCAGGCCAGCCGACCCAAAGGCTAAAGCCTGCTTCATTGACTGCAACTCTCCCAAGTGCGAGGCCACCTGCAGGAGTCAGTAGCTTCAGCACTACTCCTTCTCACTTCTGTTTGCTACATACTGTAACCACATGAACAGTTGATCTAGTTCAGACCAAAGGCCTTAATCATAGGGTTTCGCTGCTGTTGTCTTGGTTCAGACAGGAAACCTGACTGCGAGGGCAACGGGGCGGCGTGCTACGACCCGAGGTTCGTCGGCGGGGACGGGATCATGTTCTACTTCCACGGCAGGGCGGGCCACTACTTCACCCTCGTCTCTGACTCCACCCTCCAGGTCAACGCCCGCTTCATCGGCCATCGGCCCCCCGGGAGAACCCGTGACTTCACCTGGATCCAAGCTCTCGGCCTCATGTTCGATGCCCACACATTCACCGTCGGCGCCACGAACCCCGCCGTCTGGGACGGCGGCGTTGACAGACTGGAATTCTCCTACGACGGCGCACCGGTTTGGATCCACGAGGGGCACCTCTCCACGTGGACTTCCCCTGACGGCAAGCTCGAAGTGGAGCGCACGGCGAGGGTCAACAGCGTCGCCGTGACGCTCCCAGGGGTCTTCGAGATCACCGTCTCCGTCGTCCCCGTCACAAAGGAGGACGACAGGATCCACAGCTACCGTCTCCCCGACGGCGACTGTTTCGCCCACATGGAGGTGCAGTTCAGGTTCTTCGAGCTCTCGGACAAAGCGGAGGGCGTCCTGGGGCAGACCTACAGGCCAGACTTCCGCAGCCCCGTGAAGAGAGGCGTTCCCATGCCGGTCATGGGCGGCGAGGATAAGTACACCACGTCATCCCTCCTCTCATCCGACTGCAAGTACTGCATCTTCTCGCCGGTGAGCTCCACCGCCGCGGAAGCGCTGATGCGGCGCTCCGACGATGCCGCCGCCGCCTGGGACTGCACCGGCAGGATGAGCGACGGGTACGGGACGCTCTGCCGCCGGTGAGCTGCACCGGAGCTCTGGGGGAGAAGGTGAGCGTTCGGAATAATGAGAGTGGGAGTAGTGGTGATGTGAGAGGGGACCGTCGCAACGGTTGCTTGATCTCTCTTCAATTAGGATCGAAACTCTTATCAATCTGTTTCGTAATAGTCAACGATCGCTGACGTAGCTGGATGCGTCAACTTTAGGGTTGGGTTAGAACGAAGCTAGATCTACCCACTGTGAACAGGATGAATCTCCCGGGCTGGTTCGGAAGGTCACATTCTGGTCCGCTCAACCGAGGCCTGTAAGAACTCTTGGGATCCGAGATTAGCCACCCCCTTTTTATAAAATTATGTTACTTTAAATTTATTATTTTAAAATATTCCACAAATTATGAACTCTCTCTCTCTCCCTCCCTCCCTCCCTCTCTCTCTCTCTCTCTCTCTCCCTCTCTCTCTCTCTCTCTCTCTCTCTCCCTCCCTCTCTCTCTCTCCTCTCTCTCCCTCTCTCTCTCTCTCTCCCTCCCTCCTCCTCTCTCTCTCTCCCTCTCTCCCTCTCTCTCTCTCTCTCCTCTCTCTCCCTCTCTCTCTCCCCTCTCTCTCCTCTCTCTCCTCTCCCTCCTCTCTCTCTCCCTCTCCTCTCTCTCCTCTCTCTCTCTCTCTCTCTCTCTCTCTCTCTCTCTCTCTCTCTCTCTCTCTCTCTCTCTCTCTCTCCCTCTCTCCTCTCTCCTCCCCTCTCTCTCTCTCTCTCTCTCTCTCTCTCTCTCTCTCTCTCTCTCTCTCTCTCTCTCTCCCTCTCTCTCTCTCTCTCTCCCTCTCTCTCTCTCTCTCCCCCCGGAATTAAGGGGGAAGAGACGACGGAGAGAGATTTAAAATCATTTATCGAGTACTTTCTTGAAAAAAATAAAGAGCGTCATTAATAACCCTTGTTATTATCTTTGGATTAAAAGGAGATGTTGTTACCTCCTGCATTTCGGCGATAAATCTGCCCGGCCAAGGAAGAAACAGGAGCAGAGGGGGGTCCCATCTTCACCAAAGTTGAATAAGAATCATCAAGGTTCATCTGTTCATAATCTATGCGGCCTCCTGAATCTGATCCAAGAGAAAAAGGCGGCATTTTTATCCCCCCCCCCCCCCCTCACAATTGGACGATAAATCTGCCCGCCCAAAGCAATAGGAGAGTGTAGAGAGAGAATCACGGAGGTTCCCCAAAGAGTCCTGCCTTGGGTTTACTAGTAATAGAAGTATTCACTGCTCAGTTCCTAGTTTTGGATTTTCTGGACCAGGAAGGAGGGATGATTCTGAAGTTGGTGACGACCTCATCTTCCTTCCTGGTCTCCTCTCCGCCCAGGAGATCCTTGGAGAACGCATCTGGGTGCACTTTGATGCAGTCTTGCAAGGCTATAAAGGGACTCACACAGTCTGAACCCTGCAAGAACCAGAGATGCAGCATGGAGACTGACAACGTTTACTAAATTGAGCATAAAAGCACCTGATGACTCCATTTAAATTAGGAAAATGCAAAATAAAAATATTTTTCTATCGATGGAAACGAGGCAGATGCATGTTTAATATGAACCGTCGATTGCCATTATAAGATTTATAGGAAGGAAAATTTTCTTCATTCTATCCACATGACAGGAAAAGGGTACCTTTTCTTCAGCAGTGCTCTTGAGGAAGCAGGCAAATGCTTCGGAAAACTGGTTTCCACAAGGTCCACTCCTCAAGCCTGCAAGACAGGGGCATTCAAGGGCTTTCTGCACCTTGGCCTCCACCGACTGCATTGGAAAATTCTATTTCAGAACTGGCGAGGAAAAAGGCCTTGGAAGTGAGCAATCTCAGGATTATATCACACAAACAGCTCAGGTTTCGTGCACCTCCTTGAAAAGAAACCAACCTCATTCTCAACGTTACTGAAAGCTGCAGCTTCTGCAGAAACCAGTAAAACGAGATAATAATCATTATATGGAGCGACAGGAACATCACTCTAAAATGTCCGCAATAAAGTTTAAATAAATGACAACGATATCAGTCGAATATGTGAAACTGATGCAAGAAGTACCAATTTTTTCGCATCATTATCCCAATCTAATTCCAAGAAACATTGAAAGAACAATAAAGGCCAAGAAACGTATCGTGCTGAATGTGGATCGTGCAATCCAAATAAAAACAGGGAAACACCCTTAGAAATCCCTTGAATGTGAAAAAAATGACGGAATGAACAATACAACGTTGGATCTTTAAACTGGATGGATTTAAGAAAAAATAATTAAAAGCTTGAATGATACAACTACAAATTTTAATATCTCAGATAATGTAGACACCTATTTTCTCGCTTTATGGTTCTCACGATGATTCCACGTCAAATATGACCTGAATTTCCAAAACAATAGATAGCTAATGTTTTCCTCATCCAGAACCTTCTAAATCCCAGGAGTATCACTGCACAATATGATGCCTCTGCATGTCAAGAACTGCAGGCTCAATCTGCATTTAGGAGGCGAAGACATAAAGCGTTCCGTGCCTCACCTTCTCTTGTGGTTTCTATTCAGTATCAAATTTATTATGTATTATACCACGCAATCTAAAGGGTCTTCTATTATCTAGACATGATGACACTCATTTCTTCACAGATTTTATTCTCAAGTCAAATATTTGGTTCCTACTCACTCCGCCCCTTTGGTGTCGTTCTGCGAGAGCCTTTCCCTAAACCATGACTGCACCATATCCAGGCCCCACAGAAAAAGAATAATTCAGGAACGGAATCAAAACTAACATAGGAAATCCAAAACCTACATCCATTCATCACAGGAGACATAACATAGGAAATTATCATGACAAGTTGGCCACAAAGGATGTCTATGCATCCAGAGATTTCATCGGTTTGAAATCCCTCGCATCACAGGAGGTTAATATATTTCATTCAAGAAACATCACATGCATGAGAATCATCCCTATTGAGTATGCACCTAAAAGCATGGAAAGAGAGAACAAATAAACACAATCGACCGTCTCAACCACGACGCGAAATTCCACACAATTGGCCTCAACTCGAAACGGCAATAAATCAAAGAACAGAGACCGCTCAAAATATTTATAAATCAGGGAAAAGAAATCACACCACAGAACCTGGAGCATTCTGCGCCCGTTCGTAATGACTTACTACGAGCACCAACAAACGGAAAAGGAAACAACAGAACAAGCTTCTGAAGGGATTCCATTGACCGAGAAGAGCTGGGAACAGGCAGCCCGACCTGCAAGCAGAGCTTCCACGGATGTAGCGGATTGAGAAATCTCCGTCGCGGGCGGCACGCTGCTCCGCTTCTCTCCGGAGGCTTCCCTCTGAGGCAGACCCATCGACGAGCAGCAAGGCCTCTTCTCAGAGAGAGAGAGAGAGAGAGAGAGAGAGAGAGAGAGAGCGAGAGAATATTTGGGTTTTCGGATCGTTACCCTTAGTGGTCACAGGCCCATTAAAATGCATCCCCGTCGAAGCCCGAACCGGCCCGAATATATACGGGCGAGATACGGCGGTTCTCGCTGGCCACGTAGTTGAAGATTTGGTCCGAATCCGCTCGCCGAGATTTCTTCTCCGGTCGGGGAGGAGGGAGCAGGAAGCCGCCGGAAGCTCAGACAGAGATGGCCGCCACCGCCGCCTCCGCCACCGCTCTCCGTCCGCCCCTCACTAGGGCCCCGGTAAAGGTGAGAAACTGAGAAATGGGAGCCGCCCACGGTTCCCCAACCTCCCCACCGCCGTTCATCCTCTCTCTTCTCTTCCCTCGCGCCTGGTTCTCATTTCTGCAAGTATCTTTGATTGGGCGACAGCACGAACTTCAATGGAAGAAGAAATGTCCGACGAACCTTCTCCCCGTGCCGTCTTTGCCGTCTGCGGGAAGAAGAAGTGGCGCCGTGAGGGCACAGGCCTTCTTCAACCCCTTGGACGACCCTATCTTCAAGGAAGCTCTCAAGGTACTAAAACAACCGCCCTTCCCTTTTTTATATCTCTTTATTTCTTATTATCACGTTATTTCCTTCGAATCCCTGCGTCTTCGGTTGACCCAGAAAGGATCGCATGCCTCCCCGTAGGAAACTTTGATTATCCATCATATTTTTCATTAAATTGCGTAAACCCAAAGTTCATCTGTGTGGAGTGCCCATCTGATTACACTGATCATGTGCCTTGCTCAGCTCCTCTAGAGGAGTAGCATGACTTCAAGGGGGTGGGCAATCCAATTAGAAAACTTTACTATTTCATTAAACATTTTCTTAAATCTTGTCAAACCCGAAAGTAATCAGTATCATTAATTTCTCTGGAATGAAATGATGATTTCCCCATCGTACACTGTTCAATCAGAGTACTGCACTTCTTCTGTTCGCTAATCTTCCCCATAGAACACTCTCATATCAGTTGGGATCAGAATCATCGAATCTTTCATTGCATCTGCCTAAACCCAGAAATCTTCATTAATATCCTAAATTATTCTGGAATCCCCTTTTGACTTCCAGAGCATGCTAGTCAATCAAGAATATAAGATATCTGTTGGGATCCAATGATAAAACTTTACTGGATCATCGAATATTTCATTGCATCCGCCCAAACCCAAAAATCTTCATTGACACCCTAAATATTTCAATCAAGGATGCGCTTTGCCTTAGATGACTCACGGATGGAAGCCTTAATGAACCTTGGTCGACCCTCTGGAGGAACAGTATGATGTCAGATAGTCAACCAATCAGAAAACCTTACTATTTCGCCGAATAAAGTCAAACCCAGACCTCACCATCGATATCCCAAGCTGGTAAATGCCGAGTATTCCTTCTAGCGTTGACCCGGAAGCGACATGATCAGAAGGGAATTCAATCGTTCAGGAGCCAGTCGCCTTCATGGGCGGCGTGTTCGCGGGACTCTTGAGGCTCGACTTGAAAGAGGAACCCCTCAAGGACTGGATCGCGAAGACAGCGGAGGCGGCTGGAACCACCGTCGAAGAACTCACCGGAGATCTGGAACCTGACGAGGATTCTCCCCAAGAGATTGAGATCGAGTGAATCCCCATCGTCTCCATCTCCTACTTTCAACCCTGATTTGGAAATTTTCTTCTCGCGTCTGAACTCCACTTCTTCTTCTTTTTTTACTATTTATATCGTGTATAATATGAATATAAATTATTATTTTGTGGCGATGACGTGTGTTCGGGTTTCCAAAGTGGTGGGTTAGCGATGAGTTGGATGTGATTGTGCTGTGACTATCTAGCAGTATCCCAATTTTTTTTTCCGGTTTTCGCTTTCGAAATATGTTTGGATTGCTGGAAATCAGAGGAATATGTTGGCATTATGTTGACTGGGGCGGTGTTGATGGGCCTCATTAATAGGTCTATCGGACTCTGATTGGTTTAGCCCAGAGTTGAGAACTTACGTGGCTCTCTCTTTATCTGCCACGTTTCCCATGGAGTGTGGCTTCTTCCAAGTCGTCAACCCTACTGACGGCGGCCGCGGGTGGACGGAATCACCCGCCGGCGGCAAGCGGAGCCCGATACCTCTCATGGAAGGAATGGCGCTGAGCGGGGAGGACGCAGGCGAGACAATCGATATCGTCGAGCCGGCGGTGCGGATGGGATCCTACCTCGCGGAGGTGCAGCCGGTGGAGGATGCGGCGGGATTGATCTTCCTGCTGTGGGCGATCCAGCAGCCGACGATCGCCAGGCCCAACGCCTTCGTTCGCCAATCGTCCATGGAGCTCCGCCTCGACGCATGTGGCCACCAGATCACCATCGTCCAGACTCCCTCCTCCATGGCAAGTATCTGAATCTCCGGTGCTTGATGATCGCCGGAGCTTTCGTTTGGCTAACGCGTTGTCTCCCTTTTTCTCGACGGTCGTTCTGAAGAGCAATCCAGGGGTGACTGGAGCGGTGATGTGGGACAGTGGGATTGTTCTGACCAAGTTCCTGGAGAGCGCCGTAGATTCTGGGAGACTTGTTCTTCAGGGCAGCAAGGTCGTCGAACTCGGTTCAGGTTGCGGATTGGTCGGGTAGAACTCAAGAACCCATCCATTCCGATGCAGACGTCCTGTTCGACCAAATGTCCGCACCAGTTCTTGTCCGTTCATTGATAGTTTCCTTGGAGGTTTCAGGTGTGCAGCGGCTCTCTTGGGTGCTCGAGTCGTGCTCACAGATCTACCAGACAGATTGAAGCTTCTGAAGAAGAACGTCGAAGTCAATGTGAAGGAAAGGAACGCGCGTGGCTCGGCAGAAGTCTGTGAGCTCACCTGGGGCGACGATCTGGACGCGGAGCTAACCGAGCCGCCACCGGATTTTGGCAAGCGTTTCTTCCTAGATCGTATGAACATGCTTCTTCGATCTCCTCTCTTCTATTACATAAGCATCCTGGTCCTTGCAGTCGTCGGATCAGATGTTGTCTATAGTGAAGCTGCTGTGGTAGATCTGCTTTCCACGCTGAGACATCTTTCTGCCAGCTGCACCACCATTTTCCTCGCTGGAGAGCTCCGAAATGGTAATCTACTCATCATTCCATTCGAAGTCTATGTTACATATACTCACGGGAGCTTCTCTCCCCGAACAGACGCCGTCCTGGAGTACTTCTTGGAGGCGGCGATGGGGGATTTCCTGATTGGGCATGTCGATCAATCCCAGTGGCATCCCGACTACCGCAGCCAGCGAGTAGCGATCCTTGTTCTGGTGAAGAAGTAAGACAAGGTGGAGGCATAGCTCCTCAACTGCAGATGCCTCCATGGCCGCCTCCCGTCGTCTCATCCAGGGGTATCGATGGGGTTTCTGAGTCTGCTCGCCTCGTTGTTCTCGGAGACGCGAGCATTCCCGCTTAAATCTCTGTGAACTTCCGGGCCTGGCTTGGGATGGTGAGTGATTCTGGTAATGAACGGGTTTTTATGTGGGTCCCACCAATTCGCATCCAAATCCCATCCTCTGCGTCTGCGAACCCATATGTTAGCGAGGACGAAGCCTCTCTCGCCGCCACGTCGTCATCTTTCCAGCCACTCCACTAACTCGCCTCCGTCGTTATCCTTACGAAACCAGAACAAGAAACAGGACCAGGTCACAGACTCTCTCTCTCTCTCTCTCTCTCTCTCTCTCTCTCTCTCAATCTCTCTCGAGGATGCCTCCTCCTCCGTGTTGCTACGGCGGCGCAGAGTCCGCTCCATCTTCTTCAAATCAGCACCGGCAGAAGCGGGAGCTTCCGGCGATCCTAGAATTGGCCCGCCCCTTCCTCCGGGGGGAGCTGGAGGCGGTGGACCCGGCCCTGCCTGGTCTCGTGGCGGTGCTACGTAGCGTCGGCGCCGGTGAGTGCTGGCACAAGCACGGCAGCTTCCTCGACCACCTCGTCGAAGTCTACCGCATCCTCAAGATCTGGTTGGCGCCGGACGTCGTAGCCCGCTGCGGCCTCTACCACTCCGCCTACTCCAACTCCTACGTCAACCTCGCGATCTTCGATCCGGCCACCTCCCGCGATCACGTCCGCGATCTGATCGGCGGCCCTGCGGAGCGCTTAGTCCACCTCTTCTGCATCGTCCCCCGACAGTCGCTGATCCACGACGATCTCCTCTTCCGGTACGCCGATGCAGAGCTCATGGAGCACTTGGAGCTCTCGGAGGCCTCCGTCGTGAACGCGATGGAGAAGGGGATCTTCGATCCCGACGAGCCGTGGAGGAAGAAGGTACGATCCATCCTCCCACCCGAGGGGACGACGGTGAAGCACATCAAGACGGGGGAGGACGTGCCGATCTCGCGGCGGATGGTGGCGGCGTTCCTGCTCATGACGATGGCGGACTTCAGCGACCAGTTGTTCGGATTCCAGGACGCGCTCTTCGACAACGCCGACGGCCGACTGGCGTTCTCCGGGAACAACTACACGGCGCTCTGGCCGGGGAACGGGAAGCCAGGGATGTGGATGAACTCGATCTCCAGGATGGGGGCTCTCTACTCCCTCATCGTGAGGGAGGAGGAGATCTACCTCGAGGAGCAGAAGAAGAAGAGGCCATTAGAGGACCTCTTGCCGGAGAGGGACGAGGAGATCGAATTGGTTATCCCACCGGTCTTCGAGAGCTGTACCAAGGTGCTGGATGTGGAGGATCAGTCCGCCGCGAGGGATCTGTACTGGGCGGCGGTGTGCGGCGTCGCAAGGGACGAAGCGGAGGAGCCACCATTGCCGCGGGCGGAGAGACTGCTCTTGGCCTGCGTGGAGAAGAACCCTTTCGTGGGGGAGCCGCGCCTGGTGCTCGCACAGGTTTACCTGGGACAGGAGAGGTTCCCGGAGGCGGAGGCGGCAGCGGCGGTAGGGCTGCGGCTGATGCTGGAGTGGGGCAGCTGCTGGGACAAGCGTATGTCCTGGGAAGGTTGGATCGCATGGGGAAGAGTCCTTCTCATGAAGGCCCGGGAAAGATCCTGGCCACGGTCCTCCTGGGGCATCCTCAACCTCGGCCTCGTCAAGTGAACCCATCTCCGCTGCCGCATCGCCGCCGTCTCCCCTCCGCCGCCGCCACCATTGCCGGTCAGGTCCTTCGACATCCTCGCCTTTCTCATCGCCTAAATAATTTAGTCTGCAGATGGGATTCATCTTGGATCACCTCCAGCCGGGGAAATATGGGCCAAAATGTTGGTCTCGTCGAACCAACCGTGTGGGCCCAATGTCAGCCGGAGATTGACCCGTCCATATTGGGCTAAGACCACTTGGAAGTCCAGAAAGTTTGACCCGATAAGACTTTTGGCCTTGGAATTGAAGTCTGGTCAGACAGAGCAATAAGAAGGCGTGTTTCCAATAAAAGGTTTCCTTTTTTAACCTTCTGTAATTATCCTCTTCGTCCGCTTCCTCCCCCCGGGACAGGGACGGGGACAGAGTAGGGGGGGGGGGGCGCCACTCTCTCCTCTGCCGCGCGGCACGCATGGCGGCGAGTTCAACGGGGGATGCGCCGAGTCGCACTACGCGCCAAGCGGAAAGGCGAGATCGCCCGATCCGCTCCCCACCGAGTGCCTAACTCGGCCGTCCAAAAACAAAAAAAAATGATTTTTTTAAGAATAGGTTTTGCTAATTTCGGCATAATTTTTTGCGGTAGCAGCTGGGTCCTGAGAAGAGAAGCCCAATCGGATCGGAGTGGATCGGAGTGGATCGTAATTATTCGGAGGTTGAACAGATTTATTGTGCATAAAAAATATGAGATATGAGATTTCTGCGCTTAGAGAGAGAGAGAGAGAGAGCAGCGGCCCGGCGCTCGCTCTCTCGCTCAAGAAAAGGAAGCCCTGCCGCCGCACAGCAGCTGGTATTTTTTTTTAGGCGCGCAGAGATCCGCAGATAGACCCTTTGTCGGAGAGCAGGCCTGCGTTGTCAAAGCCTTCGACAGACCCAGACAGAGACACAGAAGAGAGAGAGAGTACTGGAGAGAGATCCAAGGAGCGCATTTAATGCTCACGCGCTACCCCAATCTGCACTCTCTCTCTCTCTTTCTCTCTCTCTCTCTTTCTCTCTCTCGGGAGGGTCGGGCCCAGTCGGGTAGAGAGAGAGAGAGAGCGCAGGCCGGTTTTGCGGAGCTGCCGAGAATGTTTCAGCAGAGTCTTCCTCCTCCATCGAGCTTTCCCCACGGCGCGGCTCACCGGCAACTCGGGAGCTCACCAGTCAACAATTATTCACTCTCGCTTTCCTCCTCCGCCACCGCCACCGTCCAGTACATCCGTTTTATTTTACTTATACATACCTGATCAGCAGAAACAGACGAGGTTTTTTGCCCGGTGGTCCACCGCCAACAGAGCTCCACCACCACCACCACTGGCGCCTTTCTTGAACGCCTACCCGCCTCCCTCCGGCGATCTCCGGCCGCCGGAGCGAGAAGAGAGATTACCCTTAACGGCATTCCGTCGGCGAGCTCATAAAGAGAGATGGAAGGTCTGAGAATGGCCGTCGGTTCTTCGTTTGGCCGGCGACGGGGGCGGGCGGAGGGAGAATCCGGCGGCCGGAAGTGGGGCTGTCGCCGTCCTGTCCCCGGAGCACCGGCGGCCCTAGGAAGAAGACAAAGAGTATGCGACAGAAGCGATATAGAATCCGGCGACAGAACGAATTCAAGATCTTCCGAGATCCACTGACCGGATTGGTGAGGCCACCGCCGCGCCACTTACCCTTCCGTGGCTCGAGTCTCGAGACGAGCCATCGGCTCCCTGCCCGACGCGCCATGCTTCGGCCAAAAGCGGAATTCGAGCTCCCCGATGCGAAAAGTGGCGAAGGACCTTTTCGAAAAATGGCTTTTTACTTATACCTAATTTTTTCCACATTCAAGGCTATATATGAATATGTACCGTTTGGTTTTATTAAATTACATTTAAGTAGAGCGTTAATTCTCTCCAGTCGAGTTAACGGTGTGGGCTCCCCGGTGGACCGGAGCCCGCCGGTCGGACCGGCTCTCGGCCAAGAGGGTTCGGCCGGTTTCTCCACCTCGTACAGGGTGCAAGCTCACACCGAATTGCCTGAGTGATTGGTGATGAGAACCAGTGACCGGGCGTGACTAAGCAACTAGCAGCTGGATAGAGAGAGAGAGAGAGAGAGAGAGAGAGAGCATCTTCTTCTCTGTCATTTCCACGGCCTCTATATAACAACCATACTCAAGCTCGCACTCAGTGAGCCCGTAGAACCTACCAACTGGTCCCGCCGTCCGGCCGGCCTTTCCTTCCTTCCTTCCTTCCTTTTCGGCGTCTCTTCGTACTAGCGGCTCCGCGGCGCTTGGAGCCGTGGCTTGCTTGCTGCCGGGGGAGGGGGGGGGGCAGGAGTTGAGAGCAAGAGATCTTCTGGCGGCGGCGGCTATGGTGGTGGTGGCGGTAGTGGAGTTGGCCGGCTGCGGGGCGGGGGCGCTGTTGGAGGAGGGGCAGAGGAGATTGCGCAGCCTCTTCTGGCGGGTGCGAGCGGAGATGAGGCGGCAGGTGAGCAAGGACCGAACCAGGAAGCGGCAGCGCTTCAGCTTCCGCTACGACCCCCTGAGCTACGCCCTCAACTTCGACGACGGCTGTTACGGCTTCTTCTGCTGACCCCTCCCACCCTTGGCCAGATTTAGAGAGAGAAGAGAGAGAGAGAGAGAGAGGGAAGGGTGGGGGGACTACGCTCGATGTATCTATCTTCCTTCATCTTCTTCCCCTTTTGGTGTCTCGCTGCTGTGAGTGCATTTTTTTTTGGAGGTCTCATTCAACACTGGCAGCGGCGGGCTACTGTTTCCCCTCGGCCCTGTCGCCATCTCTCTCACCTTCTGCCCCGCGCTGACCTTGCGGCTTCAGGAGGAGAATCCCTCCCGAGTAGGGGGAGGGACGGAGGAGGGTACGGAATGGGGGTGGGGGGCCTCCGCCGCCGCCATCGGCCGGCCCTCCGGCAGCCCATTAATTGATTCCGCCGTGGGGCGGTGTATCGGCGGCGGAGACCGGCAAGCGTCACAGAGCAGTAGCAATGATGGAGCTCTTCATTGTTGATCAGCTCATCTCATCGCAATGGAGGAAGCCCGTTAGCTCCCCCCCCCCATCTCCAGACCCCACGTGAGCTTCTTGTATAAAGTCAAAAAGTAAGTCAGCAGAGAGAGGCAGGGGAGAGAGAGAAGCTCCGCTGTCCCACCCCCCATCTCATCTCCTTGATGGGCCTGGTGGGCTGCACGGTACTTCATCAAGAGGGAACAGTAGCTGGCTCTGTACCTCCTCCAGGATGGGTTTCGCTGTGTGGACCGCACGGCTACTTCTGCGCCTGGACCACTGAGAAAAGAGGAAGAAGAAGAAGAAGAAAAGGAAGGGGTATCTTTTTTCCTTTTCAATACGACTGGCCAGGGAGGTTTTAGACCCTTTTCTCAACATTTTCCAGCATCTTCTCGACCATGTGGCGGCTCTTCTCTTCGATGTGACGCCTCTTCTCCTCCAGCTTCTCGGTCACCTTCCTCCCCAGGTCCATCATCCTCGTCTTCCTCCCCGTCCTAGGCCGCCCATCGTCAGGAGAGCACGTACTTCGCTCCGCCGTCGACTCTCTGCGGCTGCTGCGCTGCCCTCCGCCGAGAGAGGGGTCCTCATAGCCTGGTGATGGCCTGCCTAAAGATTCCGGCAGGGGATCGGCGGCGCCGCCTCCCTCCATCTCGCCGGAATCTTTGGTGCCGGGGGGACCGGCGGCGGTGGCGGCCTCCTGGAGATTGTCGTCCAGAGATATGATACTCTTTGTGTCCCCGGACGAGCCTTTCTTGATCCTGACCGATTCACCGGAGTGGGAGGTGGGCGGCGCCACCTCGTCCGCCGGCGACTCGCCGGCATCCCGCCGGGCGACCCAGATGAAGGGGGCGACGCTCCGAGGGACCCAATCGTCCTTCTCCGCTAGCATCCACGGAATACTCACGCTTTCACAGTTGGGGAGTACCAAAGTCTCCTGGATGGCTGTCTGAAAATAAATAAATAGATACCAATCAATCAAGTAACTTAGTAATCAAGCAAAGAGAGAATCTATCAATCTGCACCGACCTTGAAGCGGCTGCTGAGGAGCGAGGTGACGTGCCCATTGCTCACTTTGCAGTCCCCCACGGAAGAATCCAGGTTCCACTCGATCTCCGGCATCGACGTGAAGCCGAACCATAGCTGATCCGAGGGGGGCGACTTTATGTGGACCCTCAGCGTTCCGCGGAGCGATGAAATCCTCAGGGACAGAGAAATGGGTACCTAGAAGCAGATGAAACACGGTTTTGAAGATATACATCAAGATTCGATCATCCATATATAAGAGAAGATTCCACCTCTCATTCCCATGCCTGAAGAACACCAAGACAGTAACTTTAGGTGGGCAACCAGGCAGATCCGAGAAAGAATCTTTGGATATACTCAATCCCCCCCCAACCTTGATTAATTTCTCATAATACACAGTATATTCGCCTGAAATAGATTTCTGCTTACGAGGAAGTGGCATCACTCACCTGGGAAACATGTTCGGCAATGGAGTTGACGATGGATTTATACCGTGATGCCCAGCTGGTGCTCTTCGATTGTCCTAAACCATCTGAAACAAGGTAAACAAAGTCAAGACCATTAACTGTCATCCAGCTATAATATAATCATCATGATATCTAAAGTATGGAAGATTTTAAAACATTGATGAGTAAATAACAAAAGCCATGCCAGAATCATACGTGATGTGACATCGATTCACCGAATAATATCCTATTGGCATGCATTTCCGAATAATATTCTATTGGCATGCATTTTTGGGCGTGAAAAATGCCTGATGGAATTATTCTCAGACGCCTGAAATGTATATGAGACTTCAAATACTCAGATATCTCCCTCTTTTAAAGTCCTTTCCCAGGTTCCCTTCGCAGCTAATCTCTTACATGATCTGTATATTAATTTGAAGCATAAAAAACCTCAAATAATGTTTTTCAGCACATTATTTCATATTGATAAGTGAAAGTTGCTGCACTTGAATGCGAACAAAAGGACATGAGCCTTGAAGTAGAGAGAATGGGAGTTTCCCAAGAAAAAGAAGTTGATTTGCAAAAAAAAAAAAAAAAAAAACGACGAACAAGCCCAACGGAGTCTTCAAAGAAGTTGTCCATGTGGACCAAGAACAAGACAAAGAACTTCAGGGTCACGTTAGAGCAACTGTGAGTTCTCCTCAATGATGTTGGAACATATGTAAACAGTGGAGCCAGAGGTCCCGCCTAGGGCATCCAGACTAGGTGTATGGGATCGGAATATGAACCACAAAGTTATCTTTCATAGTTCGTTATTTTAGGAAAGGTGGCTTAGAAAAATCAATTCTTAGTGGAAGTTGAGAAGACAAAGTCTAGTATTAAAAAGCCATCGAGGTTTAGAAAGCATAGTTGAAGAGCCCAACAGTGTCACAGGACAATTGGGAAATGAGAAAGGAGTTGTGCAAGCGAACCAACAAAACTTAGATCTGACAGTTTCTCAGCGCACCAGGATCCTAGAAAATCATCAATTTTTTGGTCAAAAAATCAAAAATTCTACTGAAAAACATTGGTTAGAGGCCATAATTTGTTTTCCACCAAGTCCCATCTCCTGCAATAGATCTTTCAGGTAAAAATTTGAATAGCATTCTCTGATTAGGTCATGTTGTAATGACGCATACACATTATCAATCACCTTTTTTAAGCATCGAAAAGGATCGTTTCAACCATTAAACACTAGCTGATATCATACACTATTTGCATGACCACTGATAGACAAGGAAATCTCTCGTCGTCACCACGATTTCACAAGACGTTGTCTGAAAGACAACCATACTGATGGTATTGTAATTCAAATACCACTCTAAAACCTGTGTGACGATCGAGCAGGACCTTCCTAAGTGGATATCATGAGGTGTCTATCTATCAATCTATTAAACTGAAAAGAGTTCTAAATTCAAACCAAAGAGCTATTTAATTCAACTTGATGAACATGCCAATCGTGAATCAGAGAACAGTTTTGATATTGCTCCGCATTCAATGAACCTAGAGAACACTTTTGGACACTAACAAAACAAAATATGACGGATATAGTTCCAAGGTTTTCTGACCTATTCGAAGATTGAACTTCGATATCAACATGCAAATCTAGGGACTAAGCTCCTTATATGCAACAGCAATGGTATTACTAAAGATAGGAAATAACAATTCCTTTGATCAGAAAAATGGGATAAAAATCCTAGTGTTGGCTCAGAGAATATAAATCCCAAACCTACGAACGAGTCTAACAGATAAACAGACTCTTTTCTGCACTCACCTGGTTTATCCTTTTCTGTTTTGTTCTCCATTTTTTCAGTTGAATCACTCGCAAGGTACAGCATCTCGCTATGACATTCAAGACCTCCAAGAAGAGCTGAGGTGACCTCGGCAGCAGTATTTCGTTCCATGTTAGAATCCAGAAGGCCTTTTTGGAAGTCAGGTTCACGAACTTCAAGTCGTGTTTCAATTTCCAATGCTATTCCACCAGTGTACTCAATGTTTGCTTCAAAAGCCCACACTTGATCCTCGTCCACAGGAAGAACTCTCATGCTACAAATATATGGTGGAAGATTCCCGAGATTAAGGCTAGTACAAGTAATTCCACCAATATAACTTGGAGTCCTCATATTTGATAATGACCTCTGTTCATGAAAAAAAATAGTTTACAAAGCTCAACGCATGTACATGGGTAAAAAATAAAAGAAAAAGCAACTGAGTAGTGGATAACCTGAATTCGTCCTTTAATGAAGCTGTTTACTGACACACTTCTTTTAGCATCAAAAAATAGTCTTGAAAACAACAAGTTCCAACAACCTCTGCCATCATCGAGACCGTACCTACCACTGCAAGCTAGATCAGAAGAAGCAGAACTTGGAATTTGGCTACCCAAATGGCTAAGTGCGGGTGAAATGACTTGAGATGAATTTTCTGATGAGCTGCTTGAATTCTTTTCCAATGAAGCGGCTTCAGTTGTACTAAGGGGCAGTGATACGTCCCCGATTAGAAACGATTTTTCACCAACTCTACTCGCGCCGTTAGAGAATGAAACCATGCTCGCTTTATTTTCTGCAACACTCTTGGATGCTTTCTTTGCTATTTTTTTAAGAAATTGACGAACTTTTGAAGATGAATCAGCCCCAGCCCTACTTGTTTTTTCTGTCACCTCACCAAAGAGTTCAGAAGCTTTAATAAACAATTGATTTTCAGCAGCTTGTAAGGGCAGAACATAATTGGAGAAATCTTTCCTCAGCTTGGCATAACGTTTCTCTGTATCTGGGCAGGAAGCTTGGCGAAGAGCTTTGCACCAGGCCTCCTTCTCCCATGATGTTTCAAGGTACAGATAAAAAGTTTGACTTCCATTGTAGATGGCGGATCTCTTGCCTTCTACTTTAATAGGATATCTTTTTGCCCTAAATATACACAGTTCATGGTTAGAATTAAACGGATAGATTTTTCACTAACATTCTATTTTACACAAATCATGCATGTTCATCGGTACCATATCAATACAAAAACAAAAATATGATGAGTTGAGTTTTCATTCAAATGTCCAGAACAAAAATCCTTAAATAACTTTCAGTCTGGAAGTGGCATCGTAAGACCAGTGTTCTAAATTGACGACAGATCACAGAGCCGGAACAACAAAGGAGGCAGTGCTCAGTCAAAATTGTTTAAAATAAGAATCTGAAATATATTTCTTTTAAATCATATCATCAGTGTACGGCTAATCATATTCTATTATCGACTAAATATGTTTTTATGGGGTGATTACCATTTTTTGGACGGCAGATCCGAACCAGAAACTGCTAAAATCATGCAGTCTGTAAGTTGTACAGTTGCTTCTTCTTGACAGCCATCAACATCCATCAAAGAAAGAGAATGGTCGAAAATTTTTGCATATTTCCTGGACGGAGAGACCTCCACTATTCTCTTTTTAGCTTTTTGCTCCTTCAGCACTTTCAAAGATGATTCATCAGTAATTCTTGGGATCCTTTCAGGTTCAAGAACCCAGACTATTCCCTAAATAAAAAAGCAACGCATTAATAACAATGTGATAGGTACACTATAAATCTAAGGAAATAAAAGGGTTCCAAGCCCCGGATCATGAACTCTTAAGAAATAATTGGCAAAATAGTATAAGCATGAGTTCATTCAAAGAGAAATATCTTCAAAGGTTCAGAGACAAATAGATATGCTTGCAATGACAACATAAACTAGGAAAAAAAGAAGGGAACCACAGTTCCTTCCGTTTGCAAGTGCTATGACCGATAGCCAGACAGCTATTAACTATGACCAAGCCTGTCCAATCACATAGCTCCACAATTCGTCGACAGGATGATGGGTAATAATCAAGCAAGTTAATCAAGAGGCGCCCTGAATGCCTCCTACGAAACTCGCCACTCTTCTATATCCCATCCAAATAACAATGTCCGAGAACTTGAGAGAAGCAACATATCGAGTTCTGTAATGAGGCTAAAGACAATCCAGCGAATTTCATAGAAAAACCGACAAAGCCAAGTTCAAAAGCCGACATGATCAAAGGATTTGGGAAAGGTTCCTTGATCAAAAGAAAGCGACGGAAATATTTGAGGTTAAACGGATTTAAATCGACCTGGTTTTTTTAGTATTATTTCCTAGCCCAGAGACGCTAAATTATCCAAGCGATGATATCAGACATCTGAATCATTATCAATCGATAACCAATCTTCTCAATCACGAAGGTGCACGCGCGGCAACAACAATCATAATCACTCTGGCCACCTTAAGAGGTAACCAGAGAATAGATTTTCAGTTTCCTAAGGTGGAAGGAGCTCTGATGGATTGAGGATTGCCTTTTCTGCTCTTTAAGATTTATGCAGCGAGAGCAGGCCGCTCCGACATGAAGCGGATGAACCAGAAAAATATACCGTTTCTTAAGGAATAGGGAATAATTATTCAAGAAAGCAAATGCATCCGAACCGGCACCTTCTTGCGGTAGTCGCATCCAAGCAACGTCTCCCCGTCGAGATCATCATCCCCCGACGCTCCCGGTACTCTAGGCGCACCTTTCTTCTTCCTGACCAGCCGGACAAGGACCGCGAGGAGCGCGACCGCTTCGACCGCTAATATCGCAAAGACACCGATGAGAATTCCCACCACGAGCGCCAACATCCCACCAAACTCCGCAGATACGCGGGGCGGCGGACTGGAAACTCGACGAATCGCCCGAAATCAGTTGATGCGAAGACAAGGAACGCGCTTTCTCCTCCGACGAACGACGTAAACCGAAGAATATGCCGCAGGGAGAGGAAGAGGAAGAGGAAGCGGGGGAGGTAAGATACAGGGGAAGCCGTCGGTATCCCTTCCGCACACTTCCTGCCGCGTTGGCGGCGTGGGAATCAGATTCCGCGTCCCCTCTGATCGCAGAGAAGATCAACAGGTGGAGACGACGGCGTCCAACTGATTCGACACCATTGCGGGGAGGAGGTAGTAGAAGCAGAAGCGGGGGGGATCTCCTGAGCCTTCTCCGTCTCCGTCGCCCTTACCAGTCCCGCGTTTCCCAACGGAAGAAGGAAATGAATATAAATTTAATTAATTAAACAAATGCCAGCTCCGCTTAAAATCGACCCCTTCTCAAGGAGCTCTCCCATTTATTGAAAAAAAAAATACAGTTATATTTTCACTTCATGGACGTGAAATCACCTGGTCGGTTGGGCCCGGGCCTCCTCGGCCCAAGGAAAAGCCCATAGAACGTCTCGAGGCCCAAATCATTAAGAGAGAGAAAGAGAGAATAATCAGCAAAATCAGCTAGCAAGGATATAGGAACCCTGTTATAAATTTAGTAATTATAAGGAAAGCTAGAGAGAGAAAGCTCTCCGAAACCCGACTTCATATTTGTACAATGCACGGAGAGGAGAGGGACAGAGGCGGGCCATAAAAAAAAAAATCTCTCTTCCTTCTTTGCCAGACATAATCTCTCTCTCTCTCTCTCTCTCTCTCTCTCTCTCTCTCTCTCTCTCTCTCTCTCTCTCTCTCTCTCTCTCTCTTACCATTAGTGAGGAGAGCGTATTATGATCAGGGATGCCGAGGGAATCAAACAGCGGCGCCTACATGGAGCGTGAGACGAAGAAGCCGAAGTCGGGGTGGTGGATGGCGTCAACCTGCGTCAGCCAGGAGGAGGCGGCGCTCAAGAGGGAGCTGATCTTCTGAGAGTCCTCAGTCCCAGGCTTCACCCAGACCCGCCGCTGCATCCGGTAGGTGGCCAAGCCAAACGGAGGCAGGGCGGTCGTCCCACCCGTCTCCCTCGTCTTCAGGCCCTCTGCAACAGAAGGAAATGAATTTCAAAGAGAATAAACCAGAAGCCCAGGAAGATATATATCCAACTAATCTTACGTACTTAACGCACAAAAAATAATGATCTTTTTTCATTATACAATGATTAATTCCGGTGGTCGTCAACCCACTGCGGTCAGCGGCAGATCGCTGACCTTGAACCGTAGCAGTCAAATGGTCAAAGAAAGGGGGGAGCCTATCTGGGCAATCACGGTGGGGCCGATTTCAAGGTTTTCTACTTATTATTTTCCAATGTGGGATTATAATCGAGTCTCACTCGCATGAACACAGTGAATGGGCCTTCTTAAAAGCTTTGACCGGGTTCAAGCCTCCAAGTCATAACCAGTGGGAAAAGTCAAAGTGTCTATAGATCCCACCTTCCCTCACATGCAAACTCTCAGGTTTCGTCACATGAACAATAAAGGCATGAACCTTGACGTCCTGGAGCAGGCACCGACTTCAGTACGACAAGTTTAATACCAACCACTATTTATAACTATTACCTCCGATATGAAGGAAATAATAAATGGGACATAAGCAGTCATGATCTTCGTACCATAATCCAGTTTCCATCACCCACGTAATCTGATGCGATAAGAAGATTGATGCGGGTACTAAATATGGAATAAAATATTTACCAATTAACCATACGAAGATCAAGCAAATAATGGACAAAACATTGTGGAAATAAAAAGGTTTCCTTTTCTGATGCGAAATTACCTTCAAATGATGAGCACAATGAGTGGTAAGTGAGGAAGGCAGAGTACAGCTCCTTTGGGTTTCTTTGAGAAGGAAGATGGTATATAGGATACCTAATAAACGCCGAATTATCCAGTGGAATGAATCAAGAATAGAAAATAAGAATCAAGTGCACTAATTCTGTGATTATTAGTCGTCCATAAATAGTAATATGATAATTATTCCGAATTTTAATACGGCATACCACGCAACAGCCATCCAGCTCGCTGGTGAAAGATCAATGCTCCTCAGTGAATTCAGCCCCAGATATTCTTCAGCTAATTTCTTAATCTGAAATGGAAAATAATAATAAGAAGAAGAAAATAACAAGAAAAACCCAAGAAATTACAGACCCAATTCATGGATCAGAAACCTGAAACATTAGAATCTGGTGTATCGATTACCATGTCTCTAAACGGTAGCCTCTGGTGAGGGCTGGAATGGTCAAAGTATTGGCAGTAGAGCTTCCCCAGCGGCTTTTTAATCTTCAATTCAGTGTCCTGGTCAGTTCCTGAGTCATCAGAGTCCCACATTCTGTTTGATGAAATGCTGTTTGTTCTTGACAGCCGGCCTTCCTCGTTGTCACTGCTCATCGACTCGGTCTCTGACTCCAAGTACAGCTCCTCGATGCCAGTCCTAAGAGATCGCATTATCGGCCCAATGAGACCCAGTTCGTCACCTTGCTTGTTTACATGGAAAAGAATGATTTTTTTGGCAAAAACCTTAAATCCAGGGACTTTCCAGTGTAGATTTGGAGAGCAGAGAGGTAGGGTGTGTAATACTGAACGACAGTCTCATGACCATTGAGGCGAATTGGAGCCCCCACGCCATAAGCGCTCCACTCGTCGTAGCAGTCCCAAAGATCCTCAAGAACAAAGTAACCGATGCTGTCCCTTCCCTGGAGCGACTGCCACTGTTCACAGAGGTGAGAAAATTAACCATTAGTGAAATAAATACTAATTTCGGAGGAGAATAATTATATAAGGGTAGTCTAATCGAAGAATCTCTCGGTAATCCTGTGCTTGTTCTAATCGGAATGGGTACATCAGCTCAGAAAAATGACAAAGATTTCTGCGACATAATATGAATGAAGCAACCCAGCAACACGCGGGCGAAGATAGAGAAAATAAACCCAGAAAAGTAACTTGTGAAGGAGTAAAATCAACAAGAGACGGCAGGCCGGGGCCGGGAAATCGTCAATGGATCGTGAGCTTTTGAAAGAAATCAGCGACTCCAAAACCACATTCAAGACCTTGAAGAATGTCTCGGGCTTGGATCTTACCAACGAAAGAGAAGAGTGGAGAGAGGAAGATCATCGTCACCTTGGGAAGGAACTGAGTTCGGACGGCGGGGGTGGCGCACTTCAGGAAGCTCTCCAAGTTCGAGTAAGCCATTTCCCCCTTCCCGGGGAGAGGACGCCGGCAGGAGCCCGCAGAGGAGCAGAGAGGAATCCAGGCGGCAGAAAACGGCAGAAGAAATCGGAGAGCGAGGAAGAGGGGCGGCCAAAGAGCTCTCAAATTCTCCCCGGTGGACTGTATTTATAGTCTAATCCCGTCCATCGCGGCGAAGAAATCAGGAGATCTCCCGCCGGCAAAAAGGGAGAGTTTCTGACCTGCGGAAACCGACGGCGCCGGTGGAGAAGGTAGTGAACCCACACTCGCAGATAAGGCAGAGAGAGAGAGAGAGAGTAGAGAAAAAAAAATGGAAACTGAAGCTCTAAAAGCAGGTCAGAGGGGCCAAAAGGTAAGCGGAAAAGAAAACGCACCTCCTCCCTCTCCCTCACCCTCTCTGACTCTCTCCCCCTCTCCCCCTCCCACTCCCCTCTCAGTTATCGGCTTTGTCAAACCATGGGTGCCTTTTCCTGCCGGAAAACTCCCGACTTCGGAGACTCGTCAGGAGTAGCCCGTGGGTGCCTCACCCCAGCACCTGCGACGCGTCTTCCCGTTCTTCTTTCTCCGCCCCCCACTTTACGCGGATTTGCCTGCTCTTTAACTGCCGGAGCAGGGAGGGATAGGCCCCCCGCCGCCGCCTACTTGGACAAATTCAGCGCTCCCGCAGAGAAAACCCGCAACGGAAACCTCCCGTTCTTCCCTCCGCTGCTGGGGTCTGGAAGGCCGAGAGTGGCGAGGGAGGCGAGGGATGGGGAGAATCGGAGCAGCACGGAGAGGGATGAAGTGGAGTTAACAGATGGCCATCGCAGAGACAAGAAGGACGACGCATGTGGCCTTCTGGGACCACTTCATGATTTCTCATTCCACCCTCCGCTCCGCTCCGCCGCGTGGATTCTTTTCACCCCAGAGCGGCGGCAACCGCGCCCTATCCACTTGTCCCTCTGGTCAACGCCACGAGCTGCTGCTCTATTGCACAGCAAACCTTGGGTACTAAAATAAGTATACAAATGACCCATGAAACCCTTATGTTTCTATCCCAATCTGCCTTTGGTGTCCTACAATCGAAAAAGTAAAAGTTTTAGAAATGTCCCTAGACGCTTGATATTGTGGGCCCTGACGACCGCGGCTTCTCTTCTGAGAGAAAAGACGAGAAAACTTAGAGACCCGTACAGTGGGGAGAATATCCCGACTTAGATTCCCAAATGGTCGCGTCACGTGGACTGTCGAAGGGCAGACTCGGCATACAAATAGCCAGCGCCGTGGATCCGCGGATTGGAATAGGATCAGGAGAGGTAGATTCCTTAATAATTCTATATAGAGAAATCGCAATATTTAGCTTACCAAATAGGATAATCCTCCATATATCAAAGATCGAAGATACGAGATAAATGACGTATTTTCCACGAAAGTCAATGCCAAAATATCTTCCTGAATTAACCATTTTTTAAAATTTATACATCGTTGACTTGTCCAAAACATCTTTTTTTTTTCATTACTTGGTTTACACTCTTTTTCTGTCGAGCCTTGTAGCTAAAAAGTCAACGTAGTCTTCCCTTGTAAGTCTACGTTCTTCTAGTGAGTGATAGAGGCGGAGAATGATAATTGCATATTGTAAATGTCAACTCTTAATGTTGTTCTTGTACAAGAATGCGTGGCACATCTAATTACGTGGACCTCAAAATATTGTCCTTTAATTATTAATCATCATATTTAATTTATATATTGATTTTATTATTTAAAAATCCACGTGTTATTTTATTAATTATTGATGAGATTATACTTTACTTTTTCCATCAATTGTGAATAATGTCTTATAAGGTCTTTAATTCTCCAGTTACCCATATAACTATCGTTATTTAATTATGATTTATCAATTTCTCCAAATTATGACTTAAATGCTAACAAGATTATGATATATTGACAAAAAACCCTAAAAGTTCAACACATTAACGTACATAGTCGGTGAGGTGTGTAGAGCAAAGTTTATTTTAAAAAGTCAAAACATAATCACAAGTGGAAGTTAAGACATACAAAGCCTGATATGGCTATCAAAAAATACTATTTATGTAATGGGATAAAATGGATTTTAATCTAGGGTAACTATGTGTTGAAAAAATATTTGATTTTATGACGGACATTAAATTTATTTAATATTATTTAATTCAGCATCATAAATTCGGTCAACTCTCAAAAAATAAATCAGTAGATGTGGTGATCTCAATCTAATCACTACACATAACCATAGATCAAGAGTGTTGATCCAGCATTCTCAGCGTGGCATGAATGGTCTATCAACTAATTGCTGAAGTAATTATAAATAATCGGAGTAAATTTATTAATTATTAATTTTACTTTTATATTATATAACGGTTGTTCCTGACTATTATTAACATTATCTGAAAAATCGATACTCTGAAAATAGAGTCTGCGTCCACATATGGAAAATATCTTCCAAGTCGGCCAGAAAGTGCAAGAGCCGTAGACTCGGCTTGTTGACGTGGATCGGATAGATAGAAAATCCACGATCGTTCGCCACGTGTATGACGGTGCATAGTAACGGTAGGATGATGACACGTGGCGATGCACCACCGACTCTTTCTCTGGTTCGCCAACCGGCTGTCCCCTTGACTTTTGGGGGGCCACGGCGGTCGCCGACGAGACCGGGGCGGCGGGAGGGGCGGTGACGACGGCGACAGCGACTTGCTTCTGTTTTGTTGACCGTTCTCCTCTTTTGCGCGTACGTTCGGATTTAGAGAGGGAGAGAGAGAGTCAGCTGGTTTGCAGTGGCAGGTCTGTGATACGTATACGTCTTCGCAACGTGGAGGCCTCGGAGAGATCTCCACGCGTCAGAAAGAGCCCCGTTAGGGCCTGATGACAGAGAGAGATATGGTCTCCACGCGGAAAACCGGCGTTTAAATTTCTTCAGTCGGACTTCAGAGTGGCCATCGCGCTCTGCCTCGGCTGCACCCGCTAGTTGCTGATCCTCCCCGGATTCTTCCTCTTCTGAGGATTTGCAGGTCTCAGGGTCCAATTTCATTGCTCTCGGAAGACAGAATGCGGAGGGGCGGTGAGAGGGCTCCGCTGGAGATAGGTACGGCGGCGGGGGGATTGGAGGACAGGCGGAGGCTGAGCAGGGGGAACAAGGGCGTACCCATCCTGCAACTGGCGAAATCCGAGATTCAGGGAGACCTTCAGGCTCCCATTTTGGAGGAGGCGTCTCCCAGGCCTCTCAAGAAGCTCAGAAGCCCCGAGCGCCACCGCCCGCCTCCATTTTCCTGCCCCACCACGCCAACGGCGACCGGCGGCGCCGCCTCCTCTTCTCGCCTTCTCTTTCCCTTCTCCTGCGAGGCGCTGTCGCAGCCCAATTCCTCCCTTCTCCATCCGCAGAGCCGCCAGCAGCAGATGATATCCTTCTCTTACGGCAACCAGCTCGACCCCATTGCCGCCGCTGCGGAGGCCCTCAACCTCAGCCCCCGCGGCCATATGATCATGGTGAACCCCTTGACCAGTCTGGAAGGAGAGGAGAGATCTCCTCTCTCCTCTCTCTTCAGGCCCCCCTTCTCTTCCTCCGTCGTCTCCTCCGGCAAGCTCTATAGGGGAGTCCGGCAGCGGCACTGGGGGAAGTGGGTGGCGGAGATTCGCCTCCCTCGCAACCGCAGCCGCCTCTGGCTCGGCACCTTCGACACCGCTGAGGACGCCGCCATGGCCTACGACTGCGAGGCCTTCAAGCTCCGGGGGGAGAACGCCCGTCTCAACTTCCCCGACCTTTTCCTTGGCAAGAAGGGTGGCGCCGCTCACGGCGGTGGCGGCGGTGGCGCCGCTCACGGCGGTGGCGGCGGCGGCGCCACCTCCGCTTCCTCTATGCCCTCCTCCGCCGCCGCTCCCGCGGAGGAGGAGATGGTCCCCCAGGCCTATCCGCCGCTGACGGCAGAGGACGGTCCATTGGACTGGGGAGGCGTCATGGATGATGCTGCCTGGGTCAACGAGTGGGGGCCGGGGAGTTCAGTGTGGGACGACGTAGAGGAAGCCCACCGCCTTCTTCTCCAGTCACGGCCGCCGCCGACGAGCCCGCCGTCGCCGGCGGAGATGGAGGAGGCGGCCATGGCAGAAACAGCTGCCCCCACTTCCTTCTTCCCCATGTCCATGTGGGGAGGAGACATTTAGATCCTCTGAACTATTTCCTCTCTGCTGGGGATTGGATTTTAGAAACCCTCAGCAGAACCCACCCTGTCTCTCTTTCTTCCCCATCCTCGATCGATCATCTCCTCCACTTCCTGGCATTATTAGGGTTTATGAGTATACAGCAAACCCGCATGAGGAGATGGCGGAGTGTTAGTCTGGTTCCTGTAGAGGAGAGGCCGAGGAGACAGTTTTGTGTTCTCCTCCCCCTCCCTCCTCTCACTAGAGTTACTGTAATCATTCCGATGATATCAGTATAGTTGCATTCTTCGCTAATTTTCTCGCCTGTGATCGGAGTATAGAGAGAGAGAGAGAGAGAGAGAGAGAGAGAGAGAGAGAGGGGACCCAGCCCAGTAAAGGAAAGTCACGCACCTCAAATGAGTCGGGGATCCATAGAAACTCTAGAACAGAGAAGACAGAAAATATGAAATGTTTTCTAATAGATCTTAAGCTAGGATTCGACCAAATTCGAATGAAGAAAGACGATGTCATGAAGATGACTTTTATAGCTCATGACAATCATAATTAGTTTGTGCTAATATCTCTCAATCTCACTAATGTCCACACCACATTCTAATAATTAATGAATGCTCTATTTTAAACTTTACCTTGAATTATTATTATTATTATTATTTTTACAAGATACTAAACTATAGTAAGAATGAAGTACTACATCATTGGCAGCTGCACATCAACAAAAGCGTATCAATTCGTTCATTAATAACTAGAGCACACCGAGCATTGGATATCGGCAGCTTGCAAAGTAATAAACTAAGGAAATGACACCATACTAAAGTGGGATATTCTCACAAACCTACATTTTTTTTTTATTTAGGTCTAATGGGTTATTATCACATATTTGTTGCAACTTATGTAACTCTAGTAAGATCATTGACACAACAACTCAAGAGGGATACTTTCAACTGAAACAGAGTCCACTCTAAAGGCCTTCAAATCACTAAAAAAAATAATGATAACTACACTTATCTGAGTTAAACACTTTAGAAGAACAATCGAATAAATTAACTTATGAATTGAGCTTATGGCAATTGGCTTTCAATACTTAAGTGGTGACATGATCTTGTGGGCATGAAGTTTTATATTCACATTGACATGTCTTAAATTTCTCATGAAGTTGTAAACAATAGGTTTTTTCAAACTAATGGGTTCTGATTTAAAAATCAGGTATAAAAAAAGAACACAAAGTAATACAACATGTCTGATATTTGAAGTATTTAGCCATACTTGATCACATGTGGTGAGCTTAGCATAGACCTCACTATGAAACAATACTTAGTTATTGGACAAAATATAAGCTAACCCTTTGTTAGATTCTACACTTCAAGTACTAATTAAAAGAGAGACTATTAGTCAAGATTATTTCCTTAACTAAGGGTTAGGCTTGTAGAAAGGTCATCAAATAGTGACTATGCAATAAGCAATCATGTTAGATTCCTTAAAATATACGAACAAACATCACAATAAGTTTTTTAAATCATAATGAAATAGAAGATCAAGATATACATCTATGAGTGCGAGTTGTCCTAGCAAAATAAATTCTTTTTTTATTATTGATGGGCTACTTCAACCTTTCTAAATTCTGAATCAAGTTTGAGAAGAAGGATTTATAATTTTTATTAAATATATTCCTAACTATAAATGACATAATTCTATCTTAGTCATCATGGATTGCTTGAGTAAATATAAGCATTTTATCCTATTTTTTAAAAAAATTACAACAAGATTAAATGTCAACAAGTTCACACGATGAAATCATTCGTGATGACTTCACACACAAAAGTTACTTCTTTCTCTAAATCTTTCAAATACCAATATATGCCTTTCAAGTGTAACACAATGTATCATTCACAAATAGATGAATTTAAAACGTCATAATAATTGTGTGGAAAATTATCTCAAGTATTACACCTCAAGCAATCTAAATCATGTATACATAACTTCATCAAGCATAATATAACTACAATACATCATACCAAAGCTCTATAGTGACAACTCTATTTAAGTCCTTGTATGAGAGCAATCATTGTTATCACATATTATAGTTGTGAACAAATGCTTACAATTCAGAGACCATACTCTTGGCCAACTCAAATATCACCTTTACACAGCTCAAAATTAGATGAACCTAAGTCTGATCAAGATTGAAGGATGTAAAATTATTGATGGGTGATAAAATTTATCTAAGATTATGATTATACAAGATGAAATCCTTACTAATGAAATGAAATAAACCCTTCAAGATCCTAGAGCATAGTGGACATATACCTTATTAACTTGTCTTATCTTCATCATCTCCATTCATCCAATTTTTTACATCTCAATTATGTAAGGCCTTGAAACTTATCAGCAATAGTAACCACTTACTAAAGGATATAAATGAAAATTTTCATATAACATTACTCTCTGAAGAAATGTTAGATAAGCATTTCACACCTTTTGAGCTAGAAATTTTAATCTTGTGAGATGGTCCAATTCTAAAGCTTCATATAAGCCAATTCACAACATTCAAATACAATTTCTCAAGTTTAGCCTTGATGACAAAATATTAAGCAGAGTTTGGAGTATTGATACAACCCCAATAATTATAATATATTTTAGAACAAGAAGAGGATTGGCTTAAATAGACCATCCCATGGCCTAAATAAGCCCACTCATGGCTCAATTAATGTAGCTCCAAGTTTAAGGGGTAACTTGCCAACCATTTGGAGGGATTACAAGGGCCAAAGCTTGCAGGGGATGGGGATTGTGAAGAAAAAGAAACCTAGTTTTTAAAGACAAAAGGCCCTTCAAATGTCTTTGAACTATTCTAGGGTTCCTGCAAGTTCCCTAAAAACTTATCTCTTTTTGCTCTTGTTGTTCTTCTACTATCTCTCTTGTTTCTATTATTGTGGGGAGCTGTATCAACCTCTATAACTCAATCTTTACCCATAGTAATCTCTATACCTAGACTTTTACCTCTTCCATATTTGTGATTAGCACATCAAACATTCTTTATTTATTATTGGACACTATCATATGATACCAAATTGATGGGACACATAAATGCACATGAAGATAAATAAAAATATAATCTAAGTGAAAAGAAAAAATAACCAATTAAACTCCTAGTGAAAATTTTGAACATAAAAAATAGAAAAAAATTAATAGCCTTCTGAGATGACACCCTTTGCATTGCCCAATCCTATCAAGCAGCTTAGAAGCCCCAAGTGACATTGCTTGCCATCATTTTCCTACCTCATCATGCCAACATCAAACGATGCTGCTGCCTCTTCTCGCCTTCTCTTTTGCTTCTTTTGCAACAACCTGTTCACATGACAAAACTATCTGAAATAGGAGACAAAATCTTTCTTGGTGAGAGAGAGATAGCTAGATTATCAGCTATTTTCTATTCTCTTTGTTTTAGGGTTTCTATCAAAGCATATAAAAATGCATTATCTAGTCAGCCCATATTCACTGAGGGAGAGAGAGAGAGAGACAGAGTTTTTATGTATTTCTAGTAATTTATATATTCAGCCCATTAGGTCCAATTAGGCCAAGTAGCCCACAGGCCGTCGCAGGAGGCTCCATCCCTGTTTCGTTTATTTTCTAAAGGCAAAGAAAACTGTTAATTCACTAAAAGTCCCTTTCATGATACTTATTCCATTTTTACTCAGTTGGCAGCGAAAATCTGACGTAATAGGAAAATGGTGACGATGCGGGGACAAATATCAGAAGAGATAAATATATAAACCTTTTTATTAACTGAAAGGTTTTAAGAGGCACTTAAGCGAAATAACAGGTGCATCTGTTGCGCATGGAAATAGAAGCGCAACGACGGGACATGGCGAATAGCAGCAGCATCAGCAGCAACATCCCCAAGCTGCCAACTAAAACAACAGCTGAGGGAAGATCGCCGGAGCTGAAGAGAAGACGACGTCACGGAAAGGGGAAGACCGTCTTCATTGCGCGGGGGAGCTCGAATACTTGGACTGGTAGGGACCCGGCGGCGGAGGAGGGTGCTCTAGGTGGGGGGAGAAGAGGAAGCCGGTCAGATCGTCCCAGCAGCCACTGGAAGAAGGTGGAGAAGGGGACTCCGCCGCCGTCTGGCAGCTGCTTGCCGTGGTCACGGTGCTGAAGCTCGGTTGCGTTGGCTGCAGCAGGTCCCACGGCGCGGCCGTCGTCGCCTCCAGAGGCAAGTCTTCGGACCCCAAGAGGTTCAGGAACAAGGGGAAGGAGCACCCACCGCCGCCCGTCTCCGCCGCCGCGACGCCGCCGTGGTGGAGCGGGAGCGAGCCCATGTAGCCACAGTCGGGGAAATCCGGCTGGGGGAAGAAGAGGTCCTGTGGGAGGGACAGCGGCAGCTTGATAGTTTGCTTGCCGGAGGAGGGTTGATGGGGGGTCTTCGGACGGCGGCTGGCCTTCCGGCAGCCGCCGACGGGGACGTTGCGGAGGGTCCCGCCGGCCGTCCAGTGCCTCTTGCAGGCTTTGCAGAAGTGGCGCGGCTGAGAGCGGCTGTAGTTGTTGTAGTAGCAGAACTTGGTGTTGGTAGAGTCGCAACGGGGGCATTTAAGCTCCTCCGCCTTCTGCCTCAGGGGATCGGCCACCTCGCCGGAGATTGGCTGAGAGTTGAAACCCATGATCGTGGTGGAAGGAGAGAGTCGGCGAGATCGTCGTCGTCGTCGTCGGCGATGGCGGCGGCAGCCTGGGCTTGAGGCGACGGGACAAGGAAGCAGTGGAGGAGATGGGAATCTGGTGAGGAGGACAGAGCATGTCGATGGCGGAGGAAGGAAGAGGGGCGGCCGATGTAGGCCTGTTCTGCTCTTATGATTGATCCCAGTGGAGAGAGGCGGGGGAGGGTAGATTCGACCCCCCTGTCTGTATCTGTTTATAAATACAGACTTGGGACGGATAGAGCGACAGAGAGAGAGAGATGATTTCTTAAACCACACGGAGGAGGCTGACAATACGCACGTGCAGGATCACGTGCAGAGAGCCGCGTCAAAGTCGGATCCTTTGCGTATGGAGGGCAAAAGTCGGTGGAAGACCGACCAAATTGGATCCGACTAAGCGAGAGGATTCTGGAGATATCTGAAGCCGAAAGCGGGTCTTATTTCGGATATTCTCGACCCGTAATCAAGAACAAGAGCTATTTTCTAATATGCGATCTTCCCAAGGGCTTAAGTGTAAATTACCGTCTGCTTATCAAGCCATCGGAGTCGGTCTACACGTACTATATACGTGAATTCCCACGTGTGACGACGACCCACGTGAATTCCCTCACCCTGGGAATCCTCCCAACGGATAATGTACGTTCGCTCTTCGCCGTAGCCCTCCAAAGGAAGGTCAACGTCGCTTGAGGCATCCGACTGTCCCGCAGCTTATCCGCGACGACGAGGGCAAGTCAACACGATCATCTAGAGGGATTATATGACGGATATTTGATGTTTTTGGGGAGAATTTTATCGGTGGAGTTCCGGCATTCTTTAAGAACGCTTGGAAAAAATGGTTGGCGAGGTTGGGGTCTCCGATGTCAGAGGGACCGAATGTGGCCAAGGAAGAAGGGCCTCGGCGGCAAGTGATAGGCTGACGGGACGGTGGGCGGCGCCGAGTCTTTGGCCTCGTCTTCTTCTCCCCCCACCCCCCCATCGGGCAGTCGCCGCTGGTGCGCGACAGGGCGGCGACGGGACGCGCTGTAGGCCCCGCCGGGGTGGTGGGCTGACGCCGGTGGCAGGTGGAGGTCGGTGGCGCTAGGCAGTAGTGCGCCCTGCCCGCCGTGGCCCACCCACCGCCGTGCATGCCTCTGCCGCGCCACCACCACGGCCGGCGGTGGCAGGAGCTCTCTCGCTTTGGCCCGGCTTGTCGTCCCCACCGGAAGAAGCTTCACCTGTAAGTAAGGAGGAAGAATCCCGGAGCAGATCGCATAGCCCGAGGAGGGGGGACGAGCTGGCCCCTCCTCCCTCCGCCGCGCTGGCCGGCGGCGGCGCCGCCACCAGAACTAAAATAAGAGTAATGATGGGAAACGAGGAGACGGCGGGGGGCGGTAGCAAGTCGGGAGTCGTCGGGCCCCCCGTCCCTCTCATTCGGCGCGCAAGTGGCACCGGCCATGCGTGGCGGGTTCGCCGACGACAAAAGGGCGCCGAAGTCTATGGGCGCGCGCGGCTTCTGTGGACGCCACAGCGGCGCGGCGGCGTGTTTCTTGTCCTCCCATGCCATTCATTGCCCTCTCTGCTCATATACATCACCATGAACCTTCGAGGAGAATCAGCTCCACTTGTTGCAGGAAGATTAAAATGGAGGATGATACCCACAAAGAGGATTGACTTGGGCGCCGCCCGGTTTTATTCGGTAAAGCCGGGGAGGAATCTATTGCAGTCTTCTATCATTTCAGATTCCATCTCTGGGAAGAAAGAAAAAAATGAAACAAGGGAAGAAAAATCTGGACGGCAGTCCCTGGCTACTCGTGTCCCTGTGGCGGGGTGAATCCTACATGGATAGCAGGAATCGCTCGGACAGGACAGCTGGGGCCAGACGTCTGAGTCCCCAATCTCCTGATATCCAACGAAGTCCCAACATCTTGAAGTAAAAGAATCTAATGTTTTGTAAAAAAATGCCAAACTTAGGTTTTTCCAGCATCAAATTCATATGGGAAAATATATCTAATATTTTATGCTATCACCTATCCTGGGTGGGTCCAGGCTTCGATGAGGTCTGGTTCAACCCCCCCCCCTCTCTCTCTCTCTCTCTCTCAATTACCACAGGTGTTCATATGGGTGGGCTGGGCTGGGCTGGGCTGATCTTGGTTATCATTCGGGCTTTTCTAGGCGAGGCCTGACCCGGCCCGTCCCGTTGAGAACCCCAATCCAACACCCGTCAAAGTCTACAAAATACATGGTCAACGAACACAAGCCAGGAGCATGAACAATGAAAATAATGAGGCCTCGGGTGAAACAATGTTTACTACTACTACTACTACTACTACTATTACACCACATGGTTGAATCAGTTTTCTGTGGAAGGAGGCCAACTCAACTCAAGCGTATATGTAATGTACTGTACTGGCAAGATTATTTTACACGCAAATTTACCGAAGATGCGCAATTGAATGCTATGAATGAAGGAATAAATATTACCTCGTCGGCGAAGAGGCCATTAGCCGAACCCATGGAAGCCCGAACTGTGGGAGCTGCTGGAGAGCCTCGGCAGCTTCAGGACCGAGATGATCCCGGCCACAAGGGAGAAAACAGAGGCCAGAACAAAAGCAGGGATATTCCCGCCACCAAAGAGGGCATCCCATGGGCCAGCACCGAGGGATACGATCATCTGCAAACATTTAAATAAGCAATATATATATATATATATATGTAAGACTATAGCATGTTATATTATCAAAACTGGAGTTCCAGATGGGTCAAACAGTTGACAAACCTGAGGAATAACGATCGCAAGATTCAAAACGCCGGTAGCCAATCCTGAAGGGTAAAGCCAAAGTTAAATGGAAGATAAATTAGGAAATGAAGAAATTTTATATTTGTTGGGGATGACGGAGTGAGGAACTGACCTTGGCCGCCTCCACTGCCCGCGGTTAACTCCGCCGTCATGGAGTATGGAACACTGTACGTGATCTGCAGCAACACAGATTTTAGGGCTACCTGTGGTGGATCCTTCACGAGAAGGAATCATCGGGCACAACAGATGGGTGCTCACCGAGAGAGGAAATCCGAGAAGTGCGAACAAGACTAGAGCTGCCACTTTATACGCCCCGTTTCCTTCTATAATATGCTGGACACCCTTGGAGTCCTCATCGAGGGACAGCAAACTTATGATCGTTGTGGCCACCATGCAGATGCACACGGTGAAGTTGCTCAATGCCCAGACTAGCCTCGGACCAAGCCGTCTGCACATGGGTTCGATGAGGAACGAGCTAACCATGAGAACAACCTGGTAAAGAGGAAAGATGGAGGATGGGTCAGTCATTAACCCACAGAGTCGATTACGTTCAGAATGGCACGCGATTTGAGTTCTTACAGAATTCAACAGCAAGCCAAATGCACCTGCCCTAACGCCCCGGTGATAGACGTCCATTTGTTCCGTGTTTCCCTTCGGGTTCCCGTGATAAACTTCGCGGCCCATCCAGTCCGTGTCAAAGAGGAAGAAGGGGAACCATGATAGCTGCATATACGACGTGATGGTTCCCATCAAGAGTAATCAAGGGCCAGTGGATATAAAGACGAACTGTAATATACATCGAAGTGATGTGAATAACGGGGGATATGCTGTTGAAAGCATGAACACATGGCTAGTTATTTACATACCCATGTGAGAGACATAACGATAAGCACGGAGTGCATCCCATGTGGTAAATGTCGTAGGCTCGTTAGAAGGTTGACCAGTACTGCCGACGGAGAACTATCAAAGGTTGCAGTTCGGTTGTCCTCTGAGCTCAAGTCATGGTCTGACAAATTTTCAACGGGAACCTTCTGACTTGTCACTTCTGTTCTAACTTTGGGGCCATTTTCGGTCTTCTCTGAACTTGTGTCGTGCAGCCCGTTGCTCTCCCGCGGGTCATCTTTCAGCAGAGGCGCAGAATCCGAGGAAAATTTTTCTTTGTTGACAAGCGTGACCTCTGCCGTAAAATACAGGGTGACTAAAGTACAGAACATGAGGAAGACCTGCATTTAGGGACAGTTAGAAGATGGAACAGTCGACGATTAAAAAAAGCATGTCTTCGTACGCAGTGAATTGAATAAGCTAGAATTTTTGAAGGGGGCGGCTACGTTGAGAGCAAACTAAATAAATCTAGCGCATACAAAGAAGTTCAGAGCCTATAACTTTTATATAAAAAAAGAATATAAGAGAAGAAACAGGTACTGTACTCAGCGGAATGCCGATGTCTAGACGTATGTATGGATGAGAAGTATGAAATATCATACGAAAACTTTCGATAGCTTACTTAAAAAAATAACAAACTTATGAATATCAGTTACTAAATCAATTAAGTTTCCTCTGAAGATGTAAAGATAGTAGGCAAAAAATGTACATGTTTTTTCTAGAGACATAATAGGAGTTTTGAATTTCATATACACAACAAATTCGGTGGCATGAAATCCTTGGGTTCCTGTAATAGACTAGTGGTAGTTAGAAGTTGAAAAAAAGGTGCCACGGGCCAGCAAAGAAAATAACTATGGAACTTGGACTCACCACAGCAACTAAGAAGGCAGCCTTCAAGTTTCCACAGGCTTCACAACAAGCTCTTGTTGTAAGGAAGGGGAACCACCTTCATGAAATATAGCCGATGAACCCATCAGCGACTAGAAAAAACAAATGGATTCCAAATTCCAGCACAAACAAATATAGCAGACGATATTTGTTTGGTTGAGGTCGAAAAGGCTACTAGACAAATGCCCAGTTAGGTCAGCGGAGCCATACTCATTAGGTAAACCATATAACCCTGGAGTCCATATGATGCATAAGATATAACATTCAATCTACACAGAAACAAGCATACATCACTTGGTACCTCTGCCACTGTCCGCTAGCACCAGAAGAGAACCCTAAAATATTTCCAACAGCCATCCAGGAACAAAATATTGCACTAGCACTGCTCTGCTGATTAGGTCCTATACAAAAAAAAAGACAGTTCAATCGGATTGTATCAGTGCCAGAAGAATAAAGACAATTCGATCATGTCAAATGGTCCTATTTACCAGACACCTTTAATTTATAATACAAAAGGATTCATGGAAAGAATGTTCACCAGAAAGATCAGCCAGAAGGGCACGAGCTGGACCCTGCAACAAACATGGAATCCACACGTTACAACGAATTTGTGGCATAATGGACAGGCATGAGTTATACTTGTCTTCAAGCACTTGATGGAGATAACCTATAGGCAATTTAAAACACAGAGTATTGAAGTGAAACTGTGGAGAGAAATAAAAGCTTAAAAGAGAAACTTACTTGTACTGTATTGTTAGCAAGATCCAACATCCAAAATCCAATGATAAATACAGCAGCTGCTCGCCATCGAGGGCCTTTGTAATCTCTTTGTTCGATAAGAAGTTCAACATGAGTTATTACTCTAAAAGATAAAACATAAGGAAGTAGCGAATGTTACCTGCAATGTTCCTTGGTATCCCCCAAGATATACCCTATGTCTGCAGAAAAGCCAATTATAGTCACCTATAATAAGAGACTGCACACAATCAAAAGCAGAGACAAACAGTAAAAGATATAAATCAGTCAATGTTCTGTATACTCACAGCACAGCAAATCAGAAGAGAACCAACAAAAATAAATGGTCTCCTTCTCCCATATTTTGAATGGCAATTGTCACTCCATATCCCAACACAGGGTTGAACCTGGAGAAAAAGATGTACGTGAAGATAAAAGTCATTGGCTTGTCAGGTATTTTAGGAGGAGAAAACACGGTCCATAATATTCACAGACAAAAGGGCGCCAGCATATGTTGCATTATCTGAATAAATAAGTTAATCTTATGTATAAGGAAGCCACATCATGTCATTCACACCCAAAGATCAAATTATGAATAGGTGGTCAATTGCTATCTATATGGCTTCAAATGAAATGAAACCATATTATTAACATATTCACTTCACCCAAGTCACTTGATATCAAATAGAGGTCAGCAAGGGGAACATAACTTTTCAAGGTAGAACCCAATAAAGTAACCGGCCACCCAAAGATGGGGAAAAGGGAACTTATGTTACAATAGCTCCTAACGGGATCTTCAATCTCTCTCCCTTTCTGCTGAGAACCAAAGAATTGGAAAAAGGAATCTTCGGGACTCATTTACTGCCTGCTATAGGAGAAATGCAGGTCCCACTAAGCTCTGCAGACATTTCCCAACGCATCCTGTAACACCCACTTCTCTCAGCTGGGACTAGAAAGCTACAAGTGGCTCACACCATGTCATATTTTTGTGTACACCTGCACTTGAACGTGCCCTCCCTTATTTCACAACTATGTTATTGCTTATATATACAAGCATACACACACACACACATATGTATGTTGTTGGAGAACATAGGCATGGGGAGGACAGAGGGGAGAATGGCGGCAACTGCCTCGAGATTCATTCACCTCTGACATCCGTTATATAGGGAGAAACCCTACACGACTTTCCCAAAATATCTTCAGTCTTTTACAGTATTTCCTTACAAATTAGAACTTCCAATATATATCATACCACTCTTGTTGTTGATTTTGGAGCATTTTCACCTAATGAATTTCTTTTTTCAGATTTTTTTAAATTTTTGGCTGATAATTGTCTGTATCTCGAGCAGCTTTTCTGAGTCCATGTTGTTTTAAAATTCTAGGAGATGCTCCATGACTTAGAGCAAGCCATCGCCTATTGTATAGCACATACCACAATTTTTTTAGGGTGGAGCTTTTTGAAAGGAAACTAAAAAGTGTGTAGCTGAAATAACAAATCAAACACCAAACGGAGAAATACTTTATAAAAGTTATTCACTCATCTGTGATAGGCTAAGTTACTGCAAGATGGGTTTAGCACAAGATGTTTACAATCTCCTTTGTCCTTGCCAAGAGGGTAGAACGGAGAGTATCTCCTATCTCTGTCCAGTTGGACCCACTGATCACCTTGCACGATTTCTTTGTTGATGATACTTATCAACAAAAAAAATTCTGATTAACCTTCTATTATCCCTCCATATGCCCAAAACAATGTTGGTAGAAACCAAATCTAGCAATCAATTTCATTGGGCCGCATAAATACATCATTCCGTTGAATATCTATAATTTCAAATCATTGACAAGGGTATAAACCCCTGAGCGCGTTTGAATTCAATCCAAACATTATTTTCTATATTGGATGTTAACGTTAGAAAATGAAGATTAGTAGATAACACAACCAAATCCTTTAATTTTTCATCTCTTCTTCTCACATGCATATGGATGTATTAGGCTTATGATGATAAATTAGGACTACATTATTTCTCATTGTCATTGGGACTTTACTAACTAGTTGGCACCCATCTCAGCACCATATCAACAGACGCTTTGAATGTGTTCATAAGTATCCTTTCTCTCCATGGCTCTCACAGAATTTTCCAAAAATAATCATATCCGTATCTATGAAAAAAATAGAGTTCTGTGGAAAGACATCATCATGTTTTTGAGATATGCGCTTCTTCTATCCCCATTTCTAGTCAATTCTGGATGAAGGCTGCAATACTTTGTGCTTCCTCAGCATCACCTATCTTCCAACATGTTCATGATCTGCCCTTGTGAGAAATTCTTCGCAATACCTCCAATTTTAATCCACTTGAGGCTTCTACGTGATTTTTTTCATCACAGCAAACAAAGCAACATGAATTGACTAAACAAGACTATAGAGAAACATAGCACTATGAGCGTCTGAAATAGGAAACATTTCATAAAATATCGTTTTCACGAGTACACCTAGATGAATTAATAACTGAGGTCAGGTCTATTCTAAATCCTTTTATTCATTTTTGGCACACGGCAAAATAAAAATATCAGTCATGTTTCACTTTTGTTTTTCAAAACACCAGCACCAGGTCCGAAGGTATCTAAAATTAGGATTATCCTAAATGATGCTCAAAATATCTCAATAGCAAGAATCTGTGAAATATTTTCGGCAAAACATTGAAGCCTACACTCTACATTTTATATATCTCACTTGTGCAATTAAACACTTATCCCCATCACTACATTATCAATTAAGAATCCCGTCATCCATGATCCTTTCAAGGAGGTTACTCATTTGTCTGCCCTTTTTTTACTAAGAAAGACAGACAAAAATTATTTGAAACAAGGACAAATATCTGCACGCGCTACAGACATGTGAATCTTAGAAACGTGGTCTTCAAGTCATGTGGATCACTATAAAGGGAAAATGGCAGAGCGGCAAGATCCATAGATTTGGTTTATCCCGATCAAATCAGGAACTTTTGAGGAGCTAATGATTCCTTTATCCTTTTACCCGGATATCACGAAATAGATATCCTCACCTGTTCCCTAGATGATGGAATGTGAAATCCCTGGAACCCGGTATCCCTAAAGTAGCCACCACTTATTAAGATACCTTTATATTTTATGTGTCCATATCCTTTTTCCTACTACGTACAGAGTCATGATCATTTCGGAAAAATATAGTGCACATCATTTGATATTTTGAATAAGTAAAAACCACACTCAAAATTTTGCACGTGACTGAGTGTAGATACTCACAATAAGACCTGTTATAGGCCCACAGAGCCAAATGAATGAAGAGAAAGCATGCTCTATACCAAGCGTCTGCATCCAAAGGAGAAAAAGTTAAGAATATCTAAAAAAATCATAAAAAAAGAATAAAATGCGTTAAAAGCATCACCGGAAAATTAGTGCGGTCATTGAAAAAAAATTGAGGAACCAAGAACATCTGGAGAGAGATCTAACTTGGATATAAGGTGTCAGTAGAGAAAGTTGCAAAGCCCAACCAAATTGTACCCCGGCGGCCACCATACAGCCAAGAATCAGCGTCTTCAAGCCGCTGGACCTCGCTTCAGGTACCGTCCCCGGACGAGAATGCGCGGACGAATGAGAAGAGGACGAAGGTAATGATACCGGTAGACCATTCGACGTCCTGGAAGAGTCAATATCGGTTTCGGCATTCGCATCCAGATCTTGGACGCTGACCATCTCCAATTCCGCCTCTCTCAGGTGCCTGTATGGCACGCGGCTCGAGACGCCGTCCATTACTACACACTGACGCGTCTAAATGGGACTGTGTGATCAAGAAGCACAGGCCTCCAAAGGCTATGCTCCCTGATTCGCAATTACACCGTTCCGGCGGCTAGGTTTTTCAAGCAGGATCAACGTGATCAGGCCGCCGGCACGACGACGGCAGCACCGTCCGGAGATGGATGGCTACGCGACTGGGAGTTGGCGGGCTATGGACGGCGATGGATCTGTGCGCCGGTGGCCGTGGAAGCATCTCCGTCCTTCTGTCTCCACCGCGTCAGTCTCGTTGGGAACCAAGATGACGGGGAAGAAAATGATGATGATCAGATCCCGTTGTGCCGTCGCAGAGGGGACGCAGCAATTTACCTGTGACAAGTAGAGCCTCTCGCACGTGCCTGGGAGGCGGTGGCGGGGAGTTCCGAAAATTTGCACGTGTGAGTTAGACTCGGACCGACCATATGTTTGGAATCGGGACTCGCGGGGTGGTAAAGCGGCCGATCCGCGGAAACTCTCCACTCGGCTATTAAAAACAAATTCTAAGTGGTTATGAATTAGTTTATTTCGATTATTTAAATTTTACATCGCACGATGCCCTTAAAAGGAGCACCGATCGGACGGCCACGGGGCTCGGTACGTCGTTCAGCGGTCTTCTTCTTGCATCGAACGTGATAAAGCTCCTTCCAGATCGGAAACGCCAGGGTGGGGAGCAGACGCTCGGAAGACCTCCTTTGATCGCAGTTCTAGAGAGAGAGAGAGAGAGAGAGAGAGATCAGGGGCGAGGCAGATCGGGAGCGGGAGAGAGATGTCTTCCTCATTCGACGCCTTCAGCGCCGACGGGGAGGAGGCGGCGGCGAGGGGATCCAGTCGGCCCTTCGACGACGATGGCTACCTTGGTTATGATCCACGGCTTCCCTCCCAGCGCTACGAGTCCTACAACGGCTACGCCGCCGACGCAGATGGTAAGGATTATATCGGCGGAATTCACCCCGAGGAGCCCCCCCTGGGTTTCCCTTCTGATGATGGCCGCGGCAGTGGCGGTTTCGGGCTGGACGAGGATATCCCCATCCCGGTTGTCTCGGGGGACAGCATCCCGCCTTCGCCTGAGAACTTTGGCCTGCGATCTGACCCGGATCCGGACTTTTCCTCGGTTCCCCCTCCATTCGCGATGCCGGAGACAAATGGAAAGCTGTTCGCGGAGGCGGATGACGGAGGGGTTTTCGTGTCCGATGGTCCAATCCTTCCTCCTCCCAACGAGATGCAGTCTGATGAAGGATTTATTCTCAGAGAATGGCGCCGGTGGGTATATCACCATATTTTGGAATCTGTTCCTTTAGATCTGATTTTTGGATGATTGAATTGTTTTGAGTTTTATCTGTTTACCTGACATGCGGAGAGTCGACGCTTCCTTATCGTTGGTTTCCTCCTTTTTCGTCCTCTTCCAATATTATTCTGTTTCCGATGACATCCTGGAGGATATTGTCTCAGTGGTTTCTTTCTGTGCGTCAGTTGCGATTCCAGTGTATGAAATAACCACTTTCTAGTATATCCCTGTAATCAATTCAACTTAATGCTGATGTCAATGGGTCTAGTTTAATCTGACGTGTATACTTATCTACATATTCATAAATTGTATCTGCCAAAACATCTCTACTCCTGCTGCCGACAACAATTTATTTTGCTTAAATCATAGTTGAGCTAGCGTCTAACTCATGTTTAAGAAAAGAGTTTTATTCCTAACTTTGACCCATTCACCGATGTCAAATTAGTGATGAAATGAACTCCCTCTTGCTCTCTCTCTCCTCCCTTGTGGAGACACTAAAATGAACGGGTCTGATTCCCTGATGATCTTATAACATTTTAGGAATGTAGCGAACTTGTGTCACACTCTTCAAAACACCTCTAGTAGCAGCTTTAGAAAGCAAGCAAGCAAGTATTTATTTTTCTTCACTGGCTAAAACCTCTTTAATTTTGCTCATGAAACAATGAAATGCTTCATTATTATGAGATATCACAGGAAAGCACGTCTTCCAGATGTAATCTTATTTTTTAAGTTCTCATAAGTTTCTTGTGTGAGTCATTTGTTTGGCCTGACAGTAGCCAACTAACACTCCATTTTGAACTGATTTCTGACATTTGGTATGAATGCACTGTCGTGTGACTGACCAGCGGCCTCTTTCAATCTGTAGAAATTCTAGAACCAGCTAGATTTATTGTCACCCATAATAAGCGCAGAAGGATGTGCATTAAGTGATGTTGACTATTTATGCTCCTCTCTGCAAAGGGAGCACCATGATAACTCCTTTTTAAGCGACATTTATGTGGGACAACGAGAGAGATGCTTCCCTGTGCGCATTTAATACAATCACAACTGGACACAAAGCATGCGTCCTTTGACACACGCACATATGAGAGATCGAGAGAGAGAGAGAGAGAGAGAGAGAGAGGATGCTGAACTAGCGTGTCTGGAATTGATGTTCTTCACCATGCAGACACATGCTAAATCACAAAATGTTGAAATTAATTGGTTACACTTGGGCGTCAAACAAATAAGAAGCCATTGTCTTCCCTCTAGTAGACCTACTTTTCCCTTCAATGTAAAATACAATGGTTGATCTAACCATTCATGTTTGCACGGCTATTAGTTGCTAATTGGATCACCATTATTTTCTCAGTTGGGATAAGAATAAATATCTGCCGAAAATTTTGCATGCCCCAAAATGTTCTTGGGCTTGTTTAGTACCAGGTGTTATAGACCTTATCAAACAACCATTGATCCCAGCGCATTAACATGAAGAAAAAAACCTTCTGTGGAATCAACTTGTTGCATGTGTGATTGATCTTAAGGCAGGAGTATTTACAATATTTTGAGTGTGGATGCATCTATTTTTTCAGAGATAGAAAGCCAGATAACCTATCCCTGTTTTGAACCCGGGGATAAGTTAAATCTCTTAGAAGCAGGGCATTCTCTTGCTCTTTTAGGATGCCATTATTTAAGAACACCAACAATAGATGTAGAATTACTAAATGGATTTCTGATGCAGGCAACAATATGGTCTTCAATTTTTTGTCATTTGATGGATGACGGCATTGTTTGCACTGCCCAATAGATTTTTATTTTTTTGTCGTTGGTTTGAGGGATGATAATGATGTAGCATTTGCGGTAGCCAATACTTTCCTTTTTTTAGCAAGTTTTGTGGCATTTTATGACACTTTCCCTTGAGCTTGTAGAGCACAGAGCTTATCTTCTCTCTGTACTTTGTCCAGGCAAAATGCTATCCGTCTTGAGGAAAAGGAGAAGAGGGAGAGGGAGCTGAGAGATCAGATTCTCGATGAAGCTGATGAATACAAGAGGGCCTTCTATGAGAAGAGGCAAATAAACTGCGAAACAAACAAAACCCAGAACAGAGAGAGGGAGAAGGTGAAACGATAACCATCAAAAGTCCTCATGAAACCATAGGAATGATCTAACTCATTTGCATTGATTTTGTTTCTCGCCCAATCTTCCAGCTGTTTCTAGTCAATCAGGAGAAATTCCATGCCAACGCCGATAAACAGTATTGGAAAGCGATCGCAGAGCTTATCCCTCATGAGATACCCAACATCGAGAAGAAGAGAGGGAAGAAGGACCAGGAGAAGAAGCCATCCATCGTTGTTGTTCAGGGCCCAAAACCAGGAAAACCCACAGACCTCGCTAGGATGCGGCAGATACTGATCAAGCTGAAGCACTCACTGCCGGCCCACATGAAACCCCCAGTGCCGCCCGCTCCCGCCAAGGACGTAGCTCCTGCTGCCCCTGGAAGCAAGCCGGCGGGCTCTGGCAAGGAGCCCACCGCCAACGGCTCTGCTGCACACAAGGAGCCATCTCCTGCTGCGCCTGAAGGCCAGATTGCTGCCGCCGATGCTGCCCCCCTTCAAGCTGTCTCTGCTTAAGGTACTCCAAGTCATGGGTGTCCTCTTAGTCTGTAATAAAACTCGGTGTGTTCTTCGCGGGTCCTTTCGTGCTGTGGATTCCAGTCTTCTGGAGTTTGACGGTGCCCGATCTCTCTCTCCCCTTTTTTTGGTTATATTCTTGTAGAGAATGCCTCATTTGGGTAAAGTTTATCTGATAATCTTCCCCTTTTGACTCTGGATTTCCTCGGATGTTCTGCTCCCTTTCAGACTGTTCATGTGCAGACATTAGATTTTACATTAATATCTGCATGATTGTTTCATTATGTATCCGAATTATTTTATTGGCTAAGGGATGTCAACGGGCCGGACCAGACCGGCCCATGCTCCAGATCTGCATGCACTAGGACTATTGTCGTCGATGGGCTGGGCCATATCTGCCCATGGTGAGAGAGAGAGAGAGAGAGAGAGAGAGAGAGAGAGATGCATGGATAGATAGAAAGAAAGAGATAGATACATAGATACGTAGAAAGAGAGAGAGAGAGAGAGATGAATAGATAGATAGAAAGAGAGAGATAGATACGTAGATACGTAGAAAGAGAGAGAGAGATGAATAGATAGATGGAGAAAGAGAGAGAGAGATATGTAGATAGATAGAAAGAGAGAGAGAGATATGTAGAAGATAGAAAGAGAGAGAGAGAGATGCAGATAGATAGAGAGAGAGAGAGAGAGATGCAGATAGATAGAGAGAGAGAGAGAGATGCAGATAGATAGAAAGAGAGAGAGAGAGAGATGCAGATAGATGGAAAGAGAGAGAGAGATATGTAGATAGAAAGAGAGGAGAGAGAGAGAGAGAGAAGAGTTAATATTGGAGCTGTTGAATTTAGTAAACTTGAAATTTATCGTAAATGAGAATTAAAAAGCGTAAACACCTCATTTGTATTGATATTAGATATCTATTATTTACATTATAAAATATTTATATTATTTAAAGATTGTAAAAAGAGAAGTATCCGTTAATGGATAAGGGAATCCTTTAAAACCATGTGAATTAGGAGTATCCGTTAACTTATCCCCGTGGGAGGCTATCGTTTTTCTATCGCCCTGGGGCGGGGAAGAAGAGGGAGGTGGTGGCCTTCCATGGGGGGAGTTCTCCTCCCCAGGAATTTCCTGCACCTCTCGCGTGCTCTTCTCCCCCTACCTCCTCCCCGCTCCGGCCTCAGCTATCTATCCGCCAAAAGCGATGGATCCTTGCATTCAGGCATTCGGAGATGCGTCATGAACGGGAAAGTTCCGAGGTGCTGCTCAATCGCTGAGAGCTCCCATCCTGGTTCCTCGAGGTACGGAGGCTGGGACGATCCCGTACTCGACGATGGTGCAGAAATCTCGGTCGGGATCGAGTCATTTCGTGGTGTTCTCGTCGCCATGGGGATCGCTGATGGGAAGTGCGCGATCTTGTTCTTTCTCGGCTTCCTCTCTGCTATGGCCGTTTCGAGGTCTAGGGTTTGGAACTTGGGGGCTTTGGCTGCCACTGGTTCGGTTTTCTTGTGGGGATTGCTGGTTGGAGTTGCCAGAGTGAGCGCCGGCGGAGATTCGCCGTCCCATAAGCGAAGGAACGAAGAGAGTGGTAAACTATCCCACGAGATTATGAAAGATTTTGAAGAGCTATTGGAGGACTTTGGTGTTAAGCTATCAGAGCTGAAGACACGTTTGCAGGGATTTGTCGGCCAGAATCACCCAGAATCAGGTGAAATAGAAAGATACCTTGACGTTCTCGACTCTCTCAGTCTCGCAACCGCGCCCGTGAAAAAATTCGTTCAAGATTCTGCTGGCGATGGCGTCTGCATTGGATCAGTTACCGAGGATGGGGAACCGGCGGCGAAGCCCAGCCCTAAATCGAGCAAGAAGAAGAGGGAGCCGGTTACTGTGGACACTGATCTTCTCCGATTCCTGGCAACCATGTTCAAAGAAGTTACAATCGGGAGGGCGCCCCCCAAAACGAAGGATATCAGTTTTAAAGGTGAAGCTGTAGATATGTTGAACTCGATGGATCAGGGGGTGGAAACTGGTGTTCCAGCAGCTGATGAGAAACGGGCGACCAGAAACCTCCAGGAAGGCCATAAGGGTGATCCTTGGCTGGAAGAGCCATTTGAGGTTGGGGATGAAACATCAAAGAGATTTTCTTCGGGAAGCGCGACAGGAATGTCCGAGGAGACAGCGAGGAGGGTTGGATCAGCTACCAACCCTGAAAACCCCATCTCAAGAGCAGCATCAACTGAATATGGAAACCAGTCTTTCCATTCAAGGGATGATAGCTGCAATCATGGCGTGCTTTCGGTTGAAGAAGGCCTTCGTGTTCTTAATGGAGACTTACATCTCACGAGCATGCAGGAGAGCTACCGTAAGGTGGTTCTTCAGCACAACAGTCGCAAAACTGAAATCAGGACCGGACAGGATCGCTTGCAAGAGTATCTGGAGAGTGGCTTCAATTCAAGAGCACCGGAAAAGGAGATGGCTTCATTCCCTCGTGAAGCAGGCTCTTCACTAAAGTCAGAAAGGCCTGAAGCATATTCCAGGATTAATGGAAAGGTAGTGGACGGGAGAGAAACCCAGATGGTTGATTTCAGGGAAAATGCCGTTAAATTAGAATTTCAAACTGTCGCAGATGATCAACAGTCTAAATGTGATGTGGGAGCTGAGAATAAAGCATCATCATCATCCCCATCAGCGGGGGGAAAGACAGGATCCTCTGAAGAGGAATTCAATCGAGTTGTGAAGCGTGGGGCAGGGCTTCTGAGACAAGCTGGAGAGTGTTTGAAGGGACAGAATGATGAGCAAACTGCAGAAATTTTTCTGTACAAGTCTGCTAGGTTGCTATCCACCGCTGTGGCCATGAAACCAGGGAGCCTACTGGCTCTCGGCCAGCTTGGAAATACTCGTCTTCTTCATGGAGAGCTTAAGTTGAAGATCAGTCGCGATCTGAGGACCCTGTTATCGAGAAACGGTCCTTCCTTCACTGGAAAGAAGCACCATCAGTCACGGTCAGATGAACAGAGTTTTCTAAAGAAGGAGAAAATGGTGTCTGCGCTTGTTGATGTGTGTGAAGAATGTGAAGAGCTTCTCATCGATGCAGGAAGAAACTACAAGATGGTCTTGTCGATTGATGAGAATGATGTCAGGGCTCTCTACAATTGGGGGCTTGCTCTATCATTCCGAGCTGAATTAATCGCCGATGCTGGGCCGGTAAGATCCTTCAACGATGACCATCGTGACCAGGATGAATCTTCTTCTTTCATTATGTTGTTGCATCAATACCCACCCAGGAAATACCTTAAGAAACAATGTTCTAAGCGAGCACACATGGGCTATACCCTGCAATGTAGCGGATATGGACTGCTATTTAGTTCAGTAGAGATCCCCTCCATGTCACCATTACCACCACCACCACCACCACCAAATCTCAAGTGCTATTCATAATCCGCCCGGAAGCCCTGAGGACTTAATGGTCTTGGAATTTGCTGTTCTTCATATTCTCGAAGAACTCAAAGGGTACGTTGTGGGGTGATCCTTCTTGTCAGCCAGCTGCTGCCAGTTTGCATTGTTTATTGCGATGAGTGGGCCCAAAATTTGGGCGAGGCCATGGGGTTTCGTTTTCTCACTGGGTTTTTTAGTCCTTTCCCATCAGTAACTAGTGTCCTTATTATGGCTTTCTTGGAAATTTATTCAGTTTCTGAAGTCATAAACCTCTAATTTCAGAGGTTTGATCTTCTTCGCTTAGGAACCATATCATGAATATGCTCTCTCTCTCTCTCTCTCTCTCTCTCACTCTCTCTCTCTCTCTAAATCTATATTTATAGGCATTTATATACATTGTGGGAAATTTTTACAATCGACAAGGGTACCTCGTGACTTCTGTTATTTCATACTCTTAAGGAAATATCTGTTTGGGTGTGGTATAAATGTTCTGGCATTTTTTTTTGATTTTCTTTCATGCTCTGAGGAGAGTGGCGGAGCAAGTTCAGGCTGGGAAATCTCTATTCCACATCCCCACCTGCGGAAAATGGGCTCGAGGGCATCTCTGCGATGGGTTTGTGAAGATCACGTAGAAATGTTTGTACCATGTTCTCAGAGCCGAGGCATTGCCCGCTTTGATCTAGTTCATGAGCTTCCCTTGGGAATTTTTACAGTATAAAAGCTTACAATTAATGTATAATGCTTCTGAAGTTCTTTGCTGTATGATTTATGGACTAGATTACCTGCACAAGCCATGCTAGATGCTGCTACTCCTGGTTGGTTTGATGATCTGTTGGCTGCCCGTTCTTCTTACCATCCCAGGATGCTGCTACTGACGCAGACAAGGTTTATCTCGCGGCGATCGAAAAATTCGACGCAATGATGTCCAGAACCGGTGATTATGCTTCAGACGGTACGCTTCCACCCTCCAATCACGATCGCGGAAGGAGATGGCTCTCTTCCAACCCCTCCCTTCCAGTCGCTTGTCTCTGATGAAGGTGAATGGAAATCCATCTGATCGATCCACACGCTTGGCCTCGCAGCTCTCTTCCGGTGGGGAGTGGCGCTGCGGCGGCGCTCGCAGCTACGGCCGCGCGGCAGCAGCGAGAAGGTGAAGCTCCTGCGGCAGGCAAAGAGCCTGTTCGAGGACGTCCTCCGTGTGGATGCTGAAAATTCTCACGTGCGGGAGGCTCTCCGTTCCTGCATCTCCGAGCTCCGGCTCCGGTAGCGGTGCCGGCGCCGCTGTTCTTCTTCGCAAGGGGGAGGAAGAAGGTGATCTCGATCAGAAGGTGAAGAAGGGGGTTTTTGCGAATACCTCCCTGATATGTTGTTTATTGGTGTTATGGGGCTGGTTAATTTTGGAGCCCTGTCCATTTCCTCCGAGTTTTTGTACGAAAATAAATTTAGGAAAAATGGGCTTATTCTTAATTTACCGCAGGCCCCATCCAAATTGAAGGAGAATATTTATGACATAAAGGATAGATGTGCTATTAAATTTACTTGATCGTCAGAAGGGAATCAGTAAATTTTCCATGGGGATTTGCCGATTGTCTTTATACTCGCGTGGATTCGTCAGTAAGGTTCGATGCAGGGTATCGGAAAGGGATAAGTATGCCACATTATAAGTTATGAATACAATTAGATTTAGATAGTGGGAATACAAAGTCAATAACGTTTCTAACGAGGTCTTAATACAAATGCACCCCCTTCGTTCGGAGTAGGATTACATTTCATATTCATGATTCTTTGGAGGGTCTTCCCGAAAAGAAGCTTTCGCGGGGCCCGCCTGGTTCTCCTCCACAGGATAAGAGGGCCCACTTCTAGCAGGCCCGCTGAACCTCGGAGTCGCCGGCGGAGCGGTCTCCCCCCTTCTGCCTCCGTCACCTTCCGGCGATCGAAGGAGAACTTGGTGTACCGGAATTCATGTCAGTTTCCTCCGGATTTCGGTAGAAACCAGGAAGAAGACGAGGTTTCAGCGCCATCTACTCCCCAATCCAAGGTAGTGAGTGAGGCGTTCCGATGGAAACCTGCAGCTGCTTCGTGCCGGTCGGCAAGACCCCCGGCCGCCTCTTCTCTCTCGCGCCCGTTCTTCCGATTCTACGGAGCCGGAAGGGTAGATGTCCCGGAAGCACTGGTGTCGCCGCCGGCAACAGGCCCGGTGCCTCGGGTTCAAAACCGGGAAACGGGGTGGCTACAGCTCTGCAGGACCTTCCAGGGGATAGATGGACGAGGACTGGGGCCGTGCTCAGGGATGCCCCCGAAGTAAGCGAAGAGAACAAAAGGATTTCGGAGGAAATGTGGAAGGAAGCGGAGGACTCCCTGGAGTGGAGGTCGGTCTGCTCGCAAGTCGCTGCGTTCGCTTCGACGAGCATGGGCCGCGATCTATGCAAGGTAGGAGGTCTTCCGATTGGTCGGGACAGAGGGGAAAGCCAGAAGCTATTGGACCAGACGATGGCCGCTGTGCTGCTGCCTCGGCCTCTGGATTTCTCAGGCGTCGATGACATTTCCAGAATCGTCACTTCGGCGGTTTCCGGAAAGGTACTTTCCATCGGCGAACTGTGTGCCGTGGAGAGGAGCCTCAGAGCCGCCAGAGGCGTATACGAGCAGATGATGGAACTATCATCTATCGACGGATTATCAAACCGGTGCGTAGTTCGTCCCTCAGCCCGCTGAATTTGATATTTCTGTTATCTCGCCGTAGAACACTATATTTTCTGCCCAACTCCACATCGGTCAGCGTCCTGGATCTTACGTTGCTTTTCTTTTATGCATTCCTACTGTTTCTTCTATATTGGATCATCGGAAATGGAAGTAGACTGTCCATGGAGTACTGAATCCTTTTTTAGAAAGAGCAATTGCCAGGGTTTTCACGAGGGAGTATTTGGGCAGGTATTCCTCCCTGCTTCTGTTATTCCAGAACTGCAGTTTCCTGACGGACTTGGCGTACAGAATCGAATGGTGTGTTGATTGTAATCTCTCCGTCGTGAGGGATCAAGCTAGCGAGAAATTGCAGTCGATTAGGGCAGACAGGAGGAAGAACATCGAAAATCTAGAAGTTCTGCTCAAGGGTATATCTAATAGGATCTTCCAGGGCGGGGGCATAGACAGCCCCTTGATTACCAGACGCCGGTCACGCATGTGTATCGGCATTAGAGCTTCCCATAAGTCTTTGCTTCCAGATGGTATCATTCTGGGTGTTAGCAGCTCGGGGGCAACGTACTTCATGGAACCTAGAGAGATAGTGGAGCTGAACAACATGGAAGTGAGACTCTCCAATTCTGAGAAGGCTGAGGAGCTCGCTATTCTGAGCTTGCTCACATCAGATATCGCGTGCTTCGAGAGAGAAATCATGCACTTGATGGATATAATTCTTCAGGTGGATCTTGCATCTGCTAGAGCTGCTTATGCTCGGTGGATGGGTAGCGTCTGCCCGGTTTTTTGTGAAGGCAATGATGAAGTCAACTCGAATGAGGAGCCCTTTTTAGTGAATATTGAAGGCTTCTGCCATCCCTTGCTTCTTGAACCATCCGCCATGAACTCCTCTTCCCCTGTTCTATCTGGATTGCCCCAGTCTCCATCCGTTATTCCTGTGGACATTAGGGTCGGACACACCACAAAGGTCGTCGTAATCTCAGGGCCTAATACAGGAGGCAAGACCGCAACGATGAAATCTTTGGGTCTGGCGTCTCTCATGGCTAAGGCCGGAATGTTCTTGCCCGCTAAAGGAACTCCAAGGCTTCCATGGTTCGATCAAGTACTTGCTGACATCGGAGATCACCAGGTATTTACTTCAGTTCAACCGGAAGAAAGAAACAAAAAGATTTTTTTTTCTTTGATTTCCTTTTTTTCTCTAAAAAAAATAAAATAAAAATCTCTGACTTGCGTGCTCTTCTTGATTGAAGTCTTTGGAGCACAACCTGTCCACCTTCAGTGGGCACATTTCTCGCCTCTGCAAGATACTGCAAATTGCTTCTCAGAAATCTCTTGTTCTTATCGATGAGATTGGAAATGGCACCGACCCTTCAGAAGGCGTGGCTCTCGCCACCAGCATTTTGCAGCACCTCCTGAGCTGTGTCAGCCTAGCCGTGGTCACCACGCACTATGCAGATTTAAGTCTCTTGAGAACGCAGGATATTCGGTTCGAGAATGCCGCCATGGAGTTTTGCATTAAAACGCTGCAGCCCACTTATCGTGTGCTGTGGGGAAGCATCGGCAACTCCAATGCTCTGAGCATAGCTAAGGCAGTCGGCTTTGATCCGAAGGTGCTCGATCGTGCGCAAGAATGGGTGGAGAAGCTCCTTCCAGACAAGCAGAGGGAGCGTCAGGGTTTGCTTTATCAGTCTCTGTCAAAGGAAAGGGACTTGCTGGAAGCCGAAGCAAGGAAGGGTGAATCCGTCCTGATGGAAGTTAAGAAAGTTTACCACGAGGTATGATCCATTCTCTCTCCCTCTCTCTCTCTCTACTCTTCATTGGCACCAACACAATGTGACGACGTAGATGCATAATTCTTGCACAGCCATTTAGTTTTTATTATCTCTCTCTAATGGGCGTCACATTCGCATGAATGGACCTGCAATGGCGAAGATCCACTCCGAGGCCAAGGACCTGGACAAGAGGGAGGCGGCTCTGAAGGCGAAGGAATCGCAGATGGCGCTTCAAGAACTGAAGCTCGTGAGGTCTCAGGTGGACGCCATCCTCCTCAAATTCGAGAAGCAGCTCCAGGACGCAAGCCCCGACCAGTACAACGCGATACTGAGGAAGTCGGAAGCCGCCATCGCCGTCATAGTGGAAGCTCACTGTTCAGTCGGGGACTCTTCGGAGGAAGACGCCACCGCTTTCAGCAGTTCATACGCCCCCATTCAGGTTGGGGACCAGGTCTACGTTAAGAGACTGGGCGGCAAGGTGGCTACCGTTGTTGAGGCCCCTGGCGACGATGGCAGCGTTCTGGTCCAGTATGGGAAAATAAGCGTCCGCGTGAAAAGAAGCGACCTGAAAGTCGCTCGAACCAGTGAACCAGCCGTGCCCACTCCTACTCCAAGAGCGCAGCAGGTTCGTGTCCTCTCTCTCTCTCCATCTTCTCCGTCTCTGATACCCGCCCTTCACCATGTCTGATATCATATGCACTGCACTGACTGCCCTGAAGTTTTTCTTGGCCATAAATCTAATGATTTTTGGGTAGTATTTTCCCAATTCGCAATCTTTCCTGTTCCTGCTGAATCTTTATCTGCTCGTTTCGATCCTCATCTTCCGGGACCTCAACTCTCTCTCTCTCTCTTTACTGATCATCTATCTTCTCCGTCTCTGATGCCCGCCTTTCAACTGGTCAGATATCATATGAACTGTACTGACTACCTCGAAGTTTTTCTTGCTTATAATCTAGTTATTTTTGGGTAGTAATTTCCCAAATTCTCAATCTTTTCCTGTTCATGGTAATCTTAAACTGTGTTCTTGTTTCGATCCTCATCTATCGGGAGCTCAACCCTCTCTCTCTCTCTCTCTCTCTCTCTCTCTCTCATAAATCTACTGAGTATGAATCAATCAATGAACCCGTTTCCGTTCTCCCTCTCTCTAAAAGGTCGGATGGTCTGTGCGGAAAACAGGGTCAACGACCGCAGCGCGGGAGGCCTGGGCAGGAAGAGGTGAAGGAGGCGGCGTTTGGGGCGGCGGTGCAGACGTCGAGGAACACGGTGGACCTGCGGGGGATGCGGGCGGAGGAGGCGTCCCTCCACCTCGCCGCCGCCATCGCCGGCTGCAGGTCTCTCGGCGTCCTCTTCGTCGTCCACGGCGTCGGCACGGGGGCCGTCAAGGACGCCGCCCTACGGCTCCTCCGAAACCACCCCCGCGTCGCCCGCTTCGAAGCGGACAGCCCCATGAACGACGGTTGCACCATCGCATACATCAATTGATCTCTTATCTGCTCCGTCTCTCTAGTCTCGTCTCTTCTCTGCTCCGTCTCCTGCTCTCGTCTCTTCTAGTCTCGTCCGATCCGGGTCTGCTTTGTTTATGTTTTTGATTATATTTCTCCAACTTATTTGTCACGGTCCCGTAGCTCAGTTGGTTAGAGCGTTGGTCTTATGAGCCGAAGGTCGCGGGTTCGAGCCCCGCCGGGACCAATGCAGCAGTACCAAGCTCGCAAAAGCCCGATGCCGGCGACATGGGGATGTTTATTTTTTTTATTGCAATAAAATGAGACACTTTTCTGGTAAATATGAAATTATAGCTCTCCTTTTTTTCGTAAAGTGTGAAGTCAAACCCTCTTTTCTTAGTAAATGCATAGCTCAGAGCCCAATTTTCGGTAAATTTTGAAATTAGACTCCTAGTTTTTATTAATAATCGTAGCACTAATTTTGGGCCGAAGTGTATGGGCCTTGGCATTACTCTCGCTCCAGATCATCGCACCAGGCTGCCTCGCCGTTTAGCGGGAACAAAGACAACGAAAGATAGAAAAGATGACGAGAGGAGAAGAGAGAGAGAGAGGGGCCAACAGACGCGATCACTCCGGGGGACAGCTCCGTAACGAATCCGCCTTCCTCCACCGCCTCCGGCAAACCACTCGCTTCCCCACCGCCCCCACCCCCCAAAATCCGAGGCTATCTCTCTCTCTCTCTCTCTCTCTCTTACGTCGATCTCATTCGTTCCGTCCTCTAGGCACACTTTCCAGTCTCCTCCAGGAGGAGGCCAGAATCTGCTGGGAGCCGCGAGCCTCCCTCCTTCCGCTCCCCACCGCCCCCGCCATGGCAGAGTTCGAGAGCCAGATCAAGCATAGGACCAAGGAGCTGAAGAACCTCTTCAGCAAGGGAATAAGGGTCGTCGGTCAGTCCTGGAAGAAGGGCTGGTACAAGGTCCGCAACATCAGGCGACGCTAGCCGCCACCGCCGATCCAACCTTCTCTCTCTCTCTCTCTCTGGTTCTGTTTTCTCCCCCTTTTCGTTCTGTCTGTGTTCTTGTAAGGTACTCCTTCCCTGCTTGTTTTCCCCATGGGATCTACGTATATGGTCGACGTGTGTGCACAGTGAATATATAGCACTGTAGGAAATAAAAATCATCCTTTCCCTGTCCATTCCGCTCCGAGATTGATGGTCCTGAAAACATGATCTCTCAGTTCCCAGAAGAATGGTAAGATTCTCTACGATCCCAGCTTTTTTTTTTTCTTCTCCGGTTTCTAGATCCGTTCCCTGCCGTCTGCAATCCATAATCATGGAATACGCTGTCGGAGATCATTAGCTTGATCGCTGCTAATGAGAGATCCATGATAAGATTGCTTGCCCATTGCTCTGTAGTCTGATGAACAGATGCCTGGTTTCTTCCCTGCCAGCGAAGGAAATTAAACTGGGCTCCTCTTCTCATCAACAATTAGAGCCAAGGATTGAATCGTGCGAAATCTGGGCTCTTTACTTCCCCCTTCCCATGAATCTGCCGAGTACAATCTGAATGATTCTGCTGGTTCATAGCTTGAACTGAGGTTACCCAAATGAGGCGAAGAACAGGGCAGGGAAGGGTGAGCTTTAGTTATGCTTTCCCGATAAACCGCTTCCAATCCTCTGGAAGAATAAACCGCTTCCGGTCCTAGATTAATTACCTTGGCCCTGGGTTCCTGTGCTTTGACTCTTCTGTTGGTTAGGCATCCGGATATGGATCTATCCACTGGAGATCTAGCCCTCAGGATCTTCCCATTTACTGGAGCCCCACGAACCATCTGAAGCCATTTGTTTCGGCTTTATGTGTAGAAAATGACGTGAAAACTCATAAGCAAAGTAAGCTGTTTTCTGAAGTCACCTGTTTTCTGACTTATGTTATCTGATAATAAAACCCATAAGCAAAATAACCTGCTTTCTGACTTCTGTTATCTCATAATAAAAACCCATAAGCAAAGTAAGCTGCTTCGAATCAAGCTGAAAATTCTATGGCCTTTTGCCAATTCGCCATTTGTTTGCAGATTCCATATGTACAGTCATAAACGAAAGGAATATCCCTTCCTGGCCAGCTATGACTTACAGAGATGGCTCCTTTTCGAGGACTGCATGGATTCAGCAAACTCAACGATCACAGTTGAAAATTTTCAAAGTCCTGAAATAGAAGAGGCATTTTAGTACCTTTAGTGTGGTGATCGGTCCGTTGACAGGGAGGGTGTCATACGCAAATGCATCTCCAAAGAGATTTGATCTTCAATTGTGGACTAAGACGGGCGCAAATGCGAAAGTCTCTTCAAATCTGATATTTGTAGGCCTTGTTGCTGCAGATTGATGACAAAATTCAACCCCAATCATCCTCCTATCTATCAGAATCTACGTTCGAGATTCTCAGAATCTCTCTCGTTGATTCGTTCACCTCTATTCCATCTGTCTTCAGGCTCTCAAGGTAACCATCGGCCCTATTTCCAGCTCTCATGCGGGCCCTGAATAGCCCTATTTCTGGCATAACAGGCTTCAAGAGTTCCACAAACTTTTCAACGTCTTTGGGATTATTAGCCTCATCCCCGAGCCACTGCAGTACACTGAAGATTAGTGAAGGGCTCGGTTTCCATCCTTTGTCTGGTTCATATCCGCAGAGAGCCTTCTCCATATAATGATGAGCCTTCACCATTTCTCCCTTATCAGCAAAGGCCCTCGCCAATATCCCCCAGCTTGAAGGCAGCGGCGCCTTCCCTTCTCTCGCAAACCTATCAAGCATCGCCTCCCCCTTCTCCACATACCCCCTTTTACAGAGTCCAGCAAGGACCACATTCGGCACTCGGAAATCGACCATGTTTCCTGAAGACTCCCATCTCTTCAGCAGATCCTCGGCTTCTTCTAATTCCCCTAGTCTCACCAGCTCCCCAAGCATGGTAGTGTAATCTCTGTTCAGTTGCTTCAAACCCATCTGTCCCTGAAGCTCCCAAAGCCTCCTCATCTCGGCTTTACTCTTCAAAGCTCCGTAGAGGGATATAAGGTGGCTATAGCAGAGGTGGCTCCTCCTGTCCATCTTCTCCTCCGATTTCTTCAGCACGGCCGCCGCCTTCTCTGGGAGGCCAGCTTTGATGTAGTTGTGTGCGACCACAGCATAGGTGTTCCAGTCGACGACGATCTGAGGTTGGCAGTCCATCTCCTCCAAGGCCTCCTCCATCTCGGCAATTCGAGATCTCGAGCCGTAGGAATTGATGCAGAGTCTGTAGCTGAAGTTGTCTGGCAGGATCCCGTTTTTCTTCATCTCCGCCAGGACAAGGGGGACCTTTTCGAGCTGGCCGGCATTAGCATAGAGGCACATGATGTTGTTATAGGGGAGGGCAGTCGATGCAAAGCCCAGCTCCTTCATCTTCTTCATGTGCAATAAGGATTCTTCGATCAGACCTTCTCTGACGTAGCAGTTGAGCAAGGCCCCGTAGGCCTTTTGCGTCTTGTGCTCCTGGTCCAGGCTGTTGAAGTACAACTCGGCAGGAACAAGCCCCCGCACTTGGCCGATCAGATCCAACTGTATGGCGTGGTCACCAGGGGTGAATCGGCAGATTTCTCTGTGCTTCATCCACTCGGAAACCTATGTTTAGAAGAAATTTATCACAAACAGCAGGAGAAGATTCAGTGAAAGGAAGTTCTAGGATTCAGAAGTCTCACAATAAACTAATGCTGTAGATTTTAGTTCTCTAGACATTTTGGGGTCACCATTGACACGATGAAGATTGAAGATGAAAGCTAACATCTGCGAATGGATTCAATTTGTTTCGCTGCAATCCAATTGATTTTTCAATGCAATATTTACAGCATGATTAAAGAAATCAGTTGATCTAGATCCAGATCTACAGACTTCGAGCGAATCGCAATTGCAACCAATATTTCAAGAATATCATTTAAAAAATTTCCTAAATGTAGAAAATTGAAGCAACCACTCCGCTCCCAGGAAGTACTACACAGTCCCGCCGTTCTAGCACAGAGGAGACATTACAGTGAGTAATGCAAGATTATCAGTGGAACGGGAGCTTTCTCGAATTGGAAAATAGCGTATTGGCGGGGGATGATTTCATAGGGGAGGTCATAGCACCGAACCTCAAGAGCTTGCTTGTGCCTGTTGCGATTGCGGAGATGCTTGACAAGGTCCTGCAACTCCCCGGCGACGATCGTCTTCCTGCTCTTCGCCCACCCGTCGAGCTCTGGAAGAAGGCTGACGCTAGGGTTCCCCAGTGGGAGGATGCTCGACAGCAGCGTCTTCCTCGGCGCCGATCGCACCGAGGAATACAATCGGAGAAGAGACTGCCGCAAACACTCCCCATGGCGGACGGCTCCACTGAGGCGCTTGACCAAGAAGAACGCACACGAACCCATCACCCTCTCTCTCTCTCTCTCTCAGATATCCCATCGAATTTATTTAATATGGCTAATTATATATAAACCCTTACATTTAAATAATTCTGTTTAGATCTTTTTAAAAATATGTCATTACCGTACGAGGTTTTTGAAGGAGAAACGTTTTAATTTTAAGGGGGACTTGAAATCAATAACAGAAACCTTAGTTGTTTCAGAACAATTATCGATAAATTATGGCTCTTATAGAAAATCTGGAATTCGCCAAAGGCCCATATTACACAGTGATTGTTAATGGGCCTCTCACCAAAGGCCCAACCGGCCCATATGACTCCCATTTCCCTTTTCAGGTTCTCTCTCGAGACGAGAATAATTATTATTTTGTCTATTTTTCTTAAAAGAGAATAAACGGCGGTAATCAGACGAAAATTTTAATGTAAGTCCTTGAGAAAACGTAGATTGCAGCCGCTTCATCAATATGACTCATTATAAAGTAGTTGAGAAGCTGCCGATCGTGACTTGCACGGCTTTTCTAGCCGTTTGACCCCTGACGAGGAGGAGTCGCGCTAGGAAGTACGATCTCAGCCGTAGGATGGGATACTTGCCGTCGGGATCTTCCCAACGGCGAGGAGGACTCCCATTGGCCAACAAGGCAACAATCACGAACGCCATTGGTCCACGTCACAACGATGACATGCCCGTCTTCCACTGGGTCGTCGACTCGGAAGCTGACGCGCGCGTCCTATATAATGACGTTGGAGTGGTGGCGGAAAAGGAGGAACAGCGGAACGAGCAATCGAAGAGAGGACTTTCAGACCTTGATTCATTGGAGGTCAACGTTCCCGTGGGGGAGAAGGGGCGCTGAAGGAGCCATGGCTCGGTCTCCCGGGCGTCTCGGCTCTCTGTTCTTTCTCGGCGTTTTCGTTACAGGTACTCGATGCGTTGCATCGCACTCTGATCTTCCCCCCATCTGTTCGTTCTAGTTCAGGTTTTTGCCGGAAATTGATTTGTGGATGAATGCCGACTTACCGGTTCATGTTCCCTCTGTATGGTGATTTATTTACTTCTAGTGTGGGAGCAGTTTGTTCTTTCCCCCTGCATCTGTTCTTTCCTGTAGTGCAGTTCATTCATTTTGATTATCTGGTGCGAGATCTCTAGAACTCACCCGTTAAGACATACATCTAGGAGAATATTATGAAAGCAAAACTAATCGACTGCAGGATATTATGTATAGTTGTTTGAAAAACGGAGATATGTTTCTGTTTTCACCTGTTTACTCCCTCCTCTCTGCACCGATGCTTAGTTGCCGTCTAAGACTGAACATATCTTGGTTGTGTGAATGAACCGCTTTGAAAATCACCTTCATGAGAATAACCTAGGCCACGTATCAATTCAAGTAAGAGGCGGAAAGAGCTCCATAAGACCCTGAACCACGAAATATTGTGTATCGGGTTTGTTGTTCATTGCTCAGCTGAATCTCCGCAAGATGACTCTGGACTTCAGATTGTAGGATACGAACTTTGCTTTGATTAACAGGCAAATTAGGACAGCGAAGTATATTTTTGGTTATCTTCCCAGTAAGCAATGCCTACCAAAGTACGTCAACTAACGGTCACGAGTTAGCTGTGACCACCATTTAATCTATTACGACTTGTCGAAATGATATTTTGTCTTTAATTCTGTAACAATTTGGCGTGAGATACTATCATACTATGGAGCAAAACATAGGAGATGCTCTCTCTTTTGGCATTGTTTCTGTCAATGTATGCAGCTCGAGACTGGAAGAGTCGATTGAACTGTTATTTTTTCCGCAGGCTGTTTATTTGCATTTTCAGCGGCAAAAGAGGAAGGTTCCAAATTGGGAACCGTTATTGGCATTGACCTCGGTACAACTTATTCTTGTGTTGGAGTTTATAAGAACGGTCATGTGGAGATTATAGCCAATGACCAGGGAAACCGTATCACTCCTTCGTGGGTGGCCTTCACTGATAATGAAAGACTAATCGGGGAGGCTGCAAAGAACCAGGCACCTGTCAACCCTGAAAGAACGATATTTGATGTCAAGAGGCTTATCGGAAGAAAGTGAGATGCATTTTCACTCCTTAAAATTTTCGACACAGTAAGAGAGATACCCGTTGACTGATTTCTGATTATGACTTTTCAGCTTTGTGGACAAAGAAGTACAGAAAGACATTAAGCTTTTCCCATACAAGATTGTGGACAAGGACGGGAAACCTTATATCCAAGTCCAGATCAAGGACGGGGAGACGAAGGTCTTCAGTCCAGAGGAGATCAGCGCTATGGTTTTAACCAAAATGAAGGAGACAGCGGAAGCGTTCCTTGGAAAGAAGATTAAGGATGCTGTTGTTACTGTCCCTGGTAAGAAAAAAAAAAAACAGGTTGCTTGCATCTGTTCACGTTCCACTTTTGATTGTACTAAGATGATTTCCTTTCCATCTTCTCCAGCGTACTTCAATGATGCTCAGAGACAGGCTACCAAGGACGCTGGCGTGATCGCCGGTCTCAATGTTGCCAGAATAATCAACGAACCAACCGCCGCCGCCATTGCCTACGGTCTGGATAAGAAGGGTGGCGAGAAGAATATACTTGTCTTTGACCTCGGTGGTGGGACGTTCGACGTCAGCATTCTGACCATCGATAATGGAGTTTTTGAGGTCCTTGCCACAAATGGTGATACCCATCTCGGAGGTACCGTCTAAATTGCGATTAATCTCCTGGAACAAGCATTGTTTCCTTCGTGTTCTACCTTCAATTCTTGCTGAAGTGTAATCTCGTGGGTCAGGTGAGGATTTTGATCAGAGAATCATGGAGTACTTCATCAAACTGATAAAGAAGAAGCACGGGAAGGACATCAGCAAGGACAACCGCGCCCTCGGGAAGCTGAGGAGGGAGGCTGAACGCGCCAAGAGGGCCCTGAGCAACCAGCACCAAGTCCGAGTGGAGATAGAGTCGTTGTACGAGGGCTTGGACTTCTCGGAGCCGTTGACCCGCGCCCGTTTCGAGGAACTGAACAACGATCTCTTCAGAAAGACTATGGGCCCCGTGAAGAAAGCCATGGAGGACGCCGGCCTGGAGAAGAACCAGATAGATGAGATCGTCCTCGTCGGCGGGAGCACCCGGATCCCCAAGGTACAGCAGCTCCTCAAGGAGTACTTCGACGGTAAGGAGCCCAACAAAGGCGTGAACCCGGATGAGGCCGTCGCCTATGGCGCGGCTGTCCAAGGAAGCATCTTGAGCGGAGAGGGCGGCGAAGAAACCAAAGGTGCCCATCTACAATCATCCATCTTATTAGTTCTATTTCTGGAAAAAATGATTGAGATGAGCTTGAAATGGATGATCCGCCCAGATCTCTGAACCTTTTCTTTCTTTATTTCTTGTATGAAAAATGTGCATCTCAGATGTTCTCCTCTTGGACGTGGCGCCCCTCACGCTCGGCATCGAGACCGTCGGGGGGGTGATGACCAAGCTGATCCCCAGGAACACCGTCATCCCCACCAAGAAGTCTCAGATCTTCACGACCTATCAGGATCAGCAGACCGCCGTCTCCATCCAGGTACTTCCCACTTTTACCACCCCTCCCCCCCAAGGTCAACCCTTATCATCATCCACCACCGGGGGTTTGACTTTCCTCTTATCAGGTCTTCGAGGGCGAGAGGAGCATGACCAAGGACTGCCGGTCTCTCGGAAGATTCGAGCTCTCCGGAATCCCCCCCGCTCCTAGGTCCCACCCCCCACCACCACTACCACCCATCACCGGCGACAAAAAAGTCAACGATCAACCATCCTTAATCGTTCATTCTCGGTCTTCTTCTCCAGGGGGACAGCTCAGATCGAGGTGACCTTCGAGGTGGACGCCAACGGCATCCTGAACGTGAAGGCGGAGGACAAAGGAACCGGGCGCTCCGAGAAGATCACCATCACCAACGACAAGGGGCGGCTGAGCCAGGAGGAGATCGAGCGGATGGTGAAGGAGGCAGAGGAGTTCGCAGAGGAGGACAAGAAGATCAAGGAGAGGATCGACGCCCGCAACAGCCTGGAGGCGTACGTGTACAACATGAAGAACACCGTCGGCGACAAGGACAAGCTCGCGGAGAAGATCGAACCAGAGGAGAAGGAGAAGGTGGAGGCGGCCCTGAAAGAGGCCCTCGAGTGGCTCGATGACAACCAGAGCGCCGAGAAGGAGGACTTCGCTGAGAAGCTCAAGGAGGTGGAGTCTGTCTGCAACCCCATCATCTCCGCCGTCTACCAGCGCACCGGCGGCGGACCCGGCGCCGGCGCAGGCGACGACGACGAGGACGATACCCACGACGAGCTGTAGATAGGAGATCTTTTTCTTCCGGGAAACAAATCTTGTCCCAAAAGTCAACCTTTTTATTTTTTACAATCAAATCCCAGGACCCCCCGCGGCCGGTTTTCCTTTCCTTCTATATAATCACAGGAGCTGCCAGTCGTCTTCAGGGTGGCCGGACTCCGACGAGGTCTCACCGTTGACCGCTGCCGCCGCCGCCGTCCTGGAGGAGGGCTCGAGGAACGCGGCCACGGTGAACAGCGGCGCCCCGTTTGACTTCTCCTCGAGGTCAATTGCCCGCGCGCAAAAGTCCTCGAAATCACCTGCGGTTCCTCCAAATCAGCCACCACAAACAAAGGCCCAGGACTCGTTGCAGATCGCCCCCCGGCTTACCTCTGTCCCGGCAATAGAAGCCGATCGCCAAGGAGGGGTCCAGCTGGTCCAGCGGCAGCTGCCTCACGGTGCTGAAACGGAACGACCTCACCAAAGTCAACGTCATCTCAGAGAGAGAGAGAGAGAGAGAGAGAGAGAGAGAGAGAGAGAGAGAGAGAGAGCCCACCTGCAGTGGTACGAAGACGTGTCGGCCTCGAGGTCGCCCCTCTTGATGTCCACCACCTGAAGTCAAAGTTCAGCTAAAGATAAAATCTTCCGACATAAAACTAGAAAATAACTATACAAACTAACTACCCATTTAAAGGATAACGGCGGATGATGAATGAATGAGTGATGGACAAAAAAGGGGAAGGGCGTACCGGTTGGACTAAGTGAGGATCGAGGTAGAGGGCTTTGTCGTCTTGGACCCCGACGATGTACGTGGACGCGCCGGGCTTTCCGCCCACGACTCCAAGGCTCTGTGGGAAGGTGAAGGTTTCCCATAGCAGCGGGATGTATCTGGAAGGGTGGCGGTGGGTACAATCCAGAACAAAATATCATGCCAAGAGAAGCAAGAGAAAATTATTCAATTTTTTGGGGTTTATATATAAAAAAAGATAATAAGATGACGTAGATTTCAGAGGCGTGTGAAGGATATTATATATACATAGAGATATATAAACACGGATAATTTTTTTTCCATGTAAAGTATGATCCAAATAAGCAGTCTTTTCTATAACGATACAGGGATAGGAATTGGAGAGAAGACTGGATAGCAGGGAAAATTCCAAGATTTTAGGAATAACCATGTAAGCAAAATCTTTACAGGGTTGAGGAAGCAGTCAGATCTTGAGAAATAAATAAATAAATAAAACCATGTAAAGCATATGCTAGAAAAGAGCGATATTTTCTTTTGATGAAACATGGAGATAAGTAAAAGTGATAGTCGGGCAAAGGATTAGATCCTTTCTGATGCAGGAATTAATGGTAGCTAACAAGAAACCTTGAAACTAGATCCAGAAATACCCAAAATTAATAAGAAAATATCACAATTACCTAGGGTTGACTTTGTCCAGCCCAAGAACCAGGGGCACCAAGAGCAGAATAGGCGCCCAATTGGCTTCCCCCATTGAGAGCTCAGAACAGAGCCTGGAAGCAATATCGACGCAGAGGACCGGTGCCCCGCCGCGCTCCCCGTCTTCATCGCCGGAGACAACGTACACGGCCATGGGCAGGGGCTGACCAGCTTCATGAAGCTCACCAGGCTCCTTCCTGGCATGAGCAAGTGTTTCCCAGGCCCGGCACATGGCATAGGGCCCGACCCAGGCACCGGCGGCCAGGCCGTATCCCTTTCCAGCTTGAAGCAGATTGTGGATGGAGAAGGCTGAGGCGATGGAGTCACCGAAAAGATGCAACAACTCGATGTACTCGGGATCATATGGCTGCATAATCAATAGGGGACTGAGATGAGCAACCAACCCTACATGGCAAATTAGAGAACTACGGTTACTATTCACACTGTTACTTCTCTCAAAGCAACCAGAGGTAGAAGACCCGTCTCACCGTCTGCTGGGGCCTCCTCCAGTTCCTGCCCAGATGATGAAACAGCAATGCCTGGGCAACGAGCATCTGGCTGCTGCGGATCATGCAGCCCCAGTTGACATCACTCGTGAGCCTCAAATCATCGACTGGATCAAACCCTGTTTTAGAGGGAAAGAAGAAAAAAAACAAAAAAAAGCAGGCCATTGAAGATGATAAGATTGGGTTATTGAGGAAGATGATAGTCAGAGGTCTAGACACCCAGCTGACCTTTCCGATAGGTGATCCAAATTCTTGATGAGAAATCGTTCAAGAACCCACTGAGGCCTTCGTCGTGAACTGACTCACTGGAGGACTCACCAGATGAGACCCTGTAGCAGGCGCCCAAGAACCATATTTCGCTACCAGAGCTCGTCACATCTGTCTTGCCCATCCCTAGTATACGCTCATGGAGCCTCCTCATGGAGACAGAGGTTATAGCTCTCCTCACAGATGACGTCCACCCATGAGCTCTGGCCCTTCTTTCCTTCGTTTCAGTCGGTGACAGGCTCGAATACACGTCTGAGATGGAGAATGGAGTAGAGAAGATACTTGCCCACGAGGAGGCTTTCGAGGGCTTGGTTTGATCAGGTTCTTGTTCTGAGCTAGAGGAAGCCGTTGAACTCCCAGCAGGAAAGGTCGATGCTACATCTCTCTCAGGCAAGCCCGTCATTACCTAGTTGCGCAGGCATATGCGATATCTGAAATTGATTTGAGGAAATTGAGAGAAATTTGGAACAAGAATTTCACATGCAGGTACCAGGAAAACCTGATTTTTGATCATAGAAAACAAAAACTCAGCCTTTGATACATAAAAAGTAAACCAAGATGAATCGTAGGGTGAGCAGGAGGTCGGGTCAAGATTACTAGGCTTAATGAAGACGGAATGTCAACTGATTGCGACAGCATTGGAGGCATTATATATCGATTCTACCAGAGAAATTCAGCTGAACTGTTCCTGAGCATTGTGATTGAGATTGTCAATAGAGCAAATCAGAGAGAGGGGAAGAAGACAGTAATCTTTCGAGGGGAAATATTATTCGATGATAGCGATTGATGGATCGATTCCTAATGTAGCCGATGATTCGGATTGCAGAACTGGATAGCTCGAGGGAGCCTCGAGCGGCTGCCCAAGGAATGTTCATTCCTGTCCTAGGTGAAACCATCTGGAGCCGGTTTCCCCTGCGGAAGAACCAAGGAAGTGTATTCCACCACGAATGCGCATGTTGAAGAGGATGGGTGGTCGAATCGGTGGAGAACCCGTGGGAGAACAGAAAGCGTAGTTGACAATCCAAAATCTCCCTTTCTCTCTCTCGTTCGATCAAGCAAGGAAGCGTGGAACATTGGCGGCGCATCGGATTTCAGCGAGGTCGGAAGGGCACGTACCAGAAAGGGGAATTTCGAGATTGGCCGGAGAGAAGAAAGGGGAGGGGAATCTCCCGCCGATCCCTTCCCCTCCGCGGCGCCGGACAGAACCTGGGAGAAATACCACAAATGAGGAGCCCGATAAAAGCGAAGAACCACCTTCTTCCCCTCCCCTTCTCTACCTTCCCTATCTTCCCCATCTTCCCCATCTTCCCCAACCCCACAGACGAGACGGGGTACCTGGATCCGGCGTTGCTTCTACGGCCAGCCCTCTTCCGTGTTCTGCAGATTTCTTCTCCTCCTCCCCTTCCTCGCCACTCCGTTCCCAAGCCAGGAGGGGTTGCGTGAGAATTTCTTCCTCTAAGCTGGCGGAGATTTTTCCGTGTTCTCGCGTACGCCTGCTTGCTACTGAACCCCAATCATGCAAGTCTCTACTGAACCCCTCCCCCACCCTCAGATCCTCTGCCGAGAACCCCTCTCTCTCTCTCTCTTCCTCCCTCTCTCTCTCTTCCTCCCTCTCTCTCCGAGAAAACCTGACACACAAAAAGAGCTGTTAGCCACGTGCGAAAATCAGGAGACGTGACGCAAAATTCCACATTAAAGTATTTATTAAATCGCGATAAATTAATTTTAATGAATAAAAATCCGAGCTTGGGGTCGCCCAGTGGCCTCCGATTTGATGGCCCAACAATAGGAAATAATATAATAACCGGATCGAGTATGAATAAACGGATCCATTAATAAATAATTGACGCCCACTTATATCATAATTAACTCCTCATCTTCGTCTGATTATTTACTTAAACATTAGCATTTAATAATTGTAGTAAGACGTATTTTTCTAAACGGTATTTTTTTTTGTATAATAATAAATATTTATTATATATGCTATGTAGTTTTTATTCTAAATTGTTTGTTAAGCTGCATCTAGAAAGGATAACTAAATTATGGTTAATAAAAAATAAAATAAAATAATTTTATTTTTGTAATTTCGGAATGATGAGTTGTTTATGCTGAGATTGGATTAGGTTGGGTGGTTCGGTTGTGGCTCGGACCCGGTCGGGCTTGCCGATGTTTTCTTTACACAGAGTCGGACCGGGTCAACAAATTTTTAAAATGGGTCCCTGTTAAAACTGAGAAATGATGGAAGACCCCCCCTGGATAGGGATGGAATGGGTGGGGGAAGCATTCGCGTAAGGGTAAAGACATATTTTTGTAACTTTAGAGGTTGAAAGCAGATTGTGCGTTTCTCCCCGCCCCTGTCTCGCGCCGCGCCCACGGGTGGGTACTTCCATGTCTGAAGTAGAAAGGCGACCCTCCCCCATTTCTCTCTCTCTCTTCCCTCCTTGTTCTCTCTCTCTGTGGTCGAGGGTTTCCGAAGGAAAAAGCTTCCGGATCTCAGGGCACATGGAGAATTCCAGCTTCATATCGTGCGAGAAGCTCGACCGAATGGCAAATTGGGTGGGGGCGAGCGTGGCATCTGCTTTCTTTGCGTCGCTGGAGCGGTGTTCCTGCATCAATCTGAGCACCACCGACAACGAAGACGAGGAAGAAGCAAAGGATCGTCCGCTGATGCTCACAAAGCCGATCGTCCATGACGCTCCCGACGAGGCGCCCCCGAACGGTGTCGTCGGGGGAGGCATCAACGGCGACCTTGGCAAGCTCTCCACCAACGTCTGATCTGTCAGGGCTTGGGTCGTTCATCCAGTGAAAGCGTCATGCCGCCGACGAGGCCCTCGTCTCTTTCTCAGCTGTCTTGTGCGTGTTTATATAAATATACTGGGCGCGACCGCAACGGGCAGGCAAGGATGTCATTTTGGTGCTGGGTTACAGGGGAAAGGAGAAATGGTCCGACGACTGTACGGGAGATCTTCTTGTATCTTGTAACCTCGTTCTTTTCCCTCGGTCATAACGTTTGCAGGACGTCTTTGAATGCTGTCTCTATATGCGACTTTTTTGTTCCCGAATGTCTTGAACATTATGCGGATTAACTGTAGTCAAATCCTCTCAATATCGTTCTGTTTTCGTGTTCTTGATTCCTCTATTGATGGCACCCTCTTACCTCCCATTTCCCTCCTACTTCCCTGGGGAGATATGAGCTTCAGGGCATCTGCTTGTCCTGATTCTGCACTCATGCCGACGCATGTGTTCTGGGATAATTTGATTCCTTCCTACTACTGCTATGCGAGCTTTTATGGATTCGTTTCTATCAGAGGAAGTTCTTGGGCATCTGAAAGCTTGCCTGTGGAGGGAACACCATGTCTCTATTCATGTTTTGGTCATAACACTTTCATTTTATTGTTCTACATTGGCTACTTGTAGTTTATACAAAGGCAGAGAGCATCCCTGGCAGTAGTACCCATTAGCTTCTTCTTCTTCTTTTTCACACTATGGCGACTATCTTGGATGAAAGCTGGAATCTTGCCTAGTAGGGAGTCTAAGAAATATTTCTGTTTTTTTTTTTTTTTCTGAAGAAGGTATTGCCCTGCACTTTGGGTGAAACGTGATATTTTACAGCAGCCATCTTGGTCCACTGCACAAAATCAGAATCGGGTAATAACTGTCATCCATCCATGATCTTAATGCATAGTTATGATTAGGGTTCATGCACAGAATCTTTTAAGCTTCATGTCTGTATGGTTAAGCCATCTGTTTATTTCTCCAGTCGTTGGTGCCCTTGCCTTAGCGTTAATGGAGAGAATCTAAAGCTTTTCACTAGTTTAGTATCCATTATTTTTTATACAGAATAATTTCAGCTATAATTGGAAAAAAAAAAAACCAACCTGATGAGTATTGGTAGAGGCTCAGAAAGCACAAACCTTGATGATGATAGGCAATTATTTGATTGTCTCTGCCTGATATTGGTTATCCTTTACAGAACCTTTCTTTCTCCTTGGCATCTGCTGCCCCACACCCCCTTCTCTTCTTCTCTTTAAAACCCTTTGAAGGTGATCCCTTCACCGTGGTTCCTGGTGTTGACTTGGATTTTTATTCAATAATCTTTAAGGTAACCCTGGGCTCTTCTAAAGGGGCGGGGGCGTTGACTTCTGTAGGCAATATCTGGTAGGTAGCCCAACACGAAGGATCCATATTTTGGTCAGGATAGGTTTAGCCAAGAGAGGGTCTGTTGACAAGCCCCATGAGGGTATTTGACTTACTACTATAAATGTAAGGGAGAAGATGGAATTTAGATAGGGAGTACTTTATGCTCTCTATAATGTAGAAAATCCTGCTGCAGAGGCAGTGGACGCCCACTCAATCTAATAAAATAAATAATATTATATCTATATATATATATATATATATTTCAGGGTTGGAGTCGGCCAGCATTAGTAATTAACATATCTGATTGAGTTTAGTAGGAAATTTAATAAGAGATTATGAGGCATTTTCTTGTGGGTCTCGTAATTTTCTTGTGCATATATAGCCTTGGAAACCCAGATCTGTAAACCCTAAGAAACCCTTTTTCATTTCGACATCTAGGTATGATTCCGGGTCAAAACTGGGAAATCTGAGATCACTTGGCGGTGAATCTTCGTTCACATATTTGGCAGGCTCGATGTTTGTCCAAAGTGCATAGATAACAGGGAGAGAGTGGGAGAGGGAGAGAGGAACTCACAGTCCTTTTGATAGATTCGGCCAGGGGAAGAAGGAAGAAAGAAAGAACCGCAAAACTGCTCACTCCACCCTGTTTGTACAAGCCAAGATGGCGGCCTTCATCTGCTCCTTGTCCATTGAAGACTGCACCAGGACCTGAACCAAAAAGAGGAGGAGGGCATTAGTGGCCACTCAGAGCCCTCCCTCTCATAGTAAATCAGCGGGGAGTGCTTGGAAGGCATGGATGCACGGATGACTTTAGGGTTCCTGAACGTGAGGGACAAAAGATGGCTGAGAAATACTTGTATTTTTTCGGTCACTGTCGATGATCCTATGATTTTTAGATTCGAGTTCAGGTAGATAACAGTTTTAGTATATTACCCCCACATTAATGAGAGGATATAACTCTGTGAATTCTCATCCATCTTTCTCAACATGTGAGGCAAAAAATTCTGTTAATAAGGTATCAATCATCTTGATTATCACCCTAGTTCTAAGAATGTGCGACGGAATTCATAATTTCTGTTCACACTTTTGGAAATGCATACCTCCTGAACCTTGTTTCCATAGCGGGCGAGTAATTTGTACTGATTGTCGTACATAGAGGCCATGTAGACCTGCAAATAAGTCAAAGGGTACCATGAGAAACCATCGATATTGACATTAAAATCTAGTGAACAAGATAGAGCATTCAGATGTCAACGAAAGGAGAATAAATCAAGCTCATATTAGTGTATGCATCTAAATATTTTGTAGATGCGCGAGGGAGAAGAACTCTCCCAGCCTCATCAACAGAGGTGGGGGATCCTGATTAGGATCTGCTGCAGCAAGCTCAGCCGCATGAATGGGAACCGAAGTTAGTTTTGGGTATCTTAGAGGAGAAACTGGAGCATTTGAATCATGAGCCTTGTTGGGTAATGCTCCAGGCGGATATGAAAACTATTGGAAAGAAACAGTTGGGAATTTGCTGGGCACTGGTTTTTAAGCCATCGATAATCATTGTAGTTTGAACTTCATCTGTCTCCTCGGCATATTTTATGAAAATGAAAACCCTGATTGGAACTTCCTTGGCATATATTATATGATCCAGCATACCAAAGTTGGAAATTTTTACAGTTTGAGAGGAGAACGCCTGGAACCAACATTCACTTGAAATAGAAACCAAGAGAGCATAGAATGTTTGTACTTGGGTTTTTTAGGTCAAACCTGAAATGTCGGAGTCAGCCCTGGGCTCAAGAAAAAACGACCTTTTGATACACCGACCACTCCATCGATTTTCTCTAGTTCTTCAATCAGTGATTCAACGTCGGCCCACTGCATTACGTAAACCTTGAGTAGTAAGGAAAAGGGTTCGAGAAACAAAAGACATGCATGTAATGAGTCCAGAATGGAATAGAATGCTCGGAAACAGAAAGAGCCTTCATCTTCTCAGCAATACGAGCAGAATACGGTGTAAATAATGCATGTTCATGTCGATTTTAAGAAACATCTTTCTCCTCGAGAAGGGATGTCAGCAAATACATGGCAATGTCAAGGACAGGTGTACGAGTAACATCATTCAGCCAAACAGGGATGCAGTTTCAAAGAAGCATCTTTCTCCTCGATAAACATAAGCAAACGTTAAGGCCAGGTATAACTTGTTAGCCTAATAAAAGATCAGCCGTACAACGATTAGGTAGGACAAGAGATGAAAAAATTGATCAACTGTACGATATTTGAAATTCTTAAGTTGGAACGGGACATTGTGATATGTACTCCTCACGTCAATAAACCTCCCCCATACCACACCACCCCACCCCAAAAAAATGAAAGAAAATTTGTAAATTGAAAAGGCATTTTATTTCATCTGAATTTTAGAAAAAGAAAATATGGGCTGGAATCAGTCGATCACCAGGTTCAAACGGCCTCACTCGGAGTTATTTCATATTCAGCACCTATAGCAGCTGCTACTGCTGTTTTCTTGATCTACCCTATTGGTCAAGGAAGTCATGCTGATGGTATGCCTCTAGGAATTTCAGGTTCATTAATGATCAACACCCCTATATTTCTGTAATTCTATCTCTGTTTCTGAGCTAATGACCTTCAATCAAGCAAAATAGCTGAAAGATTCGTTCTTTCCATTGATGATTATAGTTACCAGCAAGAAAGAGGGGAGACGATGAAAAATATTTTGCTTCAAACCTCATTTACCAAACCCAAGCTGATGGAACGGAGATGATATGTTATTATATTTAAAAGATGACAATTTCCTTCATTTGTTTTGTACTGTTTTCCTGTTATGATAGAAGACATTACATCCTTAATATGCTTGATGCCTGAAAGTAGGCAATGCCACAAAGTAGATGCGTTGGGAGATGGAAGGGATTGATCCAGTGAGAGAGTGATGAACTAAATGAGGTCTTATGGCTATTCAAGGTTATCTGGTTTGAATTTACCTCTGCTTCTTCTTGTTCTATTTCGACCGCCCCACCTAAAGAAGTGTGATCACCAACAACAGACTCCAAAGCCTCATTTAGCGGATCTGGCTGTCATAAGATGCACAAAGTTGAGCAAAGTTATGAATATCGAATGTGTAAGACAAAAAAAAAAGTGATATTTAATTACCATTATTTCTTTAAGTGTCAATGTAATACGCTCAAGAGCATAATCCAGCTGGTGTACTTTGGCGTCCACAATCTGAGAAATAAAGATACTTCGTAAAATTTACACAGGTTGCATAAATAACTAATGATCATTGACTACAGCTGCAGAATGGAAGCCCAAAAATATAAACAGTCCTTCCCACAGTAGGAGCCAGGCAACATTATTACAACAGTAACACAATTTACCTCGCCGATTTGGAAGAAGGATGACGGATCTAAAGTTCCATCCCATGATATTTCAGATTGGTGGATCAAAGCTGGCACACCTTCGACCTAAGAAAACAATTCAGTTAAAAGATGCGAAAAATCTTCTCGTGAAAGCAGATGAAAGCGAGGAAGATAGACCGATCTTAGATACCTCAACAAATATACCGAAGTAAGTTATCTTCTTAACGCAACATTTCACCACATCCCCAATACTAAGCTTTGCCTGTATTATCAAAGAGAGAGGCACTAAAGCTGTGCTATATTATATTCTTAAAATCAGGCTGGATGCTCTGTTCATAAATGTACAGTAAAAGGTTCTAGAGGAAGACATAATACACATTGAATTGCTTACATGGATTGATGGATCCTATGTATGCAAAGCATCGATTCTTAGTAAACACAAAATAAAAAACCAACGCATTGCTATTCCCTACACAAACGAAGCATACTGAATATTCTCCTAAATATTAAATAAGAGTTACCATATCTTTCTCTCATATTTTTAACTATCTGACATGGTTCTTAGCCATGATAAAAGAATACGCCTCCAACGACAGTAATACCCTAGACGGAAATGCCACCTAGACGATGTAATACGATGGGAATATCCAACGGAAGCATAGCCTTTAAATAAATAATATTAATATCTTAGATATAAATAAGATGAATTTTATTGAAAGAGAGGAATCAGATTATCATTTTATGCCATCAACGACAGTAATACCCTAGACGGAAATGCCACCTAGACGATGTAATACGTGAGCAGGAGTTTCTTCCCAAACATGCAAACATACAGTTAGGAAAGTTCTTTGGAACCAGGCTATCAGGCCACTGACATACCATGAGGCTTCTCTTTCTTTCCACCATTTCCTCCTTTTCTTTGGGTCTTCCAGAAAATATTAACTTCCTTGACTTTTGATCGACGAGAACCACAGAAACCCTAATTACCTGTAACAAAAATCAAGGCAAGATCGATATAGAATTCAACGGAGAACACTCCAATTTTCCACCCAAAAATGATCCAAACGATGGAAAAATTGTCCAACCTGACCAATAAAGGATGAAAGAAATTTGATTTTTTCTTGGTCATAGATGTCAAGGAGTTCTTCAAATTTCATATCTGGTGTCAATTTGTCAGTCTCTCTATATCCTTCCATCAAATTATCATTCGACTCCACAAAACTCTTCTTCTGGACTTCGTAACTTCCCATGATACTCAATTTCTGACGATACAGGGAAGGGTCAAGCCCTTTTTTCCGCAACCATGATTCAAAAGCTAAAAATTTCCATTTAGCACCAATATTTCGATAAGGCAGGAAGCCTATCAACGACCCAAATGATACCTTCAGAAATAGAAAATTTTAGTTAATAAATAAAATGGAATGGATGTGAGGAATATAATAGTAGATAGGCTTCAGTGACGAACTCACAACAAAACCTCTGCTACTACAGCTGATGAGCTCCACCTCTGTTCTTTCTCCTGTTTGAAGCAAGTCTTCTGCTCTTCTCCAATCGTACACTTCATGTGCCTATCAGCTCATAGTAGAATATATATATATATATATATATATATATATATATATATATATATATCCAGTATCAGCATTCTCTTGTCTTTGTAAAATTCTCACGAGCAGAAATTATCAACAATACTTCATGCAGGCTACAGCTGTGCTTACCTCTTGTTTCACAGATGGCAAGGGTTCAATATCAGCGACATCATGGTCTTTATAATCCAAATTCACAGGGTCTGCTTTAACAAGATCAGACGTTTCTTTCACAGGGGGATCCAACCTAAAATAACGAAACTTCATAAGCAGCTAGAAGATAAGCAATGAATATTAACTTGGCAGAAAAGTTCCATTAATTGAGATTTATAGAATATCAAGGATTCAACAAAATACTCACATTATCTATGCTTATTCTTTTTTTGAAATAGAAGGAAGCGAAAAAAAAAATATAGGGTGAGATGGATGAAGAAACCTAAAAAAAGGGATCCTATAATTAACCCTGAGCGTAGGTTTCTCCTTTTTCTAGATAAACCCTCATATCTCACTATCAAGGAAACTACCAGGCATCACAGTTTGTCATCCAAAAGCACAGAGTTTGTCATCCGCGTTCAAAACGAAGTAGTCAGAAGTAACTGAAGCGAATAATTTGCAATTAAAATCTATCTCATGAAAAAATGAAGATAAAGAAGGTGAGAGAATTGTCGGTTAATAGAGAAAATGTGGAATCACAATCAAAATTGATATATCCAGAGGGAATAGTGGTAATCACGTGAGTGATGATTAGGCTTTGAGAACTCATACAAATCAGATCCGTTCTTGATACTCTGACACTCAATTCGCATTAGGTTACAGTCAGATTACATAGTTGAAACCTCCCGATGGAATCAATTATTAGAACCTGACCATGGTCTCACGGAAATATAACCCACTTTCCGGCGCACCTAAATCAGTGCAAAACCCAACTCAAAATTTAATTTTATAAGTCCTACTGTGATACTGAGTGACTCAACCTTAAAAATGAAGATGAAATTAATATGTACTAAAACATAACTCAATAAAGACATCGATGGGACTAAAGTACACAAGAAGAAGTGTAATGAGGACCTCTGCGGTTTCCCATGTAGAGCGACTTGTGGAGCAGCACTTTCATCATTCACGCCTGAGGTTAGCCCTGTAAATTATGAGAGGGGTGTTTATTCCGCATCAGTTATAACACCCAACTGTTGAAAGAGTAAATCATAATTATGCAAACGATTTTCACCCCCAAGCAAAGGAATTCAGGTAATAAACTGCCCATTACCTATGTCTGAAGCATCATCACCTTCAGGGGACAATTGTACGTTAACATCTTCGTCATCTATCATGCCTACAGTAGCAGTTCCGTCAGAAAAATTCAGGGACTCCGGTGCAGATTCCACCGCATCATTTTTTGCTGGCATTGAAGGCTTTGGTGCCGAAGTTGGGCTTGAGAGAAAAGTATCGACATTTGTGGCCGCCTCATTTGAACTTGATCTAAAAGAATCACTAGGAGGCAATCCACCTTGGTCAGGAGGAATCGGGGAAATCTTCACGACCTCAGGCTTCTTCAACAAAGTTACATCACTCAAACTGTCGCTTGGGCCCTTCTTCATTGTCAATGCCAGGTTTGGTTTGATCCTGAATTTTGACGGCTTCTCAAGCTCAATGTCATCTCCTTGCAGGGGAGCTGGCTTCCGCAGCGTGACCTTGGATGTGTCATCCTTATTGGCAGTTCTCTCTACTGGCTTGCTTGATTGCGGCAAGGATGCTGGAATAGGCTTCTCACTAGCTTTAGCGGCTTTCATCTTCTTATCCATAGCTGGGCGCAGCAAATTCAATCTGTTATCATCAACAGATCTCCTGGGAGGCGTAGGGGCTGGCAAACTTGATGGAGAACGAGGTGACTCCCCTGTTGCTTTGAACTTTGCACCAGCAGCATCACTGGTAAGCTCTTCCCCGTAATCTATTTGACCTTTTTTCTTGAGAAACGATTTTTCGATTTCCAAGTAAGAGGCGTCCGGATTAGCTTTCCTCCCCATTATCTGCACAAACCGCATTCCGTGAGACGCGTCGTCCAGTCATCGGCATCGAGCGAGAGCCCCACGAAAAGATACACTGACGATGGAAACAAAGGTATGCATAGACGATAGATCAAAATCCTCACGACAGCCTTCCACAAGGTTTGTGGACTGAAACAGTTTCGATACCCCTTACCTTCGCGAGGGTCAGCTTCGGGTCCTCCCCGAGAAGTCTCCCGAACTTGAGCTCCATCTGGTCCCACTTGTCAAACTCCGGCTTGCCGCCACCATCTCGATTGGCGAGGCAGACCAGAGAGGAACGCGACCGGCGGCCAGGCAAGCACCAATTATTCTCCTTCTTGCGGGAAGTAGTGGAAGGCAACAGAGTGATAAACCTCCCACCGGAGGCGCTGGAGGCGGTACTGAAACCATCCATGCGGTGCGCAGAGAGGCCACTGGAACTCATCAAATCAAACTCCCGCGGCGGACGCGCATCCCAGGGGAGCCTCCGCAGAGAAGCAGGAGGAGTTTTGGCGGGAAGGAGGAAGCAGAAGTGGAACCGGAGATCGGATAACGCGACCTCCTCCCCACCGTTTATAGCCTACAGCGAGGGGTCCAGGGGGACAGGGAGACTTCGCCACGCCACCTCCCCCCGCGAAGCTCCGAGAACTTCCCTTCGGCAACGGCGTCCCAGTCACTCCCCCCCCCCCCTGAAACGAGTGGTCAAGGCGCCCACTCAACTTCGAATCTCCGCTTACTTCCTCTATAACGATCCCTCTCGTTGTGATAACGTTCAGGCTGTGGCTAGTCCTTATATCTAGGCCCAAGCTCTCTCTCTCTCTCTCTTCCTCTCTCTCTTCATGTGGGCAATCACGGGCCGAAGATGATAGAGCTCGTGCGATCGGATCATCATGGAGATCAGAGGAAAATAAAAATGCCAACCAAACCCATGGGGTCTGTCTCGAGGAAGAAGAACCAGTCTCATGGGGGGGGAGGGGGGGGGGGGCGTTGACCCTGGCGGCAATGCCGTCTCCGGATCGAATGGTGGTTCTTCTATACAGATTTGTTTTTTTTTTCTTCCTTCCAATTTATGGGGGGGGAAGAGTCAGCTATACAAATTCTCGGATAAAGAAGATCGGTTTTTTACTAATAATGGTACCTGGTTGTGCTCCTAGATTGCCAAGGTTCCTTCTGGGACTTGGTTTTCGTCTGGATCAGTGGGCTGCTGCTTGGGCCTGGACATGACCCGGGAGAAGCCATAGCCTAGGGAGCTTCCGCTGGCTTGGCACAGCTGCAATTCGTCAGAAGAGTGAGAGAAGGAATTGCAGGTGAGCTGGGTCCAATGAAGACTGATTTTCTATCTACAGAACCTCGGTGAGCTCGGAGAGATGGCGGCTCCGGAACTCGTTGATGGTGGCGGCGATTTCCGAAGTCGGCAACTTAACCTGCCCCAAAATGGCCCGGAGATCAGAACATGCCATATAAAGAGAGGGTCGAGAGAGGTCGTACCTGGGAAAGAACAGCCGCCGCCAGCTGAAGACTCGGCTCCAGGGTCTCTGGGACGACCTTCAAATTGCGAAGAACAATCGGATCAGGAACAGGTCAACGGGCTCATAAGAATTTTTATGATAATTATTATTTTTGTATGGGGGGGTAGAAGGGGGAGGTACCGCAGTGGCGCCGGCCTTTTCCAAATTAAGGCCGTGGTCAACGTCGTGGGCTCGGACAAATGTCTTCACATTGGGGAAGTACTTGCTCAGGGCCCAGACAGTACGATAGTTTGCGCCGGGAGAGTCCAGGGTAATGGCGGCGGCGCAGGCTCTCTCGGCGCCAACTTTGTGGAGGACCTGGCAGGAACAGGATGAAGAAGATTTATTACTAAATCGGTGGATGAGATGAAGAAAGACGGCATGAGAGAGAATCTACCTCTCGGCTGCCAGCGTCCCCGAAGTACACTGGCAGGTCGAGCGCACGTCCCACGGCCACCCGGTCACTGGAAAGTACAGAATTTCGTATGAACCCTAAACATGTTCATATGAACCGCGGAACTTTGATGATCTAACTTACATTGGATCAAAATGTTATAAAAATAAAATTACCTCCTGACATCGAGAGCAACGAAAGGAATCAAACGCTCGGAGAGAAGCTGGGCGATGATCTGCGGTAGAGGGAACCCAAGAAAAAAAGCTTGAGAAATCATTTATAGCAAGAACATGAAGATATTTGAGGAAATCTATCTGAGCAAGCGAAGTTGACCTGGCCCACGCGGCCGAACCCGCAGATGATGATATGATCTTGCAAATCGTCTGTCTGCATGCAAGAAAAATCAGGCAGGAGATACAGCAGACACCAAGAGTAGAAAAGTCGGCAAGATATATGAGGGTGGGTTCTTCTGATATTTTCGAGATCCTTGCACGCACTTGCAATACGACTTATTCGTGATTATGTATAGAAAAAGTCAACGGCCAGCTTGAGGATCCTGGAACTTTACCTCACTCTCTACAGGCAACAGACTGCGCACGTCATTCTGCTCGAAGCGAGATGCAAGGAACTGGCCTCCGGCAGCTAGCCATGGTGTAAGAGCCATCGAGAGACCGACTACTAAAAATAACAGTGACGAACTTTGCGAGGATAATATGCCCTGTAATGAATGTTCAAGAACGAAAGGATGAGCTGGAGCCCCACAAATTTATTTATTTTTTTTCCACTTTTTAAAATCATTCTGTGGATTTGAAAATGAGAATGACAAGTATTATTAGGTAGTTAATAAAGTTATATGGAGTTCATGCTGATGAACCCAAAACCAAACCAGCAAGCAGAAGTCTAATAAAATGATAACCTGGGATGATTTCTATAAATATTATGGCACTGCTAATAGATCATCGCTTCTGATTATGGAATCCTTGCGATTCTGAGGTTCTGTGAATAACTGACCTGATTTACAGCTTCCCCAAATGCGACGAAAGCGAATTCTCCACCGGGTGCAAGCAGAAGTCCAACTCTTATTGCTGCTATGGTTGAAATGCCAAAGGCTCTGCCTACAAAGGCCACCAACACAGTCTTGCCAACGATTAAGAAGCTCAGCATTCCCATAATGATGGGGAAGTTTGATAAAAGTAGCTTTGGATCAATAGACATTCCGACCTACAGATTCATAGAAAACAGAAAATAAATGAAATGATAAGTAAGCCACTGTGCCAGCAGACATCCACTCAAAGAAAAAAAAAGACGGAGAGAGAAAATCTTTAACAAATCATATATTAATATGACAGAAGATGAAACATAAACCAATTGCATGTAGAAGAAATACGAGTAAAAGAGCAAACTCATATGCTATGGGATTGAAGAAGATGATATTGACTTAGACGCAAAACAATGAGGTATAGCCTTAAACATGGAAGATATAAGTTTTAAGAGCAGGAGTACCCCAGTATAGCCTTCAACGCTAGAGGCTCCTAAGAAATGTCAGTACCCCAGTATTATCCCAAATCATGTGATGAATTGAATCGATTCTAGTTGATTGAATTTGGGATTGATTTCTACCCTGAATATGAGTAGTAGAACCTTGGATGAGATGATAATCGGCATCTTATTATAGATTTTTCTGAATGTTGGAGCATCTAAATTCAGCACATATGGCATGTACTAGGATGGACTTCACAGAACTGACCATCAGATGGACGGAGCTCTAAAAATTGCGATGGAGTCAAGATGAACAATGATCAAATATTCCTATGGTGAAAGAATTGGATGATCTAAACCAGAAGGAACTAACTCATTGATCAGAGAAAACTTACTATTTCAGTGTTGGTGTTTTAGGGCTCTTGGGATTCTCATACTTTGCATCACTTTCGACAAATTTATTTCAACAAATCATTTAGACCTTTTGGTTTCTCCATGGTCATTGAGATGGTGCATGAATACACCCGAATTACAATGGCCTCCCAGACAAAAATTAAAAAACTTACAAAAACCAAACGAATCTGAAAGTGAACAAATGTTCGTTTCTTGCCAGAGACGACTGGATATGCCATAAATGATAAAGAACTTTATGAGGAAACCAAAACAAGCAGAGTGGAGAAATAAGATTGGACCACAACTGCCACCGTAGAGGTTGAAGTGTTGAAGAGTATTTCTTCGTACTCGGAACAAAATTCCCAGACAGGTGTAGGCAGCAACGTAAATATTTCAGCAATAAGATGATTTTCATGGCTAAGTCTATAATGAAAAAGATAACATAAAGAGAAGCATTGAAACAATTTAATAAATTCTCGATTATGCTCTGGATAAGAAAACCTCTGCTGGCATAATAAACTACATCTTCGAACTCTCCAGTTTATGAAAACAAAAGACCCATTCTGATATATAAGAAACATAGTGAAAGGAGAAGCACTCACTGTCATAAAGAAGAGACCTAACAGAAGCCCTCGATATGGTGCAATATCTGATTCAACTTGCAGGGAAAATTCAGTCTCAGCGAGAAGCAAACCAGCCAAAAATGCACCCAGAGCCATTGAAAGTCCCGCCTGACAGGGAACATAACTAAAGATTAATGATCAAAAAAAGAAGAGGAAAATTGTGTCATACGCCTACTTACCCTTGCTGTGAGTAGGCTAGTTCCCAGGATAACAAGAAGAGTATTTGCAGAAAAAATCTCTGCATTTTGATTCTCAGCTATTTGCTTGTAGATTGGCCGAAGTAACTGCCGATTTAAAAATTAAAATGGTAATTATTGCGAGTCGGCTGTCAAAATCTAAAGAAGCAGAAAATTTCACATAGTTACGCTAAAGAAACATTTGCAACTACATCCTCAGATCAATTGTGATATAAATAAGTTTTACGTCATATGCCATCCCTTTAATCTTCTAAAACGCAGTATTTAGAAGTTAAGAAGTTGATATTATTATTGGGCAAGAGTGCTGCGGGAAGCATTTATTCAGTCCACAACATACTGCCGCAACCAGTCTCAAATGCAAGGTGAGTTAAATTTTGCCATTCATAAAAGCTTTACCAAACGTCCGCCTGCAATTATGGCAGAAATAGCCACCATTGCTTTCACAGCAGCTAATCCAAGAGCCTCGGCTATGGCCTGAAAGCCAACCTGAGAGAAGGATGCACCAAGAGAAAGAGAAAGAGTCACTTCCGTCACACGAGGCTTAAATATGATACGTACCTTGAAACTGAGCGAAATATGTTATAAACGTAAGTGAGAAGCCATCTGGCATATATAAGTATCACAGAAAAAACAGTTCATCTTGTCCACATAAAGAATGCAAAAGTATATAGAAATGCTGACCATAGCATATTTATGTTGTAAGTTTTAAAGGTAAATACAGAAAGACACTAATACATTATCGTTTTACAAAGAGGAGATTTGATTTCTTATCAAGTCGACAAGAATCTGGAATCAGGCAATTAAAATGGGATCGTCGTGACAAGTTCAGTCTCTTTTGAAAGAAATAGAAATAAATACACCACGCAATAGAACCATTGAGGCATATTTACTTTTAAATTTTTATTTACAATGAGGACTTATGCAGTTATAGATACAACAATGTGTTTAACCAACTAATATGTGTCACGTTGGTAGAAAGGGCATGCATTTGGAGGTCGATCAACCTAACACCAAGATGACTCTGCTCCGAGAAATGGACTAGCCCATCTCTTTCCCTTCCAGGTTTTCATTGTACCTCCCTCGGGGCCCTCCAACTAACACGAGATCATTGCATTATTATTCAGCATTAAGGTTAGGATCATAAATATATATAGGACTTGATGTGGGAAAGGGGCAATGAAATTTCCAAGTACATATGTGCCATTTTAACTACTGACTATCATTGTCATTGAATTTTTGCTACAGCATTCTACCAGTTTATACCGATCACGCAAATTTAGAAAAAAAAAACTGATAGGAATGGATACTGTCTCATAGTGTTTATTTTGAGAAGACTTTTATGATAGTTTTTGGGCGGTGATAGTTCGGAGAAACCAAGTGAACCTGCTCATTGTTAATGGTTCACTCCGTGGCATTGACTTTTTCAATGTTTACTAAACCAATTACTGTGAGTTAGAAATAGTGGTGGCAAAGACACCAGAGACAAATCCGTATGAAGTCACTATAGTGGCTGAAGCTGATGTTTTGGAGGTCATGACAGGATATACGAAAGAAAGTATTATAGCACTCGTACAATATTTTCTCACTCCTTAAATATCTATACTGATGTGCCAGATTTACTGCTTCCACAGCTGTGTTGCAAGCTCGGTTTATGATATTTATGCTGCTTACAGGTTCCCAAAATTTTATGTGCATTAGTGCTGTGACCCAAGTGACAGAGCTTCAACATGATGTATGCCTGGTGTGATTATATAGGGACTCACAGATCACCACAAGATGGAAAGAATAAACTTGGATCTATGTCACTGAGAATGTTTTGAAGGAAATGCGAAATTGTAGTAACAAAATAAATGGACGGAGGAATACTACGAACAATTAAATTAAAAGTACCGACTGCCATGCTCAGAAGTAATTCCTTGTTAATTCGTATGGAAGCAGAACTATACAGCGTCTAAGTTTACTATCGGTAATGTTCATATTTCTGGCGCTTCTACCAACATGAAATGCAAACATATTTCTTACGACTCTGGTCTACTTCTTGGTGGAATAATAGTTTGGCCGCAAACATAACAAATGGTTGTCAGGAGCTTGGCATGGTCTAACAAAGTCTGGATTGGGTCATCAGGAGTAGCAACCAAGTCCTAAACTGAGTATGCGAACTTAATGATGACATGATTAATCATAAAGAGCAATGACAACATTATGAACATTACAGAAATGAAAATCACATCAATTTCCAAAGCAGGATTAATGATTACAAAGCTAAAGAATACTAAGAAGGAAAAAAATTAGATCAGGATAGATGTTATAGTGCAGACCCCCAATAGAAATATTTATTTCTTACCCCTCCTTTGGATGAGTTTGGTGATATGAGAGGTATTAAGATAAGCAGCACAACAACAGCCAGGTCCTGGCACGGAAACATGAAAAATAAGCATTCATCAATTAAGTGTGGGTGATCAAAGTTTCAAAAATATTACTCATAAATAACCATCTTTATCAAAGAAACAAAATGACGTTTCTTACTATACAATGCCAGCAGAACTATCTCGTTCAAATCAATTATCATTGAAGCTTCTTTGTCACAACAGGACTATTTGGATCATGATTAAACCACAGAGAACATTCTAAAAAAATACGTCAATGCTGCATGCACGACTACAGATCATGGAATCAAACCAATAAAAAATTAAAAAAATAGATGAGGATCTCCGGCAGCTTTGAAGGTTACAACTTCTCATATGAGGCTACTCTAACATAACATCAGAGGTAAACCTTAAGACATTGGGTCCTGCCAAAGTTCAAAAGGATGGCTTATCCCTTCGAGACAGGTTTCCCTCTTTTAGCCACGTCCAGCGTAAAATGTTGAATACTGAAAGGTCAAAAAACCAAAGCACTAATGCGGATGAATGGAAAACTTCTCGCACCCCTAGGATGCCAATAGAGAGGTCTCGAATTCCCAATTAAATATGATTTCTCATGTGATAGGGATGTCATTCATCCAGTTTTCAGCCTATTTATCTCTCAAATCATGATAATCCATTGTCTTTCCCTATCACACTCCATCTCGCAAGCTTTCATTAGCTCCACTTTTTCAAAATAATCAACTTTCTACCACTTGAAATGAAAAAGATCAACAAGTTCCTCTTCCAGATATTAAACTAAACAGGTGAAGGTTGAAAAAATCCAGGCTTCAAAAACCAGGTAACGAGGCCTATGATCAGATTTCTACCACTTGAAACGAAAAGGATAAACAAGTTCCTTTTCCAGATATTAAACTAACCAGGTAAGGGTTGAAAAAACCCAGGCTTCAAAAACCAGGTTCCACTACTCCCAGGCTTAACAACGCTCACATCTTCACCAAAAAAACTCTATCTCAAGTATCGCACAAATTCCTTTGTTGTTAACATGAATGCTAAACAAGAATATCTTCAGGGTGTTACTAAATAGAATAACGCAAACTCAGTAATTGAAATCCGAGTCAATTGCATCACAATGTCAATGATTTTTTAGCCGGCCAAAGAATCAGAGATGGCAGTTGATGAAGATGTCATGAACAATAAAACAATTATCAACAAAAAAGTTCTACCTGAAACAGTAAAACAGAAAATGTCGCACGCCCATGGCGTGATGTGCTTTCCCCTCTTTCTTGAAGCACCTGAAGATGAGAAGGGCCAAGAATATGAGTTGAATATTAACGCGAATAACTTGGCTTAAAGGATCATTAACAAGTTCTAACAATTCCCTCAAACTGAAACTCGAGATTTTGAAGAAAAGAAAACAGACGATGGCCGGAAAAAAAAGAGAAAATTGAAAAAGCTAGTCCACGGTACATAAAATCTCACAATTAACCAGAACTTACAAACGTTTGCTCTAATTATGGTCGTGAATGAGGAAAACATCACTCTTACTGACATTGTAATGCATGTCAGCTTTCTTGTTATGAAGAGTTATCATAGTAAAAGTATTGTGGCGTGTATGTTTTTGTTGGTGTAAAAAATGATCAGATTAAAGTCGATATTCATCGTCAATTGAGCAAAATGTTCAGAATGCCATAAGATTTCTATCTCTGATATCAACCATGTGTTTCCCACATGAACATGTTTATCTAAATCATGAATCTTATTCTACAATCATCATCACAAAACCACATAGCAGCAACTCAAAGTATAACTGCTGTCCACAAAACGGCTCAACACAATTGAAGAAAAGGAATTAAATTTAAGAAGAGAGGGGTTAAAAGTTCCTTCCCAGCGGTAATAATGGTGCGTGATCACCACAATCTACAGCCGTTCCCTCGAATCGGTACTTAAACAGTTTCTAAAATGGCAGAAATCTTTCGAAAGTCAGGTTTTGAAAAGCCAGCTGGCAACATTCAGCATTCTTTAAAACTCTCCCCCAATTAATTACTTGACACTCAACCCTCTTCATCACCATGCAGTGAAAATAAACTCACAATGGGGAGCAACCTCGTGGAGATTCAAAATAGACGGGAAACACATGTGATATTACCCTGCATTGAATAATGTTGGTTCATATATCCCAACAGTCTCCCCCAAACTTCCTGCACAATTCTCTCCAAATAACTTCAGCAACAAAAACTACAAGCAAAATTCCTCAGCCTACAATAACCACAGATTCAGTAGGCAATGACTTATGCACAACCCTTCAATGGCACCCTTCTAAGAACTAATGCACAGCGTAATAAAATACATATTTTATTTTATTTTACCAATGAAAGAAGTAACTGAAGTGCATTTGCTTAGCAATCCGAGCATAGGAAGCTGGGTATCCACGGTATACCCCATCATGGTGTAAAATGAGACCTAATTATGATTACTAATAAATGCACTAGAGTTTCCAATCAACAGATTTATTATGCTCGGTAATCTCATTCTCCTTATTCATTCCACAAATCAAATAAAGGTTAAACTCCCGTAAAAATATTTTTCTGAAAAAGACCACATTCACAAAAACATATTTATAAATGGAATATTTGCTTTCGACTGCACACATGCTTAGAACAATTGTCTTGGATTTCTGATCCTTTTCACTGATAATTTGACAAAAAGCAAAGAACAGGAAATGTGGAGGCTGCCATGAGGGAGTTTTATGAAGATAAAGCTTCTGGTGTACGATTATTTAACTCATCTCTCGCGGGGGGGAGGAGGATGTTCATAAAAAAGGAACATAGAAGCATTATTATCATGGCCGACGGCAGATATTCTATTAAAAAAATGGACTAGAAGATGATACCTGTAGGACCACAGCTGTAGAAGACAGAGCCAGGCCATTACCAATAACAATGGCCGCAGGACCTGGCTGACCACAGCAAATGTGAGCAATCAAGCCAAGTGCAGTAGCTGTTGCCAGCACCTAGAAATTTTCACCAATATTTTACGTTGTCAGATGACTCTTCAGCAAACATATCACGAGCATGAATATCCGAGAACCCTGCCCATCACCTGTGCAGTGCCTAATCCAAAGACGTATTTCTTCATGGAACTTAGTCTTTCCACTGATAGCTGCAATATGAAAATAGTTCATCTAGCAGCAGTTTCTGAACAAAGGGAAAAAATAAAACTTTCGAGCAAGTTATTTCCTTCGTAATGAGAGAAAAAACAACGTTTGAGGTTTCAGAATATTACCTCAAGTCCAATGTTAAACAGCAAAAACACAACTCCAAATTCAGCAATGGCCTTCGTCCCATGAACATAATGAATGATAGAGAGACCGAAAGGTCCAATCAAGACACCAGCAGCCAAGTATCCGAGTACAGGGCTACCTATAGCGTAAAGTGGTAGAAAAAAAAGAAGAAGAAACGTTATGGACAAAAAAGAAGGACACTCAAAAATAGACTCCGATACTCAAAAATATAACTAGTTTTAAGGATCATGCTAAGTAGAAAATGAATAGTAGCATAATACTTCAAAAATCAGACAAATGACATATATAGCCTAGAGGGAAAAAGCCATCATCAGTATATAGAGCATAATTAACAAACTAAACCTGCAATGATTGTCATACACCTACAGTGTTAGTATTGCAACAGTTATATGAAAAATATTTGGATTTATTTATATTAGTAATAAAGGTATCCTTCAATGACAATTGGCGGAAAAACAGTAGAGTCAAATGTGGGCATACTTGGGAAACGCTTTACTATAGAATATAAACTTAAAGGTTTCATATTGGTCTGCATACCAGATCTTAAATCCTATCAGTCTGAGGTCGTCTGGGATCCTAGATTTGACAAGAAACGGAGACCAGTTGCATGAGATATTGACTCTGCCTACATAGGGGTCGGAGCAGCCGACACCTGCTGTCCACATCAGCAATGCTGAATATGCAATTAATCAATTTTCCCTCTAGAAGTTTGACATACAATGGTTTCATCACTTTACCCTCGCACAGGTGAGCACATTAAATGTGCTCTGAGGGGTTGTCTAGTTGTACTGGCAAGGTGGGAGACAAGTTCTTTTACTGGTCCATCAGAAAATAGAAAGATCTATGATGCAACAAGATATTATGGAAAATGCGGACTTACCTCCTGGAATTTTCTGGAATAAGGGTACAAATATAACACTTGCCAGAAGTAACCATAGCATGTCAAAGAGAGAGGCTTCCTCTTCATTGACCTTGAAAGAAAAGTGTGCGCAAGTTAGTTGAGAATTCTTTTCACTCAGATGGGATAGTATGTATCAAGCAATGGACCAAACCTACAGTAGAAGCCACAGAAAACGTCTAAAGGGTATAAAAAAAAATTAAATACCTCTTGATGCGGTAACAACTCAATAAGTTTCCTCGCTCTCTCAGGAAATCTCTGAAACTCTCGAAGAACAGGATGTGCAGCAGAGGTTGCTTCCTCCATCTCAGTAATACTATCTGGCTGCTGAAGAAACTGAGCTTTCCTTTCTGCTCTATTGTTGAGGACAAAAACCCTGTCATAATAGTAGTAATCCAAGTGGTCAGTACAGATCAATCTGACTCTCAAATTAGAATATTCCGTATCATTGTTAAGGGGTACTAAAACATTTGCACTTAGAAATGCACAAAAATACTTCCTCAATCAACAATAATGGAATTTAATTCTAATTTTCTCATTAACCATCTCGCACTTTTCAGCAATTTACCTAAACTGAAAAATAGTGACTACAGGATTTCTGAACCAATTGGCAATCAAAACCAAATTAACGAAAAATCAATGTGCACTGAAGATAAATACTGAAAACTCACCCTAGCCCAAGTAGCAGAATTCCAAAGACCACCTTAGGTACCTGCTTCCTAGCCGTAGAAATAAGACCATGGAATACTGAGGCAGGGGTGAACTCTTCTCCATCGACGTCGAATGAAAAAAATGAAGCAGAGAAAAATCGAGATGATTTATTCAGAAGTGTTTTTGGAGCAGTAGTAGGTGTAGGACTGTCCTTGGTAAACTCCTTCTGTTGTTGTACTTCCTGCTTCTTTGCCATAGTTATGTTTGCTGGCTTTTCTATTCCAATTTCTGCCTCTTTGTTGGACTCAGAGGATAACTTTCCATAATCCTGATCATGCAAGTCATCCAGAAATTTCAAATCTTCAATGCTTCGCACAGTGACATCACCAGCCGACAAGTCATTGCTCACCAGATCTTCAACATCTTCTCCAACACTAGCATCAAGAGCGATTCTTTCATCCCCCTCAGCAGGAGAAAGGATTTGACCTGATAGTTGCTCTTCAGATACCAACTTTTGTGACTCGGTGATATTCGAAGAGGAGGATGCCTCTGCTTTCTGTAATGCAATCTCTGCATCATTCACACGCTGTGCAGCCTCTAGTTCAAATGCCACAGCCTGTTCTGCCAAAACCATTATATTCGCCACCTCCTCTTCCGCCCTCAAAGCATCCAATTGAACCTTCTGGGCAATATCGTTCAGCCTATCCACTTCCTTCTGCAGCTCTGCCTTTTTTCCCTGTAACCGGTTCAACTCTACCTCACTGTTTTCCAAGCAAGACCTGCAAACCTTGATCTCTTCATGAGCAAGAAGTTCCTCCTGCTCGTAGTTCTCTATCAAAGTGTCGGATGAGTCATCTGCTTTGCTCTTTGAACCCAGAGCATCAACGGCTAATTGCAGCCTAGCTTCAGCAATCGAAAGGGCCATAGTGGCTTTCTGTACAGCTTCCTTAGCAGCATCCTCTTCATTAGTGATTTCCTGAACAGCAGAGACGGTGGAGGTAACATGATTCCAAGCACTTGATGCTTCGTCTTTCAATGCAATTGCTGATTCAGATATCTTCTGAGCTTTCTCTTCAAACATTGTACTGTTAAGTCGAGCAATCTCCAATTCTTTCATAGCCTTTTGAAGCAACTCCATCAAATCGTCAATAGTGGTGGCATCGTGCTCCTCCTCTGTTAGAAAATTTGACAGAGGGTCAGAAACACTGGTTGCCGCCGTGCTTTCCATCTGAGATTGCTTCATTTCTGATGGAGAAGTTGGAAACTCCACATTTGGGCTGTTACCATCGACGAGAGGCAACGAATCATTCGCCTGACACTGCACGCGCACTGATGTTATCCGTATGCCGCATAATGATCCCGCTGACGACTGAAAATTCAAAGAATGGCCAAGTTGTCTACCACAACACGAGTCACGCGATAAGCTGCTGCTAACAAAAACCCGGTTGTTAGTTGTCTTTGTACAGCGTGATTTGCAGAAAACCCTACGGCTTCCACGAAAACTTAGAGTGCCTCCTCTGCATGTATCCCTGAGAACCCAGGGATTCCTAGCGATCCCGGCACTGACAACGTCCGGATGACGAAGAGTGCACGAGACATCCATGTCTTCACTTCTTTGTAAAAAGGCACCACGTTTCCAGCATCCACCCGGGCAAATCACCCGATCAGCGACATGGAGCTAGGTCTAATCAATCGAAAGGCCGAAGTCAGTCATACATAAACAGATTTAAACAACCAACTCAGAGTCGGCGAATGAACAGACATCGACGGTATAAACCCCAGCCGGCGGCAAGGTCTACGTCGCAACCTCTAAACGAATACTTACCAATGCGGTCCGCCAAAACCCTAGAAACCTCGAGAAAAAAAAAAAGGAAAAAGGAGAGGAAAGACAGTGACCTGTACTCTCGAGCACGAATGCAGAAGGTGAAATTGGGACGCTATCCGATGCCGATGAACTCAAGCTCAAGCTCCCGCAGCACACAATCCCCTGCGGAATCCCCTCTTCGTCAGAAGCAGACCAATGCCCGGAGGTACCGCTGCCACCGCCGCCGCCTTTTATACGCAGATATTCCCGCTCCCCTCAATAGCTGGTTAGGAGCGCATGCGAGAACAAGACGAAGGCGTTGCGACGGTTGAGCAAAGGTTAGCCGAACGCCCCCTAAACGTAAACCCCTATATTTTCTTTATTTGCGATTAACCCTCTCGGATCAAACAACGGGTATTTCCTCGGGATCCGGATATACTCAACGATTGGTTCCTGTATTTTTCGAAAAAACTCCCCGATATCTCCCTGATAGCCGGCTGGACGGACCAGATCGGCCGATGTGGCCATCCTCGCATTTTTACCCACGGATATAATATATTTATTTTTTAAAGTTCCACTATCCGATACCAAATATATAATTAATAAATAAATAAAACCAAGCCGGTTTTGTCTTGCCATCGAGCCGTCTTCTGGAGTGATCCAAACGTCTCGAGTCCTCTGAACAAGCGAAGCGCCGTCGTGGACCAGCTATGCGTCACGTGACGTTTTTTTATTAATGATTATGGTGAATATAATTATTGGATTACTATTACTTCTAACGAATAAAAAATAAGCTTATGCCTGGGACAATCCGTGACCGTGATTTTGACATCCCGTCTTCATTTCTGACAACCTTTTATTCGTCTATTCTCATTTAAATGCAATAATAATTTTTCACTTATTTTATCAATAATTAATTAATTATTATCGATATTGTCTTATTACCACGGCATTCACCACGAAATCGGCGCAAAAACCGTATATATTTTTATAAATTATGATTTATATACATATATCATTATTTCCCATATAAAGATATAATTCGTCATTTTTTAGACAAAACAATATAATATTTTTGAATATCGGGAGCTTAAATTATAGTTATTTCCTTATAAATTATAGAATTGATACGCAAAAAACCCGTGTATTATTTTATCTCAGAGGTAATATGCGCGTGTTATTATTTCCCTGGAAATAAATAAAATAACTCCAAAATTTTCCGAGAGAAAGACCGCCAACTGCGGTCGTGGGGTGAGTAAGGTGGTCTCGCGAGTCCACCCATGGCATAAGACCAGCTCGTGGGGTCCACACCAAAGTAGGCCCAGAGAGCAAAAGTTACAAAATCAACTTACTGCACGGAGGACCAAGTCGTACGTAGTCTCTCTCGCTCTCGCTCTCTCTCTCCTCTCTCACTCTCCTCTCTCTCTCTCTCCCCCCTCTCTCACTCTCCTCTCTCTCTCTCTCCCCCCTCTCTCACTCTCCTCTCTCCTCTCTCTCCCCCCCTCTCTCACTCTCCTCTCTCCTCTCTCTCTCTCTATATATAATATATATATATATTTATATATGCGGATGTGTTCGTATAAATATGCATTCGAGGGATGGTATTCTGATGTGCGCAGTTGTGGGAACGTATTTACGAGGGCATGGCTGGGAGGTGGTAAGGGAGTGTGAGGAAGCGACTGCAGGGGAGGTAGCAATACGAGAGGGACAGGAGAGATGGAGAAGTCGGTGGTGAACATCTACCCCCTGGGCAGCTACACATTCGGGACGAAGGAGCCGAAGATGGAGAAGGACACCTCCGTTGCCGATCGGCTGGCCCGGATGAAGGTCAAGTGAGTTTCCTTTATTCATCGGAAACCCTCGACAAACCCTAGTTTGTGGCCCCAGATTGGGGTCGCGCTTCTGGGGTTGTTTGGCTTCGGTCGTTGCTTCGGTTTTCGGTCGACGATCGTTTTCGTCTCACGTCGGACGAGTGATGAAGCCAAACCCTAGTGTCGAAGTTAGATCCTTCATCCTACGATGGAATACTCCCCACGCGGTTTTGTTAACTTTCGAAATTATCGCTACGATTCAGATGCTTGCTCTCTTCGAGTCGATGTATGATCTGCACCAGTGTGCCGTGGGACTTGTAAAAACTGTACTGCAGATCCGTTACAATTTGTATGTCACCGTCGCTTCATGCCATTGCCACATTTTCTGCAGTACCGCTCATGAAAATGAGCCGAAAATTAGGTCGACAATCTAGGAAACAGGTTGGTCGATGGAAAAATCCTTGTCGAGTGACAATACGTGTACCCTCTGCTCCTGAATCCGCTTTTAAAGAAGGGAAGCCCTTATTCTCCTCGAAGAGAATTCATTCTTCCAATTTTTCTTTAGCAACGAAGCCTCTCGTGGGTGTTTAGGATTCATTTGATAGTTTATTTTTGTTATCATTCACAGTGAACAGGGTAAATGATATCGATGGTTAATGATATCTACAATCAGGCCGAGTGCATATTTGACTGAATATGCACATCACATGCATGTTTTTCCTGTTCCTATTTGGCAGATTTTGTCTGCCATGCTGGTAATTGGAAAGCTCCTTTTACTTGAATTTATTGGTTGATTGATTTCCCCCTTTAACAGCTATATGAAGGAGGGTATGCGTACCAGTGTTGAAGGAATTCTATTGGTAAGCATTGTATGCTTACTTGCATTCCAATCCCACTGATTTTAGAAAAAAATTAATCGACGGGCCATGCAGTCATTATTTTATAATGTTTTTATCTTTTTCTTTCAAATCTCTACTAGGTTTCTCTTGCGATCTTCACTCTCTATCTCACATGCCTCCGGTTTCAGGTGCACGAGCACAACCATCCCCACGTACTGCTGCTTCAGATCGGGAACACCTTTTCCAAACTTCCTGGAGGACGGTTGAAGCCCGGAGAAAACGGTGAGCATTGATATTCCTTGTATCTGGAGGCTGGGCTGCCCCTCTGTCTTGTCACAGAAATTCTGCCTGCGACCCAGTGGTGTTCATGTTGATAAATTTGTGCAGAGATTGAGGGCCTGAAGAGGAAGCTTTCTGGCAAACTTGCACCCAGCTCGCTTCAACCAAATTGGCAGGCATGTTTCTTGACTTCCATTTCTTCCATTGGGCATGACAAGCTGAGCGATATTTTTCCTCTAAGAATGGGGAAGAAATGTCCTACCCATATTGTCCTTTATCCGTTTACCTCGTGAAAACTATGGGCATAACGCCTGTGGAAATCTGAATTTACAGATTGGTGAGTGTGTCGCTACTTGGTGGAGACCAAACTTTGAGACAATAATGTATCCATATTGCCCTCCTCACATCGCTAAGCCCAAGGTAAGTTGCCATTTCACAAAAAAATAAAAAATAAAAACAAAAAATCGTAGAATCTGGGTCGCATGAGATTCAGCTGTGCAACTTTTTTTTTTTTTAATGCTTACTGTATTCACTAATGGTGGTCGCATAAATTATATGGCAGGAGTGTAAGAAACTTTTCCTCGTACACCTATCCGAGCGGGAGTACTTTGCGGTGCCAAAGAACCTGAAGCTGCTGGCTGTTCCATTATTCGAGCTTTACGACAATGTTCAGGTATGAATGAACATCATCAGATCCGATGTGAAGAGAGATCCTCAGATCCTTCGTGAGTTTTGTTTATTTACCATAAGGGGTAGGCCTCTGTTTAACCTGATTAGATGTCACGATAACAGTGATGCCCATGCCATAAATATACCAACTCCATTTTTTTCACAGACCTTAGTTGCTGCTCGAGCCTGTTAGTTGCTACTCCTTTGCCATTGATTACGAATCCCATTAATCTACAAAACGGGCGAGGCTGATTCCATCCAAATGCTTCCAACTGTCGGGAGTCATCTAAAACAGTGGAAAATCATACATCCCTTGGGTCTGAGCGATTCTCCCCCACTGACATTATAAATGTGGTTGCAGAGATATGGGCCAGTCATCTCCACCATACCACAACAATTATCTCGGATGCAGTTCAACCTGGTTAACACGTGAATGAAGACAGAAGCTCAGTCTCCAGTCATCCAAGAGAAAGAGAGACTGGTCAGGTTTACTCATGTTTTTATGTAATTCGTTATTTAGCCTCTAGACATTCAAATAGCCTTGTAAACATGTCCTTTTCTCTCTCAAACTTAGATTTTTGGCCTTTTTCGTCATGATATTCCTATTGGCTCTGGGAGCCTTAATACTTTTGATGATGACAAAAGGGATCGAAGGGTAAAATGATAATTTCAGCCTGTAACAATTATGTTGAGATATTAGAAAAATGTCGGCATTGGCATAGCATTTCTATAACTCTTTAAATTCTTCCTAGTGATTTCAGGATTGATTGCATAACGAGATTGTTTCTTTCTATTTTTCGTATAGAGAGTCTGCTCAAGAGTCAACTCACGTGGCTGGAAGAGTTTTACACATCATTAGGAAAAAATACTCTCAAAGTTAATATAAAATTTTTAGAATATCAGAAACTCATTCAGTCAAATCAGATGAGACTTTTCTCAAAAATAAAATAAATTTTTTATGTTAAAAGTATATTTGAATATTTTTTGACCCTTGAAAATACTTGATCATGTTGAAAATGTAATATCATCATGTTTTTATGCAAGATTTTTGGCTTTATTTATACCCAGCTAAGAGTCACCTCAATGAAGTAAATATGTAAACATACGGCAACTAAAAAGTTATATCATCTTGAAATTAGTGGAAAATAGACCAAGTTATGAGTGCTAAAATTCTCAAAGAATTATCCAAAATTGATTACTATAAAAGAAATGCACTCCCTAATACTTGAGTTGAGAAAAAACCATTCAACAATATATGATCAACATCTCTACTTGAAGCATTTCAAAGCTTATTCTCACAAATTGCTTCTACATCTCTAGGCCACGAATTAGTGACATCTAAATTAACACTAAATTGTAAGAGTATTATATTGTTCTAAATTTGTAATTTAGTACTTATTAATATTGGCTTAAAAGCCATGAAACTATACAAATTAGTATCATGTTAATCTAATTGATTCCTCAGCATTGTGAATCTTAAATGAGTATTAGAAGAGATTAGTTTAATTGGAATCATATTGTTCAACATTTATATCACTAAAAGTTAGTGGAAGCTAAGCAGTGGCTGATCTTTAGAGAGTGGAGTAGGCGGAAAATGCCTTAATGTAAGAAATAATATTAAGAAAAATTACAACCCCCTCTTGTAACTTTTTTAGAGCTAACATTCAAATTCGTTATCAAACCTCTCTTTTAGATAAACCAACATTAGGGCTCAACATTTTCCCAAGGTTTTCTGATAGTGAAAAGGTAATTCTTTTGCTGATATTTATGTATATTTTTTAATAATAAAAGCGGAGAGAGAGAGAGAGAGAGAGAGAGAGAGAGAGGAAGGGGGGTGGGGGAGATGAGAATTTTAAGGATTGGCCCTATTGGCTGCTGCTCGTAGGCTTTCCAAAAAATGGTAGATTTGTCCTGCATGGGGCCCGTAGTAGAGAGAGAAGATCCCTTCGAGGCGGCCTACGCTGTCCGAAGCAGCCGCATGGTCTCCCAGGGACAGCTGAAGTGATGCGAGCTTCACCAACTCATTCCCAATAGCTATATGGCTGTCGTGGTAAAGCTTCTCTAGGATCTGCACAAAAGAGCAGCCAGCCAGACATTCACAAGGGGAAACCACAGAGCAAAACACAACCCCAGAAGAATTTCTCAACCACCACAGCCTTGGGAAATACTCCTCTCTAACATGCAAATACATACCTTTATTGATGCCTTGCAGTGCTCTAGAGCAGATTCAAGCTCCCCCGCCAAGCAGAATATCTCAGCCACGATGTCCTCTGCCTGCCCACATAAAAATCCAAACATTCATCACCTATTATCATGATCGAGGAAATTGACGTAGATTATTCAAGTATTTGATGAAATGAGACCCGAGCGAGATCCCTGCTGTATGCGTGCCTAACTGATCTCAGTTGCCCGAGGGCCTTCACAGCATGCCGGAGAACACCCGGTGGAGATTCTCTCAGCCTGTAAGAGAGTGGAAGCCGATTTGATTAGGCAAGAACAAGAAGATGACAAGTGTGTGTGTCTGTGTGTGTGTGCCTCTGAATCTCCAGAAGAGCAGCCTCCGCCAGAGAAGTTAACGATCTTGGGTCTAACTCCGAGCCACAGTTCAGACAAGATCCTGGGCGAATCTGGAGCCCGCTGTGAAGAAACAAGAGCCGCCCTATCTTATGGATCTCCTCCGTCTTCTGCAAGCAGACCGAGAGATCATCAGGGACATGAACCTTGGACTCACATAGCTTTGATCAGAGGATACAGAGGATGATTGCATACGGGAGGTGGATCCATGGAGCTTCCTCTTGCTGGGCAGCTCTCCAGGACCACACCAGGGCAAGCAGGGTTCATACACCGGAAAGCATTGATTAGCAGATCCGGCAGAGTAATGCCCATGCAGCCGCTGCACTGGCATGTGAAGAAATATTGATCTTTCAGTAGCCTCCGCCGTTCCTCCAGGCCCCACTGCCCAAGCTACGATAAAGATGGATACTTCTGGAGATGGGTCATGTTGAAGTTGCAGGGAGATATTTTAGGGTAATGGAGAAGTCTGGCACCTGGGGGCCGTAAGAGAGCTCCAGAGGGGATCCTGCCGGCACAGGCTCTGTTGAACGTAGGAGAAGCCTTCGCGAGAGGAAGTAAGCATGGAGGTTGGGCTGGCATGAGTGGTTGAACAGCCTGCCTGTTGAGTAGATCGCCTGCCCTACTCTGAGCTAGGTCGCATGAAGATGGCCAAAATAAAAGAACCATGGATGATGGGCCTTTCAAGAACCATGCATAGTATTATGATTAAGGTTTCTAAATATTCCACACAAGAAGCATTATTTCATTCCAAAATTGGACCATATAAGAGCTTTTCTGTGGGAAGATCAGATGCTAAATTGGGCAAGTAAAACACAACAAGACGACAGACCTGTTCTATGTTGGATGTTAAGGCCTTTTCGATTGAATAGGTCCCTCTGGCTTGCTGGAGACTCCTCATATGCACGATTGCCATGGAGTTGACCTTCATCTGAGACATGATTATGACCAGCTACAAGAAACCCGGGTAAAATGTCAATAACTAAAAGCAAGAACAATTTAAAGCGAAGATAAAATTGGATCTCTCGTCAAAACACAAACTGGTCTCTGGGATTTCAGCACAAGGTTTTGTCACTTCATTAGGGCATCAAGTAAACTGACGTTCTTTAGCACAGACCTGATGAAACTTGGAAGCCACTTCCGAACACCTCTGGTGAAAAAAACTGCTCAACTCATTTATCCAAGAACGAAAGATGCCCTACTTTGGCCACTTCCAATTCAAGATAAAAACTACAGTTTCTTAAAAAATTACAGTAGAGTGATCAAACTGCGAGGAAGAAGGTTCCTTGTCATGTAGAAAAGACATGACACGGTGTGAGACTCTTCGCTTGGCATGGGGCTATGTGCCAAGAAAATTCCTCTAGTCTAGTTTTAGTCCAGAGCATAAATACTAGGTAGGTCAACAGTTGTGAGGGCCCTACAAGATCCAAGTAACCAACGGGTCAAAGTGAGTTTTCAGCAAGAAGAGTGATATATTTCAATTGGACCCTTACTTGAAGATTGTATAAGATCACTGGCACTTGATATAGAGGCAAATAGTTGAATCCGAATTTAGACTACTAATTCCGAAGAAGATAAACTCACATTAAAACCACAATTTAGGAGCATTCGTTATTGCCTACCAATGCCAACAAACTACAAAAGTTGTCTTCCGTTTCCATGCAAAGTCAACAGCATGAAGTCTGAACTTTTTGAAGCTTTGTCAAACAAGCTCAAAACTGATTCTGAAGGATAATGGTCTGATGTTCAAAAACTAATCTCATAGATATTGAAATCTCACATACCTGAGCTGCAGAAACCCCCGTGAATGGGAAGTCGGAGCCGAAATAATGGTTCAGGCAACAAGAGAGGATTATTGAAAATATGTGTGATTCTAATTTGGTCCCTGAAGCCATCCGTGAATAATGATGAACAAAATCCTACCATGAAAAAATGAAATCATAACCTATTATTATAGCATATTAAATTGAGACAATAAAATACACCAGGAGAAAGCCATAAAAAAATACCAAAATTTCTTGAGATGTATCAGCCTTTGAAGGATGTTTTCTTTTATATATAACCTTTGCCATGACTCGGCAAACCAAAACGACATCAGCAGGCAGGACGGCAGACCAGTTCGACCCTCCGCATTCATGCTTGTGTTCAGCAAATTCCTGAAGGTTTTCATTAATCGAAGCACAGTACTGTTATTATGTTGTTTCCTGAAAGCCTGCGACAATGCTGACAATTTCTTACCTTTTTGGTTCCGTCTGATTTTCCAATTGCCTTTTCTTGGCATTGCTCGGAGCAGTACAATGGTATTGTACATGATGAACAGAAAATAACATCAGTGGGGAGTTCATTTAGACAAACATGGCAGTGAGTCTCCCGACAACTCTTCAAAATAATCTGTGAACCGTTGTTAGGAGTAAGAGACGAATCCCGTGCAACATTAGAAGCTAGAAATATGTTGAATTCAGTTATCCAGAATTGGTCAAATCATCATAAATCTAACGTTTCTCAACGTGATAGATTGCCATACCGCAGCCAAAGGTTCTTCATAATGGATTAAAGTACCCGGAGATATGCAGTTTAGTGAAATCATTCCATTTCCTTTAGCTTCTGTATATTTACATTGGAGCTCAGGCATGCTGTTACTTGGTTCAGAGGCTGAGAAAAAAAAAAAAAAAACGACATCTTAGCTTACAGAGAAATGAAATATGATACTAGAGTTCAGTAACTCAGATAGTTTACAAAATCAATCGGAATTTTGACCTCCACATAGGAAACAGAGCATCAGCCAAAGTCATCACTAATGACAAATGTGCTAGTATATTAAAGGTACTAAAATGATGAAATTTTTGAAAAACTTTGATCTAGCTGCCCAAAAATGAGGTTATATCATCACAGATGAAAATTAGGGATCCATTGTAAAAAAATTGAAAGGTTCTAAGATTGTAAAAGAAGGTTGTGGTTTTGTCTTCCCATTTCTCCCAGAATTCATGGAAAAGATGATCGGCGTGGAGGTTAACAGTAAAATTTACAAAGTTCCATTGTGAAGAAACGGCCTGAATTATCAACATTAAAGGGCACAGACTCAGATAATCATAAATAGTACCTATGAACATCAGGGCAGATTTCAACATATTTGCTACAAAAATAGGCATATTGCCTCGTTGAATATGCAGAGCACATTAGAAATTTACAGGACAGCAAGCTCCATTCAAATATGGTATCCCTAGTTATGGGGGGGGGGATAAGGAAACTTCAGCAGATTATGGGAGAATCCAAAGATTCTATGTAACTTCCACAGATTATGAGTGGTGTATAGGCTATGTAACTTGACTACAAGTACGAAATCCAGTCAGATAGTCGTTATATTATCAATAAGACAAGCTATCAAAATTGAAAGTCAAAGATGGCCATTTAATCCGGTGCTTTGACAAAGAAAATGCAACATAATAGAGGGACTTACAACGTGAACTCGTAGTTTCATTCATGGCGTGATTGGCCAAGTCGCTTGTCTCAACTGTGCCCTTGAAATAGCTTATAGCTATATCAAGATCTTTCTTGATATGGATCTTGCCGGAAGAAGAGCTTTCCATGCTCAAGGCAACTTCCAAATCATGAACTGCTTCTTTATAATTCTTTGACACGACATTAGCCTTTCCCCTCCTATACCATGCCTTGTCCAAAAAAGAAAAGGAAATAGAACATCACTAAATATTGGATGAAGCGAATATTAGTAAAATAAAAAAAATAAAAAAAAGGAAGAAAAGAAAAGAGAAGAAAAAGAAAAAGATAGCATGTGTTAGTTGCTACTGACGATTGTCTACATTCTTGTACCCACTGGGCTTTTCTGTTGTGCAAGCTCGGACTGGCCGCTGGGCTTGTAGACTCAACAGCCCAAAATATTATACATTCTAGCCACATCTGCTTGTGAGAAATTCCCTCCAAGAAGACCTCTTGATTAGGTTTCTTCAGCCTTCTCTATCTTGCTCTTCCTCTCCTTCAACAGTGGTCTTTACAGAAAGATTGAACTAAGAAAATAGTAGCGCATTCCAATATTTATGTTGTCATTTCCCAACCCTAAAGCAGGTGCATGAATTTTGCTTCAAGTTTTGTTGCATTCTTTCATCATATCTTTTCTTGGAAGTGAAGAGTACTGGTGAGTGCAGTTTAGTGTGTTCTCCGGTTCAGTAATTGATAATTGGTTTAAATAGCGCTACTGTGAATACAGATGAGAAATATGGGTATAATCAGTTCTCTAAAAAACCGACATATAAGAAAATAGGCATAAAGATGATGTAAACTCCTAGTAAACAAGACCATTAACAAATGTTACCTTCACATAGCAAGGGGAAAGCAAAATAGCTCGACCACAATCTCGCTTACACTCTTCAATGAGGTTCAGATTCTGTAGATTAATAGATAATGAACACGATGAAAATTTAGTCAATATTTACATTAAGTAAAATAAACACAGAAGTTTCCGGATACAAACCATCTCAACTCGTAAAATAGAAAATGTAATGAGGAATAATGCACAAACGTAAAACAGCAATGAATGAGGGTAGCTCCTTAAGGACTTTATCAAATATGGTTAAATCGGGGAAGTATTTTTCCCAAAATAAAAATAAAAATATTTGGTTTAAACGATGATGGTCTGGGCAAACATTGTCAAACGAATGTTTCTCCTTCGACAGATAAACATACAACTGCACAGGCTCAAAGATCTCCACAACCAAAAAAAATTCAAAAGTAAAACTTTCAAACCAGGATCTTGATCTTCTTGATCAGGTCTTTGCCCTCTCCTCTCACTGGAGCTGCCTAGAAAATCCCTTTAGAATAGATTCCAGAATTTTTTTTATCTGAATTAACCTCTACACCGGTTTAAATACTAATTATGGCATTTTTAATCACTCTAAAAAACTCTAGGTTTTTCTGAAAGAGCCTGGATATTTTGTGGCTCTTCAAGATACCATAAAAACTATTCAATAAATGAAGAGATAGTAAATAGTCTAAACGAAACAAGGAAAATAATAGATGACAATATTTTCTGAATTTTCAATGTTATAACTTATCTGGCCTGAATATCTTACTATGCACATGCAATCATCTATATGCAGTTTTGACCAGCGAAAACATTTACTGATTTTTTCTGCACATATCTCTGAGTACATCATTGAATCATTCAAGAAGGGATTAAGTTGAAATGCAAACGGGAACAACACTTTCGCGTGATGGGACCGTAATACACTGCCTATTTTCTAAGAATACAGTTCAATCCAAAACAACTTGTCTTCCAAAACAATGTCACCCCACAAAGTTCAATGCATGACTAATAGACAAAGTTAATGGCATGCTTACTCAACCCTAAAAAAAATTCTTCCACCAGATTCGCTAAGAAGTTCACAACAATTTGTTCCTTTAAACTTTCTTGCCATGCTTTTTTGTTCTGTCAACATGGTGACATCCACTTCAATAGTCTAAGGGAAAACTAAGCGATAATTAATTTTACAGTTATTGAGATCACTGCAACATACCATACTTAAGAAAGACGATCAATATATTCCACCAGCTCCTTAAAACCCATTTCAACAGGGACAATAGGTGTTTTTGCAAATCTACTAATATTGAGTAGTTCTACATCTCTCGTCATTAAAAATAATGGAAATGCAGAAAAAAAGGGAACACAAACTTTATTACAGAGAAAAATGCAAGGAAAGCCAGGATACCGACAAAAGATAACAATTTTATTTCTAGCAGCACAAAAACGGATATCAATTTACTGCATGGTCCAGTAAAGCAAAAAAAAAGGAGCCTCACATGCATGGAAGACGCCCGATTGGCGTACAGTGTGGCCAGCAATGTTTTATCCATGTCATCAGAGCTCAATGGTGCATGACGTACTGCCTATCAAACAGATAAGGTATTGTTACCAGTTTCATTTCCACAATCATGAGCTGTATAATAGAAAAAAAAAACCGGCTCGAGCAAAGTATATAAAACTTTTCAAGTTTAGGTGGGAGAATATTCAGTCAGCATTTTTCAAGTAATCCATATCATTTAGGATAGTTGAGATCGATAGGGACGATAAGACCCAGAAAAACTGCCTCCCTCAAAGACAACGGGGCATATGCAGCGATCTTGTATCGTCTAGTAATTCTTCACAGAGCTGACATGATGAAAAAAAAAAAAGTAACAGGAGAAAACAAGACCTGTGAATAGAAGTTCAGGGCCTTTCCATAATCGCCACCAGCAAAACAATCATTTCCCTTTTTCTTTAAATCTAGAGACACCTCCCTGCTCTTCCTGCACAGACCCAGTTGTGGGTCAGTCAGCTCTCGAACAACCTGAAATGAATCGAAATGGGCCATGTAAGCTTAGGAGAAAGAGCCACAAGAGTTCGCAGGAACTTTTACTTGGAAGTGCAGAGACGGGGAACGTACGCGCTGGAATTGGGGCAGAGGGTGGAGAAAATCAAGTAGCGCTTGGCAGGTGTACTCGAGCTCCTCCGGAGAGCTATCGGAGATGTCCCGCCTCAGTTCCAGCGGCAACAGAGACGTGAGCTTCTCCATATTGCTTTCCTTATTTCCTTCTTTTCTCTTTCAAATATCCTCTTCCTCCATCTGCCAGATAGATGGATGAACAGCACGAAACCCAAGAGCTCTTCACAGATGTTGTAGACAACACGTTGACCTATACCATAAATGCGGTAGACGGTTTGGAAAACCTAACACTTCGGAACCGATAGAAGCATGAGGCCGGGGGACTGAGCTAGGGAACAAGCGCCAAACCCTCCGCGGCCATCGTCATCCGTCGACTCTCATTCCACGAATCGCCCCGGCAATCAAGAAAAAAACCTACAATATGAACCAGGTTCCGGTGCAGAATCCCCCGATAATAAAAATCAAGAAATAGCATACAGACTAAGGAATAATAAACGATTGCTCAAGGAACAGGAAATAATGCCCGAACGCCAGTAGAACACTCAGAGCTCTACTCTGCTCATGGCGAATGGTCTCATACAAAAAACTCTGCGCTGATCGAACAGTCGTCGAACACTTTCCTCGATCGGATATCGCCATGCACGGACAAAAATTTGGAAATCTACCGGCGCCACGTAGAAGTCGAGATCATCTCGGTTTTGCCATGTGAGATCATCCTCAGAAGAGCCTAGGCAACATTATGTGCATATTAGTCAGTTTTAATTTTATTTACGACATTTTATATAATTCGAATATGATGAAGAAAAACTCTTCTAAATTCGAAAGAAAAATGAAAAAATAATTAAAAAATGACACCTTGATTAAGTCTCACGGGATTCGTCTGGCCCACGCCCCTTAGCCTGACCCGGCCCAATACCTACTCCGGCCTAAATACATAGTACGGTCCAATAATTAGTCCAGGCCAAATGCCTAGTCCGGCCCAAGTACGTTGCAAATAACGGCATTAACTGAACAACTGCCCGAATGGGGGGAAGTGGGGCTCACACTGATTGAGGAAAGAGGAAAATGAGGAAGCGAAATAAATATTAATAAAAATGATGTTTATCACTGTATAATTGATAATGACTATTATTTAATAAAATAAAATATTAAATATATCATATTATTATAAAAAAATAACATGATTTTTTTTGAAACGGGGTTCGTCAACGAATCACGTTGCGTGCCTCAGGCGGACAGCGCACGTCTGGGTTTCTCGACAACGGAGGAGTAAAGACGACGGCTCGTGGGCCAGTCGCGTGGAGCCACGTGCTCCAGCTGGCTAAGATCCGAGCGCCGAAAGGATGACAGAGTGAACGAGAAGATGGACGATCGTTGACTGGGCTCGCTGAGTTGTCACAGATATTTTTTTTTCAAATTTCGAATACTGACGGAAAACGAAACGTCCGTTAGGTCTGGCGTCGAACAAACGCCGGGGTAGAGCCGTCCCCCTCCGGGTATAAATGCTGAGCCCCCTCCTCGATTTCCCCACTGGTGCTCTCGCTCTCTCTTTCCTCCTCACCTCAGTCTCGTTAGGTCGTCGAGAACGCATCCGCCGTCGCGAAGATGAGGGAGATCCTCCACATCCAGGGTGGTCAATGTGGGAACCAGATCGGAGCCAAGTTCTGGGAGGTGGTCTGCGACGAGCACGGGATCGACACCACAGGTCGCTACCAAGGCGACTCAGATCTGCAGCTTGAGCGCGTCAATGTCTACTACAACGAGGCGAGCTGCGGCCGCTACGTTCCCCGGGCGGTGCTGATGGACTTGGAGCCAGGGACCATGGACAGCGTCAGATCGGGGCCTTACGGTCAGATCTTCCGACCTGATAACTTCGTCTTCGGGCAGTCCGGGGCCGGGAACAACTGGGCCAAGGGTCATTATACCGAGGGGGCGGAGCTCATTGATTCTGTCCTAGATGTTGTTAGGAAAGAGGCAGAGAACTGTGACTGCTTGCAAGGTAATAATGGCGAGTGGCATTTTTTCATGGCAAAAATATATTTTAGTTGTTAAATACCGAATATCTTTTTTGTCCCGGTTTATCGCTGAATATTTGTCACTGTGCCAGAATATTGGGTGATTCGTCCTTTGAATAACATATTCTTCTCCTCATTGTGGTATTTGGCTTCTTGTATTCATTCTAAACCGTCATCTGCTTCATATTACATATTGTTGTCTCCAGACTGTTTCTAGATTTTTCTTTTTTGTTATCTCTATACTGGTGATGTGTTCATTTTACTTTGTCGCGAGTCTTTCGAGGTTATATTTCGCCGGTCTTGGCAGCTTTATGATGTTTTTTGGGTCAATATTACAGTAATGCAGGTCACGCTAGTATATCTACCATTATCCTGAAACTGATTAAAAATGGGAATGCCTTCTCCTTTACGTTTTTATCTGCTAATTGAATTTTTTCTGTTTGTTATGTCACTAGTTGGCGTTTCCACTTTTGTTGTCTTTCGTGATTCCTAAAGAGAACGTCCAAGCATACCGTGAAAACTGGCACGCTTTTCTCAAATCTCTAGGATTTAATTTACTTAAGGTTTCATGGTTCTTTGCTGCTGTTTCAGGGTTTCAGGTCTGCCATTCACTGGGTGGTGGAACGGGGTCAGGCATGGGAACTCTTTTGATCTCGAAGATCAGGGAAGAGTACCCAGATCGCATGATGCTCACGTTCTCCGTCTTTCCTTCCCCAAAGGTGTCGGACACCGTGGTTGAGCCTTACAATGCCACACTCTCGGTGCATCAGTTGGTTGAGAACGCCGATGAGTGCATGGTTTTGGACAATGAGGCCCTTTACGACATCTGCTTCCGAACTCTGAAACTCACCACCCCGAGCTGTAAGTCCTCAACTAGTCCTTTCTTGCTCCTCCCCAGTGTTTTGATTCTTGTGATATTAATTAATTAATTTCTGAAACAAACAGTTGGCGACCTCAACCACCTCATCTCTGCCACAATGAGCGGGGTTACTTGCTGCCTTCGCTTCCCTGGACAGCTGAATTCTGATCTTCGGAAGCTTGCCGTCAATCTAATCCCTTTCCCTCGTCTCCACTTCTTCATGGTCGGGTTTGCACCTCTGACCTCGAGAGGATCCCAGCAGTACCGGTCTCTCACAGTCCCCGAGCTCACCCAACAAATGTGGGACTCCAAGAACATGATGTGCGCTGCGGATCCGCGCCATGGACGGTACCTCACCGCGTCAGCTGTTTTCCGTGGCAAGATGAGCACCAAGGAAGTGGATGAGCAGATGATCAACGTGCAGAACAAGAACTCTTCCTACTTCGTGGAGTGGATCCCGAACAACGTGAAATCCACTGTCTGCGACATCCCCCCAACTGGGCTGAAGATGGCGGCCACCTTCATCGGGAATTCCACCTCCATCCAGGAGATGTTCCGCCGAGTCAGCGAGCAGTTCACTGCCATGTTCCGCAGGAAGGCTTTCTTGCACTGGTACACTGGTGAGGGGATGGACGAGATGGAGTTCACGGAGGCCGAGAGCAACATGAACGACCTGGTTTCGGAGTACCAGCAGTACCAGGATGCCACCGCCGACGAAGAGGGCGAGTACGAAGATGAGGAAGAGGAGGAGATCCAGGAGGCCTGACTGTAACGGAGCGGCTCAAGTTCGGTCTCGTATCCTCTCTCTCTGCCTTGCTTCGTATGTTCCTTCTTTCCTCCCTCTCTTTTCCCTTCTCATGCTCTGATGGCGGTTCCTGATGCAATGCCGAGTTGCAACCGTCATACTTTTGAAACATATTTTCATTTCCCTCAAATGCTCTCTGGGAGCTTGCTTCTCTCGTCTGTGATCGTGATGCCATTCGGCCATAGTTAGAAGACTTTATTCCTTATCATGCATTGATACAACCCACGAGAATCCACAAACAGATCAAGCACAGCCATGCAGCAACGGGTAATACAAGCCATCGTTCATAGCAGACATCATTACCGGAGTGACTCCCACAAGACGCTCAGATCAAGATTGCCACCGGAGAGGACAATCCCGATGTTGTGGCTGCTCTCCCAAGCTGGCGATGTTCGGAACTTGTCTGAGAGAACGGCGGCCAGGCCGATGGCTCCACTGGGCTCAACCGCAACCTTCAGGATCTCATAGCACAACCTCATGGCCTCCACAATCTCCTCGTCCTCCACTGTGATGACATCATCCACGAGGTCCCGCACCACTGGCCTGCCCCAAGAACACCAAAAAAAGAAAAAAATCACAGAGTTGACTTACCCACTTCACAGGTCCTGGTGTCGTCCCCTAGGGTTGTCCATTGATGAGCAGATCTTCCTATCTAGCTTATAAATGATGTGGGTGGTTGCATCTGATTACCATGTCAGGCTACCGAGGGTAGATCGGAGACCATCGGCTATGGTGTTGACCTCAGCGAGGGTGATGATCTCCCCTGCTGCCTTGGATTGGGCAACATCATCTGCACCACTCGGTTCCGCAGCCAGAATTCGGATGGAAGGGTTGATCGCCTTGGCTGCCAAGGCCACTCCTGATATCAATCCGCCCCCTGGAGCCAGGAAAGAAGGGCCATAAATGCACATCTAATCAATGAGCGACCCCTGAGATTTGAGCTGGGGGACTTACCACTTATGGGAACTATTATGGTGTCGATTTCAGGGACCTGATCCAGGAGCTCGAGGGCGACCGTTCCCTGCCCACTGTCGCAGTAGAGTGCTGAATTTGTCAGAAACTTAGGAAATCTCACTTACTCGACGCTCTTATTTTACCTGATGATATGCCTGTCGTTGTAAGGGTGAACCAGAACCGCGCCGGTTTCTTCCTGCACCCTCCCGGCGACGAGCTCTCTTGACTGCATCGTGGGCTCGCAGGGGATGACCTGCCCGCCATGGCGCTTGACATTCTCCACCTTGCACTGCGGTGCGTTGTTGGGAATGATGATGTAGGCGGGGATTCCCCGTAGCTTCGCGGCCAGGGCCAAAGCCGCGGCGTGGTTACCGCTACAGAGGGAAGCATATGTGAGTGCCTTCTCAGAAATCTAAGGAGCGTAGGAGAGCCGGGGAGGCGGAGACCTGCTGTGAGTCAACACTCCTCTGGCGGCGCGGTCGTCGTCGAGGGAGAATATGGCGTTGCAGGCCCCCCTCATCTTGAAGGCACCTCTGGGAATCGACGGAATAACAGGGGTTTGACTAGATCGGCCAGAACGGAAATTAAGTGGACGAAGAAATGATGAGCCACTGACCCCTTCTGGAAACACTCCGATTTGAAAAAGAGCTTCTTCTTGGATAGTTTATTCAGGTTTTCGGAGGAGAGGACCGGGGTCCTGTGGATGTAGGGTTCGATCCGGAGCTGGGCCTGCCGAATGGATGCAATATCGGCGGCGTAGGCTTGTTCTCTTGTGTCGTTCCCCCCATCCATCGCCGCAGTTTGACTGGCAAGACGGCAACGAAAGCCGGTAAACCATCAGATCCAGATTCAGTACAAGAAATCTTCGTCACTTCGACCGGGGATTCGCTTGCGTCGTCGCCGGAAGGCTCCAAAAATGCCAGCGAATTTTTGTTCTCGTGCGGGCAAATGAGTATCATTGCCTGGCAAGACAGGACAATCGGAGAAAGACATGCTTGCTCCACGCCAAACGTTCGGTAGTAGCAGTACACATGGAAAAAGTAATGGAGCAATGATCCGAAAATCCCGTAGTCAGATGAGTGATCTCCTGAGATCCATGATCGAGAGCAGACGAATCCGTAGAAAAAACTTTGACCATTGGATCTCTATCTGAATAGAATAGCAGACGAAGAGGGGAATCCTGCGAAATCGAACGATCGAGAGCAGATGAATTCGTAGAACAGCCTCGAGCGTTAGATCTATCCACACAGAACAGAAGACGGAGAGGAGAACCCTGAGAAATCGAACGATCGAGAGCAGATGGATTCGTGGAACAGCCTCGAGCGTTAGATCTCTATCCATACAGAACAGAAGACGGAGAGGAAAACCCTGCGAAATCAAATGATTACGTAGAAGAAACTGCCTCGACCACTACAGCAGCCGTCAAGGAGAATCAGACGAACTCCGTAGAAGAAACTTGGCATTCGCTTCGGCAACGATTACGAGATCTCCATTGAACAGAAAACAGAGAGGATAAATCAAGTACTTCAGGCATCGAGCTTCAAGTCGGCGCTAGATGCGTGGGGAGTGAGGGAGGACGCACCACTAGCAGGGATCGCCGGCGAGAGCGGGTGGTGCGGAAGCTTGCCGTTGCCGGTCGAGCTCTCCGGTACGGTGGCGTACTCAACGAGGCATGGATGGAGAAATTTGAAATTAGAATCACCCGATAGTAATCGGACGGCCGTAATGTGGACGGACTGGGCCCGGCCTAGTTCCTGAATTGACTTTTTAGACCCTTAATTGACCTACTTTATGGGCCACGAGGTCTGGTGGGTTCCGTTAAAGGATTAGATTTGGTATCACCCGATAGCCATCGAAAGGCTCTAATGCGGATTCAGACTGGGCTCGGCCCAATTTCTGATCGACCTTTTCTAAGAACACTAATGGGCTTCGGGAGGGTCCGTTAAAGACGACAGCTAATCCGATCTGAAGGGATGGATGGCGGGATGAGCCAGTTTCAGAGCTTCTTCAATGGAGTTGGCCTCCGCGAACGGTGGTCGCCTCCTCCTCCCAGGTCGCCGGAGAATGGATATCGCCGCCGCAGTGGTGGCGAGGGGAAACTTGTTCTCCCCGAAGGTTCTCTCCTACGCAGAGGAGAATGATCGTTGCGGTGTCCTTTGTGGAGCTGTGGGCAAGTCCCTCCGCCTGTCGAGGAGCCGTGGCCGTTTAGCCGGCATCCGGTGTGAGGGCCTGCCGCCGGCGGGGGCATCAGAGGCCCGAGACGACGGCTTCTACATGAGGCGTTGCGTCGATCTTGCCAGGCGGGCCGTTGGTTGCACCTCCCCCAATCCCATGGTGGGATGCGTGATCGTGAAGGCTGGGGAGGTCGTTGGCGAGGGGTTCCACCCTAAGGCGGGGCAGCCTCATGCGGAGGTCAAGTTTTCTTCCCTGTTTTGCTCTCTATTCCCTATTATTCTCTGCAAATCTCGGACGACACTCCCGTCATCTGGTTCTAGAGGAATTCAATGTCTGCTTCAAATCTGGAGTATTAAAAACGGCATTGAAAATGCACCGAGTTTCTATTGCAGATGAATGCTAGAATGAATCAAAACTAGATGATCGGTAATTTTTCTTCTCTGTTGTGAACAGAATCAAATGATTACTGCATCGCATGTTCCTCACGGTTTCCGATTCAAAAAATGATTAATGAGCATAAATACTTCCTTCTTCTCAGATATTTTCTTAGAAAAGGAAATGCATCGATGAACGCAGGTTTTTGCTCTGAGGGATGCTGGAGAACTGGCAGAGAATGCGACGGCCTATGTGAGTCTGGAGCCTTGTAACCATTATGGGAGGACTCCCCCCTGCACCGAAGCATTAATCAAAGCTAAAGTCAAGCGTGTAGTGGTGGGGATGGTGGATCCAAATCCAATTGTTGCTTCAAGAGGAGTGGAGAGACTCAGAGAGTCCGGGATTGAAGTCGCTGTTGGCATAGAGGAGGCACTGTGCAAAAGACTAAATGAGGCGTATATTCACCGGATGCTCTCCGGGAGGCCATTTCTCACTCTACGGTACTTCTTCTTCCTTCCTCCACTCTAAGAATGGCCCCTTCTATTTATTCAGAAACCAGGAGATATTTATTGACCTCTCAGTTTATTTCATTCTTCTCGGGTTGTCATAATATGGTTGTCGCGGTTTTTGATGCCACCCAAGTTCTTGGAATCACTATATATAGCTTACCCATTATAGCCGAAGTTTCTACTTTTGGTAATTTAGTGAGGCCATGGATTGACCTCATTTTTGACCTCACAATTTATTTCATTCTTCTCGGGTTGCCATAATATGGTTGCCGGGGCTTTTGATGCCACCCAAATTCTTGGAATTACTATAAAGCGTACCCATTATAGCTAAAGTTTCTATTTTTGGTAATTTAGTGCGGCCATGGACCGTTGACTTGTCTGCTCATCTGCAGCTAGACTTGATCATGCTATCATCTACGTATCTACCATTTTTGCCTATTGTATGCTTAATAAATTCTAAATGGGGAAATTATGGAGACGACAATTAAATATATATTCATCTGGGCCATGCTAGAAGACGTGTAGGATCTAGAAAGTGATATCTCCCAAATTGGGTTTCTTTTGTATTACCAAAATTGTCGTCAACTTCTTTCCTTTTTTACATGCTCCCTGTCTCTCCCTATTCTGATCACAGGTACTCACTCTCCATCAACGGAGGAGGGATCCTCGATCACACAGGGAGAGGAGCAAAGGAGTCAGGTGGATACTACTCGCAGCTGCTGCGAGATTACGACGGAGTGGTGGTGTCTGGCAGCTCATTTGACGAAAAGTCAACCCTACCGGCCTCACAGGAAGTGGGCGCCAACCAGCCGGCCATCATCATAATTGCAGCAAAGGGGGGCCCGCCGTTGCGCCTCCCGGCTTCGGTTGAGGCCAGCCGTCGGATGGTTATCTTCCTGGAAGATGGCGCCACCGTTGACCCAGAGACTGACCGGAATCTGAGCCAGCTTGGGATCGAGAAGGTAGTGCTCGATGAACTACGGTTGACCCCAGTCGTCGAGTACTGCTCGCGCCAGGGGATGTGCAGCCTGTTGGTGGACTTTTCAGGTGACTCTGCAGGCTTTGTTGAGATGCTCGGAGAAGCTGGGGAAGTGGGGCTGGTGCAGAAGGTGGTAGTTGAACTCTGCTCTGCATGGGAGGGTCAACATATGGCGGCGGTGGCGGCTCCTCTGGGGGTAGTGGGCAGGCCATTCCAATTTAGGCATCTACAGTCGTGGGTCTCCAAGGACAGCGTTGTGGTGGAGGGCTACGTTGCCTAAGGTGGTTGACTGGTATATTTCCCAGGATTGTGGACATGCAGCTGTTCACGTGGGAGTTGACACATTTTTTGTTACTTAATCTATCAAGGTGGTCGTCTCCCCTAATTACTTCAATTGGAATAACTTAGTCTATGCATTTAGTTAGGAGGGATATCAGCAGTCCAGATTGCCATGTGGCGCCCTATCTGGCCCTTCCACTAAAGCTGTCGGCAGTCAATCTAGCCCACCCCATCGACACCTGCCAGATGGCCACGTGTCCCCAAGCTTATTTCCCAGGTCAACGTTTAGGAAAATATCTCCAACATCATAAACATGAGTCCCTTTCCATTTATTAGCTTGTTTCCCATTTCCAAATCTGGAAATAATCTACTGAACCCATAAACATGACGTTCCTCCATTTATCTTCCTTCGGTGTTTATGCATATACTTACACAGTGTATGTAGCCCACAATTTCCTACCCAGAGAGAGAGAGAGCCTGAGCATGCATCACCTAGAATCCTTCACATCCTCTCTGTCTCTCTCTCTCTCTCTCTCTCTCCCTTCCATGGAGACTCCCAGCTTCCTGGAAACAATCTGTGCAGCGGCATTCATGAGAGAGAGATCACGCCAGTTCCTGAGGCCAACCAATCACACACACGCAATGATCATCAAGGAATGTGAAGATTAACATTATATGTGACTGCTGTGTATATGCGATGATTGCCTGAGGCTTGTGGCAGGTCTGATCGCATGGATACGGGACGTCGATCGAACTTGTGTCTCCTCTGTCAAAGTACCAATCGCCAACAGCGCCTGCAATTGTCTGAGGCAAATGACAAACACCGGTATTAGAGATGCCGTTCAATAAATTCATCAATTATTTTATTTTTTGAGAGAAAGGTATATATAGTTTTTCTTCGTGTTTGTAGAAATAAAACGATAAATTAGTGCTGCGGGATCGGCAATTTCGGAGATCTGTGGCCGGAGTACCTTGTTGTGGATTCTTGGCGAGTATGGTGTGAACCAGGCTACTTGCAACTCACTCTGGCAATGGGCGAAGCAGGAATCGATGAACGATCCTCTTCGCATGTCTCTGGAGGACGAGGCCGAGAGTGCTGCGAGCATCTGGTGTCTGTAGCCTGTTGGTAAGGAGAAGCAGCTGCTGAGCCAGCTTATATTTCATAAAGTTCGAATCGCATCCTTGTGATGGTCTATACGTTGAAAGATTGAACTTCAGAGAATTTGAACCTTGCAGGACGGAGATCTGGTCTGATGTGCATGCTGTTGTGTCGAGCTTGCAGCGAGTCCAATGCTCGTTCGGATCAGCAGAGGGTGGCACGAAAATGTGATTAAACTGGTCAACGGAATGATGCTTCTTAGATTAGTAAGTCTCCGAAATAAGTAGCTGTCAAGGGAGGGCTTTGTGCCTATAAGCATGTATTACCTGGTATACATCATATGCCGAGTTCAAGATAAAAAAAGGCGTCCGAATGAATGGCAATGCATATTGGGGGAAGAAGCACTGCGAATGTGAGGAAACATCGAATCAGGGTAACTGATATCTTGGCTGAAAGATCTCCTAGTTTGATAGCTTTGAAGGAGAAATAAACCTGACGAGGGTCGGAGTGAGCTCTGGTGCACCTTGTATTAAGGTTCCGTTGCACACCCTGGTGACAGAATGTAAATCGTGCACAGGTAATAAGCATTGAATAAACTAAACGGGCATATTAATTTTTTTTAATAAAAAGTACTAATTTTATTGCTTTCCTCTCGCAGACTTCCTTCAACTAGAGAAACCTTGCTTTCAGGCTGTCTGGGTCATTCATGCGGCATAGTTGCCGAAATTTTCGGGGAACTAGTCTGTACGAGTATTAGATACCGTGGAGCTGACCTGAAGGGCAACGACGCCGTTGAAAAACGTCCTCATGGTGTTACTGCCGGTTACATCTGTCCTGTGGGAAGTCGCTAGAGAGTGAGGTATGCGTCAAAGTAGGAAAATGTACAATCACACCGTTAAAACTCACGCATCGAGGAAGAAACCCGCGTCACTCAAGCACTTTACAGTGGCTGATTCTGGGAGGAGCCTCTCGAATTCATCACAGTGGAGGAATGTTGCCAAACCCCCCGCAGAGCAGCCCGAAAGCAATGCCTGAAAAGAGGGAAGATACTAAAAGTCAACTCGTGGAAGAAAATAAAGGACAACGTGTTGACGCAGACGTCTGGATGCAAATAGCTCGAGACGGCTTCAGAAATGGAATGCTGTCCTGGACCAAACGAGGCCGCAAGACCCCGTTGTTGGATAGTGGAGCAAGAGAAGCATCACCTTCTCCGCGAGGCCCAATCCCTTTGGGAGGAGGTCTGCGATGATGGCTTCCCAGATCCTTTGGCCTCTAAAATGTAGCACCGTCGTCTGGAGAATCATGAGTACAAGAGAGATACTCGTTAGGACGAACCAGAGACATAAATAATGGAGCCACAACCGAAGAAACGCACACGGGCTGAGGAACTCTGTGGCAAGTCCCTCGATTCGAAAGTTTTAAACTGTATTCAGCATACGAAGCTTGCGAACAAGGTAGATGGGACTTACACCGTTGCGGTAGACGGAATCTCCCCCGAAGGATGCTCCATCGCAGTACCGAATCTTGACACGGTTCCAGTTGTAGAAATCTGTCGACCATAAGCAGCAGCATGATCCCCGCGGGCCACCAAAAGCCGCTCACTCATGTCCAATAAAACCCGAATTTTGGAGGACCTCGGTAAAAGACAGTGTTCACGTACCAGGATTTTCCGACTCATCGCTGCTGAGTATTCCGGAGAAGACCTCGAGCTTGTTCATGTAGCGCGTCGAGCCCCGCCTGGTTGTCGATCTGGCCAAGCAGGAGGCCACACTGTTGCACCATCCTCCTCCCTGCATAGAGCGCCGAGGTGGCTGTCAATGGTCCGTTATACGCAGAGCCTCGGATCCGTATGAGCCTTTTTGCCGTTTTTACGAGAAAACAACTATTTACGAAAATAACACCACATACGAATATTCACCCCCAGGGCCTACGTGGACACCGCAACTGACGTCGCCATCTGACCAACCGAGTTGGCAGCTTCTGGCGGGGAGGAGACAATACCACGCCCCCGCCCCTCCCAACGATCTGGAGTGGACGACCATCACCCCTTCCTCCCCGAGAAAATCTTCCTCGAATGCGTCGCAGCGTGAGCAGAAAGTTACCTCAAACTGGAGAAGCCAGTTGGCGGCGCCACCGCCGGAGCCCCTGTCGAGGTGATACGCCGGTGAGCTCCCGTCCAAGCACACTGCTCAAGATCGCCACAGTCTTTATTGTATTCTATATAGACGACGGCTTACAATATTCTTAATAACGTATTAAGATCCCGTTCGCCACACTGCTCGAACGTGGGTAGATGTGGGAGTATAGAAGAAGAACGTAGGCGAGACTACAGAGGGAGGGAAGAGACCGGGAGATAGACCCTTGTGCCTCGGACGTACCTGCTTCTCTGGTTGCCGCGCCGGGGACAAGCGTCATGCCGACCATAGATCTCAGGGGAATGTTTCTCCGGTTGTTCGTCGTCTGCTTCCTCTGCTGCGAACTGACGATCCATGGGAACGCCGACACCGCCAGAACGAAGACCAGGAGCGACGCGGCAAAGCTGTTGCGGCTCCACATCCTGGCTCCGACGAAGAGCAACGAGTTGGACGCAGACAGGAAAACGAGAGGAGGAAGGGAACTCGGATGGAAGGCGGATCTGCCGGAGATACGGAGGACGATCCGTGCCGCGTGTGGATATTTAAATTCCGAGATCTCTCAAGACTGATACGGTGGTCGTCGGTATTATTCCCCCAGATAAACTGTATCTGGAGAACGAGGAAACACGATCGGCAATGGCGGAGACGGTGGCGGTGCGTCGGCGGCGGCGGCGGCAGCGGCGGGGGCAGAGGGTTGGGGCGGGTTCATTTAAAGGTGGCAGGAAAGGAAGCGGAAACGGCTGTGACTTTGCGGGACTGGGGTGAGACCCTACACGAGTCTTTCCACCGGAGGCAGCTGACATATCCTGGTCAGTCCTGTTCACGGACTCTCTTGCGTTGAGAGAGAGAGAGAGAGAGAGAAAGATAAGAGAGGAGGGAGAGAGGGAAAGAGAGAGACAGAGAGCGAAGAGAAGACAGAGAAGAGGAGAGAGAGAAGAGAGAGGGAAAGAGAGAGAGAGAGGGAGGAGAGAAAGGGAAAGAAGGAGATAGAAGGAAGAGAGAGAGAAGAGAAGAGAGAAGGAAAGAGAGAGAAGGGAGAGGGAAAGAGAGAGAGAGAGAGGGAAAGAGAGAGAGAGAGAGGGAGGAGAGAAAGGGAAAGAGGGAGAGAGAAAGAGAGAGAGAGAGAGAGGAGAGAAAGGGAAAGAGGGAGAGAGAAAGAGAAGAGAGAGAGAAGGGAGAGGGAAAGAGAGAGAAGAGAAGAGAAGGGAAGAGAGAGAAGGGAAGAGAGAGAGAGAGAGAGAGAAGAGTAAAATAAGGGTAGACATCTGAACGGATGATGCACGTGTCGTCAGACGAGAATCGTCAACCGATCCTCTGATTTTGAAAGTAGTCGATGAAGCCTCACCGAAGAAGCTGCTTGTTGACAGTGGATTCTAAAGGACCACGTGGTATTTTCGAGGATCGCTCCTATTCAGGCGCATAATTCGTCGCGACGATCCAGAATTTTTTGCGCCTATCAATCGTGTCTTTCTCTCACCCCCTCTCTTCCTCTCTCTCTTGGTTTCGATTCTCTCTGATTTCTGGCCTGACTGGAGATGAATTCGGAAAAAGGTGATGTCGAGAAATGGAAACTACACTCTCTGCTATCTTTTCTTGTCGCGGGGAAAAAATCCGTTTCTCGTTCCCCGGAGCCCTAGTTTGTTCGATGTTTTCATTTTCATTATCTTCTGGGCAACAGTGGTCGATTTCCTCGGTCAAGTCGCTTTGCTGCTGAGGCTCCCGAGCTCTTCCCTTCGGAAGATTGCGGCGAAGGTGGAACTTCGGCATTACGGTAATTCTTTTGAGCTTGAAAGTCTCCTAACAAATATCACAGAAACTTGATGCTTCAATATTCCCAAATTTGGAGAGTTTTGTATCTGAGTTAGATAATTCGTTTTACATTTCTCGTCGGTAAGATTTTTTAGATACATTATGAATACAGCGTTCTTGATTGTTTACCTTCTTTGACTGGTTTGTTTAGACGCTGGAGATTACGTCATTCGCCAAGGCGAAAAAGCGGATGGAATCTATTTTATCTGGAAGGGGAATGTAAGAATATTTCTTCCCAACCTTTTCAATAATTTCTTATCTAAATCTTACATTTTATAATAGCCTTCGTGCACGGGGCTCGAATTGGAATTCAATTCACTGTCAATATGGTGTTGTACGTCTGCGATGCTCATTTTAATATTTTCGGATTATTCGCGGTAAACTATTGAATTTTGATGCCGATTCCTCCATTAAAACGAGAACTAGTTCTATTTCTGAATTCCCTTGCATACATCATCCAAATTTATTTTTTTCCTTCTACTTGTTCCCCTTTGACAAACATTTTTGGATGGAAGGCTGCAAATAGCTTCTCTTTTTTTGCTTGTTTGTTTCACCACTTTTGTCATTTTCTCCAAGGAGTTAGTTGATCAACTAGTCTGTAGCCAATTATACTAAATGAATTCTTCTTTTCAGTTTAATTGCTCTGTTCCCTTGATCACAGCAGTGATCTTGGCTTGCTGCTTCATGGCGCCATATTACCTTTTTTCTACCTACTTCTCCCAACGGGATAAAACGAGGGTGGGGCATTTATATTTGCATTTAGATGAGAGACTCTCGAAAGATAAGAGTTGTGGTAAGATCGACTCTACTGTTACATCGTTTGGCTTTGCTCAGTGGGACAGTTATTTTTCAATGGGAATGTTATATGTGTCATCCATATCATACATCATCGTACTGCTTCATCCAACAGATTTGGTTTAACCTTTTAGGGCTTGCAACATCAAAGGTCTGAAGATTTGACAAACATATGCAACATGCTGTCAGCCTAATATCTACATCCCGCTTGTGTGATAAAATTGACATTTGTAATAGTGTCACCATTTTGAGAGATGGCAGATTTCCTTCCAATGATTAAACCGTTTAAAATTTGGTTGAGATTATAAAAAATTCTAAAGTTAAATGTCCAAAAGGTAATTCAAAACGTCCTTTTTAATTTACTTCACAATACAAGCTCGACTCTTGCTCTAATTACATGAACTCTAAAGATGGGATCTCCAAATATGGCTGCATTTCCCCATACAACTTGAGATCTCTGGAATTTAAACTTGTAAGAGATGAAAATATTCGTGGGGATTTGCTGAAATTATCATTTCATGAGGGTTCTCATGAATAACTGATAGTCTTCTATACTATTCAATGCCTATGGATTCGGACAAATACTCCTTTGTTATTTAGAGATGGGTAAAAATGGAGTTGTTGATTTTCAATCTCAAGATGGATGTTTCTGAGTTGATTTGAGAAAACTTCTTATGCAAAGTCATATGCAAGGATTTGCATCAAAGCTAACCCCGTAAGAAAGAGAACCTATTCGCAGATGATTTAGTGCTGAAAGAACAACCACTGGAACGACAGATTGTAATGACGAGGATAGTAAAGCTTAAAACGTGACTGCAAACGTATTACTGTGCATGGGTGCTCAAACTAGATTGGACTCAGCATGGGTTCTCAAACTAGATTGGACTCACCTCATGTGGTTGCTTTTTTATTCATGTTCTCTGCCTTGGCGTACCTTTCTCTAAAAACTCTCTTTCATTAGTAGAATAGCTGCACTATAAATGAAAGCCATGCTAATCCCGATTTTATTTGTCTCATAGTTTGTGAGGTGCTGTGATTTATTTATTTTTGGATATCAGATTATTACATCATTGGAGATGAATGGTGTCATCGACTATGCATATTAAAAGTACCTTTTATAGTTGCTGCAGATTTTAAAACCTGAAAAATCAACTCATTGTAGAGAGCTCTGTTGGTCGTTCATGCTGGTGTATATTACCTTTTGTTTGCAGTTTGACATCAAGTCTATGTAATCCTGGACGTTTTACCTGTAGGCTGAAGTTTTCGAATCAGTTGAGTCAGAGGAGGCAAGCTATCCTTTGAAGGAATATGACTATTTTGGCTACGGTAAACAAATCCTCTCTTTATTAGAACACTATTTCCATGGAAAAAAAAATGCTGCATCATTTATTAGAACATCATTTGTGAAGACCACATCTCATTTCTACTCCGTTCATATTGAATGCATAGAATCCTAGTATCTAATTCTTCCCCTTTTAAGAAAAAAAGTTCATGGCTTATCGAATCAACTTTCTTAAGAAAAACTTTTGTATGAATCTTCACACGTATTGCTCATTAAGGGCTATATTTGGAGAGACAGAGAGAGGGTTTTAGGTTAGCTAACTTCAGTCGTTTGGCCTTTATCATGGTTAACATTGTCCATCTTTCAAGGCTTGTTTCTTCTTTTGAAACTATCGTGGGTTGTTTCCTTTTACATATGATTGTTTGGCTTCTTTTACATATGATTGTTTGGCTTCTTTTACATATGATTGTTTGGCTTCTTTTACATATGATTTTTGATTGTGCTTTCTCTCTAGAGATTTGACTGATGCTAAACTTTGAACGAAATATGTGAAGCCAAGTTTGAATGATGAATTTTTGCTAAATTCGAACCAGCTCTCGACATGAAAGTGGCTCATTCTTTATGCAGTGTCTTGGAAATTTGGACAGAAAGAAACATGCTCAGTTTCCAAGGTAGCTATTATAAGTTTTAGTTGGTTATGCTTAGATTAAAGAGTAGAAGAGCTTTTTCTGTAAGGAGAAAGTTGACGAGTCTATTATTTTGGGTATGGTGGGATCCTAGTATGGATGTTGCTGTTGTAGGACCTCAATTTCGAAGTTTATTGGAGCTTCTGAGTTGCACTTTTTACATACTCTCTTTTTGCTATCTACAGTATGTATTTTACTTATGAAATTTGGAGGGAGGTATGGGTCCCCTGACAGACCTAAGTTGCTTGATTTGAACTTATGCATATAAGTTTCCTGTAAACTTTTACATCTTGTAATAGAATTTGTGATAAATTCAAGCAGCAAGCGAAAAGGAAGAAGAGGAGGAACCCAAGAAACCCTAGTTGGAGCGTTCTAGGTGGAAAGAAATATTTCGCAGAATTTTTCCCCGAGCTAGGTCTTGTTGATATATCTTATTGGCTGGAGGTCAAGTACCTTAGTAAAGACTGAGCCTGTACTAAAAAGCAAACAGACTCTTCTCAATTTATCTTAGCCCTAAGTATCATTATTCTGAATTGTACTTTTTTTTACATTCATAATATAAGCCATTGGGCTATTTTAGTAATTATTTATTTGAGGTCTTGCATGAAAATATCAGATACAATCGCTGAACATAAGAAAGCTGTGGCAAGAAGTTTACAGGACAATCTAGTTCGTTAGACAAATTAGTTTTTTCAGTGTTAGATGTTATGGAGCTGTTCAGAATCTTACATAAGGCTTTTGTCTTAAAATGGTAAAGTCATCCTTTTTGGAAGAGTATATAAGAAAGAAAAGCTTTCTCTTAAAAATGAGGTTGCTAGGTGTGTGATCTATCACCATGAATTCATTACTTATCTGTCAGTATATGCATTTTCATTTTGGGAAAATTGTGTTTACTTTTTTGATTAGGCAGATGCAAATCGTTTTCTAGCTTCATGAGAATACATACACATGATAAAATATCAATAAAATTAGTTTTTTTTTCTCAAGTGGGCCATTGGTTAGGATTATGAGAAACTCAGGTGGAAATTCCTTTTATAGGTGCTGTGAAATATGGACTTCGATAAAAGTTGGTTAGGATGGATCCAAGCCTGCGTTTTCTCTGTCATTTTCTTTTTATTTAAATGAAGGACTCTTGATATACGTCACAAGAGGTCTCAAATAAGGTGGCTCTTTATCCACCGAACTCTTTTCCCTAGAAAGTGAAGTGTTTGGCAAAATAAGGGAATGAGCAGAAGAATTGGTTGGCTTAAGAGGTTTCAATACCCACAGCGCACATTGATGACATACATATAATATTTCGATAACCTATTTTATTCATATCCATGGAAGAGGAAGAGCTATACACGATAGCTAGAATGACATTAAGGCTCTTGGAAGACGCTACTGGCAGTGAAGTTAAGTATGAGAAAAGCATGGTTGTTGGCTTAAGCAAGGCGAGAATGGAGCCCGGGAGGGCAGCTTTACCTTATAATTTTGAGCTAGGAAAATTTATTTTATCTTATCTACGGACGCCATCACCAGGCGATCTATATTCCAGAGGGACCTGTCAAAGTTGGCACAAAAGCTTTTAAATCAACTGGCGGTTGGAATGAGAAACTTCAAACTTATGGAAGGAGGTTCACTTTGTGTTAGTCTTTGCCAATCTACCATCTCTCTATTTGGGATCCCTAAACAATGTCTACTATGCTTAACGTTATTTAATGCAGATATTCTTTTGTCATACTTAGTCACATGTTGATGATAACATGATATTAATTGGAGGGCTGGGTTATAAACTCGACGATATCTGTATTATAAATTTCAATTCAGCTTTGTTAAATGAATGACTTCGTACGTTGAGATACAGGGACTTTGGTTCAATGTAGCCAAGAAAAAGTATTATAGAAGCAGATGATGAAATATTATATCCAATAATATTAATAAAAAGTAAAGATATGCAAGGATGTCTTTTGAGTTGCATTTGTGGTATAATTCAACTCAGAGATTTGTTTGAGGAATGTGCAAGTGAATCTTTTCTAGGACTCTTTGCGAGACTTATATTCTTTATTAACAGTTTCAACTTCTCTTCATGTCAACAGAAAACCTTAACATCACCATTGCACAGGTTTTTAGTTACACAATATTATGAGGATGATGGTGGCTAGCGTTCAGGAGCAATGCCAGGGATGAGAAGATTCATTAACTTGAATATTTTTAAGCTTGTGTATGCTTATGAATAGATGAAAGCATGTGCAAATGTTTTTGGATTCATTCAGTTTTCGATTTACACCTGCCTGATACAATAAACGTACAAGGAATTCTTTTCAGAGATCATGGTTGACCCCCCCCCCCCCCCCTTCCCGGTTTAGTGATGTCATGATGCAGTTATTTGAACGGTTTTTTGAGCTGCCAGTCTCTTACCTATAATGGATTTTTTAAGGGGAGTTTGGATAATAAATCTCAAATAGACAACCTTGAGTAGTGGCTTTCCCTTGTCTGTGTGCTACTGCGTATCCAATCTACTTCTGCCCTCCTAGAATGTTTTTCATGTCTAGTTAAGCCGTCTAGGTACTAGGCTTGTTTTTCCAGAAGACGGTCTTCATTTCATGTTTTTCTAAAAGTTATTTGGAACCTGGCGTGCAAGCATTGATGATAGAGTTTTGAACGCAGCATAATATTTTTGTGTATCAATGACTTTGGCTATTCTTTGTGTGTGATTATAATTTTCACATAAGAAATGTATGGATATCCCCTTCCGGAATGTTGATTTTACATACTAGTTGGTATCTACAATTTTGAAATTTCAGTTGCGAAAAATAATTTCTTTTTTTATTTTGTATTTGTGTGGATGACTTGCATGGAACTACGATATTCTTGGGCTGATTTTGAATGGTTTTTTTATGCCAGTAGACTCACACTCTGTTTTGTTACAATTTCCTAGGTATTGGTGTTTCAATTAATGAAGTCAGCGTGGTTTCTTTATCTAAGGTGAGCTTTGCAGTCTAGTGTTATCATCAATTCTTTTCACTCTTATCATCCATTCTCTTGTCCTCTTCAGGCCATATAGTAACCTCATGAAATCATTTTTCCAACATTCTTACTTCTCCCCTTCTGTCTATCAGTTTTTTTCTCCCTTCTTTGGTACATTGTCCTGTCAGACAATTCAAATTCTTCTAACAATATCCAAATTTGACCAGAGTCAGTATCAATGGAACCCATGAATCATTCATCAGGATATTTAATGTTATCTCTGGTTCTTCTAACCTGTTTAGCCTGACTGGCAGATCGAGTCTATACACCTATATTTCCTGTGATCCATATATTGGAAATTTTAAGCATTAGCCTGAGCAGATTAGGATTAAGTTGTATATCATGTCTCTTCTGAAAAACTTTTCCTGGAAAATAAATCTTATCTTAATTTCTCTTGGCAGCTGACCTGCCTGGTATTGCCACAAGAGTACTTCAATTTGCTGCAACCTAACTTCATCTGGAATGCAGATGAATCACCTGAAAGTTTATCTATTGTCGAGCAGACATTACGCCTTGAGCCAATTGAAGTAAGCATCTTTTCTTCTGGTTGTTGCATTCCATATGACTTTTAGTTGTTCTGTTAAGTCAAATTACGGTACCACTGATTGAATTAAAAAGTAGAATTCGTCTAAGGCCAGCACACATTCTGTCATTCTTTAGACGTGAAAATCAGGTCAGTTATTCATATTCAATATTATTATTTTTGTTGGGTTTCTGGAACAAACTTTAAACAAGTGACTGAAAATCAGAAAGTTTTGAACTTTCCATCATTTCTATGGAAAAAATGGATTCGAATCTAGAGATACAAAGGGGAAGAAGACTGTTACCCTAAGTATTTCAATTCCATAAGAATACTTAGCCGAGAAGTATCATAGAGGTCCTCGGCAGTTTATCTTAAATTGATGTGGCCATTGTGTCTTTAGAAAAGCTTGTTTAAGACTATGGATGCTTTATTGTGTCAATATACTTCATCAGGATTGTAAGAGAGGCCAATCCAAATCATGTAGACTTCTACCAAATCACCTAAATAGACAGGCATTTTTTACATCCATTTCTTAAAGTTCCCATTTGTGAAGTGTGACTACAATCAAGGTACATATTAGTGTTGTCTTGGCAACATGAGTGAGGTTTTCTTCATAGTCAATGCTACATTTTTGTTGAATGCATCCTATACATCTTGTTTTGTACCTTTCAACAGAACTATGAGATTTATTTTAGATATTATTACCCATATGCAACTAAGCATTTGAGTAGTGATAAAAAAACTTATTTATTTTAGATACTATTACCCATTTGCAACTAAGAATTTGCCTAGTGATAATAAAACTAACTCCCATGTGGATGCCATATGCATTGCAGAAAGTTCCTCTTCCATTGATTGTTGTCATTGAGGATGAAGACTATTGCAGGAGTAGGGTTAAAATAAAAAAAACGTCGAAAATATAAAAGAACATGAAAGTTACGACACTTATTTGAGAAGAAAAACTCATCAAAACACCTTAGGTAGCTGGTCTATGATCATCTCTATTAGTGCACTAAATTCTTTGGCTGTAGAGAATTTTATTGATTGACCAATGTAAGTATTTATCTAAGCAATAATTTCTTGATTGTTCACCTCCTAGTTTGAGAACCATGCTGCATAGTTTTCAGCTTTAGAATATGTAGGAATCAGCAAGGGTCCTATCACGTAGGCTTTCATTTTCTTGTTTAGAAAGAAAATTTTCATTAGATATGCCCAATTGGTGTAGTTATCATCGGTCACCCACACACATGTTCTGAAATAAAAATTGATACTAGCCATTTCACTAGATTTTGCCTTGATGATGGTGACATAGATTCTCTCAGCATGTACCTTAATATCGGGAATATCAGTAAAAACATTTTAAAATAAGGGATTTTTTTTGTTTGGATCTACTGTTCATTTGGTAGTTTTCACGGAAATTTTGGTATTTTAAATGTCTTTATGAATGTTTAGTATTTTAGTTTTTTTTTAAAATTTTGGTGTCTTTTACAATCCTCGAGGCCACCAATGGTGGTGGATGGTTTGAACGACGAAATTTAAGGCCACATGGAAGTTTTCTATTGGTCCAACCTTTCCTTTAAAGTCGCTGTTAGAAATTTTCTGATGGTAAGTTTTCAACACTTTAGCTTAGTTTCTATGGGATCGTGAATTTCGGGGCCAAGGCAGTTATTCACAGATAAGATGGTGAATTTCGGATTGACATGCTACTAAACATTTCATGGCCTTAGGTCATGGAGATTTAGACATTTTTTTCATTTCAGGCAATTGTCACACACCCGACACTGCCCTCTGGCAGGACTCTATCATCTCCCCTATTAGCAACCTCTTACCTCAGGCCTTCACAGTTTTCTCCCTCAAACACAGCCCTGTGTGTAAACCTTCTCTGGCGAGCCTCTGTGGCAGCCACGATTGGGAGATGCAGCTGGCTAGTCTGTGCTTTACGGGGGCTAGTCCTGAGCATTTGTGGTATTTCTCAGAGGCCGAGCCTTGGAAAAATGGCTGGCCCAAGTTTAACTGTCATGGGGTCTGGCCCTTCGACAACCCTACCTATTTTTGTTTTATTTATATTAGGGCATCATTATCTAAAATTCAGAAATTTAGATCTATTAAATGTATTTACCGGTAGTCTTTGAACATCCCTGGTCAGAACATGTCGTGTTTATTATTGCAAGACTTCTGCATTACGTTCTGTTAAGCTTATAGAATCTGTTTTCTGGGAAAAAAAAGGTGGACATATTTCGTGGATATACAGTACCAGGTTCTCCAGTATTCAGACAAGTTTTTGGAGGACAATTCATCGGACAGGTGTGATCTGATTTGATTTGGTTTTATCTGTCGTATTTTCTGCATGCCTGCTATTATTTACAGCTTTATTTTTTATTTTAAGTGATCTAAATATCATGGATATTAACACTCTAAGCTAATATGTTGCCTCTTGTTTACACCATTGCTATCTTTGTCTCATTCTTCATGTCTTCTACCAGATGGCTGGTAATCATGAATCTGGACAAAAGAAGCATAGATTGGGTCTCACCTGCGCCCGTGTACAAGACGATATCAATAATCGGAAAGAAATATAGGACTAGTGTAACATTAAACTGTACAGGGATTTTATTTTTAGGAGCTCTTTATGCATGATGATTGACCTAATCTATCTCATCTAAATCATGTCGGGATAGGATAGCACCTTATCATTGCACACTGTTTTGCACATTCTTTATGATTATCCCATTGAAGTGCTTGTTGGGATTCAAAATTTTGACTGAAACTGGTGTAAGATTATTGTTCGTTTGATGTATATCAGATTTAGTACCAAAAGAGTGTCGATTTCCTTTCTGGAATTCAAAGATAGAAATCTTTCTAGGGTCCATTTAGTTTGTTAACCTTTCAAAATATTCTGGGAGGTTAAAAATGGTGCAGCCTTTCCATGAAGAAAACTTTCTCACGTAGAGATGATGTACAGAATTTAGTCTACATGGAACACCTGTATTGTGAATTGTCCGATAATTTCAACTAAGTTATCGGAATTTTGTTCAAATACATGCAGAGGTATGAAGTGTTAATCTACTTCATTCAGAGCAAGTATCTCACATCTAGAAATACTTTAGGCACGTGATTTGACTGAAACATTGATCGAATAGTCTTTTGACGTCTATGTGGTACTCATTTATTCAGGTTGCTCCTTAGTGGAAGAAGCATTCGTCTGCTCTAACGTGCATATCATTATGTTCTTGCACTCCTCTCAACTGTTTTATGCAGGCACTGGCAGCAGCCTCTAAGACTGTCGACTGCCTAAAACTTGCACACAGCTTACATGCATATTTTATCATTGCTGGGGATAGAAATAGTAAGTATTTTGCGTATCTTTTTGCATTTCCTATGAATAGTACTGATTTGTTATGGGGAGACTATGACCACAGTGTGAACCGTGCCTTCAAATTTTTAGTCAAAATATTGTGATGGATTTCGTGCATATTTTCCATAAATGTTTTCAATCTTTGTGTCATTTTCATACATCATATAGTAGGGTTACCTAGCGGTTGTTTAATTTCCTTTATTAGTCATTTAAGGAAAGAAGAGTAATATAAAGAGACCTAGGGTAGCCAAAATCTTAGATTACAGACTGAGATGGAGGTTTGGTTGATTATTTTTTCTACTTATTGAGATATTTTCTTCATCTCATTATACATTGGGAACTTGGTCATATTTTCGTCCGAACATTCCGTCACAAGAAAAAGAATTAGTCGTACTGTTTTAATAGTCTCAGTACATGAGGTCATTGATTGAATTTAGATTTTTTTTGATATATGTAGTCTAATGACGTATTTGCCTTACAATATTGGTCTTTAAACATAGCTAGGTGGCTCAAGATGAGGTGCTAATTTGGTTCATGTACTCTAAAGATTTTAGTGGGGTATATTGAATGTCGAAAAATGTTGAGAAATAGTTATGCTTCCTTTTCTGTGTTACGGTTGGTTGAAACTCGTTCCACTTTGGGCCACTAACCCGTTAGATTTTGGACCCAATTTAGGTCCTCGAAACCTGTACTATTGAGTTCATTTGTAGCATTATCCTTGAAGACGAAAAGGTGTGAGAAAGAAAGGAAACTCTCTACTGTTCGGCTAGTGTTTCTAGGTTTTTTTCTCCATATATTCTCTCCTCTATCTCAACACCTAAGATTTTCCAAGTGTTTCTCATTGCTCCCTTCAATCTAAGATTTTGTGACATGAATGAGCAAAGTGAACTTATACCGACCTCACTTATCCATTTTAAGGTAACATTTTGTTAAAATCACTAACAATGAGTGCATGAAATTTTTAGTGGTCAATCAATTTTGAACAACTAAGTTTCCAATCGTACCTATGAGTGTTTCCACCAGGTCTCCTGTAAACTTGTTAAAAAGTTGGTTATCTTAAGGTACCGATCAAACATTTTTACACTTACAAGCCTTGCTTAATAGTTTGTTCTAGAATGTTGTAAAAGATTGAAAAACTTGCGCAATCCTCAAATATAATTTGGGTTGGCACAATGAGTGTGTAGAGCTCACTAGAACTTTGTTGAAATGACTTGAATGTTTGTGAGCGTTCTATAAATGTTTTTTGGATTTGAAAAATTTGATAATACAGAAGCTCATAACTATCACATTTAAGGTGTCTTTTAAGCTTAAAAAAGTTTATAATATTCTCCAAGCAAGTATCAATAGTCGGAACTTGTTCTCATCTTATCCATGTAATGCCAACGCTTGGTTATTTTCTGTCGACTCTCAAATTTCTAATGTCAAATTTTCTATTAGGTTTTATAATGTACGGTCTTTGTGTTGACCTCTTTGTAAATAGCTTTTTGTTTAGCACACGTGTTTTCTCCTAGGAGTGAGCACTTTTGATCATAAGTCGTTGTTTCAGTACATGCATCAACACTTTGAGTTGTTCACAATTAAAATTTTTGATAGTTATACCCTTTAGCTTGACTGCTATGTTAAATTTCATGTAATAGGTAAACTAAGTGTCTTTAGCTCATCAGAATATTTACAATATTCTATTATTATTTCATATCCAATTATTTCCCCGTTATATGTGTGCCTATAACTCATCGAAATTAATAGTGAAAACTTTTAACATTATTTCATACCAACATACTGCATGTTGGGAGTGCCCTTGAAGCATTTAAATCAAGCACATAAGGTTTCAGTGTTCAGAGAAATGGAATGAAAAAAAAAGAAATGTATCAGTCGCGGGAAACGATTGGGTTTAAATTGTTTAGGCTCGTCTGAACTCTTCTAATATATTTCTCGAGTATCATTAACGGTAATAGACACCAGTTTACTAGGTCGCTATTATACCACTAGGCTTTTGGGTTTTCTCCCTACTAAAACACACTTCTTGAGGTTCTTTCTCAACTACCATGATATTTATTTCATAGAATGTTTCACTGTGTTATCAAATGAATAATAAAATAAGCTTTTATGATGCCTAGTAGGCATGAGACGCTTCAATAACCAAATGTATCCAATATCTATGGAGGATTCTACTGTTCCTTTCTTTTTTGGTGGGTTGGCAAGCAGTTATCCACCGTTGGTTTGACTCCAACATTTTTCTCTTCATGTTTTTTTTAAAGGGTTCAAAAACTGAGTCAAGACATAGTTTAAACAGATGTTAGTACACAGTGTTGATCCCTGGGACGAAACATTAATCATCCAGTTATATTTAGGGCTGATAATTATGAAAGTTAGTGATAAATAATTTTTCACATTAAAATCCTCTGTGGATGAGGGTTGGGGACTCATTAGTTCGATATAGCCATGACAAGTTTAAGCTTTCTCTTTTCTCCTTTCTATGTCACCTAGCCTCGATCCAAGCTTATGACGGGTTCTATCTCTCTTCCCCCTTGGCTGAGAACTGAAGTACGTGAGGGGCTCTCTCTTTCTTTCTATAGGCTGCTCCACTGTGTCCCATGTATCTATAAAGGTTCTTAGAGCTTCCTCCAGATAAGGGGGCAGAATATGTGGATTCCACTTCGGAACCGGTTCCCTGATCTCTTCCTTTTAGGATAAGTGCGTCTGTCTAAACATGGGAAGAACTGCAGCCGCAATTACCCATGGAACATTAAAACTCAAACCCCCTGCCATCTGCCTTTGATTATGTGGGTTCACACGCTACCATAGCTGCTGTGCTACAGCTTGCAACAGCTGTTTGATTAAATTACTCGTTTGCATTGTACAGTGCCAATTGTTTATCATGTTCATCATTTACGGGATGGCAAGAGCTTTGCTACCAGGAGAGTAGATGCTACCCAGAAAGGTGTTGTGGTGTTTTCTCTAGTTGCTTCTTTTCAGGTATTCCCATTTATATATTCTGAAGCTTCCATTCTCTTTTGAATGTTGCAACAAGTTTTTGGTTTCATGGAAGATACGCCTGCTTGGGCTCTGGTATTTGTTCCAACAGGACGGCCTTATTTTAACACAAACCAAACAAGAATAAACGTTTGGAAAAAAATCTTTTCTACTTCTCAAATCATAGAACGATTGTTAGTCGTGTAAAGTCACCCTGGCCACAAAAAACGAAAACCATCTAGGTGAAGGAAACTAAGAAATTAGGAAACTGACCAACAGAGGCTAGATCCTAATTACACGTTCTTCCCACATATTCGATAAACATTCTTTCTTTTTAATCCTTAAGAAAGAACATGCAGGTTTCTAGTGATGCACTTTGATCTGGATGCATAATCTATCAGATGACTTATTTGGTAGTTGCAACTGCAATACCTATTATGATATTTTATCACATTTTACCAAAGGTTGTGGGTTGTCAAATTGTAGGTGACAGCAGTCGGACAATACTTTGAGGGATTTGAACAGTTGAACTAGTTTTTGGCGCCCCAAGTTTTGATTGGGACTTGAACAAGAAGTCAGTGGACACCAGGCTGATACACCTTAATTATGCAAATCACTCAACACTGAGATGACAATGCAACATATGCTTTTGTGTGGGGTCAATGAGTAGAGAAAACAAAGTCTCAAGCCTTCTTGATCACCAATGACCGTTGGCTAATTTATCCAACATTTTGGCTTTTTTGGTCTGGTTGGGAATTTCGGGAGGTCGCAAGTTTTAGTATTTGGCTTTACAAAAGAAATGGATTCCATATAAATCCATATTAGCATGTCAATCCACAGTCGAGGGACTTTTCAATCGCATCTTTGGGGAGAACGAGTTACAGTATAATCTGTCTATGATCAACATTAGTTTGGCGCATACTCAATGAACTTAAAAATATGAACATATCCTTACGACAAAGTGATTTTTGCTAATTTGACTTCTCAATCGCATTTTATGTTTTGTTACATGATGTGTTCGTTTGAATGGACAACTAGTGTGGAACTGTCAATTTTTTCTTTGGTTTTATCGATGCTTGAAATGAGGGCATGTCTCATATAAGCATGTTCATGATTTTTAGCTTGCGCTGCATGCTCTACATGTTTCAAATTTTCAGTGTTAATGTCTTTTTCGTCACGAGTAATATCCCTGAAAATATTTTATACATATATCAAAAACTCCATGATCCTGGTTAACATTGGTGCTCTACGGAAAATAATATAGCAATGGTGGGTTCACATATCAAAAAAAATAATTTATAATCTAATTCAGTGCTCTGTAATGTCTTTCTCTGGTTCAGTAGTAATAATCTCTTGTTAAATCTCGAATGAAAAACCATAGGGACCATATCGCTGAAAAGGATTTGTTTTAGAGATACGATCATTTGAGAAGGATAATGGCGTGAAATAAGCTACACTAGGTTCAAGTTGTTATAGAAGCTGGCAGTGAGATATAAATTGGTTTGGATCCAGGTTTCCATTATTGTAGGTAGCTTTATAAACTAGCATAATCTGAGAACACTTAATCATCGAATGATAGCTTTGGAACGTAATATTTTTGCAGAAAGAAGAGCCTGGCTTTGAACATCAACATGCTGTGATGCCTTTAGTGCCTGCTCCAGACGTGGTAGAGTTATTTTATATTTGCCCATAACTCTCTGAGAAGTATTGAACTAATTGTCTTGTTCTTGTAGCTTCTTTCGATGGAAGACCTACGGGATATAAAGCTCACTGATCCTCGTGTCCCCATGTGATGTTCTTATCAACTTCATTGCTTAAATTTGTGCGTCTATATTTTCTGATGTATAGCTAAGACAAGCTTAAATACCCCCCCTGTATTAATGTTTTTATGATCCACATGGAATCTTCATCTTCTCCTAATACTATGAAAACTGAAACTTTGAGAACACTGTCAGGTACTAGGAATGTTTAATATCATATTAGAGAAGCTGTCATGTTTTAGCGAAGAAATTGCCGTGAAAGATTTGACCATAATTTGCCGGGATTTAATACTGAGATGTATGGAGTCCACCTGTGATTCAGTCCACGTGTTCTTTTTTAGGTGTTATGTACAAAGGAATATGACTAGTAGAAGTGTTTCCTAAGAGATGAACTCAGGTTGTTTACTTCACCCATATGTAACATGCTGCATTTTTCCACAAAATAAATGCTTTGCCTTCATTTTTCTTGTTATAAAAAAGTGATGTTTTCGGGGAAACTGCTATAGAAGTAGACTAGGTATTAAGAATGTATCAAGGAATTTCTGGCCAATGAAATTAGTGTCTTGCCTAATGAAAATTGGCATCAGGTTGTGATGCTAGAGTTTTTAATGGTAGCCTTCCGAATTCTGGTGCTGGTTCTGGTTAAACCTGTGGAAATATTTTTTGATATGTTGTCTAAATGGATGATAAGAAGAAAAAGAAACTGGTAGTCGTCGATGTAATCGTGTTGATCTTCTGGTATCCTAGTGGTAAGAGTCACCTATGCAAATTGAAATGAATAGAACTTCGTGAAAGGGAACAACTATGGGAATGGCACATCACCATAAATGACAGGGCTAAAGAAAATAGAACCACTGTTAGCTCCACGGGGGGGATGACTTTTTGGTGAAGTTCCTGAGTGAAGCATACTATTATGAATTCTCTGAGGGGATACCTGATGAAGGGCTCTTCATATACTGTTAATTGGCTTCGCTTTGCTCTTCTTTTTCTCTTTTCCCCTGCTTTCCACTTTTATCCCTCATATTTCCTTGAACCTTCCTTTAATGTGGTTTTCTGCCTTTTGACGTGCATTAATCTACTTGGTCATTGTGACACCTAATAAGAAATAATTTAGTAAATAACCATTTCAAAGAATTGCAAATAAACTCATTCCTTTCTATTGCAGCATTTTGAGTAACGTCTGATCGTGTTTGATAATTCTTGTGATCCAAAGGAAGTCTAACAAATAGATGTGAACAGAACGTACCGGAACAATGAGGCTAGGAGCGATTTTTTACCATGGCCCGTTGAGATCAGGTTCTGTATACCAATCGAAATGGCAAGAAAATATAGATCTGAACCAAGGTTTGGTGCATGATTTCAGACTTGTTCTCCTTATGTTCATCACTTAGTTTTTACGTAGTAATTGCAAGAGATAATGAATGCTCTACTCAGATGAAGTTGCATCGTCTTTCAGTCTGATGTACTGGTTCAGAATAAGAGGGAAACTTTCTGATGATGCTGCTTTGCACCGGTTAGTATGTACAAAGTTAGTGTCCGTTTGTTATTTGGTTATTTGTACCCTCTTGAGGAGGGTTATAGTTATTCTTTTATTTATGTAGATTCTTCGTTGCACAGGCTGTGCACACTCAATGAAGCGTGATGCTACATTTCATCGCTCTATCTGTTGCGATGTACTGCAGCCATATACTGTGGTGCATACTGTGAACAGATTTAGTGCAGTGCTGATTAATTCTATCCCTTTTTACTCTATTGAAAAATGTTTTTTTCTTCTTGGTAATTCCTTATGGTTCTGTTTGTCATAGAGGCAGTTTCTGATGTGGACGTGTTTATATTCTTAACATATTTGAAAATTCTATGCTGAAGAAAGAGTCACATTTAGAATCTAAGGTGGCGTGTTAAGATTCTCAATATGAGCAAAATATCATACATGATCAAGCGTATCCCAATCAGTTGTTTGATTAAACATATTAGTATGACTCTGAACTAAGTTAAGAAGATAGTTGTCCTCAGTTAACCATTAGGCTGAATGTGCCTTATTATCTTGAAGAGAAGTATCGTGACATTTCTTGGATTAGAATACCACAATTAAAATGAACACAAAAATGGACAGGGGAGGCGTGTTGCTGTAGGCTCGGCCTGGGGTTTGGGGGAGTTGAGGGAACATGCCTCAACCACAGAAGCAGTCGATCCCAGTAGTGATTGGTATTGCGATATTTCCATGGAAAATGAATAAGTAGAATAGCTGCTGAACTCCACTGCAGTATTAATACCATCTGAATGTCATGGTTGCGACTGGCTGTTAGACATCTGTTGGTGGGAAACTAATAAATAACCATTCTTCTGATTTTTTCTTGCAGTTCTCTTTTTCCATGTACAGTTTAATCATAATCTTTCTTAAATCTATTCTGCAGATGTGCGATTGCGTACGCTTCAGATTTCTTATTCATGTCTATCAGCTTGAATCCCCATCGTAAGAAGGGTTTGAAGATCATGTGCCTCAGTCTGGATCATTCGTACGTTCTTGAACTGTTAAATACATCTGTCGTGAACACTTTCATTTTATTATGCTGTCGATTTGATTATTTATTCATACAACTTTCATAGAATAGTGGTTTTTCTAATTGTATTTTTATATTATTTCTTTCTGAATTTATTCAACTTTCCTACATTGATATTGTTGGTCGCTTGGCAAGAGTTACGCTACCAGAGGGTGTGAATAATGCTCAAACCAATCGAGACAAGACACAATCACACAAGACTCATGGGATTTATAGTGGTTCAATCAACAGTCAGGGCCACCTTTTGATCTCCACTTGGTTATCTGCAGGTGACATATGGTGTTAACGAAGCCTTTAGTTAAAAAAGCTTCACTGATGAACAGAAAAGAGAGAATGAGAAACAAAACCTTCTAGCAAAGCTTGAAAAATGATTGGAGTATGTTAGAGGCTTTGTATTCTCAAGTTCTTCTCACCAGTGGGTTATTTATTAGGCTGAAAGGTAGGCATGGTCATGGCTTGAGGAAACCCGTACCGAGTTACCAACAAGATTGAACCTCTACTTTCCGTTTTTTTTTTTTATAAATTTGAATCTGCCAACACGTGTAGGTGGGCTTTCAAGATTTTATTCATATCTTATAAAGTCATCAGCACCTACCTTTGTCGACTCTATGCAGTTTTGACTTTGTTTCGAACACAATGCGCTGTCACATATCTTTTGGTTCTCTATACCACATTGATGTTCCTGACTCCAAAATCGACACTTAAATTCACGACTGACTGAATTTCTTCACATATCATTGCTTTGTTTTTTTTTTTTTCACCGCATGATCATTAAATTTGAAGGACCCAACATCATAGTAATTGCTTCATTTTTAACATATTTTTAATCTCTGAAATCTGTATTCCTGCATTACAATTATGATTTTATTAAATATGATTAAAAAAAACAAGTTTAGGTTCGATTGATGTCTATAGAGACATCTACATATCCTGGGCAGGTATGCGGATTTTTCAAATGTAATGGAAAAGTCATACATTTGAAAAATAAAATAAAATGAAACATGTCGTTGAATACAGATGGCTATGATCTCGGAGCATACACTTCCTTTATGTTGTCTACGTGGGAAGCTAGAATAGTCTTGCGTTGAAAGAAACATATCAAAACGTTTGACTAAAGAGATGTGTGGGTGGGTCTTCTCCCCTTTACTAGGAATCGGTTTGGATCTTTGGATGACCCAAAAGCACAGCAGGCGTAAAATTTACTTGACTAATGCTATTATCTTTGTCCCTTGAGCTTGAATTCCCTTGCCAACAGCTGACTATCAGAGAAAATGAGAGTGTGGCAGGCTTCAATTGCATTTTTCTGTTCTTCACCAAAAACGTGTCAGTCCATTTCATGAAGCAGCAGTTACTTTGTTCCCTGCACGTTTCTGCAAGTGTGATTGGTTTCCTGGAGAACAAGGGAGAGAGAGAGAGAGAGAGAGAGAGATAGAAGCTATCTGCCTTTTGAGACAGATCTGACCATGATTCTTCTTTTTCTGTCTTCTTCAGCATGTGGTTCCACCGGGACTGCAGAGCCGACGACTGGCTGCTTTTCGTGGTATCACTTTTGTTTTCTTCTTCTTCTTCTTCTTCTTCTTCTTCTTCTTCGTCTTTTGATTCTCACTTCTCCCACAGATGGAGAGCCCCTCTGCCTCCCGCGGCCGCGGGTTCGCTACCGGCCGCATGTTCAACAGGAAGGGCGAGGTCTGAAGATCCGCATTCCCTGAGAGCTTGCTTTCTTCAGGATTTTCTTGGCGCTGACTCTTCTCTGTGCTCCTGTTGACGCAGCTTATCGTGTCCCTGGCCCAAGAGGGCCTTGTCCGGAAGGTTGCGCCGCCGAATCGAGCCCCCCCTTCGAAGCTGTAGCCGTCTCCAGAAGAGGCGACCGATTCCCAAATCACCTATGGGCTATTATTCCAGGGAAAAAAAGGAAATAAATATATAAATGAAAAAAAATATACATCTAGAAACCCCCCCCCCCCCCAACCTTGAGTCAACGTGACTTCGTTTTGGAAGATTTTTTTGGACGTCAACACAGCTCGGTGTGAACCCGCTGCAGATGGGCCTGTGATTTCGGCGGCGGCGGGCCGACTGGTATGTACATCGACGTTTTTGGGAAAATTTTATCGGGCTGGTGGGCCCCAGTTCGTTTATCGACGACCTGCTCGAATTCTTCCTCTGAAAAAAGGCTCGTTGCGGGTTAGGCGTGTGTGTGAGCAAGGAGGTGGAGAGCCGGAGGGGGTGCGAGGTGGTGGTGGTGGTGGTGGTGGTGGTGGTGTGTCCTCTGGAGAATCCACAGGTCCCTCACTTGATCCCCCTAGCTGTTGTGGGAGGGAGACTTGAGGGTCCTGAAGATCCTTGGCCAGGCAGCTTCCTCTTTGACTCCTGTTTCAGTTGGATCTACCGAGGAAGACACTGGTAATGCTCCTCCGCTGCGGATTTCTCCTTCTTCTTCTTCGATCTCTATCCCTTTCCTTGTTTCTCCGACCGCGGCGACAGAAGTGCGAGCCTCTGATTCGGGATTCGGTGGGCGATTTCTCACTCTGTCAGTCTGAGTAACCTCGCTCGCATTGCGAGATAATTCCTTCTGATTTTCTCGCTACAGTTTGCGTCGCACTCCGTGGAAGTTTGCCTGGAGCTTCCGCGTGCTCACCCTGTTCTCTGGCGATGCTCTCCTATTATTCCGGGTTTGGAGAATGCTCCGATGAGTTCGTTCTCTGCGTTTCTCGTTTTGTGCTCAGATATTAATTTCCCAATCTCATTTCTCAAGCCTTCCCTACTGCTCTCTCCACGCCTGGATGGGAAGATGGCCAAGAAGCCCCCCCGAAGGAGATGAGTACTCCATCCAGTATGGATGGATGCCGCTGGAGTTTTCGTACTCCAGTTCTGTGGAGATCGCGTCTGCAAGAGCTATGCAGGTGGATGAACAGTCGAATGGTAGATGCAACGAAAGAAATGGCACCGAGTCTTCTTCCGGCAAGATCGTGACTACGCCTGAGTTCGTATCAGCCGCTGTGGGGTTCTGGAAAGCTGTTAGTCGTCCTTTAAATCCTTCTCATTCTAGGGCAAGAGCAAGAGGCCCCGGAGCCTTTCAGAGAGAGAGCAGCGTGGTTTACCGCGGCGGTGAAGTAGCAGCCGGGGATTCCTCATCTCTCGTGGACTCTGATTTCTATCTCCATGACAGAAAATCCGTGGGTTGCTTCTCATCTGCTTCTGAGTCAGGCTACGAGCATCTGAAGGCACTTAAAGGAATGATGTTCTTCCAGCCTTCCACAGGCTTCTCGAGTGAATTTCCAGAGGGACACAGAGATTATTACAGTGAACTCCACAAACGTGCAGCCTCCAAGCTGATGGCTGCTGCTGCAAGCGGGGGAGTTCACCATCCTTTGGCCACTGTCTCTGAGAAGATTGATCCAAGAGGAAGTGATGGTAATTTCGATCACTGTAGAGATTTTATGAAAGGTGACAAAGAAAGCACAGTACAGAGGTCTAATGCCTCTCCTTATGGTGCTTTTCTAGCCCCACAAGTCTCAAGTTCATTGGAACATATAAATGTCTCAAGTTGTATGGATTTCAGCCTCTCCTCAGACTACAGAACTGGTTTTCCGACTTCCATTTGCTGCACGCTCAAGGAGCACCAGCTATCACCTGGCCCGTGCCAAATGGTCCTCAAATCATCTGAAGAATCCTACTTATTGGAAGAAGATGCGCAAGATAAGGACAGAAACGTTTGCAATAGTCATGGTTGTGACGGGAAGTACCCACCGATCGTGCAGGGATCAATGTGGGACAAAATAGCAGGGAGTTTTGCCAAGGGAAGACACGCTCTTGCAGGAGGATTGGCTGGCATATTTGTTAGCATTTGCTTGCATCCTGTTGACACAGTCAAGTCTATTATTCAAGTGCATGGCAAGAATCAGGAGCCCTTGCTCCAGACTATCAAGAGAATTACGTCTGAAAGAGGTAATACTAGGCAGTCAATTGTAACCGTTTCCATAGTGTTGACTATTTGGAGTCTTTATGTGTTCTTATAACTATGGTGTGCTTTTTTATTTTTAACTCAACACATAACTGAATTATTGGTCCCACAGAACTGAGTTCAGCATTGCCTTGCAGGCGTGATGGGTCTTTACCGTGGAATTCCAAGCAGTATGGCATCTTCAGCTCCAATCTCTGCTGTTTATACTTTCACATATGAATCAGTGAAGGGTGCTTTTCTGCCTCCCTTACCTAAAGTGAGTCTTTTATATACTCTTCTAGTCTGCTCATCTGTTTGGAAAGCTATGTAATGCGGAAGTGACGTCCTCTTTGCAGGAGTACCATTCCTTTGCACACTGTGGAGCTGGTGGTTGTGTGTGACATCTTTTATATTTACACCCAGTTAAAACAGCAGATGCAAATCCATTCAGCTATCAGAATCATGATAATCTTTTTTAGGGGATATGAATTCTATAAATATTACATAAAACTTATTTTTCTGCTATCTGTTGTCGTATATTGATTATCATTGGCTTGGCCCAGCTTTTTTGGTCTTTTGCCCTGGTGATTATAGAGAACGTAGCATTTGATGATAATTGTCCTTCAATGGACTTGTATTTTCCCTTACTGTTACAAAATCTAAGCACCAGACTACAAAAATTCCTTTGTAGGGCTGCCTTGATTGGAGTCGTTCAAAAGGGCGGTCTGCCTTCACTCTATACTGGTTGGGGTGCTGTTCTTTTCCGGAACGTCCCCCACTCTGTTATTAAGGTCCTTAGTTTTGGCTCGCAATTCAAATTATCTTTTCTATTTTTTTCACTTGCCAACCGTTACCGGGGAGGTATACTCATCAGATACTTTGTTTTTTTTTTTTTCTTACTTGCAGTTCTACACATATGAACGCCTAAAGCAATTGTTGCACCCATCAACAGAACCTGATGCTGATCTCAGTACATTTACAACAGTTCGTGTTCTGCATCAATTCTCCCTTTTTCCTTTTTATTCTCTAGGATGAGTATTTTGCTGCATAACACAAATATGGTGGGTATCACTTTCCTTCGAGAATGTCTTTTTAAAGTAAGAGCTTGGAGGGTAGGTTGCATATGTTGTGTTCTTTTTCTCCCTTATGGTCTTCTGGGTAGTCTGTGCGAGAATCTCTTGGCCACCAAATTAATTTCAGAAATCAAACCTTGGTCTGGATGACGTAATGCTATAGATAACTTTCTAGTTTGTTCAATTCCCTGTCGCTGGGTCAGCTGGCACCCTGCAATAGAAAAAAATAAAGCTTTAATGCAGGCATTTTCCCACTTTAACGTTCTCTGTGTTAAGCATGCTTCTCCGTAAAGACTATTTATATGATATGTTCGCGGAATTTAATACACAATGGATAGAGATCCTAGGATTTCTAAGCCGAAAATAGATCATTTTATGCACAAGTATTTTATTGAAAAAATCATTAGATGGTTGTGCTTAGTTTGGTTGTATTTCCATGAAATTTATAATTTGAGTTTATTATGCTACGTTGACGGATTATTTGGCTTCCTAACCATTTACATTGCCTAGTCCCCGCTGTAGTTGAATTCTTTATAAGGCAGTGGGTATTTTTCTTTTTGCAGTTGGTATGTGGGGGCCTTGCTGGATCTTCTGCCGCTCTGTTTACCACTCCATTTGATGTGGTTAAGACAAAGTTGCAAGCACAGGTTTGTTTGCCAAAGATGGCAATGCTCAGTTGCTCATATTGACCTGTGTTATTGAATATGTTCCAGTTAATACTGACCTCAATAGAAAGGTCACAAGGGGAGGCGGAGATGCATGGATTTCTTTGACTGTTCATGTGATTGGTGGGGTCTCCAATGCTGCAGAGTTTTATTTTTTTCCCGTGTTTTTTTAGTCAAACTTTTTTTGGGTCAATTCATATGGTTAAAATTTTGTTTTGTCCATATCTAATGGAGTATCTTTTTGAGACATATTTTTCAAAAAAAAAATAAAACTGATCAGTATACATGTCCCCCAATATTATGGCGGCCATGTTCATGCCCTGATGAGTTTAATGACATCGGAGATGGATGTGCTCCATCCAGATACCCATTGAGCAGATGCTTGCCCATCGTGTGAAGAACACTCACCGAGTTATTTTCTGTGGATTTTTTTTATTATGAAATTAATTTCCGGTTGCCAGCTGAATATCTAGGAACGAGGATGATTATGACCATTTTTGGTGTGAATTGCGGCGCAGATGCCAGGATCTCAGGGGAAATACAATGGAGTTCTTAACTTGCTGAAAGAGATCTCTAGGCGTGAAGGCATCAGAGGACTTTACAGGTATTGTCAGCGGAGCCTCGTGCTAAACCCATAAATATCACCCCAATTTTCTTTTTTATTTTATTTTTCTCCCTGCAGCTCCTTCACACAGAAAAAAAAAATGCGATATTAAATATTTATTTTATTAAACCACCCCCCTAAATTTTCTAAAAAAATATCTAGTTCTTGGGACATCGTGCTAAACCCACAAATATCACCCAATTTTCTTTTTTTTCTTATTTTTTCTCCCTGCAGTTCCTTCATATAAAAAATGCCATATTAAATATTTATTATTATTATAAACCCCTATTTTTTGTCTAAAATATCTAGTTCGTGGAACCTCGTACTAAACCCACCGATGCCACCCGCTTTTTTTCTCTCCCTGAAGTTCCTTCACACAAAACAATGCGATATTAAATATTTTTTTATAAAAAACCCTTAATTATTCTAATAATACCTAGTTCGTGGAACCTCCTCTAAACCCACAAATGTCACCCACTTTTTTTCTTCCCTCCCTGCAGTTCCTTCAACGAAAAAAAAGCGACTTAAAATATTTATTTTTATAACAAATCCCTTTTGTTTTTCTAAAAATATCTGGTTCATGGAACCCCGTGCTAAACCCCCAAATGTCACCCACTTTTTTTTTTCCCTCCGTATAGTTCCTTCAACAAAAAAAAAATGCGATTTAAAATATTTATTTTTATTACAAGCCCCTATTTTTTAAAAATAATATTTAGTTCCTGGAACCCCGTGCTAAACCCTCGGCCCAACCATGTGGTATTAATTATTTATTTTTATCCTTGACCCAAAATCAAGATACTCGAAAAAGAAGAGAGAAAATCTAGAAACCCTTTATTTTATTTTATTTTATTTATTTATTTATTATATGATATCCACGCTGGAATCAATGGGGCAAATCATGAGTCCTCATTCAGTAGACAAGAATTTTCTCACTCCTTTCCGGATGTTGGTGTTACAGGGGACTAACCCCGAGGCTGTTCATGTACGTCTCCCAAGGAGCCATCTTCTTTGGATCCTATGAGTTTCTGAAACGTCTCTTCTCGTTCCAAGGAGAGCATCACAGAGTTCGAGCTGAGCCATGCCACGCCGACAATGGTCCCCGCTCCTAGCTTGCCACGTGGCAGCCCTCTCCGAAGCCTCTCAGGCATGAAGGATCCCGTTCCCATTCACTTGGACGAGTGATTTTTTTCAGCGGCTGGTGTGGCAGGCCATTCCCCTCAGCACAAAGAATCGATCCTCGCCAACCCTCCACGAGGCAGCCTAAGTGGCTGGCAGCCCATTGGGCTCTCGACTGAGGCTCTTCTTCGTGTTGGAGTGGCTGTCTACCTAGCAGCTGACTAGGACGTTACCTGGGACGATGTGGATCGTCAAGACGTGGACACGTCTCCCTCCTGTCCCCTGCAAAACACGCCTCATTTGGCACGAGAAAAATTCTACCGAAAAGAAAAAGACGAGAAAAAATAAGATGGAATGTCTGAGCCCGGGTTCGAACCGGGGGCCTCTAGTGTGTGAGACTAGCGTGATAACCGACTACACCACCCAGACAATCGATTAGTTATTTCACAAGAAACAGTTTATTTTTAAATTTTTTTTACTTATCTGATATATCAACCCGCAGGACAATTTATTGCCAAAATTGCACCATGAAACGTTTGCAGGGATCTGAAAACACTCAGAAGGAAAGAATAAGATGATGAGCGGATTCAGGACGGTGACTGAGGCAGAAATGTCGCTCGACTAACCCTGAAGAAGAGGGGGGGGCGCGAGAGGCATACAAATGATACATTATCTGGGTGGAAACAGGCAGGCAGGCAGGCAGAAAGAGTCCACGTAGGCTGCTCCATGCTGCATGATCCTAACTTATGATGAACAAAGAGGAGGACGAGGGCTGCCGCAGAATTCCCGACGAGCTCCTCACTCCCCTTCATTGAGGATCGGAACGATTAGCGGCTTCAACTGTGCGAGATATACAATCGCCCACCTGACGAGGAGTACAGAAAGTTACTGTACCATTAGTATCCATGGATATGCTTCTGATAAAAATGAAGAGTTGTCCTCGTCAGATGATCAAGCAGGTCGTGTTCTTCAATACATGTAATGATGTAGTCGATGACTCAAATATATATACATATTTTATTTTCATTTTTTCATTTTTCCATTTTTCTGGCAAAAGTGAAATAACTGAAATGACAAGGTGTTCTCTAAGGCCACACGTAGTGGATGATTCTTATATAGATATAGATATAATTCTATAGCAGACATAACGAAATGTTCTCTAACAGACTGGGTTTGATGATTCTCATCAGAATTTTTATGCGGAAAATATCCTCAAAATAAAATGATGAGAAAATAAATAGACAGCCGGATGCTTTACAAAGTGCAATCAGAAAGAAAGAAAGAAAATATCATCGGATGTAGTGAAAAGTTGAACTAGTATAATGAAAAAAAAAAAAAACAATTGATTTTTAAGTTGAACAAGCGTTTGATGGATTTCAAACAAAAAACTACATCTAATAATACAGAGGAAGAGATAACAAAAACTTACATCATCCAACAGCAAACCGTCGCTGTAATGACCAACGTCAGATGAAACCTGGATCAATGGGAAAGACACAATGTTCCATAAAAATCTGACCCCATAACTATATGAAACATATGATGTTAACCAAAAGCAAATGTAAGAGAGGAATAAATAGAATAAATAAAAAGAAGAAAGAACAAAATGTTGGCCTCCTTTAATTGAATGAGCTTGAAACGTTATTCACCAAAAAAAAAAAAAAAGATTAGAAAAAATTGTGATCCTACAGAGACGCAATGTGTGTGACGACTATGTAGAGAAGCATAGATTGTCATAGCATAACACTACAAACAGGTGTCCAAGCAAGGTCAAAAGTTCCTTCCAAAGAGAATAAAAGGATCCCATATGCCCCTTTCTTTTTTCTAGTCAAGGATCACAGCGAAAGGTAATTCACAGATATTCAAGTTTATATGAAAAATTTTGGGGCGCAAGTCTCAACAAGGAATTTGAAGTTGGTGCTAAACTGAGCCAACTTAGACCTGTTGCCTACAGCAAATATCTATCTAAAGATGGCAAAAAATATTTCCTATTCCCCACATCTCATGTTTGAAGAAAATATTAGGAGAGAGAGTTATTTCTCAATGATAGATGCCTATAAGATTCCTAAGGAGATTCACTTGATCCAACATATATATTGATCTAGCGGATTGTCGAGTGTGCAAACTTCATATGCTAGTGACGTATCAGAGCAATGACAAGAGGCCCGACTGAAGATGCAAAGTTCTCAATTGTTCCGATCAACATTGAGGTCAAGGTTAAATTCGAGAGCAGAAGGAAGTCAGGGAATTCGCTATATTTTAGGGTTCTAACAGGGACGTAGCCATGGTCCTGTTTCTTTCGGTCGTCGCATTTAATACAGGTAATCGGAGTTGTAGGAGCGGGTCAGGCATCCCCTGTGTCAGATATTAGCCAAAATAGAGCCAGGAATAGCATTGCTTCCTGTGATTGTATCTGGAAATGAGGTCGTATTCTGTGGCTGATACAAAAAATAAATACAGCAGTATTTTGCATCTCCCACGCCCGAAGTACCTCTAACCAACACATCTATATCGCTTCCTTCAGCTTCTTCCCCCCTTCTATATTTCTGTTGATGGGGAGAGGAAGAGGAAGGAGTAGATACGTCTACAGCCAGGATAGAGGATTCAATCAGATCTGCTAACAACTCTCTCCATTCTAACCTAAACAACCAGATTTTCACTTGAGGCAATAGATTTAACCAAGAAAATAGTAGCTCGAGCACGAAAAAAATGGGGCGAACAGCACAGGTGAGGGGACGAGGGATCACAGATTGGTCGACGGCCCCCGGTTGCAGCAGATCACGGCGGAGAGGGAGGCGACGATGCCGATGAGGATGAAGATGAGGGTCGTCACCCAGAATCCCATGGCGTTTCTACGGAAGGATCCCAATTCGTCGATCGAACCCCCTAAATCAGCCTCGATATTCCAGAGAATCAATCAAGAACCAACTCCGTCTTAGAAGAACAGCGACGAGAGGACGAGGGGCCAATTTTGTGGGCTTCTCCCAGTCGGGGCAACGATGTCTGCGATATGGTCACTCTGCGGTGAGATTACACCCCTGACTGATTCATGACGCAGCCTCGACACGTGGCGAGCATTGTACGGCGAGTCCCGACATTGGCCGAAGGTCTCCTCACCTCCTCGTCCTCATCTCTCTCCCACGTACTCTTTTATCTTTCCCAGGAAGCTCTAAGAACATTGTCTAGTAATTATATTTATATTTTTATATAATATTTTTAATAAAAAATATTTCGGCCTAGTATGATAGAGCCTGCCCAATATTACTCGGGCGATATGGTCACTCTCCGGTGAGATTACGCCCCTGACTGATTCATGGCGCAGCCTCGACACGTGGCGAGCATTGTACGGCGAGTCCCGACATTGGCCGAAGGTCTCCTCACCTCCTCGTCCTCATCTCTCTCCCCCGTACTCTTTTATCTTTCCCAGGAAGCTCTAAGAACATTGTCTAGTAATTATATTTATATTTATATATAATATTTTTAATAAAAAATATTTCGGTCTAGTATGATAGAGCCTGCCCAATATTACTCAGGCGTCTCAATGGGCCTATTCAAGCCCGCCCCATCGTTATGATATGGACCTTGGGATAACTCTGGCTATCAGGCTCCACGCCGGGCCCAATAAAGTGTTCTCGGCCCAATTATCACAATCATCCCAATTTAGAAATATAAGAAAGAGAGAGAGACAGACAGACACAGGGAGATAGAGAGTGAGTGAGTGTGAGTGTGTGTGTGTGTGTGTGAGAGAGAGAGAGAGAGAGAGAGAGAGAGATCGAGAGAGAGAGCACAGTTTCTATTCGAAAAGAGCCGCACAGGGCGTCGAATTGAGGATCATAAACATGCCTTAGGCATAAGAATATGCTCCGCTGCGCCGACATGGCCCAGAAGAGGAAGTGCGAACGCCGACATAACAGAAGAGGGATGAGAGAGTTCAGAACACCATCCAAGAGAAGCTCAAACGTCCAGAAAGTGGACCTTATCACTGGAACCTGATCCGGGCCCCTCCCAAAGCTCACCCAGCTCGTTCCTGGTCCAAGACAGGAACACCACGGGCCCCAGAGTCAACGGCACCTGTCAGAGCCACGGCGGCTGTCAGTCAGAAAAAAAAGCCCCCCCCCCCCAACAACCCAATTGCCGGGCATTAAAATCAATCAAAACAGATAGACAAATAATTGATGAATTTTTCACAGGCTCGGGTCTTTCTGGAAATCGTCTGTCAGAGAGGTTATGCAGAAGCTCTTTATGGTAAAATTTAACAATGGAGTTGACTTTCTCAGGTCAAACGACTGCGATAGCCAACCCATGGGATTTATCTAAAACAGACAAATAATAGCCAAGCCAAGCTCTTTAGGCGTGGGAAGCAGAGCAAGATGGAGGCAAGGAGAAGGAAAGAGAGGTGGGAAAAGAAACCAGGTAATGAAAAAACCCAGACAGACATAGAGATAGAGATAGAGAGAGAGAGAGAGAGAGAGAGAGAGAGAGGCAGAAGCAATTTCAGGGCCGGTTCTAGGGATAGAAACCATTATAGATAATGTTTATGTTTCAATGATCGACATTCACAATCATAAAATAAGAGTATATAATTCTAAATTTCTGCAATGTAGTACCAGGTAAAGAAGAGCAGGCTGAGGAGAGCGGGTCAAAATCCCAGCAGCTAAAGCAGAAACCAGTCCAATAGCATATCCAGATACTGCATAATATATGTATCTTTGGCCTCTTGAGGACGAGGAAGCATCTACAGATGAGGCTACGTCTCTACTCTTCTGGTGATCAAAGCAAAGCACCAGAGCTAAAAGCATTCCCGGAATAGCCTACAGAAACAGAAATATCATCAACTTTCTGGAGGGTTGTGACTTGGGAGAGCACCCAAAAATAGGAAATAGAAGTTTCATTACAGAATAGATCAAAGACATAACGGAAGTCCGTTATAGATCATGATCTATGCAGCATAGAGAATTTCAGTCAAGAAGACAATTATCATGCGCAATGAAACATTGTTAAATAGAATCTGTAAGCTGAGATTAAAAGGCCTCAATTAGAAAAGATGACAAAGATCTACAAAAATATAGAAAGAATAAAGTCTCCTCTTAGCATTGGATATCCTCACTGTGTAATTTGTAAATCCAGCATCGTTAAACGAAAGAACAAATATCTACAAAGAAAATAAGTAAATATTTATTTCTTGTCCAAGACCTTTCAAATATTTTCAAAAATGGGATATTATCAGCTTCGAGTGGCCAGACATCCTTCAGATTAAACCCATGTCAACCTCGTTATTATCATCAACACTACACAGCTTCCAAAAATAGCGCTCTTGACTCAGCTAGAATTCAAGGATTCCATCAGCAAGCTAGGTGTGAGTTCTACCGCTAGATAATGGTGAAAGATGACAACAATCAGTCTTTCGATGTGATAAAAATTCCAAGCTGCAAAGAACTAATTAGGATACTAAATTCGAGTTAAATAGTCTACAAAACTGTCTGCATCAGCGTCTAATAAAATACAAGCATATTTATGACACCTCACCAACATAAAAAAAGTACTCTCCCCAATTCCAAAAAAAGTTATAAAGAGGAGCCCCAGGCAAAATCTAGAGAGGAAGCTCAGTGACCTTATTATACGTTCAAGCCACAACCTCCGAAGTGCACTGTGCTGAGACTGGCATCACCTGAAGGTTTCAAAAGCAGTTCAACGGGAAGCAAATCAACTCATAAGTTGAACAACTCCCCAATTAACTTTCTGATGGATAAATTCTCTAATGAACAATCTGAGCAGTGACGGATTTCATGATGCTCAAGCAACCATGAAGTAAAACAAAAGATTGCAGCCATCTCCCGCCAGCCCTTTCTTCAGCTTAGTCTAGCTTCTAGTTCCATTAATGATCCTAAAGTGCCTCTTGGTGAATATGATACAAAAGGACCCTTCTACTTCATGTAGCAGAAGGACAAAGACAGCAAACATGTTGATAGCTTGGACGCTAATGGTACCAGGATATTAATGAGTTACATGGTTTACATACTCAATTCACAGAACCACTTAGCTAACTTCAAAACTGAAGGCCAATCCAATTTTGTACGCTCCTCTTTGTCTAGCTTGTGCAGACTTAACCATTGTAGATATGTAGGAAAATCTAGAGTAAATTAGATAAAACATGTATTTTAGAAGGCAATTAAAGCTTTTTTTTCTCCAGAGCATTTATTTTCCTTTTACTCCCTGAAGAAGAAACATAAGATATCATGTTCAACTTTAAGACTGTGCGGTTTTAATTTTCTTAGGTACACAGAAAGACAAAAATCTCAAGTTTGAGCATGATAATAAGTAAATGTGAAAGTGAAACTTGGAATGGTTATTATTCACATGACAATCTGGTTGCCCATAAAACAACGTTAAGAAAAAATATAACTACCTTTACAAATGAGATATGGTGTTAGAAGGAAAACGAGGTACTACCAATTTTGCAAAAAAAAAAGTACAATTTAGCAGGAAAAGCACAGGAAGGCTGTACCATGTCTCCAAGACCAAGCATCATGTAATCCATAGTATCACTGCTGGTGAATATGGCATCCATCAAGTTCCTAGGGAAAACAAGTTTCACCGGCAGCTCTAGCTTCTTCGTAATCAACTGCAAACCTGGTAGGCTCAAGCTGTTTGCGACAGTATGAACTGGGTTGGAGGCTTTCTGCGTAGCCACCGTTACCATAACATTTTCACCAAAGAACATCTCAGAGAAGAAGACCCAGAACACATCATACACGAACAAGCATATGAGAAGCAAGGAACATATCTTAATGTTCGGAAGCCTAACGTGGCTGACAAATGCTATACAGATGGATATTCCAAGCACATTGTTCAGCAGCCAATGCCCCGAAACAAGCCAGGCACACACAATCCCCACACATAGCAGCAATAAGATCCCTTGAGTCCGGGTAAACGACTTTGAACAGCACCTTGACACAAACGGATCCATCAGACCAAGCTGAGACTTGATGTAGGCAGCATAGGGGGACAAGCAGAAGAAGAGTGAAGAGGCCGAGGCGATGGCTGTGAAAGCCGTCACAACGTGCGACAAGGACGAGAAGAGGTAAAACATCAACAATAGACTGCACGAGCTAGCAAGGGGTATCATGAGGGCTTGGGACCGGTCCAACGTAATGGACGCTTCAGAGAAGTCCCTATTTCGCTCCATTTCTTTGCCATGGGCGAGTGCTCGGCACGCTGATGCAAACGTCACTGCGACAGCAGTCGTAATCAGTGAGAGTGATGCAGGTTCCAACAAGTACAAGAGCTTCCACAGCGGCTCCATAGGACCAGGAAAACCCAATAATTCTACGCCCTTGTCCTACCCTATGAGATCAGGAGCTCTCGATGGAAAGAGAATTCCTGAGAACTAAAATTTTCTTCCGGTGCTCCCACTTGAATGAGCTCAGGCAAGAAAACAATTCCGTCATCAAGCCTCAGACCCTACTCCAGACGTACTACCGGTGAGCTGCCGGAATCAGGATTCCCTGAAATCGAACCGTGAAAGAAATCTAGTAAACGTCACCGTGTAAAGAACACAATCCGTTCAGCTTCCCAACCCCAACAGATTGGATCAACCTAAAATACCACGCAGATTACAAACCGCGTAATCGGCCGTCTTTCAGGCAAGGAAAAGAAACAATATGACCGCGTCTCGGTCAGCAGGCCTCCAAGGGATCATGAAATGAAGACAAATGCCTTCTTCTGTAGATCTTGGTCACCCAGAGATCCCTTGCTTCTGAAGAAAAAAAACTACGAATGCATCGAGGCCGCGAAGAAGCTCTGATGAGTGAGGAGGTAGACAGGGCGGCGACGTCTTCACCTATCTCGTCTCCCTCCCCCTTCCCCCTTCCCTCTCCTCTCTCCTCTCCGCCCGTGAGACGACTGGCCAACCTCTGACAACGACTGCCGCCCGGGGAGAAGGGGGTGGGGGCGTGCTCAAAGCCTTTCCCTGATAAAAGTTGGACAAATTTACTCGACTAGGCCCTTAAAACATTATATACTCATTTAAATCCGTTAATATTAATATTTGTGTCTATACTTTTATAATTTGGACAGACGTTCGACCCTGATTTATTTTTATTTCAAATATATCCTTTTTGTCACGACCTTATTGAGCCTGTCCTAGGCCCAGTAACCAATATTTCAAATATTTCTCATATATTTCCAAATATGTTTAGGGCGGTATTTTGAAAATATTTTGTAACATGATGATTTTCACATATGAGATAATCATATTAATGGGTTTTATTTTTAAAACATTATTCAAGGTTTTTCCTAAATGGGTCACTCCAAAATTTAAAAAGATGGGTTCTTTGCATAAATATATATTAAAAAATAGGCCTAAAAAATATAAATGGATATTTTCATTAAAAAAATCACCGGTCTTTCATCTAACAGGCTTTTAAAAACCAGACCAGATCCGGAGACTTTATCTTGTCGCTCTGGGCTTCTTCCTCTGCGTGGGGGGCCTCACCGGAGCAGCCGGCTTCTTCACGAATGAGGTCGCTCTGCTATCAGAGTCATCGTCTGAGCCTCCACTGCTGAGTTCAGACGGCGTTCTGGTGGGAGCCGCAGATCCTCGTTCTTGTGATTTGAAAGAGTGAGGTCTCTTCCCGGCGCTCGACCTCCCCATCGGTTTGGAAGATTGTGGCCGCTTCCCCACGCCCAATTTCCCCATCAGTTTCCTCTCGAGGGGATCATCCGAGGCTGCGATCTCCACATGCCGCGATACCTTCGATCCAATGCCCATCCTTACAAGCAGAGCAAGATTTCAGATCAGCGTCAGAAGAAGAAGAAGAAGAAGAGCAGGAAAATAGCAACCTTAAGGGTCTGCCTTCAAGCTCAACGCCACTTGCTTCACTTGGTTTAGTTGTCGATTCACTCGTCTCGTTGACCCATGAATTGGCCTGCAGAGGCGCTGAAAATTCTGAGAAAAGTTTTCATAAAAATAGACCGTAAATAAAAGAGTCCGTTAAATCTCCATGCATCGCATTAAAAGATGGCTTCACCCAAACAAGATGCATGGCACAAAAAATAATACTAAATCGATCAGACAGTCTGGCAATTAAAATGGGTTTAATTGTCAGAAAAGAGTGATAGTACAAGAATCATCTTTACTACAAGAGAGGACTTATTCTTGTATTTAAACGAACTTTAAACAAAATAATAATAAGAATCACAAATATTAGAAATATAAGCATTTTTATGGTCAGTGGGTAGCAGCAGAAACTAGAAACCCAGAGTGGAGGCATTTGGTTTGAAGTACAGGAAGGGATTTTGTGCCAGCTAACTTGGCTATATATCCAGATCTAATCAAAGTTCTAGATGCAATGAAAACTGAAAGCATTGTTTTGTGAGTGGAATTTTTTATCCAAAAGAAAATTTTATCTTGCATGGAGAAGAATCTTATAACGCTTGAAATCCTGAAAGAGCGAGTTATGCCCATAAAAAAATAATAAATTTATATGCAGAAGAAAATTCTCAATGGAATGGAGAAGAACCTTAGAATGCTTAAAATATAGGATAAATATTAATTTGTATTCACTGCTCTTTTAGAAAACTTCGAAAACTAGTAGAAAGTACAAATAATTGTTTGTTAGAACTCTTGTATCCTTAGATCTTCTTACTCATAGAGATTTATCACTCGAATACATGGACTCATAGTCGGAGTTATTGCTTTTTTGTTATTCTTCCTCCTAGATATTTATCGCTCCCCACATCTTAGTCAAGGGTGGTACAGTGGCAGTATCCCAAGAACTTAGCTCGACTCCCATGTTATACTTCCAGGCGTTCATCTACAGAGGAATAATACATTTCCAACAGTTACTAAACGCCCCCCACTCCTCCCCCTTCCCCGCCCCAACAAAGGTAAAAGATGGCAGATGTCCAGAAGGAGGAGAGATCTGATTATGGCTATGATCAACAGTCAGCTGCAGCAAACATGAATAAAGAAGGTATGATCTGGGTGGAAGTTATAGCTTCTGCATGCAAAAATGACTGACGGAAAAAATGGGCTTTCAAGTAGATAGCCGGGAAAGCACGACATCGGAAAATTTTGTCAATGCCGTTTCCACTTTGACATTATGTTGGAAATTTTGTCATTTCTCAAACAGAGTACAATGCCCATGATTATTAGATAAACTTAATAATAAAAAATGATATTCTTTTCAAAAATAAAAGAGAACTGAATATTTAGCATCTTTACGATGAGACAAGGGACTCACAATCTCAAGTGCGCTCGTCACCAATGTAACCAGGTGCACTTTTCCACTGGATTCACTGGCCATGGACGGAAGTAATCCGATATACAGAGTTGGGCAAAAGCTGCAGCAATCTGTTGTTTGACATATGCAAATCAGTTGCTGGCGCCAACGAAACAAATATAAGAATGAATTCGCATTTACACCCACGTCTTAAGAGATTATCCACGCCATTTCAGGAAAGATCACACCCTTCTCCAGACATCACCATCACATGGTTGGCATAGACATTTAATACGTAGTTCTTCGATTCAGCAGCGTTAACACATTACAAATGATGATGTCTCAACAGAAAGGTACTTTTCCCAGAGGGAAATACAATTAAAGTTATAGCTGAAATTTGATATCCCCTGATATATCTATCATCAGAGAAAATTCAAAGCTCCGTAATGTCAGCTCATTCTTAAAACCTAGTTAGGTTCTGTTAGGTCCCCAGTGGACCTAACTACTATCGGCCTAGAAAAGAGGCCCAAAGGGTCCAGGCCCCTTCATGGAGGACCAAACAATCCCTTCAAGGGAGGACTTCATGAAGGGCAGCTAGATCGTTTCACTACTTAAGGAAAAGAGTATTAGGGCTTAGGTCGTAGAGGGAAAGGGGATCGAGATTCTATCCAAGTGCAGCTGTGGCTGTGGCTGAGGGAGAGTGGGGGACCTTTCGAACGTCCTCAACCAACTCTAGGTTCTTCGGAGCCCAATCTACATCTTATTCTAGTTTATCTTCATTTTCTTTCGGTCTCTATATTGTCTTCCTCCCTTCCTCACCTTCTGTCCATCGATCCCTCGGGTGCCCATCAGGTTCGCCCTCCCCTATCCCTCCGACCGCACCGCCAGTAGCCTCTCCATACATTGCTGGGCACCCTGCACACCAGCCTGATTCGTGCCCCGAATCACCCTTCCTTTTCCTGAAGGGATCGAACGGTCCCCCCCACTGCCATCGACAATCGCCGTCCTCTTCTTATCTACTTGAGAATGGAATAGAGAGAGAGGGAAGGAAACATACCAGCGCCCTAGAATCGCCACTGGGAAGCCGCTCGTAGAGGCGGGAGGGAGATGGCGGTGGAAGACGACGACCCAATAAGCAGCCAGCAATGGGATTTCCTTCGTTTATATCTTGCAGCTTATTGGGTCACGCTGACCCGATAAGAGTTTGATAAGCGGATATTTATGAATAATCCTTTATAGATCTTTAATGTGTCTGATATCCTTTTATTTGGGAAAGTTATTTCGCCCTTTTACTTTCACTATTTATCTGTCGCCCGGTTGGTGGCGCCAGTAAAATTACAGAAAACCCCAACGGATATCATTAGTTTTTAAAAAATGACAAGCAAAGAAAGTTTAGCCAAATATCATCATACGCGTCATTTAGGCCACGTTGTATAAAACCCTAAAAGTTCACATTTATGGAAGGACAATGATCGAGGCTTGCGTGTCCCGATAACTCCGGAGACGAAGGAATGTTCATGGAACCTCGCGAGCATCGTCGTCCTCGCGAGCTCTCTGCGAGTGAAGCGAATGATCGGCGGTTGGTGAGTATCAGGGAGGAACTAGGAAAGTCAATGCCAGCTGCAAATCTGCCGGCTTTGCCACGGAAGGGCGACTTGCCGGAGAATCAATGCGGATCGCTCTCCTTCGCAGGTCTCTCTCTCTCTCTCTCTCTCGATCTGTCTATATCTATCTCGATCTATCTTATCTACCAAATATTCTGCGTCGATCCGCAGGCAGAGAAAGTGGAGGCTTCGGAGGGGATTGTTTTGCAGCCTAGTTTCTTCTTTCTGGTTGCGAGAAAATGCTGATGGGAAAATTCATTCGGTTAAGCGGCCTGCGCTGCCATTAGTCGATAGCCTGACGAGAATCTCGGATGGCTGTTCATCACCTCTCCGTATATTCTTCATAGTTTTCTCCCCAATGCGAAGAGAAGCATCCGCCGCCGAGCCTCGTGATCTCTTGTACCTTTTCCCGTCGACAAGATCACACTCTACTAGGTTCGTCTATTTTCCCGATCCACCAAAGTCAGCCTTTTCTCTCCTTTTCTGTTGATTTGATTTGAACCTGAAATTGGGGATCTTCACGCCGGTAGTCTTCTGAGTCGCCTCTGGGACTGCTGGCACGAAGGAGACGAGACAAGTCTAGTTGGGAGCCGCGAGTAAAGGTGAAGCGGATAAGACGGAGGCCAGTCCTGCGTCGCTGTCTCAGTTGGTCTTCCGGATTCAGATATCACAGCCACCGGGCCCGCAGCGACCGGCGGGGGCGGCTTTGACCCTGAACACGTTTCTTCCACATAAGAGTTTTGTTTCTTCCATCTTCTGTGTAACTGAAGCTTGAGGACCACGTCAGGCAGCGCTCAGGGATATTCCTTGATACCGCGGGTCCCGTCCTTTAGCAAGCGTCTAGAGAGATGGGGAGCTGTCGGTGCTTGATTGGAGAAAAACCGCCGTACCGAAGGCCCCGCCACACGAGGAAACTACATGAGCCTCCGGTCCATGTTGACTTTGGCGGTGGTCTCTCTCTCTCTCTCTCTCTCTCTCTCTATCTATCATCTCCCCGATAGTTCTGCTAAGGGAACTTTCATCTCCTCCTTCCCCTCCCCCTTCTTCCGTCCACCCGGGACGTCAGGAGGAGCCAATTCTGTGAGAACAAGAGATGGAGAGAGTGTTATGCGCTGTCAGATCTTCTCCGTCTTCTCCGTTTTTCATATCTCGTCTCTGTAAGGGGCGCTTTCCCCTGTGATTGCCAGTACAAGCTCTACCTTTTCGGGGACCTCACTCGTCGCAAAGTTCCGAATAGAAAGTGCCAAAACATCTTCCCCTGTTCCCTTTTAGTTTTAACGTTTGACGTCCTTAGTCAATCCGAGGAGAGAAGAAAATGCTGTGTCAGTCCCACCGCTGAATTGGAGGCTTCGGTAGACTACAACCTGTTTATCTCCTCCTGCCTTTTGTTCTAATCACGCTATCCCAACAGCGAGTTCTGTAGGGTTCTATCCATAGTTGATCCAGATGGAAGGAAACCGGTTTCAAAGCAGCTTCAATGGTGACTTTAGCCGCAGCGGCAGCGAAGGAGAGAGCACGGGTGGGATTGAGGAGATACAGACACCCTTGCGAGCTGGATCCTCATCTGATAACTCGCAGAGAGATTCCCCATCCAGACATTTAGGGGAGAAGGTCTTCGTCGCCGTGGGGAAGGAGTTCAAGGAGAGCAAGTCTGTCCTGATGTGGGCTCTGCAGAACTTTCCCAGGGACAAAAAAATCGTCCTCGCCCACGTCCATCGTCACGACCAGATGATTCCCATGAGTACGTTCTTCTACTTCTCCTTTTTCTTTAAACCTCGAAGAAGCCTACACATAGAGCAGGAATCCATGCTGATCCTTGCATAACCTAGGATCCTTGCAGATCCTAGGAGTGGCACGGCCACCTGTATTTTTAGCTGTTACTCATGTTGTATAATCTAACGACATCTATGGATTTCTAAGCATTCCAATTAGTTATATTTCATCTCACGCGGTAACTATTCTCTTAATCATCATTAGTCCTTGCGGGGATGTGGTCTTATAAGGTGATACTGCTTAATTTCTTGTTTCCCAAAGGCACAGGACAATTCCCTTTGATCTGTTCAAGCATCAAGAATGCTGTCTTACTGAATTGCAAAACAATCACAGACTCCTTGTCTTTGGTGTTTTATATAGACTGGACATGGCAACAAGTTCGATCCTTGTCTTAAACTGCAGCTAAGGAAAAATATAAGAATTCCGGAATGGTTTATCCTCATTATCCAGTTTCTGTCCTTATGACGATGAGATTCATAATAGTGTATTTAGTGCCATATATTTATTTATTTATTGCGTTCTGTCTGAATCCAAAATTTTGTACGACTTTAGTAACGAAGGCCTTATTTTTTTTAGTGGGCGCGAAATTCCCAGTAAGCAAGCTATCTGGGCCGCAAGTTGCTGCGCACAGAAAACTAGAAGAAGACAAGATGAACGAGACCCTAGAGGAGTATCTGGCCATTTGTGCAGCCGCGAAGGTGAAGATGATTTCTTGTCTTATCTTAATCTCCGATAGAATAAATTGCAAAGAAAAATCACAAAGCAGGCTTAACATAATATATGTTACCATTCTCTGATAATCTTTGAACTACGAAGTAGGCCACCCGATATAGTTTAACAGAAAAATTTTGGTTTTTGACTTAACCTTATATCTTTTATGTTTCTAGTTTCGAGCAGAAAGGTTGGTCATTAAGAAGGATGATGTTGCAAAAGGGATTCTAACATTGATCAGACGTGAAGTTATTACCAACCTTGTCATGGGAGCTGCCTCAGACAGGAACTATTCGAAGTATGTGTCTTTGAGCTTAATGGAGAGTTTTTCATCTTTTAGTTCTAATTTCATAGTTTCGTTTCATGAGCTTTTATTATCGGTGTTGATAAGTTGGCCCACTATTAAAAACCCTGTTCTGATAAGAAAATAAAGTAGTAGAAATGACGATTTAGTAAAGGAAATGTATCCAGAATAGGCGGCATCTAAGTTACTCGTATTGAACATTATATCGACTGGTTTCTGTCATAGACATGCCATATAATGCGTTTGTGTTATCGTGAAGCTTACATTTTATCCAGGTCATAAGTAAATGACATTGAGATTCCTCTGCATGCTATTAAATTCATTAGAGGTGATATGCGCTCTCCATGAATACCCATATTATGTGGCTGACCGTGAAAAGAAATATATCTGCTTTCTTTGTCCGCAAAGTGTTCTTCTCCTCTGATCAATTTGTCTCCGAAGTAATGAGTAATTTGGGTAATATATATGACCCGAACTTCGTATTTATCCCGTTTTGTGATTTCTGCTCTCAGAGTGGAATTGTCAATCCTTTTAATTTCGGGAAGATTCAACGCGGATCGCTGTCCCCCACGGAATAGAACAGCAAATGCAAGAGATTTGTGACTGGAATCATTTTTATTTGTTGCGTTTTTCTAGTTCTCCGAGAAAAATATAAGCAGGAAGACCTGGCTGATCGCTCAAATCACTCATGCCCCATGATCCTATTATCCCAAGTTCATCTCGACGATTTGCCAAAGCGATGTGAAGTACAGATCGATGGATGCAAGATCATATTTTCACTCATCGTGCTACCCAGAGAGTTCGTAGATCAAGAGATTATAGGTGGTGCAAAACCTTAGATAAGAAATGAAAACACAGCCTTTTTCTGCCTGCCCTGATGTTAATTACGTGGAGTGGAAGCATGATATGATGCGATTCTTTTTTTACATCTTATTCAGTTGATGTGATAATGCGAACCTCCTCTCTAACAAGGAGGATATTCTGTTTATATTTATTTCTTCTGTTCATTGATAAGATTTGTCAACAAATTCACTTTCCCTCTCCAAGACAGACATTAACAGAAGAACTTGATGTTTTTTTCTTCCCATCTACGTTCATTAGTAAAAGTTTTCCACTGCTGACTTACTTCTTCCTGACGCTGTATTTGACAGAAAGATGAGATCGCCCAAGTCCAAAAAAGCGAAAACTGTACACGAAGAAGCTGCTTCATGGTGCCGCATAACGTTTGTCTGCAAAGGAAACCTTATATGTGTCAGGTAAATTAAGTTTCCTCGTGTAGGCGTCCTTTTCAGATTATAAGTCTGGAGTTATTTGCCTAGAAACCATGGGTTTTTTGTTTCGTGGGCGCAGTTCAAGGTGTGGCCATGGTTTGTCCTGAATAAATCCCACGTTTTAGAAGGTATCCTGGCCAATCCTGATAAGCCCATAACAAGCCAGCGAGGATTTAGCAATTTGGGGTGAAATATAGTGAGAGATGCTAAATAATTTCTCGATTTATCTGCATGCCACAGGTTATTAATGTGATTCATAAATTGATCCTGGGAAGAACCTCCAATTATTATGGTGTGGAGAATGTTCACCACTTGGTCGAGAAATCATATAAAAATGAGTAATTTCATAAGTATTTTCAATACCCGTGTAGTGGTCAAACCTCCTCTTATGGTCGCGAGACTGTTATATCCCTACGGTGTATACAAGATATTTCCAGCTCATAGGAGTATCCGCAGTATTTTTCCAAGCTAGGGGTGGCGTCTTAGACAGAATTGTTCTCTTTCCTCTAAGATTGTCTGTGCTTACTAGAATCGTGCATTGGAAACAGGGAAGCTGGTCTTGATGATGGAAACACGGAAGCAAGTTCAGGATCCACCTCCTCCCAACCCGGTTCAGTGAGAGGAACCTTGCCAGAGAGGCCTCAACTCCCTACAAGAGAGGAAGCTGAGAGGCTCAGGTCGAGATCAGAGGACCTTCGCCGGCGAGAAATCCCGGTCGCCAACCCACGAGCGGAGCCCACGAGAGTCTCTTCTCTCAACATCCCAAGGACGGAGATGGTCGGCCTAAACCTCTGGGATAGATGGCCGGGGGAAGATTCTCAGCGTTCCGACAGTTCTTCCCGCTCAGCATATTATGAAGTCAACGGTCCCCCTTCACCTTCGGCGCCCAGAATTGAGGAGTCTCTCGCTTTGCCGTCATCGTCTGAACTCGAAGAGGGCATTCCGCCCTTGTACCCACTGGACATCCAGGTGCGTCCTTTTTCGGATTCTTTCTTTTTCCTTTTATTATTGCTCCTCGGACCTTAAGAAATCGTCGCAAATGGCACGCATTAAACCTTCATGCATGATGCTAGACCCATAAATAACCCACTTTTAAATAAGTTTCTGGGGCAAGATAATTCTTGCTCATTTGGAGTTCATTTACATGGCCATCGCTTCGGTCCGATTTATCGGTTCGCTTTCAGGAGGATGGCATCACTCACGATGACTTGTACGATCAAGTTCAACAAGCCCTGGCGGAAGCAGAGAATGCGAAGAGAGAAGCTTACGAAGAAGCGTGTAGGCGCCAGAAAGCTGAGAAGGATGCGCTTGACAGAGCCCGCAGAGTGAGTTCCTCTTTCACGGGCACCGACTTGAGCAATCGTATCTTGTGTCGTCATCGATAGGAACCCTGATTGAACAGGTTATAACGCTGGCGAACATGCATGAGAGAGAGTCGAAACAGAGGAGAGATGCGGAGGCGGCGCTGGCAAGGGAGACGCAGGAGCTGGAGAAGCTTAAAACTGAGAACCTCGACGCCCGCCAGAAGCTCTGGGAGGCGGGCGAGCGGAGATCCGCTCTTGAAGCTCAGGTCGCCCAGGCTGAGACTGAGATCAGGATTCTCGAGCAGAAGCTGGAGGAAGCCGAGCTCCAGATACGCTCCCTCCAGAGGGACCAACAGGAGCTGCGCCAGGAGCGAGACGACGCCCTCAGAGAAGCGGCGGAGCTGAGCGCCGTCCCCCGCGGAGCCCCCGGTTTCTCAGTGTTCACCTACCAGGAGCTCGAGCAGGCCACCCGCGGCTTCGACGACTCCCTCAAGATCGGAGAGGGCGGCTACGGCAGCGTCTACAGAGGCGTTCTCCGCCACACCACCGTCGCCATAAAGAGGCTCCATCCCCAGGGAACCCAGGGCCAGGCTGAATTCCGCCAAGAGGTAAATAATAATAATAATAATAATAAACCTTTAAAAGCAGAAACCCTTAAACTATTGCTTCCTGTTGATCTCTCCTTCTTCCTTCCTTTCTTTCAGGTGGAGATTCTGAGCAGAATGAGGCACCCGAACCTGGTGACGCTCATCGGAGTTTGCCCAGAGGCCTGGTGCCTGGTATACGAATTCCTCTCCAACGGGAGCCTGGAGGACCGCCTCACCTGCAAGGACAACTCCCCGCCGCTACCCTGGCAGGCCCGCACCCGCATCGCCGCCGACATCTGCTCCGCCCTCATCTTTCTCCACTCGAGCGCGCCCCACAGCGTCGTCCACGGGGACCTTAAGCCAGCCAACGTCCTCCTCGACTCCACCTTCTCCTCCAAACTCGGCGACTTCGGCCTCAGCCGCCTCCTCTCCCACTCCAGCGCCTTCTCCTCCTACACCACCCTCTGCCACCGCACCGCCCCCAAGGGCACCATCATGTACATGGACCCTGAGATCCTCGTCACCGGGGAGCTCACCCTCGGCTCCGACATCTACTCCCTCGGCGTCATCATCCTCCGCCTGCTCACGGGACGCCCAGCGCATCGCATCGTCAGGGACGTGGAGGAGGCGCTGGAAGGGAATACCTTCCGCCGGATGGTGGACCAGTCCGCCGGCGACTGGCCATTCGTGCAGGCTAATCAGCTCGTCAACCTCGCCATGCAGTGCTGCCAGATGAACCGCAGGGACCGCCCCGACCTCATCAACGGCGTCTGGAGAGTCCTCGAGCCTATGAAGAACTCCGCCTCCGCCCTCCCCGCCCCCTCTCTCCGCCTCCCCTCCTCCGACGACGACTCCCACGCCCCCTCCTACTTCCTCTGCCCCATCTTCCAGGTTACTACTCTTTGCTCTTCTCTCCCTTTTTCTTCTTATGTCCCAGGTTCGTAGCTTTATGCTCTCTCTCTCTCCCTCTCTCCCTCTCTCGTTCTTGTTCGTTGCAGGAGGTGATGAGGGATCCGCAGGTGGCGGCGGACGGGTTCACCTACGAGGGGGAGGCCGTGAGAGGGTGGTTCGAGAGCAAGAACACCTCCCCCATGACCAACCTCGTCCTTCCCCACACGCAGCTCATCCCCAACCTCACCCTCCGGTCTGCCATCCAGGAGTGGATGCAACAGCAACACCTTTAACGGGGCCCGCCCAAGCTATTTCTTCGGCTGTTCAGCTCATAATTTCTGGGTAATTACTGCAATTAACTTCAACACAGGTTTGCGGTGATGACGATTTGTTTGAGATTACCAAAAATGTAGTTGTAGCTTTTATTTTTATTTTTATTTTTATTTTTATTTCCTGTAGATAGTACCCTGTGTGTACAGTATTGAATGTGTATAATTGAGAATTATACGTGGGCCCCATTTGTTAATGGTGTTGGATGATTTGGCAACTGGTGATTGGTCTGCCTTGGGGAGTCGATGACCCTCTTCACCGTCTTGACAGATGACCCTCCATCACGGTTGGTAGTTCTGCTGAGCCGCCGGCTCAGTGCAGACGCTATGTGCCAGCTCTTATTTAAGGCGGGGTTTGACTGCTCACGGCTGAGCCTTCGCATCTGCCCGCCGGCTCCGCGTGGGGTGCTGTGTGACGTCATCTTCGACCCGTCTTAAAGATCTTCGAGCCACCAGGGCATTTTCCTTCCCCTCCGATTCTCCGATCGGACGGCCAGCACGAGTACATCGTGGTTCCCCCTCAGGGGGCCCCTTCGCCTTCCCTAATTGCACGGTACGGCCTTCCTGCTCGCACAAGTACTCACCCGGGAGAGGTAAGAAAGAGAGAGAAAGAAGAGAGAGAGGAGGAGATGAGGAAGGAGAAGCGGCACTTTCCGGCGATCTCGAGTTGCGATTTGACGGGAAGGGAGGAGCACGCGGTGGCGGCGGACTTGGACGGGACGCTGCTGGTGAGCAGGAGCTCCTTCCCGTACTTCATGCTGCTGGCCATGGAGGCGGGAGGGATACTGCGGGGGGTCATCCTCCTCCTCGCGTCGCCGCTGATCCTCTTCCTCTACCGTCTCGTCTCCGAGGCCGCCGGCATCCAGCTCCTGATCTTCGTCTCCGTCGCCGGCCTGAAGATCCACCGTATCGAGGCCGCCGCCGCCGCGGTGCTCCCCCGCTTCTACGCCGCCAACGTGAGGGCCGATAGCTGGCGGGCCTTCCGGGCCTGCGGGCGGCGGCGAGTGGTGGTGACGGCGAACCCGACGGTGATGGTGGAGCCCTTCGTGAAGGGATGGCTCGGCGGAGACAAGGTCCTTGGCACGGAGCTCGAGGTGGACCGCCGCACCGGCAGGGCCACGGGATTCCTTGCCGGCGCCGGCGTCCTCGTCGCCGAAAGTAAGAGCGATGCCCTCCTCAAGGAATTCGCCGCCGAGGACTTGCCGGAGCTCGGCCTTGGGGACCGAGAAACCGACCACGATTTCATGGCTCTCTGCAAGGTCCCTTCTCTCTTCTCTCTCTCTCTCTCTCTCTCTCTCTCTCTCTCTCTCTCTCTCTCTCTCTCTTTGGTAGCGAGAAAAATGGCGTGTTGTAACCTCCCTCATTGGTGCAATTCGTGGGAGCAGGAGGGGTACATGGTGCCCCCGGACCGATCGGCGGCTAGGGTTCCGGTGGAGCAGCTCGCCGGCCCGGTGGGCTTTCACGACGGCCGGTTCGTCCGGCGACCGGAGGCCATCACCGCCCTCCTCGTCTTCCTCTGGATGCCCCTCGGCTTCGCTCTCTCCCTCCTCCGCGTCCTCCTCCACGTAACCCTCCCCCGCCGCCTCCGCCGCCATTGCTACGCCCTCACCGGCGTCAAACTCGCTGTGCGCGGCTCCCCTCCTCCGCCGCCCGCCGCTGGCTCTCCGGGCTCCCTCCTCGTCTGCAACCGCCGCACGCCGCTCGACACCCTCGCCGTCGCTGCCGCGCTTGGGGGGCGCCCCATCTCGGCCGCCAGCGACGGCGAGCTCGTCTCGGCGCTGCTGCAGAAGGGCGACGTGGTCGTCTTCCCGGAGGAGACGACGTGCCGGGAGCCCTTCCTCCTGCGGTTCCCTCCGTCATTTGCGGAGCTCAGCGACCGCATCGTGCCGGTGGCGATCGACGCCGGGGCGGACCTCTTCCACGGGACGACCGCCGCCGGTGGCGACGGGAACAGCTACCTGGACGCCTTCTTCTTCCTCATGAACCCGAGACCCACGTACGAGATCACCTTCCTCGACCCGTTCCCGGAAGAGTGGACTTGCAGAGGCGGCAAGCCGGCGACGGAGGTGGCGAGCCTCGTGCAGCAGCTTCTGGCAGAGACGTTGGGCTTCCAGTGCACGGCCTTCACAGGCAAGGACAAGCTCACGCCTCTGAGTCTGGCGCGGGAGAAGGTACAGTAACACGTGGCCCGTCCTCATTCGTCCGTTGGGAAGACAGGACACATGGTAATTCCGAAATTCCCATCATCTACCAGAAATTGCATCGTAATCCATCAATTCAAACGTCTTCGCTGCCGGAGTAATTTAATAACTTTTCATTTTTCTGTTGAGAAAAAAACAAAATATCAATATAATACCAGTTCAACCCGCTTTCAAAAAATAGTACTTATGAGGTGAAATCTGATAAAATAAATTAGGGGGTTAATTATTAATTGACTTAGTTTTATTAAAAAAATAGCCTTATGATTTAAATAATATCGTGATTAAATACTGCGAGATTTTTGTGATATTCTTGACTGTATTTAGTATGAGTATCGACATACCGGTTCGGGCTGGGCCCGGGATGTGTTCTTACCTTTCTCAAGCATCCATTACGGCCCGCTAAGCTGGTGCCCAATAGAAATGGGTCACATTGTGGCTTACTTAAGCCCATTTGGCAAGTGCATAAGCCACCGGTTGAGTAGAATCATTACGATTTTATTGGGCAGAGAGAGAGAGAGAGAGAGAGAGAGGAGAGATGAAGGAGCGGGGTTCGAACAGAATTTTGGGCCCAATATACTATGGCAACATACCCTACCCAGATCATTTTGGCCCCAGCGAATCCATATAGATTCCTGGCAAACCCGGGCCCATTGACCCAACAAGTCATCCGTAGCTATCTCTTTAGAGTTTACTGCCCACCACCATTTTCGCAATTTCCTGTTCAACCGAATAAAGAAGCCTATTTTTTTATTAACAAAAGGTGGAATGGATGGCACCTTCTAGAGATTTTTATATACGCGAAATAAATATTTATAAAAAAGATAATTATAAAATTGCATTATGCAATCTATGCATTAAAGTTACGAGATGATCTAACCAGATAAAATTTAATATTATGCCATGAACTCGGTTCAAATTTTGGCATTTAAGGCTATTTATTGACAGTATCCGTACACTATTTCTGTCTTAGACGTTATAGGGCTGTTGGAAAGCTAGTGGCGGCCAGTTTTCATCCACCCATTTGCGGTTAATTTCTCGAGTTCATCCGCGTGATGAATCCCGGATGAACACTTGATCGTTCCTCAGCCGTTCGATCCTCAGAATCTGACGGGCTCTAGCGCCCCAGTTCGTCCACTTCTCTTCCATCAGTAGGGAGGAGATACGTGGCGTTGCATCCTCAGATTTGGGAGGGGAGGCGGCGCTCTATCCCGGAATTTCTGGGGTTCCAGTACTTGAGCTTGGTGGGCAAGCTCTCCAAACGCATTCCCCATCTGGATCAATGTGAGGTGGATGCTATGATCTGCATGCGATTAAACGGCGAATAAGAGGCAATAATCAAATCGATTTGCAGGATAATCTGAAGTCAACGTCTGTCGAACCCCAGATCGGCTCAGTCAAAGGGGTGAGAATGGAGACCTCTCCCAACCCCAATATGGAAAATTTAATTCAGATTAATGAATAGACCATCTATATTGGGGGCTCACTGCATTCAAGGCCGGGAGGGAGGGCTCCGAGGAGGTTCTAGAGCATGAGAAGAGCCCCTCCTGACATGTCCACATCCTCAACAAAGGAAGGGGCAGATGCCCCATGATTGCCAGGTCATTTTCTCGACTTAACCTGAGCTTAGGCTGACGGGGCATTGATGGCCACGTCATTTTCTTGACCTAACATGAGCTCAGGTTGTCGACCCATTGATGGCCACGTCATTTTCATGACTAACCTGAGCTTGGTTGACGGCCACGTCATTTTCTCGACTGGCCAATGTTGTCCATCGGAATGTGGAAGTACCGCTTATATAAGTATGAATACAATGCCATTCCAGTAAATGTGGAGTTTACAGGGAGAGTTTCTTTCATGAGTAAATGAAGAGGCTACAAGGGCGTTGGAATGAAAGAGAAAAAGAAAGAGAAGAAAACCTTCCCTGACGGCGGGGAGGGAGGGGGGGGCGGGGCGCGGCGGGTGGAGGGTGGAGGGTGGAGGGTTTCACTTTCTCTTATTGTGGGGAAAGGGGATGCGACATCGTAAAATAGAACCCTAATAAATAAACCAATCTCGCCTCTTTTGTCCTTCGTTGATCCCACAGGGGTGAAGCTTCTTGCCACGGAGCCGTCGTCACACACACACAGAGACACACAACCCCGGAGATGACCCTGGTTGTAGTAATATTATGCACACAGAGACACACAGAGACGAGCAGCGTCGGCTTCATCGCGAGGGAGTGATGTGGGCCAGGGCGGCGGCGCCCTCGCCGGCGGCTTTAACTCCACCGTCACCAACCTCGGCCACCGCCGGGGCCGCCACATTTACTGCGGCGCCGCAGTCGCGTCCCCTTGCGGAGACCTTGAGGGACTCCGCCAGCTGGGCCAGGTCCCGTCGGTGCAGGTTCACCATGAGCCCGTGCTTCATGAACAAGGTGAGCGACATCTTCTGCTCCACGCGGTGGCCCGGCGCCACGGTGAGGCGGTGCCGGAGGAGCACGGCGGCGGCGATGGACTTCATCTGTAGGTAGGCGAGGTCCTTCCCCAGGCAGATCCTCGGCCCCGCATTGAAGGCCACGAATTTAAACGAGTCCTGCGAATCGAACCTCTTCCCGTCCGCCGTCAGCCACCTCTCCGGGCGAAACTCCATGCAGTCCTCCCCCCAGATGAACTTCATCCTCCCCGTGGAGTAGATGGAGTAGGTGATGGAGGAACCCGCGGGGACGAAGGTCCCGTCGGGGAGAACATCGTCCGCCATGACGTGCTTGGAGTCCTCCGGCACCGACGGGTACAACCGCAGAGTCTCCGACAGCGCCGCCTTGAGGTAGATGAGCTTGTCTACTTCCTCGAAGGCCAGTGGCTCCTCGACCCACTTTGCAGGATCGTCTTCCCCGCGGGTTTCCGCGAGGACGCCGCAGATCTCGCAGAGGATCTTCTCCTCTATGCGGGGGTTCTGGATGAGGAGGTAGAAGAACCAGCTGAGCGCGACGGAGGAGGTGTCCCTTCCGGCGAGGATGAAGTTGAGGGCGACGTGCTGGAGGAACTCGTCGGAGTAGTCGCCCTTGCGCATGAACCGGGAGAGGAGGTCGTCGTGCGATGAGGCCCCCCCAGCGCGGGCCAGCTCGAGCTTCCTCCCTGCGATGACCTTGGATAGGTAGTCGTCGACGTGGGAGAGGGAACGGCTGAGGGTGACCTCCATTCCCAGGCGGAGCCACTTCTTGAGCCGCCACATGAACTCGGGGATGATGAAGCGGTGGAGGGTGGCCTCGGTGGCGCGGTCAAAGGCGGCGGCGAACCCGTTCTCCGGGAGCCCAGGGGAGAGCGTCTCTGGGTCCTTGCCGAAGGCCAGACCGCAGATGTTGTCGAAGGTCAGCCGTAGGAGGAGATCCTGCAAGTCCACGGCCCGCCCGCCGACGCGGGCCGAGTCGAGGATGGGGCAAAGCCGGAGCTTGATGGCGCGAGAGACCCACCTCACCATGGCCTGCCGGAGCGTCCTTGTGGTGAACTCCAGCGCCGCCGTCTTCCGCTGGAACCGCCATGTGTCGCCGTCGGAGTTGAAGATCCCGTCGCCGAGCAGGTCGTGGAACACCGCGTGCCAAGTCGGTCCCTTGGGGTAGTTCTCGAACCGGAGCTTGAGGACGTGCTCCACATTGCGGGGGTCGCAGGTGACGGTGACCATTCCCTGCCGCCGGGCGAGCCCCGGCACGGCGAAGATGCAGGTCTGGTACGTGCCGCCGCTCGCTCGTAGGTTCTCGGCGATCCAATCGTGCATACGGTGGCAGTTCTGGACGAGCCCCGGGAGGCTGCCGAGGATGGGCCAAACCCGAGGGCCCTTTAGGGTTCGGGAGAGGTAAGAGAACCAGATCACGTAGGCCGCGATGGCCGATAGCACCAGCAGTGCCGCCGCAGTATCCATACCTCACCACCCTTTACCCTTACCCTCGTTACTGGGTAGGACTTACGGAGAAGAGAAGTGAAGTGAAGACAGCGACTGACCGGAAGAAGAAGGATGAACCAGTTCCTCCCTCACGACCAGAGGACTGACTGGCCTTTCACCGCGGCATTTCCTCCGGAAGACGGTGAAGGGGGGGGACGGGGTTGGAGGTTCTACCAACAGCTACCGAGGGGGTGTGAGGACCAGTGGTGGAGGTCCCTTTCTGAGAAATTTATAGGAGATGGATGGGGCGGAGAGAAAGAGAGAGGCAGGTGTTGGTGAAGAGTGATCAGAAGCATTTAAGAATGACAGACTGTTTCCTGCACCTCACCATCTACCCATCTATAATCTTACAGTCTCATCATCCCCCCCCCCCCTTCTCTCTCTCTCTCTCTCTCTCTCTCTCCATCGCTCTCTTCTCTCACTTCTCACGGAGCACACACTCAGAGACTATTAACAGTGCACACGGTTTCTTCACTCGATGAGATCTAAGAGACCTTTGTCTTCCTTTCTCTGTACTGATCTCTCACACATAAATACCCACGCGAAGAGGAAGAGCGGCCATTAAATGCCGCCAGAGGTCGTTGGGGAAATAGGAGTGAAGAAGAGGAAGGCCGTGGGGGCAAGGCACGCTAGTTGCTCAGAAAGCATCTCCGCCGCGCCGCCGCCGCCGCCTCCTCCTCCTCCTCACTCCCTAATTACCTTCATATCGTCAGCCCATCAACTCACACCACAGAAAATCAGTAAGCATATGCATGGAATGTTGCCCTTCCGTGGCTCTAAGCCTGCCGTTTTCCAAGCCCCTGGACATTCGCTGGAGGGGAACGGAGAGTCACAGTCGAATCCCGACCATTGAATGTTCGCCGGTGTGAAGTAAATGTCGTGGCCTTTGAACGGGAAGAGCAACCACCGGCTGACGAGGGCAGGGTGACTGAAGCGTCAGCCTAGAGGAAGATGGCAACGGAGGGCGGACAGACAGCGGCCACCTGTTTTGAGTGTTCAATCGCTCTGTGCTTTCCGGTGGGCTGCGCCTAACTATCTGCACAGGTCATTACTGTGATACACTAAATCTCCATTCTTCTGGTATCAGTCTCGGGCCAGGCGAAAATTAAGATTATTCAGCTGTGCTCCAACGCTATTTGAATCCATTTTTTAAGAATATTAAAATAATATATGTTACAGTTATATCGGTCACATGACTCGTCGGCACGATTGACTCACGACGGCGTCCATCTGCTCTAGCGAGATCCTGATCTCCACAGACCCGAGTGGCTGGCCCTCTCCTTCTCAAAGTCCGTTCCTCTCAAATGGTCCCGCTGGAAGGACGCCCACCGGGTGCAATGCGATTGACCGTCGACTTATGTCGACTAGAGAAGTTTTAGCTCTCCACCGCATCGTAGAAGGCTTTTACGCTCCCGTAAACTCCCCTCCAAAGCATCCAGGCATGCACGTCCTGGACCCCGGTATTCCTAGCCTCTTCGTCTCCCCCGCGCTCGTCGCCACTAGAAGCCTCATCTTCATGGGTTTTGGTGCCGAGACAAGGCTGACGTTTGCCTTGGATCGGGCGATGCACCTGGTTACAGTGAGTGAATCGAATGGTTTAGCTCAAAACCAATCAACAATGGAGAGGATAGACCCATATATTTTCATCCCAAGTTTAAATTTACACCATTATTTCCATTATCCTCCCATGTTACACGCTAACTCTCTTAGATCTTGACGTGCAACCTAACGATATAATCATTCGAGATAAATTTTCTTACCCGACTAGAAACCAATCATCATTCGGTAGAATAAGATTGTGCTTTATATGACCAGTTTGATTTCTGCCCATTAACGCGAAATTATTCTAAAATACTAGCGTAGAGTTTCAATACTGTCTCTGGTACTGCACCTTGAAGTGCAGTGGTAGCACATCAATGCGGTATTCGGAGGTTTATAGAGATAATTAGGCTTGAATGAAGCCCATTAACCACGGCTCAAGGAGATGAGTAGTTCGGCTTTGATACTTTCAGTCGTAATCATAAATGCGTCTCGCTATATAGAGGGGAGGAGTCTCACATAGAGTAGGGTGTCTATTCTCTTGTCTGGTTTCCTTGAAGGAGGATTTTATGGGGCATTTCCATAGGTGGGTAGCTGTAGAATCGATTAGGTACGTATAAACGATGGGCATGGAAATCAACCGCGGCGTTTTTTACAATATGGGTCTCAGATAGCAAGATTTGATCGTAGTCAAAGGGTACAATACAATCGATTTACCTTTTTTATTACAAAAACTTAGTCATCTTACCCGTCAAGATCACTCGGGAAGAATTGTCAGATGGGTAGGCCATGGTTGGTCGGGGGAACTGATAGGAAACGGTTGGTTAGATGGTGCACCAAATGCACAAATGCCATTCATTCCACGCAGCGAGCGTTGGGTGGGGGAGCAAGTTACTTGAACGGGAAGGGTTTCTACTGAAACCTACTCAATGTGGCAACTTAGTCTTCAATGTGTTCATCTCCTTTGGCATGAGAGTCATTGCAGTCCATCGAAATCCTCACATAAACAGAAGACAAGGGTCTTGGGAAGGCCGAATCTTTGACCAAGAGGGTATCGGTTTCCTCAGCTAGTTCTTTGGAATCATCAACAATTTTCTTCCAAGACCGGGGCCTAGGAGTCGAATGCGTCCTTTGTTCGTCCAACCATTTGGATGTTTGATTTTGTAGTTGGATTCAAGCGTTCAGGGTCTTCCCCGGGGCACCGTCGCGCGTACTCAGATGATAAAGCTTCAGGAATTATGGATAAACCTCCTCCTATGATGAGACAGAAGAACCTTGTTCGTCTTTTGGTATGGGAAGAAAAAGAAGCTATTGGAGGGAGAATAACTTGGGCCAGATGCAAGACGAGGGGGGAGCGAGCACGAGGCTCTCCAGCCCAAGGAGAAGCAAAAGCTCCCCATATAGGATCGCTTAGAGAACAATCCAATCCCCACCTTCTCCCCAGAAAGGAATAAAGCCACCATTGATACTACTATCAGAACTCTCCTCCGAGATCTTGTCGGCCATCAGAGGGACTCCAAGAAGACCTAATGGCAAGGATGGGCGACCTAATGGAGCTCTGCGACCTGTAAAATAAGAAAGGTTTCCTTTAATGGGTAGTATTATCAGGCACTGTGTGGTCGAGAGCGGTTAGATCTTCGCTTAATGACGACGATCGGCGACCTTGTAATGATGGTAGGTTGATGACTTAACTTCGGGTTGGCGATGATCGGTCAAAGTATTCCGGATTCCCAATTGTAATTATCTGCCGGCTTGTTTCTGGCAAAGGGTAAAAATTACGGATGATCACATGAAAACCCAAAAGAAAAAGTGAACTAACAGACGGAAACCTCCCCGAGGACGAAAGCAGAAGGGTTCTCCCTCCGGCGGCCGCAGGCGGGATCTCTACGTCTCCTTTGCATGGCAAAAGCATGCACGCGAGACCACCCCCTCCCCCGCCCCCACCGCACTCTATAAAAATTCAGCGGACGGTGCACCAGCGGAGCGAAAACAGGGCATAGTGTGAGCTGGGTCTTCACTAGAAAACCGAAATCTTCCATATTTCTCCTCACCCAGCAACGACGGAGGCGGCTTCGAATTCCCTGAGTCAGCTGGTCGCGCCTCACCGCAGGTCCCGACATGGCGCCGGCGAGCGGGACCAGCGGGAAAGGGGGGCGGTGGGCGAAGCTCCGCTGCGCCGCCGGGACGGCGCTCGCGATTGTGGTGGCCTTCGGCCTCGCGGTGCTCATCGTTTGGTTCATCGTCCGGCCGGCGCCGCTGGAGTTCGCCGTTGACGACGCCCGTGTCCGCGGGGTCAACATCACCGACGGCCGTCTCAACGCCACGTTCGAGGTCAGCATATGGGCCGACAACAGAAACAACAAGGTCAGCGTTTACTACGACGCCATGGAAGTGAGGGTGGTCTATGATGACCAGGCAGTGGCGTTCGCCGAGGTGGCGCCCTTCTTCCACCCGCACCACAACGCGACGGAGATACGCGTGACGGCGGCGGCGGTGGCTGCGCCGCTGGGGGAGTCGGCGAGGAGGGAGCTGCGGAGGGACATCGCCGGCGGGAAGATTGTCGTGGAGGTAGCCGTGAGGGCGAGGATACGCTACCGCATAGCGACCTTCAAGTCGCACCACTACACGCTGCGGGCCTACTGCACACCGGTGGACCTGTATCTCTCCCCGTCCACCCCCAGCAGCACGACCAACTGTGACGTCGAGTTCTGAATATGACCCTCTCTCTCTCGCTCGCTGAGGTGAGTGGCTGATTCTCTGCCAGGAGGACGGTTTTCCTGAGTGGGAGTTGTTTTTTATTTGATCATTCATTTGGATCCAAATATGCTGTGAAGGTATACATTTTTGGCTGCGAATTTCTCCGGCAAAGATTAATTAATTGGGAATTACACTCTCCCTACTCCCCCATCGCCATTGCCAAGGCATGCAATAATTTGCTACGATTACATGTAATTGCACCAGCTGAGTACAGGCGTTGACGAGTAGCATGCGGATTAGTCCAAGGTGAGCTTGTTCTATCCCAAGCGCCGCTTAATCCTAAAAATTGAAAATGATATTAAAAGCAAGGTCTGCGGAGAGTGGGATTTAAACCAGCACCTCCATCTGGTGGCTTTGACCGAGAAAAGTCAGCCCATGCGTGGCCGAGATGCTCATTATGGGCCAGGCCATGATGCCCAGCATTGGTTGTCGGAGCTGCCACAGATGCCCGCCACCCTCGTCAGTGTCAATATTTCCGATAACCCAAGGTCAAAAACCTAAGACAACCTTGGAAAAACAAGGATGATATCAGGTACATTCCCTTCATCTAATTTCGAAAGCTAAAAAAGTCAACTTAGAGTAACTACAACCCCTGCCGCCGCTCTTATTCTATCATTTCTCTCTCTAGAAAAAGAAGCAGTGATCAGAGGGAATCTGGATAACGTATCATGTTTCCCCCATGTCTTGTTCTATCCGATCCCATCCCACTCGGAATAGGAATTTCCCATTAAGATGAGTATGAAAATAAGGGAACCAGGTGAAATGGGGTCACTAATATCCGGTTCCCCAAAGAAGGGCATGAATAAAGGAGGAAACTTTGACAGATGAATCGATAATCTACCCATAATTGATTCACATAAATAACGAATTATTATCTCTCAGCATCCAATCTTCCGATAGAATAACCCTCGGCCAATGTTCCAAGATGGAGGAGTATGGCACATAGTATGTACATACTCTGCCTGCAGATCACCAGAAAGTTGTCATCATTTGAAGAAAGAAACAGCTAAGTTTTCAGGAAGCATTTCTCAATAGATTTCTAGATTATTGCAGTCACAATTGATATCAAAAACGCCGACATTAAGATTATGGACTTCAAAAAATAAAAAAGTGCAGAGTAAGATGCAATGAAAGTTTTATATAATGGCGTAAAATTACCTAAAAGATGTAGATGCTAAGGTTTCCGCGGGCTGAGAGTCATGTACAAGCCCTGCAAAAGGAAGGCCATTAAAAAAATCATAAAACCCACAATAAATCCTCTCGCGTGCTGTGATTTCTTGTTCCAAACAGTTATGGTCAAGCAAGGGATAATATATTTTGGTTTTTTCTTCTTTTTTTTCTTTTTTTTCATAGGACGTTAAGTTTCTTTAGATAATAGTGATTCTATCAAATTGCAAGATGAGAATATAGATCTAGGATTCGATTATGTGCATATTATATGTATGTTTTATACGTGGAGGGTGATCAATGTCTATCTTGAATAAGATAACTTATTTATCAATTCCATGCCGAGAAGTTCAGAAAACCGACAGATTAAGGAGATACCCCGCAGGTTTTATCAGGAGAGGGAATTCAACATTCAAAACTGTGTCATTGAGGAAAAGAATTAGTTGATCATATGTTCACTAATAAGGTGCGAAAGCAAGAAGAAATTACTCTTTTAAACGAACAATGAAACATCTGTGGGGGAGGAAGAAGACTTGTTTCTTTTTTTCTTCCTATAAATGATGCACAATCTTCCTGTTGCATGGAATCACTTTATCCGCACTTACATTGGTTGTATGGATGGTCGCTCCCGTTGTCATGAGGATCTTCTGATCAGGAACCAGCTTGAAGTCCATATGCTGGACAAATACAGCAAGAGCGACGATTGCCTCCAACAATGCAAACTGGTCACCCACACATTTCCGGGGTCCTCCACTGAAGGGGATAAATCTATGAGAAATATGCCATGGGCATTAGAGTCGATCCAGCTAAAGGGAACGGACCGAATGCAACTGAGATGGGGTTGAACAAAAGCGCATCTCTTTCACATGAAACAGAAAGCAGTGGTAAAGACAGATTCGGAGCCTACAGACTGAAGGGATGGTAGAAATAAAAATATAATGACAAAATATGAAGCAAAGATATTCGACCAGCAAAGAATTACCCAAAATTAATATCATGTAATCATTTTATGACCAACGTTGAAGGGTCTGATCATGCATCAGATACGTAGCAGAAATAGTTTATACCTTTGCCGACATACAAAAGAAAAAAATAAAATTATAGACCTGAAATCGGTATTTGTCTCGTTTGGTGCGGATCCTTCCAGGTCAAATCGTTCAGGAATGAATTCTTCCGCTCTGTCCCAGACCTGGAAACATGGTGACAAAAGAAGGTAGTCAGCGCATGTGAAGCAAGTAATGTTCAGTATTGGATATGCATTTCAATAGGTGAGTATATTTTTGCAATCTGTAAACCTCGGATGCACATACGAGATTATTTCCAATATTATTTGGAACAAGCACCCATCACATCACCACATATTTCACCGGTCACCATCCAAAGTTTGGCTGGGTTAATCACGGAATTTCCTCAGAGGCTAATCGTCTTAAATTTGTGTTTTAATACAGGCACTGACGACATAGTCCAAGGCCCGTCCATATATCCATGGACATGATTTCATCCCATATACAACCTAATGAATATCTCAGTTCATCTTTCCAAAACAAAGAAAGCATATTAAAATTATACTTATCTTCATAACTTTTACTATGCGCTTCATACTAAGAAATTTTATATGCTCGATGCATTAAAAATGAAATTTCAGGGTATTGAAGATCAAGTAATGTACCTCTGATGATCGATGGATGTTGTACACCGAAATCATTATATCTTGGCCAGCACCAACCTTGTAATCACCGGGAAGAATATCTTCGACTTGAGCCCGCCTAATCAATACCTATTAAATATGTTGATAAGCAAACTATTTTACAGAAAAACTGGAATGCGACGCTAACAAAAAACAGAAGGAATTTCAACCTACCGGCGGATGTGGATACAAACGCATTGACTCATAAATGCAACGCGTTAGGTACTTAAGCTCTTTGATATCCTCATAACGAGGAGCTCTACCCTGTAGAACTCTGTCAACTTCGTCTTGTGCTCTTGACAAAGCCGCTGAGTCCTGGGATGGGAATAAGTGACCAGAAACTATAAAGGAAGATATGATAGACACATTCAATAAACAGACAGCTGAAAAGCAAGCGGTGAGACTGCTGATTGTTCCTAGCCAGAATTTCGGCTGTATGATCCTTCAAGGTGTCTTTTATCTCTTTTCTTCAAAAAGAAGATGAATAGGCTTAAAGAGATTGCCAACGAATGAGCTGGCCCCTGTATGCATAACTGAGCTAGTATTAACTGAGGAGATAAATGGTGGCCAAGAATTGAGTTTGCAGCAAAAGCCATTTTCTAAAACAGTAGTGGAACTGTTATTGGCTTTCCTTTTGTTCAGAGTCCACAGTAGTATACACAGATGTTCCTCTCTTTAACGATAAAGACCTCCATACTTGTAGATATTTTTCATTTTGTTAACGACGGCATGTGCCATCAATAACAAAATATAAATATCCCTGGGCATAAATGAGTCAAAACCATAAAAACAGGGTAATAGCATCAATGCGTCAGCAATACCTTGCTAAGAAGATATAGTGTCCACGTCAAAACTGAGCCAGTTGTCTCATGGCCAGCAACTAGCATAGATAAAAGGTCATCCCTTAGCTGCGTACTAGAAACCTGAAATATGACAGTCCCTCATATTATGTGCCAAACTATGCAGAAGGAATACCACATTAGTTTCAAACTAAGCACATCAACGGTCAGGGATTACTTGATGACGAACTAATCAAACACAATACCCAGAGATCCGAATATGAATATATCAAGTGGCATCATCTGAATGATGGTGACCTGAGGAAATTCTCCAACAAAAAGTTATGTTGTATGCCAGGGCGAGGACTAAAAATGACTAACACTACAGAGATCCCAGAGAAGGTTAAAGTGATAAATGGACAGAGAATTCTGAATTTTGACAATCTAGAACGGACACAATCATAGACGATCTAATCCACAAGGGAGTACCCTTTCCTCAACAGAATTTTATTTCTGATGAAGTTTGGAATAGAAACGAATCTATTGCATAAATGGATGCATTATGAGAGAAATTTGTTCGTTCCGATCAAAAGGATGGCAACTATTGTCGTTTTCCTCGAGGATCGATAAGGTTACATCAGGACGGTCTATCGTGGATGTTCAGCTACAAGTGAGAAAAGTACAGGAAGATCACTTTTATCAAAGACGTTTTTTGTTATAAAATAACATTGGAATCACTAATCCGCAATGTTAAAAGAAAGCCTTGCTTTTTCATCGAGCCAGCTTGACGAGATAGAAAACAACAAAAACTATTACTGCAGAAGGCAACCTCAGGCTTCGAAATTAATTGTACCAGGTAACACACAGTGAAAGTTCGAATACCATGAAAAAGAAAAGATAGGATGGAAGCGAGGAAATTTTCCAACAACTATCCAGCCCTACGATAGACCCCTAAGTAGTATTGAAATGGAATGATTGGGAAACTTGACTAAAAACTGAAGGATGAGACACCTATCAGCCAGGGGTAATTGTAACCTTTCTGAATCAGCTATGTCAAGTGTCACCATACTGTCCATCAAGAAAGGGGGTCTGCAGGAAAATAGGTATCATCAGAAGAAAGAAAATGGGGGTTAAGGTTTATTCCCTTCAGAAACAAAAAGTAGAGCACAACTGGCCAAATGGCAAGAGGAATAGGGCAATTAAAAAGGTGGAATAGAGACTGACGGAGGCAGCATTGGAGCTTAGGTTGCAAAACTTTCTCTTAATTCCAAGGATATAGATGTTTTCATGAGATGTTTGCTTTGCACTGTGAAACAAGGTCAGACAAATCAAACCTCTCTTATACTGAGCAACACAAATGACAGTTAAACGAGAATCGATTTTACAAGTTCCTTTCATCTGAAAGCCAGAAGTGCCTCGAAAACCAATGAGATTTTTGTTCAAAAAACTGGGAGATCGGATGATGATATTTCAAAGAAGAATTAACGAATTTGGTAAAGTATCGAGCGGGAGACATCTATATTCATGCTCGCGTTCGGTTGTTTCAACTTTCAAGGACATTAACAACAACCACCCCCTCGTTCAAAATTAAAAATCAAAATTAAGAAAAAAAAAACTAAAGAGGCCCCAAGTAATGTCTCGGAACACCTTTCATAAGACTCGACGGTTAAGCCTAAAAATTTTAAGCATTCATAGAATAAAATAAAACACATGTCTTTTGCTTGCCACGATCACGAATTTTTCATTACAACAGTGATTCTCAGTGATATGCTTCATCAATGTTGGATATTGAAATTTTGTTCAATCACAGCCGAAATGAAATTACAACAATGCAAGCTCCTTCCAAAGACAATTATCGTATATGTGCAGAAAACTGATCATTCCTAACTGAAACAATAAGCAAACACCAAAAATAGAACTTGGACAGTTTGGTAAATCAAAGCAGTTTTCAAGGAAATCAGTGTACCTCTTCTCGGCTTGCCAACAGGAATCGAAGGATACTTGGATCACCATCATTTATATAGTCTTCCTCATCTAACTGTTCGCCTTCAGCTTCTACTATTTCCTTGCACTTTGTGATAAGCTCTTCAACAGTCTTCCGTATTAGAATAACTGCTTCTTCTGCTTTAATCTGTCTTGGAATTATCCTACGTAGGAATTCAATCTGCCACATGGAAGTATAAAATGAGTCAACAATAAACACTACCATTAAAACAAAAGTAAAATTGCAGTTGTGCACCAGGATACTTGGAGTGGTAGAAAATACCAAACTAGTACAACTAGAGAGAAGCTGTCTTTTTTTTTCATTAGTAGAATAATTGATAAAGAAGTGACAAGAGATTGACTGTTCAGAAGCACGTCATAACTGAATACCGACCAATCAATTGAAATTCGAGCCGGGCATGGGACAGCGTTAATTTAACATGTCCTCAAATTTTTGAGATCGTAAAAAAAGGTACTTTTGATAAAAAAATTGTGTTAAGAACAGATTAGGTACGTGCATGAAGACAAGGATGCAGCTTTCTAGGTACATTCCTGCATCAATCAGCTAAGTAATAACTCTTTCTTGGCAGAATTCCTATCTGGAATTGAAGACCTCACTTTTTTTTTTTAATTTCCAAGGATGGACAGGAACTCCCCTGACCAGAAAGGTTGCCTTACCGCCACACAAGAACAGCGAACTATGGGGCACCCTACTCATGATAGCTTCAAGAGAATGAGGTGGAAAAGAAAGAAAATGTCATGAGAACCTGCCTTCCAATAGGGCAAGATGTCAGTGGAACGAGCTTCCGCCTCTTTCAACGCGGTGTAAACAGCCTCAATTACGGGGCTATCTGAGGAGAGTGAGTCAAAATTATAGTTGAATACCGAGAGACCAATCACGTCCAGAGTCAATTGGGAGAACTTCGCTTCCATGTTCACTGGGGAACCGCTCAGAGCCTCTGACTTGAGCTTCTCCACCAACCTCAGCGCACATTTGGAGAAAACCTTGTCCACCATCACAGACAGGTATCTTTTGTGAAGGGCTGGCACAACGGCCCTCCGCCTCACCTGCACAAAACGCTCCATGAAGAAGAAAGGTCCATTTCTCTCACAATGAGAAGTCAGGTAAATTATTGGGGAACATTGTATACCGTCCAGAGCTGACCCTCAGCAATGGCGAAGCCCGAGCCGAAGAGGAACTCGGAGACCTCGGCAACCAACCCCTTCGCGTACTTGCCGTAGTTCCTCAGAACGTGCTTCGCAATCGCTGGATTGCTGACGACGACAAAGTTGCGCGGTCCAGCTGCGAGGCGGTAAACTGGGCCGTACAGCTCCATCCACTTGAACAGCGGGAGGAAGAGGGCACCCCCGAGGAGATCAGAGATATCATCGAGCTTGGCGTTCGCCACAGGAATGCCGGATTCGTCCTTCCCGGCGAAGGAACGGGCCAGGGAGGTGAGCCAGTCCGGGCTGACCCACGAGCCACCGCCGCCGCCGCCGCCGCCGCTTGGCTTCTCCTTGGAGGGAGGAGACGGGGAGGGAGGAATTCCGCTTCCCAGGCAGAACGAGACTCCACTGGACCGCCCACCGGAGAGACGCGGCGATAGGATCCTCGGGAACGGATGGCGGAGAGACGGCACGGTGGAGGAGCAGGAAGCCATGCTTCTCCGCTTCCTTCAGTCTGGTGGGAGGTCAGTTCATTTAGTCGGCCAGCCCCCGGCAGAGAGGATGAGGTAGTGTGCTTTGACCAAAATACCCTCATAGCCAGAGCCTGTGGCTTTCTTATGGACCTTATTGGGTCATATCCACCGCCCGCCCAGCCCAGCCCAAACCACTGCATTCTGACGGGTCCACGTGGAACACCCGGATCAACCGACCCGGTCCACGAGAATCATGCTCTCTCAGACACACACACTCTCTCTGTCTGCGTGGCGTGATACGCAGCATCTCGCCTAAAACGAGAAAAAAATGGCTCGACACGAAAGAATAACTAATATTTATTTAATTTTTTATTTTGAAAAAAGTAAATATGTTTAAGCGTCAATACGACTGAGCAAAATAGGGGCGTAATTTAAACTAAATTTAATAATTTTTTAATCTATTTATGGATGGCGGGCAAGGTTGGGGATTCAGATGCACAGCCGTGATCCGAGATATCATCGGTGCCTCGAGGGCCGTACGTCGGGGACTGGACGGCCAAGATGATCCAAGGTGGTTTCCGCCACCCTCGTCGGACCGCTCGCACGTGTTCCCCAACACGAGGCACGCGCACCTCGTTTCGGATCCACCGGACCCAATAATAATAAAATAATAATAACACACCAGGTTTTTTAATAAAATTATGATATTCATATACTCATACTTATCAGTATTTTTTTATAGTTATGAATGATTGGATATGTGCTTATATATATGGAATTTTTGACGTTTTTATGATGAATATTTTCTTTATCGGGTGTGGAGAAGCCCGAGAAACGGGGTTCAAACCAGAGTATTTGAAGGTAGCGGGGCTTCAAGGCCGACCAACCGCTTCATTCCGATACCATGGGGGAGACACACCTTTGACTTTTTATTAGAGACGGCAGTACAGCCATCGTGTGCATGAGATTCCTACAGATTGCAGCTGCAACAGCTGCAGCAGCTGGAAAATATTTAGTTTTGGAGAAGAAGAGAGAGGGAGATATGGATAGAGATAGATAGAAAAGAGAGAGAGAGAGAGAGGCTTAAATAGTGCTGTGGCTCAAAGAGCTCGCCCTCAATCTGATAATAATGCAAGAGAAAATACTTTACAGAGCGTGGAAAGAGAAGGTTAATGGGGTTTTGAGAGGAGGGTGGAGGCTAGCCAGGGCAGCGGTTCTTGCGCTTCTTCGTGGCCGGAGAAGGATGATCCTCGAGAGGGCGGAAGAGGAGCTCCATCAGCTCCGGGGCTACCCTGAACAGCTCGAGATCCAGCAGCCGCCGCTTGCAGGAGACCTCCAGCCGCCTCTTCTTCCTCGGCGCCGGCGGGCAGCTCGTGATCGCCGGTATCGCGCTCTCCTTCGTCGCCGGTGTGTTGTACCCCTCGCCGCCGCCACTGCTGCTGCCGCTCTGCTCCGCCGCCGGCAGCGGGCAGGGCTCCAGCTCCGCCGGCGACGGCAGCCGCCTCAATTCCGGGGACGCCGCCATGCCACACAGTTAGAGAGAGAGAGAGAGCAAAGGAAGAAAAACACCAGCCCTCGCTGGGAGCCGCGTATATGTAGCTTCAGGGGTTTAGAGAGAGAGGAGAGAGACCGGGCTCTTCGTCTATCCGCTCGTTCTTATCCTACCCTTTCTCTCTCTAGTCTCCACCATCTGATCAGAACGAGGGTCACGGCGAGATATGGTGCCACACTGATCAGACGGATACCGCCTTCTCGCCGACCAGATGCTCCTAGCATTGGATTCCCTCCATCGGGACAACGGGACATCGGGAACAGCGAAAGGACGGCTTGGATCTTGCCAGATTTTATAAAGACGACAGACGACGGTTCGTCAACGCGAGAGACGTCTTGCAGTTGAACATTGGATACCGTATGAACGTCAGCAACTTACACAAATGTGGTAAATGGGCCCATTTAACATAGCCCAATAATATTTGGGATTTGGATTAATATGGGGATCAGATTGGTAGTTATTGGGCTGGCCCAGTTGTCGTAACAGGCATGGGGCGGCCAGCCGTCTCGCACGCTACTGAGGTGCGAGCTATTACCGCTCATCATCTCCCACAGAACTGCCTGAAGGATCATATCTGGCTCTAAGTGAATGGCCCAGATTTTATTTGATGCCCTTGTGACAGTTTGTTCAACAAAATCGATGTGGGACTAATAGTTGTGGCGTATGATTGGGGCACGAAGGGAATTTCCGCTCCACAGCCCGCATCTGCCGGGATTCCGCCTTCATTCATTTCGTTTTTTTTTTTTTTTTTTTGGGGGGGGACCCGCCAACCTGGGCGCGGAATTGTCACATTCCGGCTTTTTAGGCCATTATTTTTTCAATCCTATTCTAGAAAAAAAAGGGGTTTAAGACGGTATTTTCTAATTAATTATGTAATCATTCATAAAATAAATTTTATGCAAGTTGGTGATAAAAAAAGAATTTTAGGTTAAAATCACCTTCATAAAAAAAAAAAAACGCTTCATGGTCGGTATTTAATTATCTATTTAAAAAGTTGCTTGTGTTCGAGAAATGGGTTTTTTATTAAATAAGGTGTGACTGTGATAATAAGAATATATCTAGAGCGAGAGAGAGACAGAAATATTGGTCTAGGTCCATAAGGCCGTACTTTATTGAAATGGTCATAGTGTGCTGAATAAGGAAAATTACAATTTACCCCCTGTTGACTCAGTTAGAGACGTGGACTGATAGTGAAAAGTCGAGACCTTCGCACCAACCGTTGTTCCTACAAGCGACGACAGGGAGGGACATAATGGCTTATTTAAGTTTTCGGACCGGGTTGACCTAATTCGGTTGGTCAGAAAACCCAAAACATGAGAAATCGCGTACCCCTGTTAATGGATAATATCGTTCGATGAGTCCGCCAACGAAACTGCGTAGCGCCTTCTTCCCCGTCAGAGAGAAAGAGAGAGAGGAGTCGACACCAAGCATCCATCTACTTCATCTCCTAGTTTTCAGAGCGTGGGGTACTCCTCGGCGATCTTCCACTGTCATCTATCTCCGATTAGTGAAGCCGAGCACTGAGGCAACCCTTTTCCCCTCTCTCTCTCTTTCTCTTTCTTTCTTAATCTAATTATCTCTCTCTCTTCCACCGTACGCCTAGAGAACAAACATCTCTCCTCGTCTTATGACCCACTCGAGTTATTGATCAATCCTCAGTGCAGAACTCAAGAAATGAAGTAATTCCCCAAACCCTTTGTTTATTACCGGAGAAGCTTAACACCTATGGGAAATCTTACTGTCCGGATTTGCATCTCTGTGAAAGCCCGAGCCAAGAACAGAACCAGTCAAAGGACGCTGGTTCCACGCGACCATGGTTCACTTCCAAAGCGACCGATTCATCGTCGAGCAGCGGGGGCTCCTCCAACGGAAGACGCAGATCTTCAGAACGTCTGCAAGCTGCGCAGATCCAGTCTCCCCCTGTTGACTCAGGAGGAATACTCGCCAGGCTCAAGAACATGAAGCAAGTGTTCCCGGATTCTCTGCTTGATCGATTAATTTCAGCTTAGTTTTCATAAAACTGTTTGTCTCCGATTGCAGAGTGGATCAACTGAGGAAGCTTCTAGCCGACAACGATGCGTATTATTCCTTCTTCCTCTCTCTTGACCAAGTTAAAAATCAGATTAATGTAAGTTCCACGCAGAGCACCACATCACATAATCCACGATATGGGTTCTATGCTAACACTTGTCGTTGGGCGTCTCTAGCTGCACGCTGAGCTACAGGAGGCAGCCGTGCAGCTGGCTCGTAAGTCCTCTTCTGGGAGATGTCTCTGTAAATTTCTTCATGGCATCGATACTGAGACTAGTGACTACAGGAGACAACTCGGGTAAAGAACCCCTCATCACGGAGCTCAACAGCCAGGTGAGTCCCACGGATGTGACCACAGTAGTTGGGGACCGCTCATCCCATAAATAGTCGGGATTTGACTCTTCTAAAGAGGTTTGGAAGGGGCAAGAATCAGGTTGATTGATTGATTGATATTGATATTGATCATCTTGGAATGCAGTGCCAGAATATCAGAGACACGGAGCTTGCAGAGGCGGAGGAGAAACTCGGTGAACTGGAGAAGCAAATGGAGGAAACCCTGAAGCTCTACTCTCCTGATTCACTGCTCCTGAACTTGGAAAGTCGGTTCTGCTCTGAAGGGTTCATACGGTTTTCTCTGTTCTTCATGGCTGCAGTCTTGGGTGGTATCTAATGGGGTTTTTTTCTCTCGTACAGATGCGATGCACGAGGGGGAGGAGGAATCCAAGGGCCTGAAGAAGCAGTTTCTAGAGCAGGAGATGGACCTCTCAGCATTTGTACAGAGTTACAAGGAGATGCGCACCCTTTATCACAGAAGGGCTTTGCTGCATCTTGCTGCCAAGACCTCTGCTATCTGAACCATTCTCTCTCTCTCTCTCTAGAAACATACATGCACAGAGAAATATATCTTAAACTGGGTCTGTCAAGCACATGCTAAAATACGACAAGACAATTCTAAAGAGGACCGAGTGTTATCACAAGTAATAGAGAAGGCAGTTGCTGTGATTTATGCGGATTGCAAGTATAAATCTTGTGTTTTCTCCACGACTGTATGTGCTTTTTGAAATATTCCAGATCAGACAATGTATCTATGAATGGTCACTTTTGCATGGAAGGGCGGTGCAGCGGCAGATGGGTTTACCGGAAGCTTCCCATCCATTGAACCCACGTTCCAATATCATCACTCTCTTGATCCCTGCAGCCTCTTTTGTCTCGGACAGATAGTTCATGAACATGCGCGCACATGATGGACCTCGTACCTGGGGAATTAGATTTCATGAAACAAAAGAGATGGGGCCTCAACTGTTTAATGAAGTAAATGCTATATTCAGTTGGGGAAAAGAGGATAACGCTAGAGAATTAGATAAACGTTCTAACCTAGTTTTAAGTTTGAGTTAGCAAGAAGCTGAGCCACCTCAGCTCTATTTCTCTGTCAATACCCCTTCCTACCATTGGGTTCTGTGTGTGAGGGAGAGAGAGAAAGGACCCACTGTATTTACTACGCTTCAAATTATGGAATAGTGAAGAGAGAGAGAGAGAGAGAGAGAGAATGAGGTAGCTTTCCGAAAAACATGAGTATGAATAGGAAATTAAAACCAGGTCTGGCTGAATCTATAATTTTTACTTTTAGAGATGGGATCACTTGCAAGGAAAATCCGATCACCTTGTGAATTCTTATCTAGATACCCCAGTTCTGAGCAAAAATGGGGCAATTCTTGGAAACATTATAATTCAAGTACTATATTATAGTCAACCGAATACACATTAAACGGTATGCAATTAGATAATAATTCCATGATAACACCTTCATACAAGCTGCATATGGACTGATCATCACAGGCGTAGTCGGCTAGTATACACATCAGTTATAATTTCCCGTTTTACAACCATCTGGGTGAGATACACAGTTTTCTATTGGCCAAAAAAAGATTTGAATCAGCCAAAAACCACATGCTGAGAAAATTCTCATTGACCCAACTCTACAATCACTGAATTACAAGGGCATATCTCAGCTCCTGAATCACGCCAGATAATTCCCAGGCATTCCTGAATTAGATAATCTTTCAAATCATTTTAAATTTTTCCGGTTATGCAATTGCTTTGTGTTCATGATGTTATAGATTCACTGTTTATGCACACTAAAAAGTCGAAAGATAAGTGAAAAGGATGGTCCTACAGGCAAGCAATGAAAGCCTGTATTTAGATGTAAATCCATAAGCTTTTTTCTCGCAATCACGCACGAAAAAGAAAATGGAACAAGAAAACATGAAATATATATATTCAAAGACTGAAGCGAAAACAGAAAAGGGACCTGGCTTAGGGCACAGTGGAAAACGATGGTATCCTTCTGGCCCCCGACGGCCTGCAGCAGGTTCGGCATCCTCTGGGCGAAAGACCCGCTTGGATAATGGTATGATCCAGCTATGTGTGCGTCGTAGATCCGCTCCTCGTCCCTTTTGTCCCACCAGACCGGCATCGTCGATAATCAAAATCATAAGAACGAAGGAAGAGGACAAACGGAAACAAGCCCAAGGAAATTCACGGGACACCCCAGAGACCTGACATCCACTATGGCCACTCGTGGGTGTGGAATGATGCTGGAGAGCTGGGATGAGGATACGTAGGAGATGCTCGTCGGCACCATCGCCATCTCCCAGTACGCTCCCCGCCTCCGCTCCTCCACCTGCCCAGACAGATCCCCCTCCCCCACCACTTTTTCACCTACCGATCTTCCTAATTTATACGACACCACTAAGTTTTGCAGGTTTTAACATTATACCTATCAACATTCAATATTCCTACTATGCCACAAACTCAAATTAATTACTTTGCTAATAATTTGTAATTATACTATCAAGTTTGCACTCTTTTCTCTATGAAACTAATCGTCCGAACTCAGTATATTTTTCATTCAAATTAATACTTAACCAAATAATTATAAATTATGAATATACATATTATGCATTATAAATAAAATATTAATTATTAAAAATAAATTATGGGATGTGGGTCCTAATAGTCAGTGTTCATAATTTATGGAACGAATTTTCAGGTTTTATTAATATAACTATCGTCATTACATATGCCTAGTATAAAATAAATTCAAATCAATCAATTTGGTAACAAACTTAATTTACACTCCCAAAATTATGTTATTTTCTCTATCACACTAATTGTCCGAACTCACTATAATTTTTCATTAAAGTAATATTTACCTAATACTTATAAAATATGGACATACCTCCTTTGCATTATAAATATAAATAGTCATTATTGAAAATAAATTATGGGGTGTGGTTCCTAATAAACAGTGTTCATAATTTATGAAACAGTTTTTCAGGTTTTAATGATGTAAATATCATCATTAAATATTCCTATTATAAAATAAATTCAAATCAATCATTTTGAGAATAAATTTAATTACGTTCTCAAAATTGTGTTATTTATTCTATTGCACTAATTCTCTGAATTCACTCAATATTTTTTATTAATTTAATACTATCCTAATACTTATAAATTATGGATCATACATCTTATGCGTTATAAATAAAAATAATATTTAAAAAAAGTAAATTATGGGGAGTGGTTCCTAATAATTAGTGTTCATAATTTATGGAACAAATTCTCATGTTTGAATAATATAACTATCGTCATTAAATATTCCTACTATAAAAATACATTAAAATCATTCAATTTGGTAATAAATTTAATTTACACTCTCAAAATTGTGTTATTTTCACTTTCACATTAATTTCCGAACTCACTATATTTTCATTAAATTAATACGTACTTAATCCTTTTAAATTTTTATCTTCTGCATTATAACTAAAAAATGAGTGCTCCTACCTTATGAAACACTACTTAATTTTTCATCTTTTAACATATACCTTTCGACATTAAATATACAATAAATTCCACAACACAAGACGAGAGAGAGAGAGAGAGAGAGAGAGAGAGAGAGAGAGGGGATCTACCAGTAACAAGACGAGAGTAAAAGGTCTTGTTGGGCACTAATCTCACTAAAAGGCCTGATGAGGTGTTGATAGATGTTGATCAAAAGGTCTTGTCGGATTCGGAGCACAGGGCACATGGCCTACAGAGGATTTCACTAGATTTCACCACCAGGCAAATCCCCAATAGACGTTTCCCTTTGAGGATATCTGAAGAGCAGCGATGTCCTTGGACATTATCTCGCCTTATACGGGGCAACACACAATAGAATGGAAAGTTTTCTCGCTCATTCAAGGACCACATTTTTTGAAAAGGGGAAGGAAATGAAAGGGAATATGTTAGACTCTAACTATTCCGAGAAGCCCAAGCTTTTTTCTAGCCTAAACCAAGAAGCCCAAACTCAGGCCCATTTCAGGGAAGCTCAGGTTTGAGTCTCTACTATCAGAAGCCCAAACTCAGGCCCATCTCGAAAAGAGCAAGACCAAGTGGAGCCCACTGAGTCTTTACACGAGCGTCGTGTGGAGTGTTAAAGACAAATCATACTTAGTTCTAACATATTATCATTATAACACAACGGATTTAATTTTTTTCATTTTAATCTTTAAATTATGTATAGAAATTCTAAATTATGAAATATAAAAATTTATCTGGGCCATAAAGCTTGGTAATTAACATTTAACAAGGCCTCATGGGCAGCCTTCTGCCTCCTAGTAAGGATCTACTAACATCTTCTTATGTGGCCCTTTAGACGACTGTCAAGATCCAATAAAATGGGCTTTTTTGGCTGGTGCTTAAGGACTAATAAAACTCTACAGGGCCCTTTTGATCAATGATTTAACCTCATGTGAATGGGCCCAATAAGAACATGATCTTGTCAAAAGAACAACCTCTGATACACAATACAAAAGGGCATGCCTTTATTAAACTAATAATTTCGCTTCCTTTGTTGGAGTATTAAATGGGCTTTTACACCTACTAAGTCTTCAAATCTGATCTATCCTGTAGACTTGCCAAAAAAGCCATTGCCCCATTACCTCATAAATGGGATCTCCACAACCTAAAATGGAAAATCCACTTGAAATATAACTCATCTAAGATATTATAAATTGATGCCCATTTGACAAGTTTGTGGGATAAATCCATGAGACCTCAATTGTACTTCCATCTGATATAATTATTATGAGGAAGATTTTAGATAAATCCATTTCTCATGTTTCATTAATGGTTCGATGCCTGGTACTATTAAGAAAGATAAACGGAATGATTCTCATTACTATTGTTTCCCATTTCTGCAAAAAATGAAAGCGTTGAAAATTTTCAGAAAAATGGCAATCAAGGAACTTATCTTAATTGAATTTCGATAAAATCAAGGAATATATTTGTTTCTACCAATCTATTCAGCAGACTATGTAAAAACATGGACAGTCCAGGATATTCGACATTAAGAAAAGTGACTAAGCCCAGATAAGCATGATTCCACATTGTATTCATTTGCCAAGGTTTTCCTTCTTAAAAGAATAGAAGATACAAGGCGCATGCCCATAATCTCCGAGAGGAAAAGCACCAGGTTAGTTGATGATGATCCACTGCCCACTCTGGACACGGCAAAGAAGAACTGCAGGCAAACAGGTGTAGAAGGGGCACTCAAAAAGCTTGATATCTTGTTTTCTACAAGCAGAAATTTTCAATGATTTTTTTGGTAGATTGATTTCCTCTGGCAGTTTATTCTTTCTCCTGCCCAATTTCACAATTTCCATTTGCAGTATAGTAAGCAAAAACGATCTAGCATGAAAGTAAAACATGCCAGAGAACATTCACCTTCATGAGATTTGATAAGAACCCTCTCACAGACATAAGGATCAACATTCCTATGAAGAACAAAGGCACGTACTTACAGACATATTTTTGAGTGTAATGTCAGTCCTTTGTCCAAAAAAATTATAAGGTTGAACAAGGAAAGGTAGCTAAGTAACAAGCTACAGTTTCGTTCTCATGTGTTTCAGCTCAACATGCATTTAACCGCTCATGTGCTCAGTCAAAACATGAGTTTTCTGGCAGATTTATATAACCCACAAGTCATAGTGGCTCTCCATTGAGATTGTTCCACTGCATTTGAGTTTAAATATTAGTGTTTTTCAGCAGAGTGTATACAACTTATCATACTGCCATTCTTTTCAGTTGGATGCATGACACATAACTCTTGGGCACTAAGAAAAGATGTTCATATGATTGGACTTCTACACAAGGACCTGTGGTCACTGTTGACTCAAATATTTTAAAGAAACCCAGATCAGATCGGATGTCTAAATTATTTTATGATATGTCAATTGGGCTTATAGTTGCAAGCTGCGAATGCCATTCTTTCAAAGAAAGAAAGAACGAACAGAACAGGTTTAGAAGATACGGTAAACTTTATCTACTTTCCAGGTTATCTAGATACACAGCCATCTGATTCTGTCTCCACGCATCCGAGTCTGCGAAGGAACCCTGGAACATGGGAGACTGATCTTGAGGCTGCACAATGTGATCCGTCTGTGAAAGGCTCTCCTTAATGGAGTGTTTATTCTCATTTTCTACTGAATTCTTGCTATGTTTTCTAATGAAATGCTCTGCCTTCGAATCTCCGGGCAGAGTAGAGTTGAGAGAGAGAGAGAGCTTGGTCGCTCTAGAATCCAGATGGGAGTTGCAGGGTGTCGCCGTGCCCGGCGTCGAAGAAGTCTGCCCATGCGTCAGGCGGCGCAGAGGTGCCAGCCGATGCCGCCTCTAGTGCCACTCCGGTGCGCGCCATCTCGGCTCTCGCGGCGACGGCCTGCCTCAGCTCGGACACGGAACCGCGGAGCCTGCGGAGCCTCTCCGCCCCGAGCCCGTCGAGGCTCGTCTCCTCCCACCACCGCCGGCCGGCCTTCTCGGCGTCCAGCACCGCCTGCAACTCGGCGCACGAAGCCCGCAGCGCCGACTCCCTCTCCGGGGGGCTGGCGAACGGCATCACCGCCGCCGGCCCTGGCGGCGCGCTGAGGAAGCGGTCGAAGACGAGGGCCTCATCGGGGTGGGCGAAGATGTGCAGCTTCCCTCCGGGAGAGTAGACCAGCGCCGCTGCCTCGGCGCCGCAGTGGATGCAGAGCTCCCCCAACTTCTTGAACAGCCCCGTCCGCCGCTTGGAGAACGTGACGTGCCTCGCCTCGTTGTTCTCTATCCTCTTGATCTCGATCTTCCGCCGACCCATCGCCTCCGCCCTTCGTACGCCTCCCTCCGTCCTTGGACCTTGCTAAAACCAGAGGGAGAGAGAGAGAGAGAGAGAGAGGGTTTGGGTTTTTAGACCGGCCCGCCTAAGCCCAGGTCGAGTGAGCTGGACAGGGCTTCCCTGCAAATTGGGTTTTTAGAATGAATATGACTGACGCGGATGGAATGAGTAGGGAACACAACGGGTAAATAACAAGCCACGAATCTTGGACACGATCGGATCCGAACCTTTGAAAACCGACTGTGATGACGTGAGAAGACCTTTCCGTTCCTCGATCGAGGGCGGGAGGACTGTCTCAGGTCACCCTGATCAAACAAAGCTCCACGTTTCAAAATCTTAGTCGGCCTCCAAACAGGGAAACCGCAGCCCACACGGCTGAATCTGATGGCGGTGGAAACACGTATAAGGAAAGACGGGATGAAATCAAAACACATGATCACCAGAGAGGGTTGAGAGGGGACCTTCGGCGTTTGCACGCCGCAATGTTGACGTCGATGGTAGAGCGGAAGAGGACGAGCCCGTCGCAGGGTTCGGGGCAGCGCCCCGAAACCTAAATCCGATGTTGGGCGGAGCAGGGCGCGCAGGGTGTGCGCGGTCGACGTGCAGGGCGAGTCGCCGTGGCGCGTCCGCCAGGCGCGGGACGCACGAGCGCTTGGGCAGCATGCACGGGACGCGTGAGCGCCCGCGGGAGGCTTGTACGCGGCGCGTTGCCGGCGCTCCGAGGGACGCTGATCGGCACGTTGTCTGGCACACGAGCGCTGACAGAGAGACCCGCCGGCGACGACAAAGAGGGTTGACCACAAGGTAAGGGGAGGAGGGGGGGACCCGCGCGACGGCGGCAACTACATGCAGCGGCAGTCACACGGATTCCTTAGGGCACGGTCTCTCTTATTTATGTGCCTCGGGAGGAGGTTCGGATCCGGAGCTCGGGTCCATGCCCCACCAGTGGGTTTCCCCTTTCTGTGGGCGGCGAGCGAGGCCGGTCTCCCGTCCGGCGCCGGGAGAGGAAGGAGAGTTAAATCCATCGACGGCCGTCGGGTTTCCCACGAGCTTCCTGCTATCGAGGTGGAAGAGTAGCAGATTCATCCGTCCGGAGAAGTGGGGTGGCCTTACAAGAACGCGAGGTCCTTGCTTTAATCTTCCCTACCTCGACGGTCCACGTTGGTTTCCGAACCGCGAGATTTGATATTTCGCTGGTATTAACCATCTAGAAGGGATTCCGGGCTTCTCGATAGATCGTGAGAGAGATTTACGTATTTTGGTCTGCCGTCCATGCTCAATTCTTTCGACGACTTTGATCTCTGAAAACATTAAAAAAACGAAGAACGTGCGACTCGTTTCCTGGTCTATTTTCATTTTATGAATGATTTCAGCCGAAATTCTCCTTGGTTCCTTGTTTCAGTTTGTGAAACCTCGGCATGTGGTGATGCTAAGGTCTTGCGAACCATAGTAATCGTGGTCCATAATCAAGACATTCTGGAAAGCGGCCCCCATCTGATGAACTTTCTATCATTGTTCCATAAATGAATAATGATCGCCCAGAGTAAAATGACGAAAATAAAACGTTACTAGGGGGACAAGTTGCTGCACCACCTTTGTGGGACATCGAATGCGGAGTCCTTGGTGATTCCGTGAAATGGACCTAGGGTGTTACTGTCAGACAAGTTCCATATTCTTTTTTCGAATCCGGTCTTGTTCTAACTGAAATTTATTCAGTTTTTGGTTCCTTCGCAGTGCTAAACCAGGTTTTTTTTTCTTATTTAGGTAATATATTTTTTTCTCATTTTCCTTCTATTTCTCTCACCAGCGTAAAATACTTAGTCACTAAACTTTGGGCAAATTCTTTGTTGCCACCGCAATTTTCTTGCTAAGTTATTGAATCAGCTCGCCCTAAATGCGAATAGAATCATTGTACTTCTGTGGAAATGGGAATCTAAAAGCTCTGCATTGCAGTAGAGTCTTCGCACTGTTATTGGGTTGAGTGTCTAAAAATTCTTCAGAATATCCGAGTGAAGAAATAGGTCATTAGGGAAGTGTTGGTGGGTATCATAGATGTGGTACAGAATATCCGGTTGAGTGTTGGTGGGTATCAAGCTGCTTCTATCTTTCATTGGTTTTCCCTAATTTGTGCCTTGTGGAGTTACCTGGTCGACACAATGCACGAATAGACTCTGTAGAGATAAAAACTTTCTGGTACGGAAACTTGGCTTCAAAGTCTGGTGAAGGAAAAAGTTCCCGAACCATAAAAAATGCAAATCTAAAACCATCAGATGAACCTGCTTCGCTCAATTCTTCAAGTCAAATAGCCCTCCAACTGATTTTTCTTATCCACTTTCGTGTTGGAAAATCCTGAAGTGGGTTGTTCCTCGTTTTTTATTAGTATTTATTTTTATAAATAACTTTAGATATATTTTTTACTAAGAAATATCTAACTTGTAATTTGTGAAAAATCTAGGACCTTAATCATAAATTAATGGGCAGTAAGTAAAATTCCATGGCTCTTTGCTGAGCTAAAGATTGAAGTGTTTTTTCGTCATTGTATTTTAGTTATTTATTGTTTGGATTTGGTGGTGAGGTTTAAACATGTTCTAGAAAAAAATCATTTTTCTTGTTGCACAGAGATCCGTATTCTCCGTCTTCCTGTGAAGGCGATGATAATTAATCTAGAAGAAATGGAGAGTAAGGATAGCAACTTGGCCTCCACTAAGGCACCACTGCCATCAGGGCTCAGCATTGTCAACGAACAGGAAAAACATGGAGATGACAATGTGTCCTGCGTTTCTTTTATTAACCACGGTTAGTTTATAAAGCTTGTTTTTGGTTTGCTACAACTTTTGTTGCACATCAACCTGTTACTTCAATATACTACTTTTATTTTGCACAGACAATGACATTGTATAAATGGATAAACGTTTTTCTTTCCTGCTTCTTCATCCTGTCTTCAGTGCCTTCCATTAGATTTTTCAGATGCAGTTTATTTAGATGTTAAATGACTACATAAAACCTGGACTTGATTTCTTTTTGTAATGGGTGAATATATATATATATATATATATATATATATATTCCTGTATGACTAATACGTGATAATTCTTGACATTTCATTCTTTTGGGGGCTGTAACTGAGCTCCATCCGAGTGATGGACTTTGGGAATACTTAAAACTGACTTTCCAATTCAATCACTATTCAGATTTCAAGCTATAGATTTATTTTCTACTTGAATGAGGTGCCTTTCAGACTATACTTATTTTATAGTTGATCTTTGCTATTATGTTTAAGAGTTTATATCTCCAACTAAGAAATGTGGTTGCGTACTTCATCTTTCTTCCGTTTTCTGTGTCAAGAATTTGTGCTTTGTGATATTTTTGTAATTTTTAGGTATGTATGACCATGGACTATCTCTACTTAGGAGAGGCTTGAGTTCACTTCCCTTCAGACCTTGCAACTAAGCTTGTTGTAATGTTGTATTCCCCTCCACATCTTCGGACATGAAGTTACATGAATATTTTCCTGTGTTGCCATATTTTCCCTCCACAAAGATATCTCTTTGCTTAAATCACCCATATTCATCCTAATCAATTGTTTGTTAGTTTAATCTAAGACAGCAGGTGAGGCATCTTTGTTTTTCTCGAGAAAAATGAGTTCTATTTTCCGTCTTCGCTGCAGCTGAGATAGCTTGGCATGAGAGAAGAAAAGAGTGGGTTGGAGATCAGTCAAAGAAGCCACACAGGATGACTAAAGAACCCGTTATTAGGTAAGCTCATATTAGCCTTTGGAATATGCCCATTTCAAGGATAGTCATTTCATGCATGGTCTTTTCCTCATTTTCTGTTTTCTACTTTTGCCTGTCTCCTGGCTTTTATACTCGTATATATACATAACAGCACCAGGAGAGGCAACTCTCCAGTCCTTCCTCTACTCCCTATTTGTAACACGCCATCAGTGACAAGTTCCTTTGCGATACACCAACAGTGTCTGCTTCTTTCTTTCTAGGTATTGCATGGTTTGGATTTCTCTCTTGGCATAACCTTGACCCTTCAGGCTTTCTCTTTGTCCCATTTTCTTTATGGAGAAGGTTTTACCATCACCACCCTTCGGGTTTTCTCTTTGGGGTCATTTCTTTTATTTTCGTCTTTTGGCCGGCCAACGACTTGGTCATATGTTTCGCCAATTGGCTACCGCTCACCTCTCTTTGGCAGTGTCAGATGTTCCTGCCCCTGTTAGTGTTCCCCCGTTGGTGTCCCCATGTCGGCTAGGGCTTCCTCGTCGTGCTACCCTACAGAGCTGAGAAGAAGCGTGTGAATGGGTCTAAAGGTCATGGTCAGCTTTTTGCATGATTTGATACGTTTGTCGGATCCGGACCCAAATACATGAGCCACTTGTTAGAACTTGGATATCATTGTGGAGATCAATAGATGAACAGGTGATAAGATTTGTGTCGATCAACATGAACATATATTCGATTTCCATTCAGGGGCTTTCTGTGGCTCAGGTCATATTTGAGCTGTCTATTTTATTTTTCAACATTCTTCCAAAGTTGTTCTGTGGCTGTCACCATGTCGTATATGTTCAATATTCCCAAGATAGTTGGCTCATTAGAGTTGCCAATTGTGCCGTATAGGTTGCTGGTCTATGTAGCCCAACTCACGGACTATCAAGTTTTGAGCTTTTGCTCTATTGATCATTTCATCAGTGTGTGCTTGTTAGACCTCACCACTTGTATTATTTCAAGCCCCTACAACTTCTACCTTTTCTCATCACCTTGTCTTAAAGTCAAAAGCTCTCTGCCTTCTTTATTCTTGATTTACAACATCGTCACAGAGGTCATTTTTCCAAAATTCATCTCAAGTCCATGCGTGAATTTACTGTCTTAGGGTGTCAACATTCTTGCATCTAGTCATCAGATCGTGCGAGGTGTGAGCTTATGAAGCACCTTCCCTTTTTCTTTAAACGAGTCTACGACTGATTTCTGGTGCAAAATAGTCAACCTTCACCATCCAGTTGATCCAGATATTTAAATCTCTAAAAGGAACCTCGATGAGGAAGATGGTTGACTTTAAATGGTCTGTATTTCCAGTTGGTCCACGACTTATGAAGATCTACTCTCGACAAACCAGCATTTCCCCCGGCGAATCGCACTGGCCGTGAGTCATTTACACCTTGCACAAGCGCCTCCTCACATTTTCCAGACCCGTCTTGCATACCATCCTGCGTGTTCTTCTTCCAGGAGATGGTGGATTTTTTGGTCGACATCTGGCACGAAGACGGGCTCTACGACTGAGGCTCGAGTCGACTCTCTCTCTCTCTAGACGAAGCATCGGGGTACACTTCCAAGAGTATTTATACAGCCTGCAAGTGGGTATAGGGGAAAAGAGTGTCTTTTGTCTGTCTTACTAGTCAGTCATATGGAAAAGACAGAGAATGATGGGCTTGAAGGATTATCAAAGAGGTTTCGAGAAAGTTGGTCACAATAATCTGTACTCTCTGAGCATCTTTATGCCGCTTCTTCTTCTTCTTCTTCTTCTTCTCGTCTGTTTGTTTTTGGGATCTGATTGATCACGTTGGGCGAGAAATTCTCAGAAAAACCCCCCCCCCCCCCCCCTCCCTCCCTTACCTGCACCTCGAGTGATCTGACCAGCGAGCGGTTGGTGGCCATGGGGAGTAGCGCTCACCTATGCTTTCCCTTCTTCTTCTTCCGCCTCCTCCTGGTGCAGCCCGTTGCGATCTGAGGGGCCAGCAGCAGCAGAAGCTTGCAGCAGAGCTAACGCCTTCTCCGTCTTACCGGCCGCCGGCGGGGGTGACGAGAGAGAGAGAATCTGCTAGTTATAGGTGAAAGAGAGGCGGTCGAAGGGAGGCGCTGGTGAACCGGGTCGAGCGGGTCTCCACCCGTGTGGGGCCCACGCAGCACCACAACGACAAGAAGGTGGAGAGAGAGAGAGAGAGAGAGGGTCTCATGAGAGAAAGGGAGAGAGAAACACCGACTAATAATCAAGAAAGAGAAACAATGGTCAACTATTTTTACAGTGATTTAGTTGCAAGTGTAACTCGAGTTGACTACGTTTATTAGATGAACTTGTAGAGGACATCTAACTACTTGTTAGCTGGGAGCTGTATGAGTGGTAATGGGTACTCCTGCATCTCTTATTCAATAAGTAGATTGTGGAAGCAGGCCACTTGTGTGGGCTCTTATCAATTTCTTTGAGTTTCATTCTTGTGAATGAATGTGTTCGAAAATTCACACACATGATATGTGGTTGGTTGTGAATGTATCTACCTTATTTCAACACTTAAAACATCAATTAATCAGCCTTTATTCTTACTGATTTTACATTCAATAATAAAAAAATACTCATTATTTATAAAATGTCGAGAACACAAGCTTCGAGATTTGACTAAAAAAATTAATGTAAAATAAGTTGGACACAATCTTAGCTTGATCTCATATGAGTTTCAAAAGATTTAAGAAGAAGAATAAAGATTATTCATCAAGTTATTACTTAGTTTTACTTATTTTTATTGAACATGAAATATAAATATTTTTTTTATAAATATAAATAAATATATAAAGTATGTAAATAAATATTAAAAATGAGTAAAAAAATAATTTCTCAAGTTTAGTCTACCTCTTAGAAAACTTGAGACACCAATGTGGTGGCTTAGTTTTGTCTAGATGTGTCACACCGTCAAAAGTAATAGAAGTATTATTTAGAAACGTCATCCCAATGGACTAGAATGATCTCATGTGATGGAAGAACCGCCTCAAATTTAAAAATACTTGGGAATTAGTAGAGTGATAATTAAACAAATCTTAATTAAATATACCTTCACCTTGGAGACAAAATGCTCATAGAGCTGGACAATATTCTTAGGTCACTGAGCCAAATGGAGCCTTCTAAGATGAATGACCTAGTCATAAAACTCATGAGACAACTAGATGTAATGATGCAACCTATTAATAGACACTCCTAAGCAGACATAGGGCCTTATGTTATATATAAAAATAGAAATAGAGTGAATGTAAAAAGCATGCAAGGATCTTTTTTAACTCAATGAGATTCAAAGTTCCTTAAAAAGACCCTATTGAGGTTAGGGTCTCTCTCTCTTCTCTCTCTCATTCCCTACTAACCAAATGTCCTCCACTCCCCAATTGAGTTGGTAACATGATAAAGAGATGTGTATCATCATGGTGGTTGATTAGCATTACGATTGGTGAAGTCTCTATGTAGAGGGAGCTAAGCTAAGTAGGTTTATTAGATCTATATGTTAGTGATAACATGCATTCTTATCATGCATATATATTATATTTATCATATTTTAATATACAAAATTAATAGAAATAATGGATGTTACTATTGCATTCCTACATATTTACATTATTTATGTATAAACATAAAATTTGACATTTTATATTGTTTAAGATAATTAATTTTAAATAATTATGCATGAAATTTTTTTATGTGAATTATATAATTTAAAAAATTTTATATGAGATTTTACGGAGTTTTATCGAATTTATTATAATTTATATGATTTTTTTGGATATTTAAAGCCATTTTTAGGAATTAGTAAAGGCACAAAATAAATGAAAATCGGAACGGGCCAAGCTGGGCCGAGCTAGGCGGGCCGAGCCAAGTGACCCGACGGGCTGGAATATTAAGAGGCCGGCAGTTGAATCGTCAACGGGCCGGCGGCCGAAGCGAAACCGACGGGTCGGTGTCACATCCCCCGGAACCTCTCGACCGGGTTGGCAACCGGGAGAAGCCACGTGAGACACGCGGAGGGAGGCGGACGTCTCACACGCGCAACGGAAGCACGGGCTCCGCGGATGACGCGGGGAAACGGGAACTCGGCGGAGCGTGTGTCCCGTGGAACGGTCCCGCCGGATAACAGATGGATGAAGTCGTCTGTACGAAGAAGAGAGAAGCAGAGGGGGAAAGCGGATAGTACGGCGGAGGATTATCCCGACTCCTCTGGAAGGCAAGAACGGATAATTAGGCGAACGATCGAAAGGGAGGGTACTTTGCTCTCTGACAGGAAGAGAAGGGAAGCTTTGGACGAGAGAGGTCTCGTCGGAGGAGTGGGGAATTCTCGAGGAGGAGACGAGTGTACGGGTGGCGCCGGCTAGCGGCGGGACCCCGTTTCGGAGTCGGCTGAGAGCCTAGGGAGGAGAGAGCTGTCGTGTCAAGCTCCTTCTCCCCTTTCTTGTAAACTTATCACCCGGGGCCATATGGGGTACGTGGCGTGCGTGGACTCGACAACGTTTCAACTGACTGCGGTGACGCTGTCAAATCAAAATTGGACGGCGATCCCCCTTTCGAACCCCCCCTTTTATACATGTTCTTCCCCTTTTTCTGTTTGCTCGGAAACAGACTCGAGAAATCTAGACCGAGTGAAACCTCTGTTCCGTCCCACCGTGCAAAATTTTGGTACCGTTGGAAAGCTCTTGACGAGTCGATTCGATTGGCACCAACTATTTGCGGTTTCGTTGTGTATAAAGAGCGCAATCTCAGCTTGAATCAAGGGCTCTGCCGCCGTGGAAACGTGTATAAAGCCTTTCATCCGGCGCACATTGGATCATTCCAGAGGTAATACAGGTTAGTGTGAGGCTTGCCTATTGATTACGACCAATATAGATAGATTTCTTTGCATTTTACTTGCATCAATCGTTATATTTTCCCGTTACCTCCTTTCTGATGATCGATTTTCAGTCGATTCGTGATTATTGCTACCTTCCTTGATCCTATCCTCTAATCCTGTCTGTCAGCCGGTATAACGTGATATTTTAGCTTAAACCAAGTCAACTCAACGACATAATTCGCGTCACTGATTGACTATATTATTATATATGTTGTGCTGATGTTATTTTCCGGTACTTGGTCGAAAAAGATTGCCAGTGGGACAGGGGGGAGAGAGAGAGAGAGAGAGAGAGAGGCGTAGAGATGAAGAGGCTGCAAGGGAAGGTTGCTGTTGTGACGGCCTCAACGCAGGGAATAGGCTTCGGAATCGCCGAGAGGTTCGGGCTCGAGGGCGCGGCCGTGGTCATCTCTTCCCGCAAGCAGGTCTGCTTATGTGTAGTTTTTGAGCCGGGAATGGAGTTATGGGAGGAATTCAAATGCGAATTGGCTATCAGTCGGTTTCTCAGGGCTTCTCCCGTGATTTTGCAGAAGAATGTGGACGAAGCAGTGGAGAGACTGAAGGCGAAGGGGATTGAGGTGATGGGAATCGCCTGCCATGTAGCCAACGCTCAACAACGGAAGGACCTAATCGAGAAAACTGTTCAGGTTAGTCGCCGGACGTGAATGAATCATTATCCTTAGATTCCTTTCGGGGGTCACGAATATCTGCAGCCGGTTGGTATATCTACCACGATATGCTGATTAATGAAGAATCGAGCATCGTGATCTCTGTCAATCTTTCTCGCTTCACATCTCTCTCATTTCTCTCTCCTTTCCTACTCTTCTCCTTTTGTTGCTTTGTTTTGTTCTCATGCTTTCTTTTTTTCTTGAATTTTCATTTAAACTGTTTTTACAACTATGGTGATTCATTTGTCTTAATATATGATAATTTCCTATAGTTCCTTCCATTTGGTTTCTTTCCCCCTTACTCATAGGTCTGTTACACGAACCTTATTGAAACTAGCCCTCTAGCAATCACCGACATACTGAGTTGGTATCAAAGCCAGCTGATCAATAATTTCTGTGGTGTCAAAAAGGTAAACTTGCTCAGATCCTTTATTCAGTCCCCCTGCTCACCAAGAGGATGGAGGTGATGGATAGCAATAACATACTTAAGCTTGATCATGTGGAAGACTGACTTAGATTTTATAGACCAGAGGATCAAGGACAAAATGATTTGGAGCTGTTGATTCTTGACATCAATGAAGGTTGCATATTTGAGGCATTTGCATATGGACCTTCTTGTTTCATAAGGGTTCAACAATCCTCATAATAGATATTTTGGAAATAAAATATTTTAAAACGAAAAACACTCCTCTTGAATAATAGATGTCGACACTGGCTATACACCTTAGAGAGAGACTCATTGATTGTTCTAGACGGTTCATAAAGTGAACACACATCTTATATGAACCGATGCTTAATGAGTTCAAGGCTATTTAGCCCTCACATGTGTAACTATATGAGCAGCTAGATTATTTCAAGAAAGATTCTTATCTTGGAGAAAATTTAACAGAAGTGGGAACAAGAAGAGGCTCTTGATGATATACTTGGTGATAACTAAGTCCATTTTAAACAATATCGGCTTGTCATCTTGTGATGAGTGTAAGTAAAGAAGAGAAGGAATTGTGTTTTATGCTTAATTGGTTATTACCCTAATCATATTTAAAAATATGAAATGATATTAATTCCATTAGTTGTGATGATTTGGATAAAGTTGAATAAGAAATTCCATGGAAGGGGGTTGAAGATTTACAGTCTATAGTTTCAGTACGAGTTACATATTTAGTTCAGAAACATTGATGTTGGATGGGACTATAAGATTGTAAATCGAGCATTGTAATCATCATGATTGTTTATGGAATGTGCTAGCTAATAATTTAAGTGTTTCTAAGGGAAAGAGTTGTATGTATGTAATGCTTGCCCATGGGATCCACATTTAAGTGTAAAGCTATGAACTCCAAATTAAGGATAATATCCAGGTCAAGAACTTGAGTGAAAAGTAACATATTAGCCTTTGAAGAATGAGTCATAGTGTCAACAATATGCCAACTAGAAATATGGTTGAAGAGTTCACTAACCCTTAAAAGATAATAGCAAAACCACCACATCAAAACATTGGTTTACACCACTATGAAAATGAGTCATAGAAAAAAGTGGGCTGTGATCCATCTTGTATGCATGCCTACTGTAAATACATTTCCTGTGCTTCCAAGTTACACTAGACCTATCCTTTTACTGAAATAGGAATATGTTTACTTAGAGCTTACCTGGAGATTATCTTCCTTCTCAGCCCTGTTTTGGCTGCTCGTCGAGTTCACATATATACGACTGAAAGGATCCCTAATTTCTTCTTTTCATAGAATATTCAAATTCTTTGCATTATCATTAGAACAGTGGAGGCTTCTCTGTTGTGAATGAGAGCAAACATGTACTAATGTTGAAGAAGATTTTAGGGTGTTGGGGGAAATATTAAGAAAGAATTGGAAGAAACTTCAATTATTGGGATTAGGAAAGGCATATTACGTGGAAAGTGGGGATTGTCAACAAAAAGGGTGGATGACTTCAGGCCCCTTGATAAATCTGATTATGGAAAAAATATGAAGAAAGGCTTCAAAGAAAATGCTATCAAAAAAAATGTTTCTCTTAGCACTTGTAGTGGCAGATTTGGCTGTACGAAGATTCTATATATCTCATGTACTATATGTTCTGAACAACAGTGCTTCTACTTTCACCAAAGAGGCAAAATAAAACAATCAATTATAATTAGAGTAGAGCTTTCATGAATTAATTTTCCTATGAGGCTTTTAATTTATGTTGAATCGACATCTTACTTTCATCAAAAATAATTATTTGTCATCATTGTTTGGTCGCATATTTGTAAACATTCTTAACATCCTGGTGCAATATAAATAAATATTGTTCTAATGTTGTTTATTGATTTGAAATATGACATCTGTCTAACAATTATAAACTTACTTGCTGCTTGATTCTATCTCAGAAATATAAGCATATAGATATTGTTGTCTCAAATGCTGCTGTTAATCCAACCGTTGATCGCTTATTGGCTACCGAAGAATCTGTTCTTGACAAACTATGGGAGATCAATGTTAAGGCTTCGATCTTGCTCTTAAAGGTAACTAATTGGATTTCAATGCTGGAATAGAATACGGCATTCTTACTTGGCTCATAGTTCACTTGTTTGGCAGGATGTGGCACCCTATCTCCGCAAGGGATCATCTGTGATCTTGATCTCTTCAATTGCAGGTTACCAACTAGGTCAAGCATTGTCCATGTATGCAATCACAAAGACGGCAGTTTTGGGGCTTACCAAGGTAATCTTATTGTGCTGGAAGGGAAGGTTCATTCATGAATTAAGTTTTGTGTTCACCTATTCTACTAGGTTTTAGAATATCGTAAGTACGCTATTGATGTTAAAATGAAATTCCTAACAATGATTACGATGTTTTGGAGAAAGAAAAGGATAAAGAGAAGTCATTCAAACCCCAGATATCCAAAACAAGTACATTATAACATCTTGAGTACTACAAGCTAGGATATAGGGGGAAGACTTTGTAAGCTCCTAGGCAACGCCAGAATACTAAAACAAAGTCATTTGATCATTTTTTAGTAGCTGCACATGATGTTTAGAATTAAGAAATTAGGATAAACATGAATAGATCTTATGATAATAAAGATCCATACATAGGCTTCTAAACCTAGGATGATTATAGAAAGAGCTAACTTTAGCATATTTCCAGCATCAACTTATGATTGATGACGTGGATGATCAAACCATAAGAACTGTTTTTGGCACAAAATTCAAACTCCTTTCAAAGGAACATGGTTTTGTATACGAAGTGCACGTTTTTGTTTAATCTTGCATCCATGATATAAACCATCAAAATTGAGATGATTCATAGTTTTGTGTAGCTACCACTAAATATTTGTTTGTCACAGTTCTTTGCTGCCTTAACGGGGGTGGCTCATAACTTGAAAGTTGGCCTTGCACCAAAATTTTCGGTTGGATTGTACATGTGATGTTGAATAGAGCTAGATGCATAAAAAAATCGTTAACTAACGAGATTTTAACTAAATGCGGTGGTACTATCGCAAACGACTTTCAAAAATCTAATTGTTACTTGAAATAAAGGAATTTCAGGGCACAACTGAATCAGCTTTTCGAAACCTTAAATATGCTCCTTGCACGCTCTGTTCTCTAGATATGAAACTGATGCACCAACAAACTCTTCCGTCACCTTTTTGAGAGAAATCGAACTTCCTTCTCTCATCTGGGCCACATTAGTTTGCAGTGCATACTTATTTCACATCCCATTTATAAATCAGGTTGTTTTTCCCTTCAACAGAATTGATGAATTAAAAGGTTATTATGTTTCTTTTGTAGGCACTTGCAGCTGAAATGAGTCCAGATACACGTGTCAACTGCATTGCTCCAGGATTTGTTCCTACCCATTTTGCTGACTATTTATTAAGATCCGATGCCATAGTAAGTCAAAGCTTCTCATCCAATTTAGATATGATGTTTGAAATTCCATATTGGATTTCTCACTTTGCTATAGAGCTCAGCTTCTCGCATTTCCTACACAGTTGTGTTATATACATCCTGTGCACTTTTCTTTTATTCTCCAGGACTGCAATGGTGATGAAGACTTACCATGACAGATATTAGTTTGACCCATTAATATTTTCTAGAAGAAGTTGTATCTTCCATCCTTTCCTATTGTTTTTCTATTTGATATTTGATGGGCTGTCATTATGCAGAGAACTACCATTGAAAATCAGACGTTACTGAATAGGCTTGGTACAACTGGTGATATGGGAGCAGCTGCAGCATTTTTGGCCTCTGATGATGCATCTTACATCACAGGAGAGACCCTAGTTGTGGCTGGAGGGATGCCTTCAAGGCTTTAAGTCTGTCTTTATGTACTTCCATTAACAAGGTATATACAGCAGTTTCTGAAGGAATCCTCATGTTTGGAGCTTCTTCATTAATAAACTTTACAGATTTGAAACAAGTAATCTCTTTCTATGTACTTGATTTAAGAACTTCCTTCAGTGTGTTATTATACTATTTGAAGTATAATCAGTGATATTTAATCATGTACTCGTATTATAATGATCTATCAAGGATCTACTTGATTTAGGTAATCAACCTCAGATCAGATAATCATTCTTCTCTTCTTTACTATTTCGCATTAAATCATTTGTATCTGCTTAGAGAATTCGCTGGTGTCAAGTTAATTTTAGAGTTTCTGGCAAAGATGGACAGAAATTCACATGTCATCTCGCGGCGCCGGGAGAGGAGGGAGAGTCGAAGAGTCGCGGATTCATACGTCCGGAGAACCCGAGGTTTTTGCACTAATCTTCCCTACCTCGACGGTCCACGTAATTCAGGGATTCCGCGAATTACGTATTTTGGTCTGCCGTCCATGCTCGATTCTTTCGACGACTTTCATCTCTGAAAACATTGAAAAAAAGGAAGAACGTGCGACTCGTTTCCCGGTCTATTTTCATTTTAATGAACGATTTTAGCCGAAATTCTCCTTGGACACTCTAATGGTCAACCTTCACCATCTAGTTGATCCAGATATTTAAATCTCTAAAAGGAACCTCGATGAGGAAGATGGTTGACTTTAAGTGGTCTGTATTTCCAGTTGGTCCACGACTTATGAAGATCTACTCTCGACAAACCAGCATTTCCCCCGGCGAATCGCACTGGCCGTGAGTCATTTACACCTTGCACAAGCGCCTCCTCACATTTTCCAGACCCGTCTTGCATACCATCCTGCGTGTTCTTCTTCCAGGAGATGGTGGATTTTTTGGTCGACATCTGGCACGAAGACGGGCTCTACGACTGAGGCTCGAGTCGACTCTCTCTCTCTCTCTAGACGAAGCATCGAGGTACACTTCCAAGAGTATTTATACAGCCTGCAAGTGGGTATAGGGGAAAAGAGTGTCTTTTGTCTGTCTTACTAGTCAGTCATATGACCACCCTGGGAATGGGAATCCGATGTTGGGGCAGCATATGGAAAAGACAGAGAATGATGGGCTTGAAGGATTATCAAAGAGGTTTCGAGAAAGTTGGTCACAATAATCTGTACTCTCTGAGCATCTTTATGCCGGTTCTTCTTCTTCTTCTTCTTCTTCTTCTTCTTCTTCTCGTCTGTTTGTTTTTGGGATCTGATTGATCACGTTGGGCGAGAAATTCTCAGAAAAACTCCCCCCCCCCCTCCCTCCCTTACCTGCACCTCGAGTGATCTGACCAGCGAGCGGTTGGTGGCCATGGGGAGTAGCGCTCACCTATGCTTTCCCTTCTTCTTCTTCCGCCTCCTCCTGGTGCAGCCCGTTGCGATCTGAGGGGCCAGCAGCAGCAGAAGCTTGCAGCAGAGCTAACGCCTTCTCCGTCTTACCGGCCGCCGGCGGGGGTGACGAGAGAGAGAGAATCTGCTAGTTATAGGTGAAAGAGAGGCGGTCGAAGGGAGGCGCTGGTGAACCGGGTCGAGCGGGTCTCCACCCGTGTGGGGCCCACGCAGCACCACAACGACAAGAAGGTGGAGAGAGAGAGAGAGAGAGAGAGAGAGAGGAAGGAGAAAAAGGGTCTGCTTCTAGGGTGATTCTCCTCTTGAGGATCAGCGAGAAGAAGACGGGAGGCTGGTGGTTGTGAGGATCGTCATCGGGCTGGTTGGGTGGAGGGCTGGCGGAGGTCTGATTTTCATTATCGCCGCGGGAGGAGGGCGAGGGGCCGGGTTCTTGCTTTGAGGGGCGAGGATGGAGTCGATGAAGAAGCTATTGAAGCCGAAGCCGACGGCGCAGGAGCAGCTGAGGGAGTGGCAGCGGCGACTCCGCCAGGAATGCCGCAATATCGAGCGCCAGATACGAGGTGCCTGCTGCTGTGATTCCTATGTCCATTCCCCTTTTTTCGTGCAAACTTGCTTCAGTTATGGATTCGTGGGGTTTCCATTTTCTGGACTCTACAGATGTGCAAAGGGAAGAGAAGAACGTCCAGAAGGCGATCAAGGAAGCTGCGAAAAGAAATGACATGGGATCCGCGAAGGTATCCACCCTATACAGTGCGTGCTCTTTTGTCGTTTTTCCTGATCACGGCGACGTGTTTGTGAGATGCATCACCCTCTCATACGAATTGCTGCTTTTCCCCCCTTTTCACCCCTTTCCAGTCACTTGCTAAGGAAATCGTGAGATCGAGACGGACCGTGAACCGTCTTCACGAAAACAGGGCACAACTCAATTCAATTTCCATGCATCTTGGCGAAAGTGTTGGTATGACACTTTGACCTAGAAATTTCTTTCCAACCGGATTACCATCTGGAAATTTTTGCTTCGAATCAGTAATTCCTTGTCGTTTTTGTGCTTTCATAATTGTCTTGATTTGGATAAAAGACTACTTTATTTAGGTTCCCTAATTTGAGTAGCTCAATCATTAAACAAGGGTTGTCTTCATGGATTAATGAAAAACATAAATGAATGCTATCTTACGCTTTATTCTTCTCCACCTGTGTGTTTCAACATCTGTTGAAGATATGAATGGATGGCTGTTACATGAACAAGAAAGTGATTAAATTACAGTGGTTTGCATTTATTTTATCTAAAAATGTATCTAATAATTATTTGATGTTGGAATCGTGCGCTTCATCTGATTCATATCTTGGAGTTGATTTATTCTCTGAAATTTCTAACGAACATGTGCCCTCGGTCCTTTACAAATCTTAATTCTATGACAATCTTCTGACGAATATCCATCCTCTTCCTCCGTTCTATCGACAGTAGCCATCCCAGATTCTCAATGGACCCAGGAAAGAAGAAAACCATCTAAACGGGTCAACTCTGACATGAACGAATCCAGTATACGTCGTGCATATCCCGCTGGGGTTTTTCATATCATGGCTTTCCTACTCTTGTCTCCGTGGACTTCTCTCTGCCCTGGTTCAACGAGAAACAGCGGTTCCTCAGAGCATTCATATGCAGGAATGACCTGGTTCTTTCTGCAACATGTGAAGGGAAATTAACCCTCCCTTTTGGGGAAAGAATATTCATCCGAAAGTGAGAGATTAACACCATATTTCTCTCGGTGGAGAAGCCCTATTATGGCCCATTCCTTGCCCTTTTTGGCGGAAATTATATGGTTTCATCCATTTATGAATTGGGTATCCATACCAAAGTTGGGATTATTTTCTTCAGTTGGCAGGCTGAACGGCCGACCCCCGTGTCTTCTTGCTTGCTATCTGAGCTGATTGGAGATTAACAGCAAGTGATGTGCTTCTGAATAGTTTGGTTCTATGTAGAGAGGATTATATTAACAAGGTTTTGGGTGGTTTTCCAACGTCTAACATATATAATTTTTTAAATTCCTACTCGTTGATGAATCTCGTGTTGACTCTAAGCCACAACTGTTGACCCAATTGCCAGCTACGGCCCGGACGGTGGGGCATCTGTCCAAGAGCGCCGAGGTCATGAAGCTCGTGAATGGCCTGATGAGGGCCCCCGAGGTGGCCATGACCATCCAAGAGCTCGGCAAAGAGATGACGAAGGTATTTGCTCTCTGCTTGAGAACTCTGCTGATTTACCTTGTCAGGCATCTCCAGGTTCTGAGGATCTTCTGGCATTTTCTAGGCGGGGGTGATTGAGGAGATGGTCAATGATGCCGTTGACATGGCCCTCGACTCGGAGGACATGGAGGAGGAGATCGAGGAGGAGGTGGATAAGGTCCTTGCTGCCATTGCCGGCGAGACAGTTGCCCAGTTGCCGGATGCAGTGAGGAAGGAGAGACTGAAGCAGCCTGCACAGCAGGCCGAAGCTGCAGTGGTACTCCTACAACCTTTGACATTAACTCTAAACTTTGTCCCTTACCAAGACGTTGGTCTCTCTTACTCTCTCTCTCTCTCTCTCTCGCTCTCTCTCTACTTCAGCCGGAGGCTTTGGCGGAGGGTGTAGATGACGATGAAGAGCTAGATGCCATAAGGGCGCGGTTGGCAAGAGTGAGGTCATAGTTGCAAACCTTTCACATCCTATTGGCAAGTCGATCAATGGCGCAGATGTTGCCATCATATGTGCGCTGTGCATGATCTTAACTAAACACGGCAATGGGGTTGTAGACATCCCGTGTGTGTGTTCCACCCATATCGCACTCCTCTTTGTCATAGATTATGCCCGCCTGTTGTTGGGTTGACTTTGTATTAATACCTGCTGCCGAGATTTGCACGGATATTGGCTTCGGCATTAGCCATCTATCTGCCCATAACCAAGATCACTTCTCCTCGTGACATATACAAAAAATATGTGTCGAGAGAGAGAGAGAGAGAGAGAGAGAGAGAGAGAGAGAGAGAGCCGTAAAGGAAAGGAAAGTCAACGAAGGGCATTGATCAATAGTTTCTAAAAGCATTATGGCCGGTGAGTGAGACCAATCAAGATGAGAAGCGCCCATATGATAACACGAAAGTTTGTAGTTTGTGGGCCAGTCAAATCCGATTATTCATTCGAAGTCATCTAGTTGTCTAATACTTTATAATAATATTTTAATCTTCTGTATACATACATCTCTGAATATTTAATAGCAATATCATACCATGCTATTGCTACATCATCAATGGCTACTAATGCGATTTTATCGCTCCATAATCAGTGTAATTAGCTCCATAATCACTCTTTTAAAGTATTTTTTAATTATATTAACTAGATATAGTATAATACTAACTTTTTTGATATATCAACGCACCATTATTTTTCAATCCACATTCTGTATTCATAGCTCTAGAATGTTCTAGATTTACTTCTTAGAAGTGCCCAAGGACATTATGATTCAAATGGCTTCCATGCAGTGGTGTATTGACCAAGAGTTGAAAATTTTACCTGCATATTAAGCACCTTGAGAGGGATATATAACAAATAACTATCATCTTCTTGACGTATTGCTCTCATTTCTTATTTCAAAATTACCTCGTATTTATATAAATATTGTATGTCTCGTTTACTCTTTAGAAGTCAACGAAACTATACTATACCATTTAATGTAACTTGATCCCGTCATCTAAATGGTAGCTTTGAACCTATGATAACAATGCAGTCTTAAAATATTACATGGTTTAGAAGCACATTTGCATATACTAATAATCTATTTCATATAACTTATATCATATTGTAGACACTAAGACATTATGCTTAATATTCTATGTAATTAAATAACATAAATATATTCTATATAAATTATTAGGTTGGATATAAAGATTTTTTTTGCATATCGCTCCCAACTTTGATGTGTAGCTTTGCATATATTGACATATAACATTGATCAACCATTCTCTTCAATAGCAGACCTCTCATAAATTGACATAGTAAGGTTGGATCACACTTATGACACATTTTACATGACATACTAAGTTGGTTGGCAGCTTTCTTTTTATATACCAAGTTATCAACCTAGATGTTTGGCATTATTTGCTATGTAAACTTTACATTCATTGGATTATTAGTTTTGATATATTATGCTATTTCACATTATTAAATGTTATATTATGATATTATTGTTGATTTATTGATCTCTTCCACAACATCAACTTTTTGTATACTGAAAATATTGCTTCTAATATACAACAATATTTAGTAATGTGAAATAATATTTTTTACTATTTCTTTTTTTTTGCCAATTTTATAACTCATTCGAAATTCTAAAATTCATAACCCATGGCTCTCAATTCTTGCACAGTGTTTTGAGTGTATAGCCATTGTAAATATCACTCTTATCAACTTGAATTTTTTAATATTTTGTGGTTATCTATCCCATTGTCTTCATAATTTTTAAAAAAATTATAATATCAATCATTGATAAAAATCAAGGCTTGTAACCTTATTGAATGCAAATGTGTAAGTTTATTCTCAATCATTGGGGTGCAAAACTTTCAATCAGCTCCACAGATAATTCATCACTTGCTCAATCTATATTAGGAAATTTAATTATGGAATTAACATGGAACCATTTTAACATATGTTTGTAAGAAAATAAAGTCACAAATGCATTTTTAATGGTGAATTAAATATTATTAGGCCAAAAAATTAAAACATTCAGTCTATGATCAATGAAATTTTTTAGAAATCATTTGATGTTTAATTCTAACATATCAAAGTTTTAATATTGTCACCATCAAAACTATGGGTCACTCTTTGTGTTTCGATTGACAATCTTTTATCTAAGTGAGTCAATTTTTGGGGTTAAAAAATACAAATTATTGGCTTATAGATTATTAATGAAATTCAATATCAAAATATCATACAAATATTTTTTTTTTGTAAATTTAGAATTGCAAAGCATTGTTAAAATGTGTGTAAAAAATGAAGATTATTTGCTCACATTTTTTTTAAAAACTTTTTTATTATCATGATAATTCAAGTTTCCAATTTATGGGTCATCTTTGGGGTTAAAAATGACAGATTATTGTCTTATAGATTATTTATGAAATTCAAGATCCAATCATTATACCATTATCTTTTCATAAAGTTTAGAATTACAAAGCTTTGTTTTGACACACATTCCCGAGGTGCTGTAGGCAGCCTGATGTATGCTATGTTTTCAGACCAATGTGCACAAAATAAAGACAATTTAATCAGAAAAAACAATATTTTTTGTATCATCATAATTCAGATTTAAAATTCAACAAGGACTTCAAAATTTTAGTATTTTAACCCAATTTATTAATTAAATATTTATTGAAACTCGATCGAGAAGGCACACTGATCATAGAATTTATGACGTATTTTGAATATTATTGAGCAAAGTATATTAGATGCCGGAGCCTGCATACCCAAGGTACGAGCAGCACGACCGCAGCAAGAGGTTGATGGTTCTCCGAGGGTTTCAGAGCGGCGAGGATGAAGACGACGACGAGATCCTCTTCCGCTACCCTCTCCCCAATTCCAGATCCGCCGCCTCGAACTCGAGGTCCGAGTCACGCCAGCAGAGCTCTGCGGCCTCCGGCGCTTCCGGCGGCAGCGGCGGCCTCGCTCCCTCAAAGTCGACCGTCTACGTCTCCAATCTAGACTTCACCCTGACGAATTCCGATCTCCACACCATCTTCTCCACCTTCGGGAAGGTCGCTAGAGTCACTGTCCTCAAGGATCGCCACTCCCGCCTCAGCCGTGGGGTCGCCTTCGTGCTGTTCGTCTCCCGGCAGGACGCGGCGGCGGCGGTTCGGGAGATGAATGGGAAGATCCTCAATGGCCGGAAGCTCTCCGTGTCCGTCGCCGTCGATAATGGCCGCGCGCCGGAGTTCATCCGGCGGCGGGTGTACAAGGACAAGAGCCGCTGCTACGAGTGTGGAGACGAAGGTCATCTTTCTTACGACTGCCCTAAGAACCAGCTCGGCCCCCGGGAGAAGCCCAACCCTAAGCGGGCCAGGAGGGGCGGCCAGGGGAGCGGCGGCGGCGGCGGCGGCGGCGGCGGAGGAGGAGGAGGAGGAGGAGGAGGAGGAGGAGGAGGAGGAGGCGAGCGGGAGGATGGGGGTTCTGATGAATTGGATGAGGACCAGTTCCAGGACGACAATTGGGCCTCCGTGGTGGACACCAGAACCGCGGATGAGAAGCTGGGGACCGGAGACGGAGGAGGTGGTACGAAGGATAAGAAGATCAAGAGAGGGAAGAAATCAAGTTATTTCAGTGACGAGAGTGAGGAGGACGAATAGCCCGGTGATCACCCATCATCCTTCCCAATCTTGTTTCATTGCTTCTCGTTCAGAATTCCATCTTGCTCTATTACACTACGAATGCCCGTGAAGAAGCAAAAATCTCTTCGAGTATGTTCTCATCCGCTGCTAGATCTCTCAGATGCTCTCTGCTCTCCTTTCATCTGTTCGTAGTTCTCTTCAGCTCACGACCTCATTCATCTTCAGATAGCTGTCTCCCTGCGTCTTCCCTTCTCTCATCTCACTAGCATTCTTCTTATGGTCGAATTACCATGTATTTGCCGACTAAGTGCTCCAGAAAGTTGCTTGGTTCCTCGCAATCTATGGGAACATGCCCTCAGATTCATTTCTCATACCTGATGATGGTCCTGCAGTGCTTGAAGACTTTAGATTTCATAATGTAACCGCAGAAGAGCGGTTCAATTGATGCATAAGTAGTGTGATTAATCAAAGAGATCCTGGTTAGCTTGTGGATTCCTTGCCAAAGGTATCCGATTTACAGCAGGAGGGCAGAGATCATGTGCATAAAATAGAAGAGATTGTGGTTTGTTTCTGGTTCCTTCTTCATATGGCAACTATGCCAAGCGATGGAGCATTTGGGGGGCTCGTCACTTGAAGCAAGAACAATGGGTTGAGTGCCATCTCTCCATGCTTGATTTGCATTGCCTGTGCCCAACGAGTTCTTTTCTTTTAAAAGAATTCCCTCTTTTGGAAGGATAAAGGATTCTCTTGAGCAGCCATTACAAGTAATTAACTGAGATGGGGAAGTTAACAATGAGCATGATGTTCATTAGGATCAAACCCTAGAACTGTCTGTGGGTTTCTTTGGTGATTGAAATTGGAGAATGTGAGCAATTTGTCGGCAGAGATCTCCCATGATGTAGCCCAAGACACAAGTTAAAGTGTTAACTTCGAATTTAGGCCCACTTATCTTGAATTTGGGCCATAAAGTGAAAAGTGAAAGAAAAAAGAGTCCACATATGTCACCAATGGGCTGGAGGTTCGAATTTGAGCCCACTTTATGTCCTTTCACTTTTATAAGGTACTTCATGTTTCATTCCTTCTACAAGAGACTTTAATGCGATTCAATTTGTATTTAAGATTTGTTCAGGATCTTTAACTATCAGATTTTGTATCTAAGATTTGCTCAGGGTCTCTCGCTATCAAAGTCTACTTTAGGTCATATCAGAGTATTTTAAGAAGATTTGTCTAAGATCTTAGTCTGTCAGAATCTATTTTAAGTCATTTTAGAGTTAGTCAGACTCTGTCCCTAAGATCTGTCAGAATCTTCCTTTTAGGGGGAGTGCCCAACTTTTTTTCTAGGCCCCCATTGTAACTAGAGGGAGATACCTTTTTAGTTGAATCAATTTTCTCCACTGTGAGAACCTCTCTCGCTTGCTTGTGAATTCAGGCACTCCCTTATGGATTCAAGGGTTGAAGACTTCAAATCTGTAGATTTAGAGGCATGTTTCTTCCCTAAGATTGGAGCTTTGTTGATTCAAGCTCATATCTTGCTTATCTTCTGCATTATTGCTGCGTCATCCCAAGTGGGTCCTTCCAGCTCCACATCTGTAGTTCAATTGATGAAAACCAGAGATGATGAATGCATTGATATATGGAGTGTCTTCTCCGTCTTCTGCCCTAATTCATAAGTATAATCCTGGATTTTTTTTTTATTACCTTCTCTGGAACCTGGGTTTTTCTGAACAGATGGCAGCCTAAGCATGCCCCACATGGGCCTATAAAGACGAGCAAGCTTCTTCATGGGTGTTTGAGCTCGCTCACAAATGCCGGCTATGGTGACCATCATCTCTTCGTATGTAATTGTGCTGAAGCTGTGTGGGGTTCCTGAATGGGGCGGTCATTCTGCCATCAATTCATAACATCCAATAGAAAATTGCCGCCCCGCAATTTTAAATCCTTTCTTATTTTCCTTTAACTGTTGAAACTTTTTATATTGCTAAACTTAGTACCTATTTCGTCTAATAGAAGTCCTCCAAGTTCATGCTAAATTGATATATATATATATATGTATATATTAAAAGAGAGCTACACAGAGAGAGAGAGAGAGAGAGAGAGAGAATAGTTCGGGCTTTTTTTCAGATTTATTTTTTGGTCATAGTTTATAAATAGTATTGATTTTAGGATAAATATACGAATTGAAGTTGGTCATACGTATTTTTCAGAATTAAATATCCGTCAGAATTGCAGCGCTCCAATTTAATATCATTTCGTATTTATTTCGAGATTAGACTTTTGCAAAGTAAATAAATTGGAAAACCATTTCTATTAATCCAAGCTCTTTGGAAAGATATATATATCAGACTCGAATTATTGTTTAGAACATTTAAATAAATATTGATTTGAGATATATATATATATATATATATATATATATATATATAATAAATTGAATTAAGGGATATATCTTTTCGGAAATGGTTTTAAGCCTACTTATAAAAAGATTTATAAGTAGACTTAAATATTAATAAATGCCAGAATTGATGACTAAGCCGTTTTACGTCAATAGAGATCGAGAAGAAGAAGATTAGTGCGACGTTGACTACGAAGACACAGCCGTCCGTTCGATTGGTGGACCTCATCAAGAGTAAAGTCGCGGAAGTGTATTTACGAAACGGGGAGAGAGAGAGAGAGAATGGGCGCGGAAGAGTCTGAAGGGAAGGGAAGTGGACGGAGGGAGATGGAAGGGGCGGGGTTAACGCTGCCGCCTAGCCGTCTCAAAAACCTCCGGAGCGCCGCTGACGACCAACAGCTGAAGGATATATTGGATAATGTCAGATCTACGAAGTCTTCTGTGCGTTCTATTCCCTCCTTTCCAATGCATGTTCCGACGTTTTCTTCATTCTGAATTGCTTACAAGCTGAAGAAATCTATTTCGAATGCAACATGTCGGCTTCCGCGAAACGGGCGTGCAGGCCGTTATTAATTATGGAGCTTCGTGGTACGATACAACGCCCATAACTCAATGTTTATGCTCTATTTCCGGTTTAGTTTATAGTTTTTTTGTCTAAGAATCAATATAGCGACAGATATGCTTTTGATTAGCAACTAACGCGACGGAATTTTTTGAGTACCTCTACTATTATACCTTCAGGAAAGTTTCAAAGCATCTTAATTATAAGAGATTTATGAATCAAGAAATTTAGTTTACGTATGAATGAGATTATCATCGTGAATTTTTCTGTAGCATGTTAAATATTTAAGCCACTCAATAATTTTTTTTTTGGATGCATCATGTTCCTGTCATTCTAATTTTTCAACTTATTTCTAACTAATGTCGGACAGTTTACTTATGTCACGTCCTTTGATGTGTGGGCCAACTTCTGCTTTATCATCTCGATAACAAATGGATGCTGCACAAGTTCAAACATTTAATAAGACATTGCTATATTTCTATCTTGTGAATTCTGACATGATTTTTTTTCGTTAGGTTGATTCATTTAAAAATTTGAGGAATTTTTTTTTTTGGGAGATTCTGATAAATATTTATAATTTGAATGGCCGAAGTGAAATCTCTGAAATTTGGGAGAAAGATATCTGATATGTGGCTTCGAAATTCAAGGCGAGCCAACTGACCACTTCCCCTCCGACCCTCCTTCACCTCCCCTCTCCCTCTCTCTCTGAATCATAGACACACACACACTACATAGAACTGTAACTAAGTGTTGGGTAATCAAAGAAACTGTATGAAAAAATGTGATGATGAGATATATTCGTGGAGTTGGCTATTCCACATTTTCTTTTGTTTTTCAGTGAAAAGTAACCAGAAGTGTTGGGTACAACTAGAGGTTTTCTGGGCTTCACCGTGGATGAGATCAGGCTGGTTGAGGGTGCAACACAATTACCAATAATTAAAATGTCTGCAGAAGAGAAGATCTGGTGGTAAACAGGTAGCATCCATTTAGGTCATCTCGCATACCTTATTTCAGGTCAAATTGCGGGGGTGAGAGAGGGGTTGAATGGGAAGATTTTACTGTCAGCAGCAGCATCACGTACTTCCTTTCACCAAATTGGGTCAGCTAGGTTATCTCCATTGGTTGCTGATTGCCTAGGACCTATTATTATTATTATTATTATTCGAGGGAATCCCTTGGTTACATTAATAACGAAAAAGGAATATTGTCATCCTTCTCTGTGAAAATGGGTGCAGAGTGGAGAGAGGCTTTTCTACTTCAGACACAGTAATGTACGGATGGATATGCAACATCATGTGCAATGCAAGTTATATGGTGTAACTTTTAGATGGATCTGTAAGCTTCGAGAAAGAGTTGGTGGATTCTGATGCTAGTTTTATCGAAGACAGTTATTGGTTGTAGCAACATAAAAGAGAGAGCCTACAAGTTCTTTTGCTGTAGCGTTTAGTCACTTGCAAGAAATGTAGTTTTTTATTAATCAATTAATTAAAATCATATTAATAATTTTTTTAAAAAAAACGCCAGTAGATTCATGCACAAATATCCTTGAAGAATCTCAAGTGCTCTCTCTACCAGTTCTTGATGATGATTTCTGCTTACCAATTTCTATATCCTGCTTGGTGATAATCTCGAAATAGATATCCTTCCTTCAGCATGATTAATACCATCAACCATACAAAGGGTCTGTTCTTGCACTGGATAGCGTTGATGCTCAGGCCCTGTAGGTTCCTCTTCATTGCAGGTGTCGGGTCTGCAGCCAAATCCTCCCCGCTTTCTGCCAGCTCAGCGACAGCTTCCCAAAGCTCTCATTCATATATGCAGACATTGACGAGTGCCCTGAGACAACCCAACAGATTCGGTACACCCCAACTTTCCACTTCTTCCGAGATGGCGAGAGGGTCGATGAGATGCTGGGCGCCGGGGAGGAGAGGCTGCGAGATCGTCTGTGGCTGCATTCTTAGAGAGAAGGGAGCATCTATCTCTATGAGGTAAATTCTAACTGGGATGGCTTCAACTCTTTTTATTTTATTTTTAATTAAATACGGTTGACTATCTGTTGTACTTTCATCCGTTCATTGACCTAGCCTTCTGAACACACCGGCACCCTTACTTGCTCTTCCCTCTCTCTCTCTTTCTCTGTCTTTCTCTCTCTAGCTGCTGTGAGAAGATTGAATAAAAACCATGGATGAGGATTCCACGCTGGAGTGGGGAGAAAACTCTTCCCTCTGATGTAGCAGACATTTGAAGAATTGATAACTTGATCACGTATGAGCTTTGGCTGTATATTTTGAAAGTAGAATCACAACTTTGAATTTGAAAGGAACATCTCGTGGTTGAAAACTACTTGTCCTGAATCCACATAACGAAGAGATTTTGCCCCTTGATCCATAAGTGGTTGATCTTGAGTCCACAAGATCGAAAATGGCTCCCTGAGTTCACAGGAATACTGAAATCCACCAGTAGAAGGGGAGAACCTCTAAAAAGGAAGAGAATTCGAAAATTAATTCTTAAAAATGGTACTCCTTAGGGTTATAAGGGGGGACCTATTTATAGGCCGAAAATTAATTATAACTAACCTATACAGGTGAAAATCTTATGAGTTCCTCCACCTGGGTCAAAACCTTTTCAGTTCTCATTTGACAGCAGCTTCTCGGCTACATCACCCTCAATGGGGTCACGCCACGTGGCCAGAAAAGTCGACCCTTTCCCTATCGTCCTACTCCGAATTTCTATCATCCTCCGTTTTTTTATCCTATATGGAAGAAGAAGACGAAGTCATCCGATTATTTTTTTAAGGGTGTTCTTGGTTCCGCAGCAATCTCATTCGTGTTCACAGCGCCCCTACAACCTTCCCTCTCTCTGCTCTTCCTCTTCTTCCTACTGCTGCTTGAGAAGGTTGCGTGGGGGAATAATGGTGGGCAACTCCGTCTACTGCGCCACGCGCGGGGTGTACAGTTCCCCCCGGGGAACCGTCAAAATTCCGGCGGATCCGTCGCTCTCCATGGTCCGCTTCCTCCTCCGCAATGCCTCCTCTTACCCCAATCGCGTCGCCCTCGCCGACACCAACTCCGGGCGGTCCTTCACCTTCGGGGAGCTCGAGGCTGCCATCAATCGGGTCGCCGCCGGCATCTCCCGCCTGGGGGTCGCCAAAGGCGACGTCGTTCTCATCTTCTCCCCCAACTGCATCGACTTCCCTCTGTGCTTCTTCGCGGTCATCTCCCTCGGCGCCATCGTCACCACCGTCAACCCCCTCTACACCGTCTCCGAGCTCTCCAAGCAGACCGCCGACTCCGGCGCCCGCCTGGTCATCACCGTCCCCCAGCTCTTCCCCAAGGTCAGGGAGCTCCGCCTGCCCACCGTGATCCTGGGGCCCTCGAAGCTCTCCGTGGCGGAGGCCGCGGGGGCCTCCATCGTCTACCTTCCCGATCTGCTCCAGTCCGTCGGCGACTCGCCGGCGTTCGTGCCGCCGGCGGCGGCGCAGACCGACGTGGCGGCGCTGTTCTACTCCTCCGGCACCACGGGGGCCAACAAGGGGGTGGAACTGACGCACCGCAATTTCATCGCCGCATCTTTAATGGTGACCGCGGAGCAGGATCTCCGGGGGGATCCGCCCCACGTCTGCCTCTGCTTCCTCCCCATGTTCCATATCTTCGGGCTGTCGCTGGTCACCTACGCTCAGTTGCAGAGGGGGAACAGCGTCGTCTCCATGGGCAGTTTCGACATGGAGATGATGATGCAGGCGGTGGAGAGGTTCAGGGTCACCTTAATCCCCCTGGTCCCCCCGGTGGTGATCGCCCTGGCGAAGCAGGGCAAGGTGACGAGCTACGATCTGTCTTCTCTCCGGCAGGTCATCTGCGGCGCAGCGCCCCTCGGCAAGGACATCATGGAGGAGGCCTCCAAGATATACCCAGACGTCGAGATCTTTCAGGCGGGTAGCTCCATCTTCATCTTTCTCCCCAGTTGATCTAATCCCCCCCTGAAGGTCACCCTTTCGGTAACTATTTAGAGAGAGAAACTGCAGCAGCTAACAGAGTCCTTTCTCTCTCTGCAGGGATACGGCCTGACAGAGTCCTGTGGGATCATTTCATTAGAAGTCCGGGTGGAAGGTGTCCGCCAGTACGGTTCGGCTGGGTTTCTCGTTCCTGGAGTAGAAGCCAAGGTCATCAACGTGGACACAGGGGTACCTCTGCCTCCTAATGGAGTCGGGGAGCTGTGCTTCCGTGGGGACAACATCATGCGAGGTGGGCTTCACTGATACTGCTTCGTTCTAGTCTGTGTCTTTGTATGCATCTGAATGGATGAATCTGCCTGCTGCGGTTCTTCGCCATAGACGGAGGGATTGCATGGCTATTCTTCTGGTCCTTCATCGCTTTTCCTTGAAGCTCTGCTTGAGCTGCACCTTTTCCGTGGAGGGTTTCTAATTTGGTGCATTATTTTCTTGTGCCTTCTCCTTGCGCTCAACAGAACTTATTTTTAGTTTTGTGCTCTTTGAACTTTCGCATGCCTTTTTTTTTTCTCATGATTTTTTCGCTCTCGATTTTCCTCTTCTGACAAAAAACTCTCTCTCTCTCTCTCTCTCTCTCTCTCTCGCTCTCTCTATCTCTACTGATAATGTTTTACTTTCCTCTGCTGAGAATAACGTATGGATGGCAGAAATATGCCCCGGGTGACAGTCTTAGACTTTGCTAATATTAAATTATCTCACTCAAGGCTCTAACATTCTGCTCATGTTCATTCTACCTGTATCTTCTAAACCAGCTTTGACTTCATTTTCAGGCTATTTTAATAATTTGGAGGCCACCGCATGGACCTTGGACAAAGAAGGGTGGCTGCATACAGGGGATCTTGGGTACTTTGATGATGAAGGGAAGCTCTATGTCGTTGACCGTATAAAAGAGCTCATCAAGTACAAAGGATTTCAGGTGCAATTCTGTCTAGAGATATTGTTCCTGTATTGTTCCTTGGAGCTTCTAGCTATGATCACGCTTCTCATTTTTAGCTCATCAAGTTATCTCATTTTTAGCTTGTTATTGTGGAAATGGTGGCTGGAAATCATGCATCACAGGCACCTTCCTTGATGAATTTGGGTTCATGGGGCTCTATGACTTCATATTTTGGTATCCAAATCCTCCACACGGACGCTGATCGATGTTCATAGAGCAGTAAATATGATGTTATGGAAGATAATCTGACCATTGGGCCAGCAGGTGGCCCGGCCACGCTTTTCAAGTTCGGAGACGGCAGAGAGGATCTTCAATCGATTTCTTTTGAGTGCAAAAGTTTCACAGGTTTCCAAATCCTCCTTCCAGGTCGCCCCCGCCGAGCTCGAAGGGTTGCTTCTCTCACATCCGGAGATTCTAGACGCCGTCGTCGTCCCGTGAGTAAACCCATCACAAAACTCTCTCTCTCTCTCCCAGAATTATGAATACCCAAGGATCTATTTGGGGCAACCAGTCGGAATTTCTTGTGTTTCCCTCAGGTTGCCGGATGAGGAAGCTGGGGAAGTGCCCATCGCTTATGTCGTCCGCGCCACTCAGAGCTCCCTCACTGAAGCAGACGTTCAGAAGTTCATTGCGGTACAGGTATTCATCACTAAACGAAGTATCAGCATCCTTAAATTTTTCGTGGATTCACCGAGCTCAGCCCTTGCTTGGGTTGGGATTGAAGAAAAACCCTGAAAAATTAGGCTCTGGGTAGAACCCAGCTTTAACCCCCCCTGCATGCGCTGATCCAGTATGGGTATGGGCTGGAATTAGGGTTACAGCTGGAGAAGAAGAAAGCTGGATACTCATCACTAAACCCTGTGGATTCACCAAGCCCAGCCCTTGCCCGGCTTGGGATTGGAGGAAAACCCTGCAAAATTGTTCTCGGGGTAGAACCCAGTTTTAGCCTTCCTGCACGCACTGAGCCAGTATGGGTCCGGGCTGGAATTAGGGTTACAACTGGAGAAGAAATAAGTATTAATGGAGTAGACAAATCATGTCCTCTTCTCTCTGTAGGTTGCGCCGTTCAAGAGACTGCGGAAGGTCAGCTTCATAGACAGCGTGCCCAAGTCGGCTTCAGGAAAGATCTTGAGGAGGGTGCTAATCGACAGGATCAGGTCCAGACAGTGAGCGAGCGGCCGGACTTCATCGCCCCTCATCTCCGTCTGCTCCAACACAAAGGTTCTACGCTGTTATCACCTGGTGAATAATCAATGGCATGCCTCAGAAACTAAGTGATACGGACTCATTTGGAAGTAGGCGCTGTTTCTTGAGAGTACCTACAATTCAAGCAATATTTGTGCTCGCAACGAGTACCATACGATCATTTGTGCTCGCATATATGTTTAGTAATGAATTCCGCCACTTGTCATAAGATCATGCCAGTATTTGATGTCCTATTGTTCTTATCGTGTTCTAATCTTCCTTCATTTTATATTTAAGCAATTATTGATTTCTTAAGCACCTTAACTATATAGAAAATTGGGCATCTATATATAGAAACTAGACTAGCCCACAGGAGCATACCAGGCCCAAGACCGGAATAAATGGGCTTAAAGAAGCTAATAGTCAAATATTCAACAGGCAGCATTGTACGCTTAAATATTCGAATTTGGCTAGAGGAAAAAAAATAATTCATGCAACAAAAAATTCGAGTGGGCCCAGACCGAAGGTCAGGCGGCGCCGCCCCAATCGCAGCCTCTTCTTCTCTCGGCCAGGGACAGCCTCTTCATGGAAAGAAAGAGAGCATCCTCCTCCACTGTGTTGCCCTGACATGGTAATCGAAAGAAGGGAAACCCGCTGACTCTAGTTAAATATGTACGATAAAGGTGGCGTCTTTATCCCATAAGTTCACACAGACATGAGCTTTGGGCCGTTATCTGGCATCCCCATCCCGGCGGCGAGGTCGGCGTCCAACTGGGTATGCGGGGCGGGCCCCATCATCTGCTTTACACTGGTGAAGGAGAAGTCAACGTCATGCATGAGATCTATCAGGTCTATCCAGCACAATGCCAAAACCATGAAGATAAGCGACAGGAACATGCCAAAAATGGTCCTCTCCCGACATAAACATTGATGGATGTGGCACGATTAGTAATATTAAAAGAGTATACAAGGGGAAGAGGTGAGAGAAACTTTGCCATTGATGATTTTTCTTCAGGGCGTCTCGTTACATCTCTGTTTAGGGTAAAAAAGGATTGTTCTTCACGATATAATTTGTGGAACGATATAATTTCAGACTAACAATTAGTTTCACAAAGTACATTCAGCCACCATAGGTTTTCAAAGTGTGTCATCAAAGGAAAACTACGTAGGCTGATATATATTTTTTTCAATCCAATGTTTTGGTTGGATTCCAATTGTGAGGCCTGATACGACATACTGTGAGCTAGATCCTGTGGTCGAAAAGTCAACTGTAAAATGATCAATCTTAGGCTGGGTTGAAAGCTCAATTGGTGCCTCCAATCTGAGAAAAAAAATATAACTAGCATCTGAAAACTGTGTAAAAATTTCTGATAAACGGACCACCAAAACCAGAGTACAGATTCCTCATCAGTCAACTGCTCTTCCCCTGTCTCTTTCTTCTCTGAAAAAAACCTCAGTTACGCCGTGAGATTCAGAGATTAATCAATCCAATAGATGAAGAAACTGAGGGTCTGACCTAAACTCAGTTGACTTACATATTCCTGTCATTTTTCTCTGGATGCTACATGAGTTCATGCCAGTTACACCACCAAGTTGAACCTGGTTTCAACCTGGTTAGTTCTAGGTCTCTGATTTCTTCATTGTGGTAGAAAGTCAAGGCAATAGAGATTACTTTAAGTGTAGCGGCACACGACTGAGAAGCCGATTCAAGAACATCCCTTGCTTCTGAAAGCCGCAATAATTATTGGCAGATTATTTCGAAAAATGTACCTCTCTTTCGAAGTTTTGCGAGATCTTGCATAATATTCAACAGATGATATGTAACGACTGATGTTTATGTTTCGCCGTTCATACTCAACACAAGTAAAAACACGAGGATGCGAGATGGAGACTCACCGTTTCTTGTGCAACTTCGTCTTGAAATGCTCGTCCCTCACCTCCGCAGTTGCAAAATACCGACTGCAAGATCATACGGAGATCAATTCACCCGAAGAGTACTAATTGGTATGATATGTTAACGTTTTCTGAGTAGGAAGAGATGTAGTATGCTACTCGCAGTGGAGACAATAGAACTGGCCCATCCCAGGGAGGTCTTCATTCAAAGGCAAGGATTTCGCCTCTACAGCCTCAGTCTTGACCAACTTCAGTAGCTCGTCGTATACCATGTCATCCCGTGGCATCGGAACAATTTCTCAGTTAAAGAACTCGACAAATTAACGATCCACGAAAGAAGAATCCACAAGAAACATCCACAGGGAAAAAAGAGAAAATAATAATAATACCACAACATTTGGAATTTGAAACTGCACGGGATAGAACGACGCGAATGAAGTAATCGCGGTGGCATCGAAACAATTTCTCAGTTAAAGAACTGGAGAAATTGACGATCCGCGAAACAAAAATCGACAAGAAACATTCACAGAAAAAAATAAAAAATAATAATCCTACACCATTTGGAATGTGAAACTGAGCGGGAGAAAACGACGCGAACAAAATAATCGCGGTGGGGAAGGATATCCTTGAGGAGGAATTTGGTGCGGCGAGCTGTCTTGTGCGAGAACCCCCGCTTCTTGCCCCTCCTGTGCGGGCACTTCCCACCCATATCTTTTTCCTCTCCTCCCACGCCCTCCTTCCCCTCCACGGGACAATGCTCTTTTCCGCAAGGATGCCGCCTGTGCTCCGCTTGAGCAAAACCCTAGGAATCTAGGAAGGAAACGGTCTTATTCTACGTTCCGCTGATCCGCGGAGCATTTTACACCGATGAAACTGCGACTATGTTGTCCCTAATTGGGCTTTCCTCGACTCTTCTACCCAACTCCCTCAAACATCGGCCTACGTAGGCCCATTAAACTCACACACTTCTTTTTGGGCGGAAACATTCGGTTAATAATTTGGGCTCATAAATCGTAATTTATCCACCTCATTAGGCCCAATTTAAATTTGTTTAAACTGAGATAGCGTTAATGAGCCGCATCTCTGGACCCGGCCCAGCCCAATTTTATGCGGAAAGAAATACTGATCGCCCAACTCAGTTCCTCCTAGGCTGTCCCATATGGGCATCGCCCAGCTCTTCATGCACGTGTGTGTGTATGAGATAGAGAGAGCTGCGAGCGGGAGAGGGAGAGGGAAAGGGAGAGGGGAGAGAGGGAGAGAGGAGAGGGGAGAGAGGGAGAGAGAAGAGGGGAGAGAGGAGAGAGAGGGAGAGAGGAGAGGAGAGAGAGGGAGAGAGAGGGAGAGAGAGGGAGAGAGAGAGAGAGAGTAGCGAGCGAGAGAGGAGAGGGAGAGAGTCATCGGCGCAGGTTACAAGGAAGAAATCGAAGCAACGAGCAAATAAGTATATATTCGAACAAAAGAACCGTCAAACACATGCCCGTAGAAGCTGCGGAACCCTCACATTCCGTGAAGGAGAAAACACCCGAAGAAGGGAAAGAAAATGAAAAAGAAAGAAGAAAGCCATTGATGCATCATTACATTATAAGAAGAAGAGTTCTCTCTCTGAACCAAGGAATTCTGATCGAAGGCACCACCAACTCTTATCAGGGAGGGGAACCCGCTGGGCTGGGCGTTGTCCTTCGTTGACCTCAACTGGATCGAAGGCTCTAGAAGAGCAGGGCACCAGCAGGTCTCCTCACTTTCCTGTGAATAACTTTGAAGCACTGTACACGAAGAAGAAAGGCGAGAAAGAGGAAGAGGGGGCGGGGGGGGGGTCAAAGAATGCAGAGACAGGGTTGACTGATCTAAGCTTGGTCAGTGTTCATGCTTCACTCGGGCTTTTAATATTCCTGGAATTGGCGGGGAGGGGCCCTTGCCGCTGGCTTCATTGGGCTTGGGGGTGGTCGGAGTATGATGCTGATAGACGCTCAGCGAGCTCGAGCTCTCGCCCCCGTTGACCATGGCATGTGGGGCATCGTCGTCGCCTTGCCGTTCGCAGAATCCCATCTCCTTGAGGACGTACGTGTCGTCGTGGAGCTCAAAGGGTGTGCTGCCAATTCAATATTCAAGCGAATGATATAAAAAAAGAGTGTAAAAACATGAAAACTGCATAATTGTTTTCGTTAATCTGAATTCAAAGCCGGGGAGAGAAAGATTCAGCTACGAAGGTGTACATGTTTTCTTTTTTCTTTTTCTTTTTCTTTTTTACTACATGAACTAAGGCAATGATCAGATGAAGGTTGACTCTGTGGCGTAGGGGTTTGTCTGGATTACCTGTTGAAGTCAAAGTGCACCAGCTGCATATCTTCCGAGATTTCAACCTCAACAGTCGCATGGGGGCGAGTCTGTGATAGGTCGGACAGAAACGGAAATAATGTTAATATCAGCTCTGGAAAAATGAATATAAAAAGTGTAAATTTTAAAAAGAGATTGAAATAAACTGTTCTAGAAGAATATAATTTCGTCTTTGAATTAAACTTTCAAAAAAATAAAAATATTAATTATTTCGTGGTAATTGCAACAAGCAGTAGCTGACCCTTTCTTCTTCCTCCAAAAAAATAAATTAATTACACATTCAACCAAACGGCAAAAATATGATAACAAGCGGCAGTTATATAATTCTCCTCTCTATTTTATTTTTTTTATTGGTGAAATGATTTCAGCAAAGAGTATTGTTCCACCGATTAATCATCATATATGTCAAACACTTCATTTCAATACAGTATAAAGAAATGATTGCCGACTAACAGAGAGAATAAATCTATACTATGTTTGGAAACTTTATAAGCCGTTCGGATCCCAAACTGCACGATTGTAATTATAAATCAGCTACACAATATATAAGAATTAGAGAACAGTACCTGAACAAGAATAAAAGGCAGGCCAACCCCCCCTGAAGGAGGATTTCCAGAGTTATACAGCCGTTCATTCCGTTCCACCAAGTTCTGAAGACCTGCATACTGAGAGGACAGATGAACAATATTGAATAGATAATTTTGAACAAGCGACATCATGAATATGTTATCAGAGATTATCACCAGTCATGTGGCTCACATAGAAATGATTTGGATGATTTGGCAAGCTAATGGGCTTCTTTTTAATGAGACTAATTGAAATGATGGACCAACAAGAAATGGAAGAACTACCCCCCCATTCATTTTTCTGGTGTATTGTGCTTGATGCAAATAACAAAAAATAATTATATACTAAATATGGAAAAGTATGGAGCGTGTGGTAACTAAGTTTCGGGTAAACTAGTTGGTATATGTGGTTCCACCTTGCCAAATACTGCAGATCATTCCAACTACCGGTGCAAAAGATGGATCAGCAAGCAGTAAACTTTTCAATAAATAAAAACTCCCTTACTTGTTCCTCCAACTCTCGTAAATATGCTGCTTTCTTTTCAATCCTACTTCTCAATGCAGTACGTTCAGCCTGCAGGGGAGGCGATGAAGAGATGGTCAAAGTAAAAAAAAAAACAGAGAATTCTGGAACTACAGGCGGTGTTTCTACAATCGTTTCTGTAAAATGAGACATCAGGAGCATTCCTTCGCAATATTAGTATAAAAAACTATTGATTGATGCCATTTTACATACCTTTAATTCTTCAATGTCATTCAGACTGGTACGAGGTAAACCCTTCCACTGTATTTCCTTCTTATCCTTTGATATGATATCCATTGCCATGAGGACGTTGAGAGCATCGTATACTCTCCGACGGATGTTTTTCTCATCGTACTGTTGCTGCTTGGCAAGAAAAATGCGACAATTAGTCATTCAATAACTACACAAAAAGAAAAGAGATGAGAAAGGGAATACGGTCTGTGACATTACTCTCCAGGCCAAGGATGCTACGTTCTAATACCTGATCTGGAGATGAAAGACTGCCGCTGGGATCTGCGAATTCAGCAACTAGCTCATCTGCAACCTGGGAAGTAGAAACAATAAAGATATATTTTTAGTTCATACATTATGAGGGACGTCTTTTGGCTAACTTTGGAAGATTCTTCCAGATTGACAGACATCAACACTATTCATGTCAGATACTCAAGGGTATTTTAGAATTACCAGTATGATGCTTATGGCTGATTGATAGCGTAAAAAAAATCAACCATTATGAGTGAAAACATCATCGCAAAAATAAATCATTATGCCTCTTGCAGGACCTACTCCTGTAATTCAAAGTGTTCTCATGAATGAACGGAGGTACAGACAAGAATAAAAGGACGATAAATTCATCCACGGGGTGAGTTCGGAAACAAGATCACACACAAAAGACGAAAATAACCCAAAGATCTCATGGACATGATTGTATGGCTGCTTAGAACCACATGATGAGCTGATGAAACCCTAAGTTACCAATATACACTTGCGAGAGTTATTCTGCTCATAAGACGACCAGACGAAAATCTAGTAGCAGACCAGGACATAATCCAGTACCTATATGTTTTCATTCCTAAAAACATTTAACGCTCGTTGCCTCTGAATAAACTATATAGTCAAACATAATGGACCCATAAACTAAATGAACAAAATCATGTTCCAGTTTTTCCACATTTTTCTGCTTCAAAAGCTAACACAGGTGACAACAATAAGTCAAAATACAAAGAAACAACAATCAGCCACTTCGCCTAGCAAACACTGAATTTCAATTAGCGATAGACAACTAAATGATATACTGCCATAGTTTTTAGGGCCAAGTCTAAAGTTTGATTATAAAATTTAAGTTACCAAGGAAAAAGGATTTTCAAAAGCAAGAACGGGTGCCTAAAAAAAGTTAAAATTAAATTTTAAATCAAAAAGTCATTTATCTATCGAAGTACTATGTTACAGTGAGAAATGGAAAACCCGACTACATGATATCACAATAGTTTTTGCCGAGTTCAAAGCTTAATTTATCAATTGCAGCACAGTATCCAAAACGGAGGCTTCTCAAATGAGGACCACAACAAGTATGGCTGAACACAGAAAAGTGATATTATCTTAGAGTAAACTTGACCAAATATAATATAAAATAATAGAAAAATATTTATGACTATTTTACGAATGGATTTATATTGTTTGAATGTTGTTTTCCTTGATGCTTATTTGGTTTGGTATAGTAAGGGTGACAGTTTGTAGAACGAATGAGGTGTGCCCACAAGTGTTCCGATGGAGCATATTGTTTTACTATATGACCTTCTCTAGATACTGACTCAGACCTTAAATGATCTGGCTGTGTTTCTGATGGACATGTCTTCTCATAATATCGTTCATCTATTAACATAAAATAGAAAGGTCCTCCAAATACTAGGGAAATTTTCACACAAAGAAAGAGGAAAATGGAATCTTATAAATAATAGGTCAACCATTTGTTATGGCGTGCCATACAAAACCAATGAAGAAGATACAGATCACATTAATAAGCCATGATATCCACACAAAAAGCTGCAAAGAAAACAAATAGAAGTACAGAGAAGTAGTTGAACAAGATCAAATGCAAGAAGCCACCTCACCTCATTATAAGTCGTTCTCCCTTTGCTCTGAACTTTCTCACAAACTAAACACAAGCAAATTATAGAACCATTCAGTATATAAAATGACCACGAAATCAAAAGAGGAATAACTATCCAATTTAAATGAGACCACCTTCTATAACACGTAAGATGGCTTTCTTCCATTTTAAAGATGGTAGGCAAAGGACAAACAAATAACAGCTCAATAGCTTACCCTTCATACTGAATTGACGAAGTCCTCGTCCACTTTTGTCACCACTAACTGCACGGGCACCCCGTTTTTTCTTCTTACCACTGTGTTATTGGATATTATCAGTTAGATTGAGGCACAAACCAAAGCCTTCATGTTGTGGAGTCAATTAAAATAAAAAGTCACTTCCAGTCAACAATGACCAACATGAGAGCTTACACTAAAATTTAAAGAACCTGCAAGTCATATGTGCAGCAGAAAGGACAGGTTTTCCACGTCGGGAGAAGGAAGATTTGAGAAACCATTTTTTTTTTCTAGATACTAAAGATTCACTCAGTTGAATCGGCCAGCAAGCAAAGATCTAACAAATAACATTTTTTCTGTTACTTGGTAGTGTTTTGTGAACGTTTTCACGAAAGGGCTTACTACCGACTATTATCTGTGATAGAAAAAGAAGGAGAAAATTTAAAGATGATTGGGCAAGGAAAACAAATTATTAAATTACCCCCCTTCATATCACCAAAAAAACTAGTTGTGTATATGTGGAGAAAGCAAGGCCAGTCCTGCGTTCTTAGCTAACCTCAGCAGACAACCATTGTTATTTTGACTCGAATGACACATTGTACTGGTAAATTTTCTAACCAGTGGCCACATATTCTTAGCTATATCCCATTATTCATACAGGCAAAATCAGGCGTCAGGCTACATTCAGCATTTAATCATTTTTGGGCATGACTATTTTGAGCAAGATGAATGTGCATCAAAGTTTGATACTCAACACAGACACAACCAACCTTGAATCCTAACGGTTCAGCCAAAATAATACAAAACCACTTTACAAATACATCTTTTTGACGACTTTATAATTAAATAGGCAAGAGTGGAAATGAACTTCAGGAGCTTCTAAATTTTTTATACAAAAGTAAAACGATAATGTCTAGATTTTTCTACACTTCCCGCTCTATCTATTAGTAAGACCTGTTCTTTTAGTTCATAAGGCACTAAAAAATTAATGAAGTAAATTTCCAGTGATTGGAGGGAGAAGGTTTCATAATGATGAGAATGAGAATAATATAGCCACTCACGTGATAGTCCCTTGGGGCGATCCCGCATCATCTCCATGAATATCAAGGTGGTTCAACCTGATGGAAGTGCTCTCACTTGCAGGGGTTGTCACTGCGGCCTCACTCCGGCTTGAAGGGGATCCTGGACTTCCACTAGAGGATGGTGATTGTCCTTCAGAAGCTGCCGGCGTTCCCCATGACGTCTTGCTGGTGTGTCCCCTGGCAGGGTTTCGCATGTTTTTATCTGCATCTACTTGCTGACGGTCACCACCTGTTACCATATCTGTGGCCAAGAAAAAAGAGAAAGTATTTAACTGAAAGAGAGACGTGTTTTTAAATACATATCCAGACCTTTAATGTGAACAAAGTGATAACAACAAAGAGTTGGGAAGCAAGATAGCGCCTAAATGTCGCAGTAGCAGAATGAGCTAGTGATAGAGGTTTGCGATTGATGACAATTCCATATTGGAAAATAAAAATAAAAAGCCTTTGCAATCGAAGTATGTTTGAAATAACATGGAAAATCTACCATTATTCAACCGGTGCAAACTTATCGGTTGAAGGATTAATCCAATGACAAAAAACACGAGGAAAACTCATTAAAAGTTGCTCCTGAGGTACTGCGATGGTGTGATCAGGATAATTGAATGATAACAAGCATTTCTTGCCCTTAGTTTTTTGGCATTTATAAATGCATAGAATATCGTGAGTTGACCAAAACCCTAACCTGGGTTCTCCCTCTAAAATGCAACGTGACTGAACATTAAAAAGTGAGCGAACGCCCACAAATCCAAAGGTCAGCTATGTCTCCTTTCTGCTGAAAAAAAAAAAAAAATCTGAACAAAAGGCCATACGAAAATAAGCCAAGAATATCATAAACTACGTACAAATTTTCGGAATAAATTACTCTAAAGGCCTAGCGAACGACGCGTAATGGTGGATTACAAAAAATGGAACTGAAATAACAGAAAAAACCGGCATGGCTTTGCAATAGCACATTTCATTCAATAGGAGAACAAGAAACTGGAGGGAATAGCGTTAGATGTGCCGTGTTAGACAAGCGATAAATGCACGGGCCCAGACGAGATCCAGCCCTAGAAAAAAAGCCAAAGGGCCCAAACGTCGTCCGTAGCCAAGCAGTCAGGACAATTGGCTTTTTCAGCAACCAAATCAAACAGAGAAATTAGATCCAACCACAAAACCACCCAGGCGGAGTTCGCGACAGAGGACTTTGGTGAGGAGTCTGACCTCGTCGCCGAAGAGGGCCACCGAATTGGAAGGATGTCCACACATAAACCGAGGAGACGGCTCATGAACTGGCGGCGAGCGAGCGAGCGAGCGAGCAAGTGGGACGGCAGCAGGCGTGAACTCTCCCACCCGCATCCACTCCACTGGACTTCCTTTTTATGCTGAAATCTTCCGCAGAGATCGGGCGGGGAGTTGGTGTCTACGAGAATGGTGGGCGGGGGGGCGCGGGGGGGGGGTGGGCGGGATGACTTTTCTTCCCTCTTTAGTGGCGATGGTGGGCCATGCGGCCGTAAGGGGCTCACAACAGTAATGTGCCCATATCTTACAACTGGGCCTACCGTCGTGCGTCCCTACTTGGGCCGAGCCGTAACATAGATTCCAATTGACCTTTTTTTACCCAAAAAATATTAGCGTATCATTTTAATTTATAACATTATTTGACTATTTATTTTCCAAAATTGTTAGCAGCCAAAGAGGTGGCCGTATGCTGAATTTGGGACCCACCTGGGTGTGATTCAACCGTCGACATGCCGCGCCACATGGGAAGATCATGACCGTCAACTCTTGCGACAGGTCTAGTCTATGGACGGATGAGATCTACTCTGGATTGGAAGGCGGCGAGGGAAATACTCGTATTCGGAAAAAGGGGGAGGCGGAGAGGGAAAAGGTGAGTCGAGGCCGCCGCCCTTAGCTCCCCTATAAATACTGGGACTCGAAGCTGAGAAGCGCCTCTAGCTCTTGCCCCCTTTCGTCTGTACGATTGGGTTTGAGCGTTCGCCGCTCCTCCGCCGCCGCCCCGATCACCGAGGAGGATTGAAAATAAGCGCCCGGAAATTGTTCGGAGGTCGAAAGGTGCTTGAGGAGGTGCATAAGCAGAGGGAGGAGGAGCGGCGGCGGCGGCAGTATCCAGGTTGATAATCTCCGCAGTCAGATCTAGGGTATGGCTTGTTCTTCAGTTGCTTTTTCTGGTGTCGTTGGTTCTCTTCAGTCTCTTGAGTTATTTCTTGATCCGTGAGAGCAGGAGGATGGTGTCAGACGCGAGCAAGAAGAAGGCAGCAGCGAAGAAGGCCGCCGCGGCTGCCAAGAGAGGAGGTAAATCCTCTAGCGCTGCGGCGTCGTCAAAGTCTGCCGAGTCGACGAGCAATGGGGTGGATAAGATCGCCAACGGTATTGGCTCCCTCCAGTTGTCTGATCGGACCTGCACGGGTGTCTTGTGCTCCCACCCTCTCGCAAGAGACATACACGTAAGTACAAGACGAGGGTAGCACATAATTAATACGATTTTCTTGGATTTTGTGTCCCATTCCGTCGGTCTATACATATCATTGAGTTACTGTCTTAGGAAGAGCGTCATTCATTTTTAATGTACGCGTTTTCTTTTCGGATATGAATCTGTACGTCCTTTACTCCAGGCAAATTACAGGCTTTGATCGACTCTTCATCCGAAGATGATCTATTCGTTTGGTTCCGATTAGTAATTCATTGAATAGCCAATTAATATTTCTTCTTTTGATATCGAAAATCGGAAAACAGCGTAAATATGATTTCCAGATTATCAGGAGCATCCATAAGGGGGGCTTACGCATTCTCACATGTTTTTATCTTCCGCATGTGAATTATAAAGTAATTGAAAAAAAAACCTTGATTTGATGAATATTATCTCCTCATACTGAAAAAATCTGATCACGCGTGTTTTTTTTCATAGTTTTTAGTTTTCCTCCTTTTAACAGCGAGTCCGTTATTATGTTAATGGAAACACCCAAAATAAAATTGTTGATGATGGAAACGTCAATACAACTTTTCTTGTGATTTTATTCGGATGCTTTTTCTAGAAGTCTTCAGTTAGTTTAGTCAAATGGAAGAATAAACTGTGGATCAGTATGGAAGCTTCGAAAGGTGGAGACCAAAATAGTGATTTAAATTGGCTCTTTTATTTTTTTTGGGAAACCTCTATTTTTATATGCAATATGCCATTAGGCACAACTAAAAGTCTATAATAAAAGCTCTCCTATTTTATTTCTTTCGCTCTTGCAGTTTTCTCTTATGATTCTTGAATTCTCCCATTAACAGGTTAATGATTTAATTTGGGCTGATGGTATTTTGTTCTGACTATTTCACTTTAACTGTACATAAGTTCTCTTTTAATACAAAGTATCGGGTTATCAGTTGGATATCTGACCGTTAGTTATCCTCAAGTTATGGGTCTGTCGTATGACATCGGGTGGGGGTTTTCCTGATGTGCGAATGAAGTTCTTAGGTATAATATTGAAGTGATCCTTATAGTGCCTGCTTTGCTTTGGTGATCCGTGTAATCTTTCATTTTATTGACGTTTTCGATACTGTTACTGACACAAAATCTGTCGTTGCATTTTGCAGATAGAATCCCTGTCCTTAACTTTTCATGGCCATGATCTTATAGTTGATTCTGAATTAGAACTGAACTATGGGAGGTATGTTTACTTGAACAAGTCACATGTATTATTAAGTTAGATAATTGAATGTCCTCTGACGAATCGCCTTTGGGATTTATTTTTTTCAGGCGTTATGGCTTGCTTGGCTTGAATGGCTGTGGAAAGTCCACACTACTTGCATCCATAGGATGCCGTGAGCTACCAATTCCTGAGCACATGGACATCTATCACTTGTCTAGAGAGATTGAAGCTTCTGACATGTCAGCGCTTGAAGCTGTCATTTGCTGTGATGAGGAACGCCTGCAATTGGAAAAAGAGGCTGAATTATTGTCTGCACAGGTAAAAGTTCCTAACAAAAATGAACTTTCCATTCTCTCTTTAAGATTTCCGCCCATTGAAATTCGATGCCCCTTGACAGAAATAGAGAAGAAAATCCTCTGACCAAGGTTTTCAAATTTTTTGACACTGTAGGATGATGGTGGTGGTGAGGCGCTGGATCGTATCTATGAGCGCTTGGAAGCATTGGATGCATCAACTGCCGAAAAGCGTGCGGCAGAGATTCTCTATGGGCTTGGATTTGACAAAAAGATGCAAGCAAAGAAAACTCGGGACTTCTCTGGTGGCTGGCGGATGAGGATCGCCCTGGCTCGGGCATTGTTCATGAATCCAACTATCCTCCTGCTTGATGAACCCACAAACCATCTTGGTAAGGCTTCCCATCCAAACAGGCCCGCCTTTCCACAAACCACCACTGTTCTCTACATCTTTCAACAAAAAAAAAAAACCCTATATTTAAGTAGCTGGTACTGCCACTTGTTCCATCCGCCACAATCTCAAACTGAAGCGCTACATGCTCATCTTAAAGCCTACATCGTTTCTTTTCTTTTTTCTAGACCTAAGATCTCACCCCGCAGATATTCCGAATCTCAACTCGGTTTCCTTCTTTGTGTGTATGTGGTTGATTGTCCTTGCTGCACAGATCTGGAAGCTTGTGTCTGGCTGGAAGAGATGCTGAAGAAGTTTGATCGAATCCTCGTGGTCGTCTCGCACTCCCAGGACTTCCTCAACGGAGTCTGCACGAACATCATCCACATGCAGAGCAAGAAGCTGAAGATATACACGGGCAACTACGACCAGTACGTCCAGACCCGGTCCGAACTGGAGGAGAACCAGATGAAGCAGTACAAGTGGGAGCAGGAGCAGATCTCCGCCATGAAGGAGTACATCGCCCGGTTCGGCCACGGCTCCGCCAAGTTGGCCCGCCAGGCCCAGAGCAAGGAGAAGACCCTTGCCAAGATGGAGCGCGGCGGTCTCACCGAGAGAGTCGTCAGAGACAAGGTCCTTATCTTTCGCTTCACCGACGTCGGTAAGCTCCCACCGCCCGTGCTGCAATTCGTAGAGGTCACCTTCGGCTACACCCCCGACAACCTCATCTACAAGAACCTGGATTTTGGCGTGGACCTCGACTCGAGGATCGCCCTGGTCGGCCCCAACGGTGCCGGCAAGAGCACGCTGCTGAAGCTGATGACAGGCGACCTCGTGCCGCTCGACGGCATGGTGCGGCGGCACAACCACCTGAGGATCGCCCAATTCCACCAGCACCTGGCAGAGAAGCTCGACATGGACATGTCGGCGCTGCAGTACATGATCAGGGAGTACCCGGGGAATGAAGAAGAGAAGATGAGGGCCGCCATCGGGCGGTTCGGGCTGACCGGCAAGGCGCAGGTGATGCCGATGAAGAACTTGTCGGACGGGCAGCGGAGCCGGGTGATTTTTGCCTGGCTGGCGTGGAGGCAGCCGCATATGCTGCTGCTGGACGAGCCCACCAACCACTTGGACATCGAGACAATCGACTCGCTGGCGGAGGCGCTGAACGAATGGGACGGGGGGCTGGTGCTGGTGAGCCATGACTTCAGGCTGATCAACCAGGTGGCGCAGGAGATTTGGGTCTGCGAGAACCAGGCGGTCACCCGGTGGGAAGGCGGCATCATGAGCTTCAAGGAGCACTTGAAGGCCAAGTCCGGGGTATCCGAGTGATCGAATGATCTCGATTGATTGGCTCTCCTGAGACGGCCTGCCGTCCTGCTGGAAGGACACGACCTCATCCACCCTCCCGCTGCTGCTCACTATTTCCTATTCTTCCTCTTTCTTCTGCGGAAGATCCTACGCTATGTTCCAATATTTGCTTTTCTCGGCTGTTTTGTCTGTGTTTAATCAAGATGGGGATATACCTGAACTCAGCTCTTACTGACCTCTCTCTCTCTCTCTCTCCCCTGTATTTTCTGTGTTATATTCCCATGAACTCAGGAAGCTCGTTACTTCCGCGCACCCGCGGGGGACCCACCTCAGTTTCCATGGCGGGTAATTTTGACCTCGGAAAAGCACCGGTTTGACTACCGTGTGCCCTCCTCCTCTAAGGTTTGAGCCCTTGTTCGTTCATCATCCCAGGTCATCCTCGCGTAGACAGATAGATACAGATAGAGATAGATAGAGAGAGAGAGGATCTTCATTCTTTCAGTAAGTACCATCGAATAGAATACAGCACGTTGAATAGTGGACGTGGGGTTTCGAAGAGGCGATTCCTCGGATATCGAACTGGAAAAGATCCACGAAGAGGAGGCAGCAGTTGCGCCGCAGCGGCGAACAGCCATCACCAGAATCGCTCCGAAGCTCGAAACAAGAACTCCACCAGCATGAGCCTCCCCAGAACCGGCGTCGATGGGAGTTCCGCCTCCGAGACGGACGGGTTCCCCGGGCTCGGCGTCCTCACACAAACTCGGAAGCAGAGACCGGGGAGAGGGAGGAAGGAGGTGGGGCGTGTCCTTCAGAGCTCTCTCAGTATCCCCTCGAGCTCACTCGACTGGAGGGGGATGGCGAGCGCCCCCTCCTGGCAGAACCCGAACTCTTCCTCTGCCATGGTCAGCAGGTCCAGGAACCTCGGGTGCGACAGACAACGCAGCGACACCACGAATCTCCTCCCGGGCTCGTCCCCACGGGCGGCCACCACCACAAAGTGGCCCTTCTTCACCAGCTCCTCCTCCCCCGCCGCCGATCGCCGGCGAGGAGAGGAGGAGGAGGAGGACAACGACGACGATCCCGCCGCCAGCACCACCAGCCCCCTCTGCAGCCCCCGCACGACGAGCCTCAGCAGCATCCACCTCCTGCTCTTCCCCCCCATTGGCGACGGATGAGCGACGGGCAGAATCGCTCACCAAATGCCCCGCATTTATAATCAATCAATCAACATGGCGGCTCTCGCCACCGTAGTGCCGTGCACCGCCGTCGTCGCCGTCTCCTGTACTGCCTCCAAAAAAGAGGGACCTTCAGGGTGCATCATTCTCCCAAATATGGCAAAAAAGATGACTGCTTGAAAAACATCCTATTCAGGCTCCTCTCTCTCTCTCTCTCTCCCTCTCCCCTCTCTCTCCCTCTCTATCCGTGCATCGGCCTGCACCGACGCCCTCCCACCTCGCCGGCGGCGGTGGCGTGGGGGTGAAGACGGGCACCGCCGCCCCCACCACGACAGATGGCTTGTCGCCTGCCTGGCCCAGTTTGGGTGCGGGAGGGAGTGGCCGTCCAGATCAGGCAAGGCGCCGAACCCACTCGGCCCATTCCCTTTCCCCATGAGGGAGCAGCGTTGAATCCCTACCCGGTCAAAAGGGGAAGAAGCAGGCGCTCAGCTGGGGGGGTAATCAATCATCCCCGCCGACGTTGACTAATCTTCTCCAACTATTCGCTCAGCGTCCAAATATATGAGAGTAGATATTTCCCTGGTAGTTGACGATCCCACCAGCAATCAATTAAGAGTAGAATGCCCGTTTTTTCTCGGCTCATCAGACAAAAAAAGGGGCCAAAAATAGAAGTACACGGCGACCATGATGATGATGATGATGATGATGATGGGGTATCAGCCGTCAGCCAGCCAAAGCCTGTTTGGATCGTACCCCTCCGTTTAAAAACGCGTTGAGGAGCGTGCGGTGGCTTCAGCTTCTCGGTGGGCTCACGAAATCACAAAGCGTTCGTCGCAAAACCTGCTACATGGGATGATAATAATAATAATAATAAGAAAAACAATGAAATAACAAGGAATGGATTTGATCTTTTCGAGAAGGTCAACGCAGAGCAAGAGATTTTTCTGATTTAGATTCACTAAAAATGGCAAGAAAGGAAGCAATGCGTCTAATATCACGATAGCAGCATGGTGGAATGTTCATAAAAAAAGAAAAATGCCTACCTTGGAATGAATGATCGCCATCACCAGAAATTCCGCAGAATTTCGTTTCATATAAGATGAAAGAACAGCAAGCGATGGGATCATAAAAGTTTCATCGATGGAAAAAAAAAAACATACCTTGATTATGATTTACAGAGATCCATCGAAAAGATGCTTTAAACGTCCACTCTGTGATTTCGTTCGTGCCTATGAAGCTCCGCCAACAAAAGATGATCTCCCAACGAGTGAAGCCGGGTGTGTTACTTCTTTACATCTCCTTCATGGATCCACCTCTGATCCAAAACGCTGTTCCAAGAATTCATCGAGCAGGCCGCGATTTGGTACGCCGCCCTCGCCGACGCTATCAGCAGGCAGTTTACGAATGCACCCAAGAATGTGCTGAACGTCACGATATAACCTGCTCGAGAGTGAATCGAATCAATAACAAATCGAGAATCGTTTCTTCCCGAATGGGAAAGGGGAGAAAGCAGAGGATTGGAAGTAACTATACTTGTTCTTGGCTTGCGGGGTGTTGATTGCCAGGTTTGAGAATGCCTCTGAGATGTGTAAATGAAATATTTGCACCACTTGCCTGCACGGAGAAGACGAGCCATGATGAAGAAACTGATGGTAAAATCGCACAAGCATACATAAAAATAAAAAATAAAAATAAAAATAAAAGGAAAAATGAAAGACTCGGCTAGTACTTCTCTTTTGCTTTCTCCGATAGAAAGCCGGGGAAAAAGATAGAATGATTGGAAATATTAGGAAGGAATCCGGGCACTTCGTTCATCATTCTCCAAGAAAAGGTGCATATTATATCATTTATGAAAGAAATCCCAACCCTCGTCTGCCACTTTTTTCGATTTGCAAAGCATGAGATATTATCCACTAATGGGAATTCCGGAAAGCTCTCACGCATCATTCTCCCAGGTGATGGTGTTGACTATATTAGATTCCCAGGTACCTAGACCCAAAAGATTTCCCACATATGCAATGACCTTTAGAGAATTGAAAGGCAGGTAGAAACGAAATAATAAAGAATGTTGAGAGTAGACGAAAAAACTGGAACCCTCCCAAGGTGACTGACTCCGTGTGTCATGTTTTCAATCCTGCAAAGTATATACCATGAATATGCATTCCATAATGCAACCAATTCAGAAAAGATAGTAAATGACTACTAATTGTTATGAAGATATTTTATTTTCATAAATATGGAGCACGTCATTTGATGGTTTACCAATACCTGAAAATTGTCCGTACATCAGCTTCTAGCAAAGTCTGAGATAAGATCCGGTGAAGATAGGAAACTTCCTGAACAAAAGAATAATCAGTGTTTAGTTAGATACGGCTGTCTGCCATCCCTGTGTACAACAGCAGGATCCACTTGCTTCTTTTCTAACGAAATTAAAAAAGCTTTAACAACAAGGGTACATTTCATCAAACAAGTGAATAAATCATTAAATTGGGGACGAAATGAAATGATGGGGCATCGTTCTAAATGTGTTGGTAAAAATAAAAGATATCTTCATTGATGAGTTGAAAAATATTAGAGCATTAGCTATTCCAAAACAAATGAAGATCTTCGAATGAACAGGCCCGTCATCGAAAAGGCAGCGCACCTTTGTAACTGACCGAGCAAAGATACTGGGCTGCTCATCCTTATCCTCTGGTCCATTCCAAGTCTCAATAATTTGAGGTAGCTTACGAATATTAGCTAGCAATCTTTCCCTCATTATCTGAACAAGTTTACTGTGAATCTCATCACGGTGCACTATATAATCCTGAAATTTGATGAATAACGTCAATAAAGGCCAGGGCCCCCTGACAACAGAAGAATTAACGTACAACTATCGGAGAGAACTTCACTATGCCAGCTAAAAAAACTGTACAGCAATTCAACAAAGTAAAGGTCGATCACGATACTAACAATGAGATTCTGTATAGAGGCTTGATGCTAAAAATTGCAACATAAGATAAACGTTAAATGCGCTGAAAACCCTGGAAATAATCAGTAATCAGTGTACATTCCAACATGATTAAAATTTTATCCACTGAAATTCTATAACATGAATTGTTTGAAAGAAAGGTAACTATTTTTTTCTTTTTTTTTCTTTTTTTTTTTTGGCGGGTAGGGGGGACGTAAGTTAACCCTTCCTGGGTTTCTTCACACAAAAGACTCTTGGGGAGCTTAAGACAAAAGCCCGATCAATATATGATCAATCACCAGTAGGCAGAAGCTAGTCTAGCTTTATACCTGGGTTACTTTATCAATATCAGCAAGCAGGACAGCTTTACGAATTTCCGGGACTTTCATAGAAATAGCCCTCCTGATATCTGGGTAACATAAATCAAAGTATTATCAATATCAGCAAGCTGAACAAAAAAACTAAAAAGTAGAGCAATAAATCCGGATAGCTTGTCCCATATTTGGATCAACTCTTACTACAAATGAGTCAACTTTAATCCAATTAATTCCCAGGGTCAATCAAAGACGCTGAAACCCAACCATACCCATGGATGTTTTCTGTCAATTTGACATTGCATACTAAGCCCGCTCAGTTAGCTCTGGTCATACGTGACTAAAAAAGCCATACTATCGGGAAAAGACAAAAAGCTACAAGAATATGACTGATTTTGTTGAGAAACTAAAGCTAACGCTGGTAAACGATTTTAGTAAAAAGACAACGGAAATATTGTCAACGATTTGCATTATCACTATAAACGTTGAGCAAGCCTATAAATCTAGAAGAACAAAAGGCAGTCCAAAAAAGAATTGATGTGAGGTAATGTCACTGTATTAATCAGAAGATTGAAGCATCTACTTGTTCAAACGTCAAGATAAATCCAAAATTTTAAACGAGTTACCTGGCATAATAACAGAAATAAAACTAATTACTTGGCTGGCCAAGGCTAAGTGCTTTGAAGTTATAGACTTTAGTCCTGAAACCTGCATTAGATACCACATAAAAATATCTAAACATCAATAGATTATCGATGAACATGTAATAGATGTCCACAGTCGGAATAAAGTTATTGTTCATGGAAAAAATAGAACAAACCACAATGTTACACAGCATCCAACATGGGTAGGCTAAGGCAAGTCACTTATTTAGAACAGCAACTTATGATTGCTTTCCTACACTATATCTTACAAATAGTCCAGATTTATGACCCAGAATATCCCCTTTCCCTTTTAGTTGTATACTATAATCAGTCATTACAAGTCAATTCATAGCTTGATGGAAAATAACCAAGGAGACCACTTGGTGGACTTTTTAACCGACAATAATGATTAGGAAAAGTTAAAAGAGAAATTATGAAAGTATTCGAACTTGGGATTGAAAGGGAAGAAATTGGGCAAAGGAAAAGTCTGGACTTCACGTACAGAGCTGATTAGCCACGCGAGTGAAAATGTCCACTGGTAAGGTCACGCCTAACACGGGTTCATTGCATGGTTATGGGGATGTTATGGCACTGTTTTACTAGCAATTCACCTTTAGCTCCAGTTCTCAAGCTACCAGCCCCAACCTATTCGCGCTCAGTCCAAATTAAAAAATAAATGGCCTTCAGGTTTCATTTTGGTTTTTATTGTTATCTCTGTCGAGCAACAAGATAGGCATTGATCAGCCCATAAAATGTCATGAGCAATAAGCCACTACAGTCGCTGCTGCAAAAAACATTGGCAAATTAACCGTCAGATAAGTGGAAAACCTGCATGGCACCAGCACCAAGAACGAGCTGGCAAGTCCTCGTATTGAAGAACTTCAGTATCTCCACAACGCGATGGCCAACCTCAGGAGACAATGCAGGCAAGGATTTGCTAATTTCAACATACTCTGACAGAGTTTTTAGCAGGATCAAGCCACTGAAAAAACAGTAAAAATAACATATTAGCCGCAAACCAGGGTAACAAATGGAAACGGATTTTGTTTTTCAAAATTATGCTAAATTAGACACTATTCAAAGACAACGCAAAATAGAACAGCAAAAAATGAAGTTCATGAAAACCAGTCCCAAGCGATGATATCTGAATAATTTTCAACACATTAGAACTCACTGAGAACAAAACTTACCAGTTTACCATGTGGTAACCAATGCCCTTGTAGATAAGAGTTTGAGTGGTAGATTTCCCCTGCTCACTGGCGTTTGCATCACCACTCTGAACACTACGTAAAGCGGCAACTTTCTTTTCTTGATTTCTTGATGTGCCCTTATCCTGCTTCTCATGCTCTATAGAGATATCAACGGAGTCATCTTGCTTACTTGGCTGCTTAACTGCGGTCCCAGATTCTGCTTTCTCTGAGTTACTATGATTCGGAACTTGGTCGCTGTAATTTGATGTCGCGTTCATGCTGACATTTGCATGTTCGACATTTGAGATATCAGAAGAAAATGAATCAGTAATGGCCTGGAATTCCTCCGGGACATCCACAGCAACCCATGTCTCTTGATCAAGAACAGCCTTAATCTTCGTCATCTGCAATAATTTTGTTGTTACTAGGGAGGAAAGGCATGATTCACTTAAAGAATATAGACACAATAACTACTGATAAACTATCAGCTTACTCGAGAATCGTGCTGAAAGTCAAAAAAGGCCTTTGATTGGGATTGCAATGTTCCCCTTATGCTATAACCCATCCGACCGCCAATCTGATTAAATCAACATGTTCAGCACAGGATCTAATGTCAACAGAAGCCATCACAAAAGATGTAACGATACCTTTTCGGTGGTGGTAATGAATGTCTGAGTAACGTCGTAAATACTAAGAAATTCTTGCAGCTTTAGCTTGGGATGAAGAAGGGCCCGGACACTAAGAAGTTTAGCCCACCTTCCATGAGCAGCATCACAGGCAGCAAATAAAGCTTCTGTGTTTTCTCTCAGTACGTCAGCACTGCAAGTAATGCAACAGTTTTAGGAAGATCAATTACCAGCTAGATCAAAGCTTCGAAAAATTGATAAAAGCAAAAGTTGCAATTATAAATACATCCAAACGCATACTTTTGGAAATCAAGAGAGAATCAAAAGCAAAGGAGGCGTACACTATCACTGCTAACTACAAGAACAACATCCTGTAGCACACTTTTCGAAACTAATATATGCTCCTTAGAAATCTCTGCATCTCTTATCAATGTACGGACAGGTACCTCTTAAGAAGACATTTAGATTTGCCAAATATGGGAAAATAAAGCATTTAACAATCCATCATCAGAGACCAAAAACTACAAGACCAAAACTTTCATTATGCGGTGATGTTGGGCTCGTCCCATTCGAGTTTTTTTTTCCCTTTCTTTTTCGCGTTCATTTCCCAAAGATCTGGAGAAAGCAGCAGTGAGTATGATTTCCATAGTCCATTAAAAGGACAAATCACACAGGATCCTCAATTGACAACTACATAAGTATTACATAAGCTAATAAAGGTTAATTCGAAAGCTTCACAAAATGCTTACTTTTAACATGTATTCAAGGCATGATAACTCTAAAGAAAGCCGGAGTTTACCTAGACATGAGAACATAAAAAGGTCTGCTTGGGTATTGGAGAGCATTCTCCTCTATTGGTGAGAATACAAACAGCCACAGATCTGCCACTTTTTGCACTAATTTCAAGATAAAAAACTATAGAAAAAAATTGATTAGAAACCTTTCCTTTTTCTTGGGGATAAGGCTGTAGAAGCTATGATGTCAGTTAGTACAGGGAAAACCTGGGCTCTCAAATGTAAAGAATTGATTAAATTTATAAATGAAATACTGAGAAGGAAAACTTGTGATGGGAACTAATCTTGACATGTGATGTGGAAATAAAAACAAGGTTTAAAAGGAAACTCGGTAGGCAAAAGGGATTGCAAGTTAATGAGGAGGGAACATGTTTTACTCTTCGCACCTAGTAGAGATACAGGACAATAGTACAAACTTTCTGTCCCTGAAATACATTACAAAAGTAATTGATAATAAAGGGTGATTTCACCAGTAATTGTACACCACATCTACGAGACGTGGTTAACAAATTTGAGCTGGTTAGCCAATAGCGAAAAAGTGGAACAAAGCTCCAAAGAACTGCGCATAAGTTATGATCAACCATAGGAGACAAAGTGCTAAGACATGAGAATGATGCAGGGAACACTTGAATCAAAACAGAAGCTGCTAAGCTCCAAAATTGAGGCTATGGAACTCTAGGAGGGCCAAGGAATCATCCCTGCCACTATAGTAACCAGAGCTGCAAGAGATGCTCAAGAAAATGGGGATTTGGCTGCTGAGTGAGGACTTAAAACGGAAGCGGAGGGCTAAAGAATGTGTTAGACCACTGGGCCTAACTTACACTCGTAGGAAGCCCAATAACCCACCCACGAAGGTTTAGTTAATATATTAGGACGGGATTAGGAAACAGAAGGGGGGGGCGGGGGGCGGGGGGGCGGACCAGAGGAGATTGGGGCACCTCGAAGTCCCGTGTTAGGGTTAATCCCCTTTATCTTCCACCTTCCCGCCCTCTCTTCCCCTCCGTTACCCCCCTGCAAGACAGTACTCTCTATCTCTCCCTCTCCTCTTAACGTCCCCTTAAATCTCAAGTTTACTGTTATCTATCCTCCCGTTTTGCCATCTCTTGTGTTGGGTGCTTTACAGAATGATGCATTGAGAAAGATGACAAAAAAATTCTTATTTCCATACAGTGACTTCATTTGATGAAGATAAAAATGAGAACTGAATGAAGCTACTCCTAAAAATACTCTTTTATCAAAATATTCAAAAAACGTTTGGAGATCACATTTTTTTGGAGCATAATCCCTCACAAGTCACACATTGCCTTAAAATTAAATATAGCAACTAACATCGGAATAAGATAAGGGATATGTCTTTGCCATGGATGACAATTCATCCCCTCTAGACCGGATGGATTTTCCAAACATTCGGGGAATAATAAAAGATATGACATAGGAACCAACTCGTACAGACAGTAACCTCTATCTATAAACTTGGTAGTTTCGAGAATGTCCACGTGTTTACAAGGAACCACCAGCTAGACCACATGTCAAAAGATGAAATTTCTGGTGTAACTAGAGTTAAGAAAATAAAATTATCAGCTTAATTTTTTTCAAGAAAAAACACAAGCAGTACCAGGCCAGAGCACGAGACATACATGATAAAAATAATTCCCCGAATAATATTCTCTTAAAATAGAGATGATTAATCAGAGAATAGACGGCATTACCGGAAATTTTTGGAGCTGTTAGGGCTGAAAGTCTCATTTGTTTTTCCATTAAACAATGGACCTTTTGATGCATTTCTTGGTAAAGAATAGGAAGAAAGACCTTGGGCACTGATCTCGAGGGAAGATTCAGAAACAGCTGTTGATTGAGCAACGGTATCTAGAACATAACCATCAACGTTCCCAAAGATCCACTCAATCATTCTTTTAACTTCAGCTGCTCTCACTAAATGAGCCTGTATTCACTTAAAGATGAGAAACTACAACAACGACTAATAATCTTATTGATAAATCAAATGATGTCAATACAGCTGAATAAGACAGAAAACTAGCAGTCTAGTAAAAGTAAATAGATTTCCAGACTCCGATCTTCCCAATGCTATTTAACTCTACAACCAATTCATGATCAGGGTACGATAATTATTGAGTAAAACTTGCAGGATACAACTAGAAACGGTTGAAAAGTGTTTAAATGATCAGATCGTCCAACACTATCACAATGAATGTGATGCTATATCTTTTAACATACGGTTGAAAAGTGAATCTTGAGTCACGCAGCCATATCTTTTAACATACCGATTTTTATCCCGATATTTTATCCCTACCAAAGTAACCCTATATTTTATCCCGATATTTACTATCACAATGAATGTGATGCTATTCAAACAAGCACGAATCATCTTGACTTTCAAAACATTCAGCCTTAATTAAATCTAGCCCAAGTTTTTAATCAATTCGAAAAATATTTCTACATCCTAGACTGACACCAATTTTGAACCTGATGGATGGATCAATCTAAAAAAGAAAATCTCCTTTGGAAAGAGAAACGTACATGATATGTATTGACTAGATAGACCAACAAAAAATTTGGAATGAGCAGTACCAGGACCATATTATGTATAGTAGGTATCGTTGGATACTAGAATATACATGCATTACTCTTTAAATTTTGTCGTTAGCAGAAAGGACGAACAAGAAAACTTCCATCATAGCCTAAAGAGGTCTGTAGACCCACAACCCTACCAAAAAATTCAAAGCAAACCGAAACATTAACCAAAACCCTTTGCGTGTAACCTAATATCCTGGTACCAGGTGAAAGAAGATGATGCATGAAATAGAGATAGAAATTCCAAACAGACTGCATTCCACTATCTAAACAACATTTGAAAAACAAAAGAAACTCAATTCTATTTACAATCAAAACATCAAAACAGCTATATATTAAAAATGATGTAAGATGCCTCCTTACATGATTCCATAAAATAGAAAGCTAAATAGGATAAATACATAAAACTTACTTTTAAAGCATATTTATAACATGACAAACGAAAACATTGGCAGATATAAACCTTAAAAATAAACTTTTAGAAGATTCTGATCAGATAAAAATCTGTGTTACAAGAGATAACGAAAACATGCATTAGACAATATATGATAGCGCATCCCTCTAGTATATAATATAGCAATCAACTGCATAATGATCACACTGCATGAACCTTTGATTGTCTGGTTTTTTAAGGAAAGCTAGTCATATGCAATGGTACCAGCCAGTACTCCAATTAAAAAAACAGGTTTTTGCACCAGAAAGACACCAGAAATTTTCTGAAAAAATGATCACCAGAAAGAAATGAGAACGAGTTTTTTCCTTCTAAAAAAAATGAGTATATGTTTAACTTTCGCTTCATTGTGCACAAAATTTTCTGTATGATTTTCTGAAAACTAAAATAGGTGTGAAAATTGAAGGAAAAAATAACTGCTACGTTTGAACAAGATTACTAGTCGAAGAACAAAAAAAATTGTAAAAGACGTACGCAGTTACAATAATTTTATAACGTTGAAAATTAATCCATGCGTTTGGAACAAAGATAACATCACATAGAATATAGAGATGAAAAGTATGACTCTAGGTAGAGTTACCTGAACAATTCTAAAGATAGCAACCAAAAGTTGCACAAAGTTTTCAGAAGAAAGGTTCCTTAACCTGCTTGCCAATGATGATCCACCTGAATAATAAAAAAATGATAGTTTGTAAATAGCTACACACGGACTGTAAAATGGCGGCCATATAAAATTAAACGATTATGCAATCAGCAAACATACTATCTGCGTCAACTGTTCGCTCTGCCATCATTGAATCAGAGTCCATAGATCGGGAACCCAAAACTGGAAGCAATTCAGCGACCGTATCCTTTATTGCATTTTTCATGGAAGTAATAAGGGTCTCACGGTAAAGCCTCAACACAGAGGGAAGTTTTGCCTGAAATGAACAATAATGATATGAGAAGATCATTCAATTCTATGCTAAAAGGCTGAAAATAAAATTATTTCAGAAAACATCCTTGGCAGCACAAAGAGCAAAGCTTATGTAAGAAGGAAACTGTAACCCAGAATGAACCAAAATGCATAAGTCAGCCATGAAGGGTTAGAATCTAAGGCATTAAACATGAACTCCTCAAAATTCTTCAGGGATAGAATCACGTGCATAAATTTAGCCAATGTAATGTTTTACAAGGTTGACAAGAGGACAATCATGTTGCCCAAAAATTGCAATGTTAAAGACAGAAAAATCTTTCCACATGCCATTCAAGCAGAAAATTTCATAAATGAAATGGTCGGAGACTTGGTGCAGGGTTATTATCTCTACGGATCCATTTAGTTACGTTATTGATGGCAAGTCATCCCTCCCCAGTTCTGCACTTTCCATTGCCTTCTCTCCTCTCCAAATATTTTCCTTCTCCCATCAACATTGTAACTAATTGCCAAGGGCGAATTAATGCCCGTTAAAATTATTGAGTGTTGTTTCATAGATTTCATGTCCTTTGGAAGTAGACATATTATGCAAATTAGTTTTGATACGAATCACAGTCATCTTATGCTTTTGTATAGATCATTCAATGAAGCCAATGATGGGCATTTAATTGATTAATCTTCAGCATAACATTTAACAGCCAAGGTTCCATATTCCAACATTCTTTAAAGATAAACCTAAGGATACGTAATATGAATGACTAGTGAAGGTTTCCTTCTATTTTTAATCCCATGACCTTCAACTTCATTGATAATAGTAAACGTTTTTCCACTCTCAAAAATCAAGAAAAAATAGAGTTTACTAAGACATTTTGTTTCTCTTCCTTGTTTGACATTTGGGCTTCATGTTAACTTGAAAAGTATGATGAGAGAAAATGTCAGCTCCCATTTAACTTTATGCTGTTCAATATAAAAACAAGAAAAATGATATTAAATAGTCATCACAGATAACTCACAATTCTAAGCAGGCCAGCAATAAAAGGAAGGAGTCGATCACGGAAATTGGACACCTCTTCATCTTCAAACTTTACCTGAAAGCGAATAATCATAGAGTATTATTAGAATAAAATAATTGGAAAGAACTCGACAAAATGAACAGTGGAGACCAAATGGAAAGGAAACATGTAAAGTGAATGGAAGGTCGAAGTTTTTAGAGCCAGACATGACAATGAATTGAAAACAGAAATTATCATGGTAAAAAGTAATTGTGCAGATGAATGTACATACATCTTCCTCAATGCCACCAATGAGGTTGTTAACTCCTGCCTTATTTCTCACCAAAACAACGGAACGCATACTCTTCCCGTCATATATGGCAGCACGCAGGAACTCTGCTGAAAGAATGCTACAAAATAAATATCAAAGTTAAAGGGCAAAACTAGAAAAAATACACAAAGGATACACCTCCGAAACAGTAAGTTCATGAACTAGATGTAGGAGGACGTTACTATTGAGGAAGCAGAGAGTTTTTGAGCTGTTAAACATGAATATAATTTCCCATGATATAAATGCATAATCAACTGATCCCGGTTCATTAACAAGGAAACCTTTTCAACCTAGGGGATATGGAACTACTTTCCATTTTTCAATAACACGAATCTCGAAGCAAACAGCAATCACGGCCTTAAAACAGCCATTTATATAATTTCATTATTTTCATTACAAAATCAGCCGGTAGGCAGGTGCCATGTTACGATCATCCCTAGTATAAGTCAAGTCCAGTAGCTATATTGAACAAAATTCTCTAATTCATCTTTTTTATTGTTTTCGCAAGAAAAACCAGATCCCCAACTAATCAACTGCATAGGTAATGGGATACATCATCCATAAACCGCAAAAACGGCCATGAAGATACCTTCCAGGCACTTAAACCAGTAAGCCTCAAACTGTCCCATTAAAATGAATGCAATGCCAGTCGAAGAGATAAATGAATCACTCAATATAAAATCACATTAAATATACAATGAAACATTAATACTCATGGACACTGTTTCATATGAACATTGTCACAGAAAAAACAAAAAGGTCATCATATCTTACATAAAATAAGTGGATTCTGCACCCCTAATATTTCCACATTAAAAGGATCATTCTCTCCTCTTCTCGCTTTTAGCTTACATTCCCGATGAAAAGGTCAGTCCTATATGATGATTATCTCATGCCCATAAAAAGGTAATGTATAATTTGGTAAGCTAAATATGAAACTGATAGTGAGTTGAAATGTCAAACACGTTTCCCTAACTATGAAATTTACATCATTTTGGAATGCAATCATAGCACGACGTCATCTCCTTTATCAGAACCAGTCTGTGACAAAACCTAGAAGATTAGACCAACATTTTCTTCCCAGATATTACCCCGAAATTCAATTTTTTATGCCACATAGAAAGAACGTCTTGAGTATGGCATCTTAATCATTTTATAAATTAAAGAACATATTCTGTAGTTTGCATATCTACAGACTGTTGAGATAACATTGTCAACCAGCCCTTATCCTTGAGGTCTACTACATACAGAAGAAAGAATCAAAAAGTACTGAAAAATATAAACTTAGTTCGTAATGTCACAGTGAACAAGGAAAATCATTCTGCACCTGTTTATTGACTCTATGAATGATGATAACTGATCACGAAGATGACGAAAGCAATGGAGACCAGCAAGTTCATCACTGTCCTGCACCATAAGATGAGAAGTGTAGATAAGCTCAAATGAGAAAACGAAAAAAGGACGTAGCAGAGACAATTTTTAGGCCATACACGTTCGTGCGCAAAAGTACAATGTAGTCACAAATTGGTAAAGAGAACAGCATCATAAAGGTGGTACCCCATCCATATATACATATGGGCAATTCTTCCTTTGCTTAAGTAACTATGTTATGTGACAACTCGTTAGAGTTTACCTATTCAAGGATGAAACCAAATGCATCCTTTGGCAGTAGCACTGTTGGCAAAACTGAGAAATACAATTAGGATAACCTCAGACAGGATGGAAAATCAGCCGTCCTCTCCAGATACAACCAACATAAGGCCAGCCAGCTCGGCCCTCAAATTCGTCAATTCTGGCCATCTCGCTAGCTTTTAAAAATAGTAAAGTGGGATAGAACCATCTCACCCCAATTCCATGTTAGATAACTACTCCCAGCCCAAGAATGAATCAGTCAATTCTGAGAACCATGTCCAGCAGTCGTGGGCAAATGAAGCCAATGGGTGCCACTGTCGGGCAAAACTCAAAGTCATGAGAAGCAAACCCACAACTAGACCAAACAGTTCGCCCACCAAACTCAAAATACCTATGTATCTTTTTCACAGAGTACAACATCCCACAGTTTGCATAAAAAATGAGACAAAAGTCAACTATCTTCCAACCCCTTCCTTTGATGGTCTAAAGACTTTGCTCCATTCATAACTGCAGATTGTCAGAATTCTCAATAGCCCTCTAAATAAAGGTTCCTTTTGATGCAATTCATTCTTTCAAATCGAAAATTTTGAACACTTGGAAGGCAGAAGTCAACTTTCTACTCAAGCAGATACCAACCCTCTGTGGTTTGCATAAAGAAATACATCAGCCCTCTGTTTCTTTAAAAAGACAGCCACTATGGACCATAGCAGAGCAAATACTGTGTAAAAAAACCCTTCAGTCAAATAATGTATGTGTCATTCCATCCATGCTACTATCTCATCTAATGAAACAGAAAGCTCATTCAACTTTAGGAGGAAAAAGTTAACCCTTATCCTTGGAAAAAAGAACTGATAACTGAGCGTTTCATCAGAAAGTTTATGTTATGCATCTCAAGACCGGGTGACGGCAGTTTGATGTGGTGGAATCTGGAAAGAAATAAAACGATGAATCCACAGGGTATGGAAAATGAAATATTTAAGTCCACTATAAATGATTGGGATGATCTTCTGATTCGCAGTGATTGAAGAAGGGAGTCCTCAGAATCTAGAATGAGAGACAGATCAAAATTATATACCGAATATAAAAAAATATCTCCATCTGCAGTAGGTAAAAATAGTTTTACTCCTCTCAAACACTAGGATATGATAAGAAAATATGCTAACAAATAAAATTTCTAAGGAAAGAGAAATTATTGCTAATGCTACGAAAGAAAATCCATTTTGGGCCTCATGAGCCATATAGATGATTCTATTGGTGTCTTCTGCGTATTGAGGCCTTTCACATTTCCTATGAGTCCATTCTAGATCACACACACTTAGTAATAGTTTCTCATAAAACGGCTATTTAATCATTTTTTCTGGTATTTTTTTCTTTCATCAAAAGTTCTCAATCCTTTCAAAAATGGATCCCTAATTTTCACATTAAAGATGGAAATTACCTGCAGATGCTGCAAGTCGTCGATGACATCCAGTGCACCAGCACAATCTGCAGATGACACAAGCTGTGACAAAAAATAAGACCGAGTCAAGCATGCCCAAGTATGGATCAGTAAAAAGATGCAGTGCACTATTTAGATATCACACACCATTAAAACACATAGTTATGATAGTATACAAAAAGGGCAAAGCAATTCATGCCTAACGATGCAAAAAAAGAATATAGCACTTCGTAGAGAACTTGGCTATCAAAACTAAACCAGTTTCATTTAAAAACCTAACAACATTGTGCGAGCACCAAAATGTGAGACAAAGCAACATCCACAGAACCTTGTCACTAAGTGATAAGATGATCCAAGGTCAATAGATTAGTGTCACAGTAGTACACTAATACCAATTGATAATTGTGTAAGGTTGATTCATATCTTCACACATGGATGGGTTTGATTATGCATATTATTAGACCGAATTAAAGTTGCTTAAAAAAAATTCCACAAAAATTATATATTTTTATAAAGGACAATTTATTTTTTTCATTTATAGTTCTCTGTCATAGAAAATACAAAATATAATGCTCAAAATTGAACATAAAAAGCAAAAGGGGGACACCATTTCCCTTTCATGTCTTTTCCCTATGATCCAATTGCACATCACACAAACATGTCTACATGATTAAAAGCAAAAACGGGCTAAAGAGTTTTACAAACCTTGAATTGATATACACTATGAGTAGGTAGCATCTATCACGGAGTACAGTGGAGAGAGTAGAGAAAGAGGACACAGGCTCCACGAAAGCGCAGAAATCATCATGTGAAATGTTATGGGGGGTGGATAGAGGAAGCAGGAGGGAGTTAACAAAACAAGATGAAGTAAAAAGTAGACATACTTACTTTACAAGATACTAAATGTGAAAGTGGAAAATATTAGTTAATGAACGAGATGGGAGGCGACTAGAAAACCAAATAAGTGTCTTCATCCAAAAAGATTGGCTGAATTGGCAATGATTCATGGAATTCTACACCAATTCTCTGAGGAGTTGTCCATAAGAAGTGAGGGAAATTGCGAAACCAACCTCTTCTGAGATAGACAAGATGAATAATTTGATGCAGCTAATATTCATCACTCACTGATGTTCAAGCAATTGTGTCTATTTGGACACATGAGATGTTTTCATAGTTTAAAAGAAAAAGATGTCAGAAGACTATTCCCCTGATATATTTTTTCCATTTATTTTATGCTCTAGAACACAGGATATTGTTATCACGATGGCATGACTGAAGGAAGACGCATGAAAAGGAAAACATGCAACAGAGAGTAGAAGAAAGCAAACAGATAGTTACCAGTTTCAATGCCGAAAGTGCCTGGCTAACATACAGTATGACAGTGAGCTTTTGCTGCAGTTCCACGAGGTTACTTCGTGTTGCATTAAGTTCCTGGACCTGCCTTGCAGAATCGATTAGATTGACGTTCAGTATCCTTATTGTCTCCTTCAGGCCCCTGATCCTCATGCAAGCCTCCAATATCTCACCATGCAAACCCTGGAGCTGTCCCTGGGCTTCAAAAAAAGAATCAGACCTCAGCGATATTTCTTTAACCAGGTGCAGCTCTACCACGTCCAGGTAGTGTGACAGTTTCTCCTGAAGGGCAGAATTCTCCAGGCCAATGGGAGAGAAAGGGCAGGCCGCCCGGAACGTCGCACCATCCTCCAGGGCGAAATCCTCCTTAAAGAAGAGTGAAGGGACTTCCCGTAGGCAAGCGACGAGTGCCTCCCCCTGGCCCTTGATCTCTGAACCATCTGCTATCTCTTTACTACTGTGCTTTCTGACGTCCTCAAATTTCGCATAAGATTCGAAGATCGACTTAATGTATGGCTGAAAGTCGACAAAATTAACCTCGGGAATTGGAGTGCTGGGGACAATAGATGGTGGGAGGTCGGGCGCAATGCCCGCCCCAGATGGCCACCAGGTAGACCATGGTGCATCCGAGCGGCTAGCATGGGGATTGTTGAGGATTGACGCGAGGCTTTGGCTTCCACTAGCCCCAACGCTTCCAGCATACGATGGGGAATCGTTGCTCGAGGTGGAGTTGGTGCGTCCAAGGGAAATTGAATCTTGGAGCCTCGCAGGCCCACCGACGAGGGACGATGACAACCTTCTCGGATGAGAAGGCAGCGTGTCCATTTGCCTCCAGTGCACTAAATGAGAGCCATCGAGCAGCAGAGAATACAAAACCTAACCCCCTCTCAAATCACTGCAACACACAACAGCAGTTCCTGGGTTTGCAAGAACCTGAGTGTAGGGAGGGGCAGATCGCCGAAGACGAGAAGCCGCAAATCCTTCAACAGAAAAATAGCAGAGAGTGTCCGATTAGAGCAACGGAGCAGGGATCTCCCCGGCTAAACTTCCAGTAGAGGCGAGCGGCGATCGATCGACATGCGGGATCTGGATCTGAAGCTTTTGCAGTGAGAACGAGCTATATTGGAGCCATGGCAGCGAGGAGACGCAGATCCTCCCAACTCAACAGTCGTGGTTTAGTTTCGCTGTTTCGCGGGGCATTGTATTCTAAGATGTTTCGCGCAAGGAATAGATTCCGTATTCGTTAACCCCCGCCTTTGGGGCATGTGGAACCACATGAAGTACTTTGACGCTGGCATTTGGGCCGCGGAGCACGTGATCCCCCTCCCCCCCCGCCCGGACGGTGCGATGAAGTGAGAGATAATGGACACCGTCCACAGACTCTGTAGAAGTTGAGAGCTTCCATTCGTTTTATCTTCTGGGGGAGAAGATGACGGGAGGCGAGGAGGAGGAGGCTTGATGCTCCGGACTTGAGATGGCGCTGAGGCTCACTACCGCGGCCACGGCACCGTGCTGTTCAAGGCGACATGGTTAGGCAATCTCTGCGCTGCAGTACGGAATCATGTTTCTCATGTTCGGGCTCCACTCCCTGTAATCTGTTTGCTCCTGCATACTTGCGGCCTGTCCATCTCGTTGCTGTTATGTTCGGACTCCGCTCCCTGCAATCTGGTTGTACTGCCTTGTTTAGTGACCACTTTTGGTTTCTTTTTGCGACGTCTGTGCCTCATTGAAACGTTTTGGGTGGAATAATAACATTGCTGCGCATGAATTAAAAGCAATGTGCAGATAACATAGGTTTTTGCTAAACCGTTCGTAGCATCGGAGATGGTTAGTTCTGAAATTTCTGTACTCCATGAACAATGCACCTTCCGGAACTCACTTATAAGGTGGTGCGTATGCGTTGAAAATAAAGGATATTTCATCGCTGCTTTGATTATGTGGACAACAAGTACATAACAGGAACGGTTTATCTTATTATGAATCTGGAAAGCAGAATTTTTCAAACATTCGGGTATAAAATCGGGAAATTATGCTCTGAAATTATCGTATTGCCTATTCCGATAAATGTATTTGAAAGAAAGATCAATATGCCATTACATCCTGACAAGCGATTGACTTTCTGGAGAGATCTTATTATGTGCTCCAATGTGATAGCCAACCCATATGTACTCAACTCGCCTTTTCCATTTTCCCTCTTCCCTGAAAAAAAAAAAAAATTGATCAAATAAGGGTTAGTTCTATATTATAAACTTTTCTCTACTAGAATTTTCAAGAGTCATTTCCATTTCAACATATCATCCTGCTATTGATCTGTGGTCGTACATCCTCATCATCCGCAACATTGGCCATGGGAATGGCATTCCCAGACAAGAAGTTCAATTTTGTTCTTTTCTCGGGGCGATCAACGTCTCCAATCACTTATTCACCGGCTGAATGCTTCCTATTGGTGACCTTTTTGTTTTTCTTTCCTGTTATCTTCCAAGTTCTTATCATCTCGTCTCAGCTTCAAACGGTTTCCCGTTAAAGCATACAGTGAAAAATTAGATCTGGGGACGTCGAATAGAATTCGATGTGCAACATTCCCAAGAGTCTTTCGGATGGAATTCCGAAGGTCTTTATCTTCGCAACTTTCCCAAATTCTACCCTGGATCTCAATCATCCTATCAGCAAACCTATGGATTGTTACGAACTGCCGTATTTTGTACCCATTTATTCCATGGGTAGTCACATATTTCTTTATTTTTTTATACTTTTCACAACATTGGATTGGTGCTTTGCTAGAAATTTCCATTGATAACCTGATGTGTCTATATTGACTCTATCACTTGACGCCATTAAGCCCAAGAAAAAGCAAGGCCAACGATCCTAGATTGGGGAACGGACAGCATTTGGTCTTTGGACAATCCAAGGCCACGTAGGGGAAGAAGAGAAAGATGCTTGGTGTTATCAGCATTACCGGAAACAGCTGTATCAGTCATCGTTACAGCCGTTGCAGTGGGTGCAGCTGCAACCTTTTTGAGAAGGATCCCTGAGGCTTCCCCCAACAAAGATGTATATTCTAACTCTCTATCTCAAGATGCCATCCTTCTGACCCATGTGTTGATGTTCTCTTGTCTCGATACTTGCTAGGCAGAGTTCTTTCGCTACATGCGAAGACTGTGGTGGCTCTGGCATCTGCTCTGAATGTAAAGGAGAAGGATTCGTGCTTAAAAAGTTGACAGACGAAAATGCGGAGAAGGCGAGGTTGACCGCGAAGAACATGGCAACCCGATACACGGCCGGGTGAGCATCATCTCTCCTCGGAAATCTACTACGATAACTCATCCTCACATTTCTTGTTTACTCTTCTGATCAAGGCTTCCAAGGAAGTGGACTTACTGTAACAAGTGCTCAGCATCTCGGTCCTGTACAGCCTGCAAAGGAAGTGGGAAGGTGAGATGATCCGCGTTTTCCTTCACTTTCTCTCTCTTCGGTGAAAGAAGGCCGGGAGAAAGGCGTCATTTTTATCCATGTTTTCGTGATTTTCATGCCCTTTGTCTCCGTTGTTTATATTTTTTATGAAAACCCATTCCGGTTTTTGTGTCTCCCGTGGTTTTCGATTTTTTCCCACTTTGGTAATCTTCTCAGAGTGATCTTTAGATTAATCATCGTATTGCAATGTTTCACAGATATTGCTATAAGATCCGGCGCGTATCTTCGACCCACATCCGTTCCTGCCGTTTAGTATTCGCAGCGGGGTTTCCTTGTATTTTAGTTTATCTGTACGAGCATGAATTTTGAGAACGGGGGAGAAGTAAACTGTGGATTGGGCCTCTCTCTCTCTCTCTCTCTCTCTCTCTCTCTCTCTCTCTCTGTTTGCACTTCAACCCCGGCTCAGATAGAGAAACACAGCAGCCGCTACGTGGAAGCTGGACGATACTCCGATGGAGAAGAGAGATTCAAATGGTTTACGGTGCATGAGTCTGTGGCTGCGCTGGTGCGTGTTTTTCCGTGTTGAAAGGAAGGGGTACTCAGTGTTGGGTGTGCATGTCGAGACGAGAGAGACAGGGATTGGCCCAGAAGCTGGTCCCCTTTTTCGACCATGGATCTGTGGCATTGCCCTCGAGGCAGGTCCACCTTCTCATTTGACTTCTCTCCCATGGCTCCTACTCGGCCTCTTGTCGGATATTCCTCTCCGTTCCTCTCTCTCCCGACGCTCCTCTTCCTCGGAGAGAACTCGTTGCACCGCACTGAGCGGAGGATAGAACGTCATCTCTCTCTCTCTCTCTCGCTCGTTCGCTCGCTCGCTCGCTCTGACTGAGTTTCAACGCGAGCAACTGAGGGATAGAGCAAGAAATGGAGAGAATTCGAGAAGAAACGCCTATTTAACTCGTTAAACTCCCCCCCCCTGTGATAGACAAACGCGGCCATGAATCCCAGCAGTAGCTCAGTAGAGGTCCTGTCAGGAATGAAAGATTCCCGGGGAGAGAACTGTCGGTTCATCCAGATGAACGAAATCCCGGAGGAAACCCAGAGAAGAAGCCGCTGCGTCGATCCCTTCCGCTCACTGGTCCCTGAGAACGATCAACGATAGAAGAAACAGGAACCATCCGGAGAGAAGCTCAAGGCGTTGGCTTTCGTTGGTCTCCTGAGATGCAGAACCCAGAAGAACGACAAGCGTAAAACCATGCAAGAACCGGTGTTTAGAGAGAGAGAGAGAGAGGAAGAAGGTGACGATGGCGGTTGACCTCGGGCCGACGCTCACCGCGAATTCGAAGTGGGATCTGAAGGCAGCGGCGAGGCCCCTGCTCGAGGGAGTCGACGATTGCCGATGCAGCATCATCAAGATTCTCATCTCGATCGATAAGGCATACGATGAAAACGAGCCCACCGCTCGGTCTGTGTGAATCTTGCTGATGCTACTCCAGCAAATGCCGACTGTTTAGAATCTCAAATACCGCGAAGCGCAGGAGGGGAAGAAGCACACTACGAAGATATATACATCTAGAGAAAGAGAGAGAGAGAGAGAGAGCGCGGGGGGGTGGATGGGAGGGGAGAGGGAGGCTATGAGAGCCGGGTTCGGATGAGAGATCGAGAAAGAGAGGAGACCGGATGCATGCAATGACGTGCTACTAAAGTAGAGGATGGCCACGGGTGAGTCGTCCCCTCCCTCTCTCCCTAGACTAGTTGCCCTCTCCGGGAGAAGAAGAATGAGGAGTGTCCGAGCCCGGAAGATCTTTCGGCGTCCTTCTTCTCCGCCCCCGGCGATGTAGCCACCGCCTACTGACCTTAGGAGGAAGAAAAAGGCTACACCCACCTATGATATGATCCGAATAATTGTACGGGGACGGAGGATGAGGGGAGGAAATGGTTGAGGCGAGAGTGGGGGAGAGAGAGCAAGATATAGAGAGAGGGAGAGAGAGGGAGAGAGAGAGCTTTTGCGAAGCGTTGTTGAGGGAGGGGAGAAGAGAAAGAGAGGGGGGCTAGCGGGAGACATCTCAACGAGGACCACTGCTTGTCCTCTTGCGGACGCTGGAAGGAGCTCGAATATACAACCGCCGACGAGCTCCGGCGATTTTACTGCGACCTATTAGTATCCAGTCACCATGAATCAACCACCCATTGCCTGCAAGAGAGAGAATCAGAGGAGCCAAGCCAGAGATCAAGTCACAAAACGAAGGTCTAGAGAGAGAAGATACACCTCCTCACTCTATCCACATCGCGGACCCCTTAATAATAATCCACAAACCCAAAGGATAATATCTTGATTACTCCGGTAAAAAAGAAAAACATCACTTTTTATAAAAAAAAATTGAACGTTCTCAAAGAAATCCTTCAACTCGCTCCACCACCAAGACCCACTTTCAAGAGCTCGATTTTTGGGTGGATAATTAATAATCAGCTCCGCCCGGCAAAGGGAGACCGTACACATTAAATCTTACAGAGAACCACGGAGCCAATTCTAAGCCTATATAAAATGACGACGTCAGCACTGGGCAAGCAGTCCAGTAAACAAATGAGCGTGAAGGCATTGAACCAGTCAAGTTTAGAGAGAGAGAGAGAGAGAGAGGTAGAGAGGGGAAGAATGAGAGAGATTATGAGACAGACGTTGCAAGATTGTGTAGTCTAGCTCGGATCTTGTCGATTATAATATTCAACCCAAATAAATACACGGTCGGTTATATTTTTTATTTACTAAAAATATAATTTATAAGCTCTAATCGAAGTGTATTTTCGGATATAAAGAATACAGCCGACCGTGTAATTATTTGGGGAGAAATCTTATCATCGACGAGATCCGAGCTAGACTACACAATCTTGCCACGTGTCTATCTCATAATATCTCTCATCCCCTCCCACCCTGTTTAAACAAATGAGCGTGAAGTCATTGAACCAGTCGAGTTTAGAGAGAGAGAGAGAGAGAGAGAGAGAGAGAGAGAGAGAGAGAGAGAAAGAGAGGGGGGGAGGACGAGAGATATTACGGGATAGACACGTGGCAAGATTGGGTAGTCTAGCTCGGATCTCGTCGATGATAAGATTTCTCCCCAAATAATTACACGGTCGGCTGTATTCTTTATATCCGAAAATACACTTCGATTAGAGCTTATAAGTTATATTTTTAGTAAATAAGGAGGTCTCCGCCTGCTGGGCCTGGCTGCTCCGTTCAGCCCACCACGAGCCCAAATAACTTTTTAAATCTCTGTACTCGAGAAAAACCCCGTAAAATACGACGTGTGGTAGATTTCTCTCTCCTTTTGGGGGAAAAAAAACTGGCTCTCTCTCTATCACTACCAACCGTTTCCGAGGGACCGGGCCAGGTTTTGGCTCGTCGGGGCACGTGAAGAGGACAACGTCCGTACGGGTCGCTAGTGCCTCTCTTTGGACGCTCGCGCGGGGGAGGAGGTTCGGTGGGTACGTGTCGTGATCTCCTCCTACCCCCACAGTGTTCTCCGACGGGCGGTCGTACGGAATTGGAAGATTTTAGAGTCTGCCGGTGGCGGGGCCACAGAACCCCGGAGGGCATTTTTGGAATATAAAACTATCCCTGTCCCCCTCCTCTGTCTGTCTCTGTTTCTCTCTCTTAGAGAGACGCGAGTGGTACGGCCTCGTGGGGTTGCTCAATCAGGATAGATCTTCCGGAGACAACAGCGAGCTCTGAGTGGACTGCTATCTATCAATCATCTCTCTCTCTCTCTCTCTCTCTCTCTCACTACCCTTCTTTAAATGACGTCATTTACGTGATTTAAAGAGACAAAAATCGTCAGGAAATATTAGCGACTAATTAAAAATAGGCGACATAAAATCGATAAGTACACGAAACTAATTAACCTTATTTATTATTAAATTCAAATAATTTTTCAAAATAGGCTGTAAATGGGCTGAAAATGGGTTTTTTTGGGTTGTCCAGGCGGACATAGAAGGCCCAACAAGCTAACGGGTTGAAAATGGGCCGATGGATCTGATCTCGTGTTTAGCGTCTGCGTATTCACTCTGAGATTCCCGTGCTGAGCGGAATAGCCCGTTTTGCCTCTCGATCTGGGGACGGTGGAGGAGCGCTCGGGTGGTCTGTGATGGGGAGGGGGGGCAGGAGATTCCTGTCTCTGCCCGTGATTGCCGTGATCTCGCTGATTGGCTTCGTCTACTACTGCACTGTGTTCGTTTTCGTCGAGAGCTGGTTGGGCCTGCGAAGCGCCGCCGGGATTTGCAGTGCTCTTGTCTTCAGCTACCTCGCGCTCATGTGCCTCGCGTCCTTCTGTGCTTCTGTTGTCATCGATCCAGGCCAGGTTCCCGCCTCCTTCGTGCCGGATATGGAGGGATCTGATGGAAATGTATGCATCCAATTTTTTCTTCGTGCATCTCATCAGTTTCCTGTTTTGACACGTCGGAGTTAGGAAGAGAATGAGAAGATGGTGTATCCTTGGATACGGGGAATCGTTCTTGATCTGTTTTCTTCTGGTACAGGAACTGATTGATGTGTAATGTTTGGTGGAGGGGAGGTTTTAGGGGTATCTTTCTTGACAGATTCCCTTCTCTCTATCTCGCTTAGTCGACTTCTCTCCTTGGATGCGATTGTCCCAGTAGGTTCTATAGAGTCCCGTGAAAAATCTCTTTGCCGGTTTATCTCGTGATGCTTTAAAACCTACTTGTCTCCACAGGTGTCATGTCTACCAATTTTCTCTTTAGGACCATTTTCTCGCAATTTCTGTGTGAAGGTTCTCATCAAATTTACCTTTGCTATAACTTTTCTTTAGCAACCTTGTCTCGAAATTTGCTCCTCAGTTGTGTGTATATCTTCAATTAAGACATTTTCTCTCAGTACTCTCTCACGTTTTGAGGTATATAAAATATTAAATATCATGTAAGAAAAAAAGCTCAATTATGCAATTAGGAGTTTATTTTAAAATACCCAATGTCATAATCATCCCATTCAATGTCATCGTGGGGTAGGTATTGCATATGGCTATCCACAGCTTTTTTTCTTTTCATCACATTCTTGTTACCTTATATCTGAACCAAAAGTTTGATATATACGGAGAATATTTCATACTTTTGGATGTCATCCCAAGTTTTCAAATCATATGGCTGAACTCCTAGGCGTGAGCAATATTCATCAAAGGAATTTGCACAAAAGTTCACTTTATTTTGGTACTGTGTAGATAACCGGTTTCTTTTCGTCACGTTTCTTCTTTTTCATACTCTATGGGCCCTATCATTATCAACTAGCGGTAGATCCATGATATCTGTCAACTTCATTTTTGAGAACTTGAAAGACGTTCGGAATTCCGATTTTTGGTTCTCCATATGGATTTCAGACGCTAATTAGAAAACTCCTTAAAGTAATGTCATTCGATCTTTCTGTGTCAAAATGCCATACGAAAGAAAACTTTTTGTAAACCCCCATCTCGTTTCCCTGAAAAATCTGTGCTTCTATAATTTATGGTACATGAAATCCTTCTCATCCTGGACGCCAGTATGAATTGTATTCATTTAGTCCAGACTTGTCTCTGATGGTAGATATTCCTTGGGTGATCAAACCAATCCCATCTATCTGCTTCTATGAAGCATCCTCAGGCGGTTTTTGTTGCCAAGGAGTTTTGCTTGTGATTGTTGTGAAGGGCAAGAAGCTTTTCAATGTTGATCTTTCTAATGTTCGAGGGAGCTTAAATCTAGCTGGTGACTGGTATACAGATCTCTAACGGGAGAGGGAGAAGAACCAATCTGTTGGTTCTTTGTTATCCCCTCTCAAATTTCAAGGTGTGGCCCATGAATTCCTCTCTGGAGGATTGGTGAACTCTTGCACGCCAGTGTTGAAATGAAAATGATTGCAACGGATTTCATCCTATAGAATTTACGAACTTTCATGATACTTTTTAAGAATAATGTTAGGTTTCAATCTTTCAGTTTTGTTGGCTCAGTAGAAATGAAAATTGCAGACGCTAGTGCATTCGTTCCAGGCTGTGCTCAGCTGGGCCCGTCACTGATCCCGGAAGATCAGTGACGGCTGTTCAAGTTAAATCCATCCATTATGTTTCATTCCTGGCATGCACTAATCTGGGCCTTCCAGCTGTCTAACTGGTTTGATCATTTCGTCTCCAATTCGTTGCATCTGTTTACGGCATTCTTCTCTGGTGCTTTTGTGCTCATGAAGAATCAATTGCATCAATTGCGCTAGCCGAAGCTGATGACAGGGAAGGGTCGGTCCTTGTTGTACCTGCGTAAGGGTTGTTCAATTTAAATGCATCCGTTGCGTTTCATTTCTGGCATGCACTAAGCTGGGACTTCCAACTGTCTGACTGGCCCGTTCATTACGTCTTGAATTTTGTTGCATCTTTTGCTACATTTTTTATGGTGGTTGATGGGAGGGAAGGGGCGCTCCTTCCGAAATTAAAATGTGCCCTTTAGTTGTTTATCATATATGAATCAGAATTTTAATTGCACATGTGGCGGTTTACAACCCTTTCTTTCCTTTATTTTTTTCGGAAGTGGAATCCCTTTTTTAGTTAACATTTCTGCTGAAATGGACTGCACTAGAAAGGCAGGTTTACGAGATGCGCGCTTGACTCCCTGCACTTCATGTCTGCTGTATTTGGGATTGTAATTGACTCTGAATCATATACCATTTCGAGTAGGGCGTTCGTCTAAAGTACTGTGGCAAGTGTAGCAGTTACAAACCTCCAAGGTCTCACCACTGCCGAGTCTGCAGAAGGTGTGTGCTGAAAATGGTGAGTGCTAAAAATCAATGATTTGTAAAGCTTGCATTACATGAGTAATCGTTATTTTTTTATTTCCTTAGCTACTACTAGGCCGGCTCAATCGCTCAAATGCTTGTGTTTGCTTTCAGGATCACCATTGTTTGTGGATAAATAATTGTGTTGGATATGCAAATTATAAGCCCTTCATTATCTTTGTTCTTAATGCGACCATTAGTTCCATCTACTCAGTGGTAAGTGAATTGGCCTAACCCCGGTTCAGGAACCATCATTCTTTATACTTTTATCTGCGCATATATTTTATTCTTGTGTAGAGCATCATCATAGCATGATGCCAAATTGCCAAACAGATCTTATATAAGTAATCTTCATTCATTTCAGGTGGTATTTGTGGGTAATATACTCCATAATGATCATAAGTTCATTGAAAGAGCTTCTTCTAAGCTCTTTAACGTAAGTGTGTTTTGTTGTTTCTCCATTTCTTCCCTCGTTGTGATTATCTGGCCAAAAAATAGCTACAGGCTTGCCAAAGGGAATACAGTTCATTTTACATGAAAAAAAATTAAGGCCTCACTAAATTCACCAGGGATGCCAGATATTCTCTTAAGATGTCATCTAGCTGCACATTGGCTACTTCCTTTCTATACAGTTCATTCATTCTCCACTGGTTTCAATTAATTGTACCAGGTTGCATTTGGTTCAACAGTGATGATCTTAAGCATTCTCTTGGGCACTCTGCTGGGTTGGCACATCTTCCTTATGTGTCACAACATGACGACCATCGAGGTGGGTGTTGATATTTTCAGTAGCCCACAGGGGCTGCTATTCCTGCAAAGGGCATTGACTTGGGCTTGATTATCTGTTGACCAGTACCGTGAAGCGATAAGGGCCATGTGGCTGGCCAGGAAATCGGGTCAACGCTACCACCATCCCTTCGATCTCGGCCCGTGCAAGAACCTTTCCTCGGTCATCTCCTTGTGCTCTCTTTTCAGATTCTACAACATCCCATGTGCTCTCCATGCTCTTGCTCAGACATCTGCCTTCACTCCGCTTCTCAGACTCTAGGCCCGAATGCCCTGAAATGGTGGTGCCCATTGGCGGTCGGGCATCTCAGAGACGGCCTCCAGTTCCCAACCAGTAGACAGTAATGGCTTAGACAGAAGAATCGGATTCCGCCTCTGCGCAAGGGACGAGGCTACAACAGCCCCACAGAAGGGTAACCCGGGGCGGCCCGGTAAGCTCCTCACCCCCTATAGTGTGTGCTACTGTATCCCCCCCACAGTCTCATGTATACGTTGCCTGCAGACTCAGCAGATACGATGCAGTGCCTCGATAAGGATGCCGCGGCTGTTCCCTGGGAGGAAGGATGCGAGGATGCTTCCCCTGTGCTTACCAGGCTCTGGCGGCTCCCCTCAATGAATGGGATGTGCCGATTGGGATTCTCAAAGCTTGTGTTTTTATGAAACCAATCAGATCGCCGCGTTGGAATCGCTCCAGGGATGTTTATAACGAGTCCGCGACTCGGGGCTTAGGGGGGTGTTCGTTTTATAGGATCGGTTTGTGCTGGGCCGGCCTGCTTGAACCGGGTATAGCCGGTTCGAGCCATTGGCGGATCTCCTATCGCGACCGTTACTTTACCGTCACCCTTTCCGCCATTTTTATAACGGAAAAGGAAGGGGATAATAATTCCGCCTCTGCCCCTCCAGATCTGATCCGACGGTTCCAGTGGTCCCACGTGGGGGGGGGGCGTCGATGGCGGAGCGCCTCCCTGCCCTTCTATCACCCTTCGCCTTTTCTTTTATTCCTGTTTGGGTTCCTCCCCGTCTTTGCTGTGTCTAACTTCGCCTTTTCCGCTCAGCGACCTTTCAACCCTCCGATCAGTTGGCGTGGAATCTCGGTGCGGCGGCGATGCGAACATGGAGTGGACCTCGCTATCCTTCTGATCATGATGTTCTATTCTGATTATTCGACGATTTTCGCCGCTTTGTTGGCGTAATTTTTTATATAGGGAGTCTGCAGACACGAGGAGTTTTGACGGGCTCACCTTGGCGTTTCTCGCCGGTGTGCCGACCTGATTGATGCGGCAAATCGCTTAAGGTGAGCACTTCCGTCTTCCTCGATCCGACTTCCATCTGTTATTCTATTTCTACCGTCGTAGTGCTTGAACCCGATAGGGTTTTTTGTAGATGGCGATGGACGATCCCGTGACCATACCGTCGAGTCTGGGGAGCGGGAGTCTGGAGGACTTCGAGATGGATCTTGAGGATCTGCTGCAGGAGAGCCAGCAGCAGCACCGGAGTAGGGCGGCGGCGGCCGCCACCCTCGAGCGGGAGAGGGAACTCAACATCATCCGTAGCGGCAGCGCTCCGCCGACCGTTGAAGGGGCAAGGACGGCAATCGGCAGCCTCTTTGGTGATCCAGACTTTGGTGGCTTCAATTTGACCGATGGCTATGACCCACGGAACATGCTGTCCGAGGAGAAGATTAGATCGTACCCATCGTACCTAGGTTATTACCAATCAAACGAGGCTTCGCATCAGAGGCTTCACCTCCCGGCTCTTTCCAAGGAAGATTGGCTCATCGCACGGCGGTTCCAGGCGGGCGCATCCACCTTTGGTGGGGTTGGTGACAGGAGAAACGTACTTGGTGGTGAGACTGCCAATGGAAGTGACGGTTTATTGTTCTCCCCGCAGTCCGGGCTTCCTCCGCGCGGTGTTGGTGGGGAACAGTCAAAGATGAGACAGGGTTTGCGGAGGAGTTTTTATCGGCAGCCTCCTTCAGAATGGGGTGAACTGGGAAACAATGATCTGATCGGGCCTGCGGCGATAGGAGTAAACGCGAGGAAGAACTTCGCCGATGCACTGCAGGTGGTTTTCTTTTTGTATGAAATTGATCCTTTTTCTCATGAGTACTTATTCTAATACGTAACCACGTGCATCGGTCGATTGTTATAAATTCGTCAGCGAAACGGGTCTGATATGTTTTCACATTTCGGCCATTTTTCTTCTGTATTGTTTTGTTTTTATTTTGAGATATTTATGAGTTTTGTCATATGTTTGAAAGTTTACTAGTCGGTTGCCTCGTTAGAACACTTTTATCATCCTTCCTGAGTACGTTTTGTTTCCGAGAAAATTCATTGTTTCTGTGCTGGCATATGGTTTCATCTCTTTTGCTCGCTAACCAATCTTCCGCAGTACTGTGTTTTCAGCATTGGATTTGGTGGGTTTGGGGGAGAAAGCTATTCCAGTTGCTTTAGGAATTTTTTTCGCTGTTTCTTTCATCTCTTTTATGCCCCAGATTGGAAATTCCATCCGGGTAAAGAGGTCCAAATTTTCGTGTCTTGTTCTATCATTCCTCGAGTTTACTAGGGTTTGTCCCCATCCATACGACCTGTCGAATGGAAGGTGAAACCTTTACTGCTTAAGGAGGCACTTGATGGAATCCTAGTATTCTTGGAAAAAATGTTATCTTTTAAGATATAGATAACATTTCTGTTCGAGAGGACAACAATGGAAATCCTCAGGTTGAATTAAAAAATGCTCAAGCTGATTTCTTACGTTTACCATCCGCCTTGAGTTACTCAGAACTCGTGTTTGGGTCCTTATTTAAAATCTGTACATTCTTCTATAATTGCAGAGAAGATAATCTTGATCGAACATCTTCACACGCTTCTTCTTGAAATATAAATAGAAGGAACAACTGAAAAAATATTATCTGCCTCTTGTTTGCCAGTGTGATGTTTTGTTACTCTGTAGATTCATCTGTGTTTTACTTCGTAATAAATTAAAAGGGCGTTCTCATGGATTTGATTTGCCTTGGTCTGACATTGCCTTGTCGGACATAGAGGTCACTATGTTCTATAAGCTTGAAATGTTTTTCTTCGAGTAGGCATCCCGCCAAAACCATCTCTCCTCATTCAACTAGATTTTTTTTGGTTACAGAAGGAGCATGATCGAAATTCTTCTGCTGCCGTTCGTCATCTATCATTCACAGGCCGTGGGGCTTTTGATAATGTTGTTGACCAAGGAGTCTCTGATCCCCAGCTGTTACAACTGCAAAGCGGATTGGAAACCGTGGATAGGTTGAAAATGCGAACTAATTCTCCCGGTCTTGTGAGAGCACAGAGCTTTAGTTCTTCTATTTCCAATTCATTCACAGGTGTCATTGGCCCATCAGTCAATAGAAGCATTACTCCTGATCCGCAAGTTTTTGGGAATTCGTCAAATTTATCTCTTCCTATTTTTGGTCGGAGAGGTGAAATATCATCCAATGGTATCTCCACTAGTATAGCTGACCACCATGATATTGCCGCTGCTTTGTCTGGTTTGAATCTTTCAAATAATAGGCTAGAAAATGAAGGAAAACGTGGTCAGAGTTATGAAGAATATGCTGATAATGGCAATTACCTGTTCAATATGTCCAACGACTACAATAACTATTTACAGCACCAGAATATGAAAAAGTCTGAAGTCGATTCATTGAGCATTCCTGGCCATATGTTACCCGCAAAACATGGAGCTGTAGATAATACTTTATCAAAGATGACCTCCAATGGGCAGATCAATCTTCAAAATGGTATTGCATCAACTAATGCCTATGAACAGCTACTAGCAGGTTCAGGTTTTTCAAATGGATCTGGTAGCTCTGTGAATGTAGATTTTCCCATGAATCATGTGGGCAGTTTTGCTGGTGATTCCTTTCTATCTAACCTTTTTCATCTGATCTTTTCCAATTTATTGTTTCACTGTGACGAAAAATTATCATTTATGTTCTTTTTTTCGCATCAATGTACAGGTGGTATGGAAGATCAATTTGTACATGGCAGAAAATATTCTGGATCTGTGCCCCAGTCCCCTCTTATGGATCCATTGCTTGTGCAGTATTTACTAGGAAATGATTCAGTTCCAAATGCTGCTATCAGGTTGAGTGATTCTTCTCTAGGACAGAGCACCATAGGCTCTTCACAAATCGACTCATCTGCCTATAATAAGAAGGCATCATTGGAAACTTCGCTTGCCCAACATAAGTTGCAGTATGGGATCCCTTCAATAGGAAAAACCGGTGGTTTAAATGATGGGTACCATGGCGCTTCTTTTGATCTTGGGATGCAATACCCTCCAGACCCCACCTCTGGTTCTATTCTTTCTTCTTTGGGTAATGTGAGTCCTCTACGACAAGGTGAGAGATTTTCACGTTTCCCTGCCACCATGAGAAGATCACCGGTAGGGCCAGTGGGATCTTGGAATTCAGAAAGTGGTTCTACACGAGAAGGGTTTGCATCATCTCTGCTTGAAGAGTTCAAAAGCAATAAAACAAGAAGCTTTGAGCTATCGGAAATTGCTGATCATGTAGTTGAGTTTAGGTATGTTTTTCTTGCAATTTCCTTATTTTCAATGCTGGTTTATGGGATTTGTCATTGATTTACTCATTTATCTTCCTGTAATTTTATTTAGTGCGGATCAGCACGGGAGTCGATTCATCCAGCAGAAACTGGAGGTTGCTTCAGATGAAGAGAAAAACAAGATTTTTTCTGAGATTCTTCCTCACGCTCGTGCATTAATGACTGACGTTTTTGGTAACTATGTCATACAGAAGGTTTGCGCCCACCCTTTTCTCTTATGGCTCTATTTAGCAATCCTTGACCTGCATTATGAAGTTTCTCTGGAATACCCCCATTGGCAGTTTTTTGAGCATGGTACTGAAAGGCAGAGGAAGCAGCTTGCTGGTCAGCTTATTGGTCATGTTTTGCAACTCAGTCTTCAAATGTATGGTTGTAGAGTTATTCAGAAGGTGCGCTTAAAATCTGACTGCCATTTACTATCGGCTTCTTCTTGTCATATAAACTTATTGCGAGTTTTCTTAAGCACATAACCCCCATTTATGCTATTACTTGCTTGGTTCTTTAAAGAGTAACAGTAAGAAATGTTTTTTTCTTTAAAATTTAAAGATTAAACTGCGGTTTCGAAAATCATGGTTAATATCATAAAATTTAAATGGGGAGTTTCTATGAAATGGGGTCTCAGTTGTGTTGTGTATGAATTATTGCCTAAGAGTTTCTCATGTGTATACTTATTGATGGTTTTATGAATCTAAGAATATACTTACTCTTTCTCAATTATTAGATATAAATTATGGGCTGCATTTTATTTGTAATGGAGCATCAACACATTCCTCCCTCCCTCTCCCCTTCAAGGACTCATCCAATTCTAATTAGAAGAATGTCGTATTATTATTTAATTGACTCCCATTCAGGTGGGCGATATGCACACCTCCTTGGAAAGATGTTACAAACTTAGGTTGATCGCAACTGCCTTAACTGAGCGATGCTGTAAATCATTGGATCCATGTTTAGTGAATATTAAATTACTTTATTTTTTTTCTTATTCCATAAATAATTTTTGGGGAACCAGATTCTTGTGGGGCCTATTAACATTTTAGTTTTAAAACAAAACATTTTATGAGCTCTTTAATTCTTTTCTGCTAAACTGATTTAAGAATGGGAAGACCTACATGTGGGAGTTTGGACCTTAGACAGTGAGGATTAAGAGCTAGGTCATGTGGAAAGAATTGCTGTTGGTGTTATTTTTCCCATTCATTAGTGTGTGTGGGGCATGGTGAAGGGAGCGTCATTGTGTTTTCAAAGTGTTGATTTTGGAAGTGCCTAGGTTCATAATTTTTTGTACTAGTAGAGCGTGAGGTTTCTAAGGAGTGGAGATGGAAACGATATATATTGTGTGACAGAATGGTACGAACCTGACTTGAAGCTGTGCGTATGGCTAGATGGCGCTTTGGTATGAGGAACCGAATGTTTTGCCATGAAGAAATTAAGTGAGAATTTTACAGTGGATCCGTTGTAGCTTTTTTAGAATTAAAGATGTGTGAAAAAAGATGCTTGCATGGAACGATTGGAACGTGCTGGAGGCCGTTCAGTTCTGTCGGCATCTGAGAGGTGGATATTTGAAGCAGATAGCACTGGGGAGAATAAGCTTCGTGTGTCTTATTCTGCAGCTTACAGTGCATCATATTGTTTTTTGGATTTGAAGTATGGTTTATGTACATTTTATCATGTATTTCATTCATTGCGGAATTTAGGCCATTCCTTATCACATTATGAATAACTTCCAAGGTACCCATTAATGTCCTTTTACCCATAAGACAGTTATTTAGTGAGTCAGATCGACCTCACCATATAATGAACATGATGCTTTTAGTTTGGAATTCTTATTTTCAATTAGTTTTGTAATATATGAGGTATATCCTCGGTCGTACTTATCTAATTCTTGGACGAACCGTTTTTTAGTTTCAAGTTTCTCGGATTTGAGAATCAAGTTTTCAGGAGTCTCATCAACATGATTACGGCCTCTGCTCCAACTTTTTTACAGGCTTTAGAAGTGGTTGATGTCGACCAGCAGGCTCAAATGGTGTCAGAGCTTGATGGTTCGGTTATGAAATGTGTTCGTGACCAGAATGGTAACCATGTGATCCAGAAATGCATCGAGTGTGTTCCTCAAGATAGCATTCAGTTTATTATATCGGCTTTTTATGGGCAAGTAGTACCTCTTTCCACCCACCCATATGGCTGTAGGGTTATTCAGGTACCACATTGACACTCTTTTCTTAAGATCCCCGATTCTGGATGCCCGCAGTTTTGTCTCTAAATGAGTTTCCCTTTGGGCAGAGGGTGCTGGAGCATTGTGATGATACAAGGACACAAAGCATCATGATGGATGAGATACTGCAAGCTGTGTGCACTTTGACACAAGACCAATATGGAAACTATGTCATCCAGGTATGATATCTCTGTTTACGATTGTCGTCTATTTTTTTCTAGTTTTTTGAAGAATGGCTGGTGCCATATATTCTCTGGAGGTAACAAAAAAAGAAAAAAAGAAAAAAAGAAAAAAAAAGAAGCCAAATTCTAGCATAGTATCTGAATTATGAAGCACCGTGTTCTGTCATTCTAGGTCCACTCACTGTATGCAAAACTGAACCAATTTCTTTTAAACTGAGATGGAAATAAAGTCGTAGCATCTACCTTATTCATTGTTGACTTTTATTTCTCATCTTTTTTTTTTAATGGTTCTGTGCTATTTCCTTTTTTCAGCTCTTCTCATTAGTGAATTGACCTAATCTTCTAAGCATTCGAGTTATGTAAAAATCTCATAACGCAAAGATCAGAACAGGGAAATAATAGAATTTCCCGGCATAATTTCCAGTGACAAAGTTTTTTCTCTTGGTAAAAGAATAAAAAATGAAAAAAATAAATGGTGGCAGTTTTTTCTCATGCTCACGTCGTGTAACTTAAACACGGTTGTTCATCTCTTTATGATTTTATCCATCCTTTCATATCTTTGAGGAGCCGGCTGATTCTGTTTCTGGCATGTGGGCAATTGCAGCACGTTCTGCAGCATGGCAAACCAGAAGAACGCTCCGCCATAATAATCAAGCTTTCTGGGCAGATTGTAAAAATGAGTCAGCAGAAATTTGCATCCAACGTCATCGAGAAGTGCTTAACTTATGGAACGGCCGATGAACGCCAGCTTCTCATCAACGAGATTCTCGGCCCTAACGATGAGAACGAGCCCTTACAGGTGCGCATTGCTTAACTTTTGCCTGAATCTGCTAGAAGAATCCTTCTCCTTTTTATTTTTATTTTTCATCAATACCATGATTTATTTATTTATTTATTATATTATTATTATTAGTCCGAGTAGTGCCGACCATTTATTGTGGAGATTTGGTGGTCCCGGAATGATTGTCACGCCCTTTGCTGGTGTGACATGTGGCCTCCACTGGATTTGGATCAGAATGCATTCAAAAGAGAAGGTGGCATGACAGGTGCCTTTGGCCCCGGGCACACCGAGAATATTTCCCCAGCTGCGTTGACTAAACCTCACGGGGTGCATTCAATCTCTCAAACCCACCCACTGGGTCTTTCTGGGTGGATCAGACGGTCCGGGAGAGCATAATTTCTTGGGCTCCACTGGGCCAATCCTTTGGAACCATGCTCGCGATCATGCATGCTGCATTTCATCAGTCAGTGTTGACTTTTGTTTGTTCTCCTTCTCTTTTATTTTGGTGGGGTTGGTCAAAACCCTTGCTCCAGGCGATGATGAAGGACCAGTTCGGGAACTACGTTGTACAGAAGGTCCTGGAGACCTGTGATGACCAGAACCGGGAGCTGATTCTCTCCCGCATCAAGGCCCACGTTAGCTCCCTCAAGAAGTACACGTACGGGAAGCATATCGCCGCCCGCGTCGAGAAGGTCATCGCAGCCGGAGGTATTCCGATCGGATTCCTCCTTCCCGTCTTCCTCTTTCTTCTTCCTCCACCGATTGATAAGAGAGAAAGAGAGAGAGAGAGAGAGAGCTTTCTAACGCGGCGGCGGCGCTGTTCTTCGTTGCTCAGAGCGGCGGATGCTGATGTCGTCGAACGCGTCGTGAAGGGCCGGGGCGACTGTACAGAGCAGCAGCAATAGCCGGGAGTGGGAGGAGGAGGAGGCCCCTTATGTAAATAAGTGGCGGGCACCTCGGAATAAGTCTTCGCTGTACATTAACTTTCTGTGTAAGCTGACAGGGGTGACTTCAAGCGGCGGCCAGGCAATGAGGGAGGTAAATATTAGGTTAATGGAGAAGAGCGGGGACTGTTGTCTTCTGAGAGAGTGTATACACAATCGTTGGGTGCTTGCTGTAAATACGGCCGGAGAGGGAAGCGAATGTAAAGGGCTGGTTTCTTATGTGAGGCGGCCCTCCGCTCCCTCTCTTTCTCTCAATTTTATTCCAACGTTTCCGTACGATCTCAAATCCCAGCGCTCCAAATTCTCACTGATTTGTTATTGGCCGTCTGATTCCTCCTCCCTCCAAATTCTGCCCGCTTTCGTCGCTTGCTCCTAGAGACAGTAGCTAGCGATACATGTACACAAATATATACATATCTAGAGAGAGAGAGAGAGGAGGCGCCTGTAGGAAGAAGTCCGGGTGGAGGGTAGTTTTGGGAATAATTATGAAATTTTTGTCCAACAGTGACGTTGAAATTTTAGTCGAGTGGAGGCGCTTTGGGCCCATTAGAGGACGCTATCTACCTTCACCGGCGGCGCCCAAGAAGCGGCTATCCCTCGCTTCGGCTGTGGTGGGCCCCACTTGGGTTCTCCTCGACTGTAAACTCCTTCCTCCACTTATCTATATGATGGGCCAACGTTGTAATGTTGACCCCCGGGGGGCAGGCACTTCTGGTCTGCGCTTGTTGTGGAAATCGCGTAAAGTTCGCGGTCAACTGCGTGGGCCCCATCCCCTTCTTCTTCTTCTTCTTCTTCTTCTGGTGCAGTGGGCGGCGTGGGGGACTGCGGCCTCTAGTGCCGGTTTCCGAAGTGCCACCACCGCCTCTTCTTCTTCGTCTCCAACGCCGGCAACTCTGCGGGCCCACAGAGTCTAACGTGAGGCGAGGGCTCGTGGGAGTATCGGAAGGCTCGTTTGAGAGGTGCCAGCGATCTCACCTCCTTTGGGATAGATGGAATTGTAGTGCACCTCGGCCCAGAAACTCAAGCATATTACTGAAACAAAAATCACCACCAGTCAGTCAGTCAGTCAGTACGCCTCAAGCACTAGTAACTAGACGATGCCGATCACATGAACAAGTACGCAGATAGTAAATATGAGATGGTCAACGCAGAAACTATTGTTCTAGGAGTCAGCTGATAGGCGTATCCTTCCTTCCTCCTAGCTTGCTTTTCCTCTCGGCAATCTTCCGTTGACTTTCAGCGGGGTGATGGGCACCATTACTCTGGGTTTCTAAGTAGGCATTGAAGAATGGGAAATGAGGATGCTTGATGGCCGGAGTAGAACAGAGGGATCTTGGCAGTCAGCGAGTTTGACCCACTTTGACTTCTGAAAGAGGGTCGAGCGAAGATACCTCGCTTTGACTTCTGAGCGCTGGGGAGTATCTCAATGTAGCAGGTGTCCTTGAAGGATGTGATGACAAAGATTTTGACCCCGTACTGAAAAGATGGAAATATTAAAATCCCCCACTTGGGCAAGCAAGATGATAAGACATCGATCTGGGGACTGTGGGACGGTCGCATACCGTGTCCGCAGCAGCCTGAAGCGTGACGTGGTCGCCCCATTCACCGGTCCTGTCCGATGATCGAGAGGCGGAGAAATGAAAAGACAATTCAGAGATGAAAGCATGGCTGTCGGGAGCGTACCGGGACAGCTTCTTCAGATACTCGCCATAGTTCATGGGTACATATCCTTCGTAGAACTCGGGGTGAGATCTAAGCTGAAATTTTAGGGTTTTGGGAGCGGATTATGTACAGCCGCGCACCAAGTCTCATAGCATACATACAAAGGCAATGCATGTTGTTCTCTCACAAACAAGCACATTGATGAGCAACTAGGGGAAGCGAGTTGGAACCAACCTGATTGATTATCTGCAGCCTGACGAACTTGTGATGCTCTGGAGTACGGTAGAATTGATCAGATATCGCTCGGAACTAAGGGGAATCAAAGTTCATCACGAAGTTATAAATAAAAACAGAAAAAAAGAAGAAAAAAAAAGAAAGAGGTCAGAAGCCAGAAAAAGAAAATACCCCTGGGCCTAGGATAAAGCTGCGGAACATATGGAAACATAGATCAAACCATCAGCTGGTTAAAAAACATGGGATTTCCACATGGAGATGCATCACGGATCATGGGTATCGGTTCAAACATGTTCTGTACATATTTTCTTTTGAGTTGGTGAATCACGGATGGACTCATACACTGCATGGATTCAATAATCTAATGAGAAATCTACAAGGTCTCTTCTTGAGCATCTCCCATGGAGGGTTTTACATTGCATGGCAGCCTGAAAGAAGTGACCAGGAATGAAGAAGAGAAAGAAGACGATAGAATTTCAAACACCGGTGTCTCCCCAGCCACTGGTTTTGATTTCCAAAATATAAATTTTAAAATTAAGAAAAATGGTGAAGGTGCAACAAGGGAGCTGGTCTAACGCCATTATTTATGTGCATATAAGAGTTTTTTTCTCAAGGAACCATGAAAGTGGCATATCTATGTTTAAAAGAGAGAGAACGCCACGAATTTTTAACAACTCCCTTAAATTATTTAAAAAATAATTACCATCAAAATTTAATCGTAAACACGCTCACAATGGAACCATGTAACATATATTTTATTTGCATGATTAATCGTGTTTCATGTTGATCTGTATTTTAAAATAAAATGAATTTATTAGTCCTTTTAAAAAAATTACCAAATAGTCCACTTGAAAATTCATTAAATAATTATGTTTTTATTAAAGTCTATATTTTATAAATCAATTAATTCAAAATTATCTAAATGAATACATGACATATAAATATCATGATTTTCAAATATTTTTTTAAAAAATTAATTTAAAAAATCATCTAAAAATGACATGTAAAAATACTTAAATTGACCAGAGGATTTCAATGGCTAAGGTATTTATTCATCGGTGTTTATCAGGTAATAACTACACATTTAAAATGTGAATCTTTTCCTTCAAATTTGCGATATCATAATATTACTACACATCACCCAAACTTTTTTGTATTGGATGTTTCTCAAAGATGCAAATAAAATGGCAAGACACTCACCTTGACACTGTTAATGCCAAGGTAGGGCATTCAAAAGTGGCATATGACCAACTTATTGGGCACAACAGGTTGAGATAGGAAGTTGTAATATCCCAGAACAGTGTATAAACACTTTCTCATTGAAAACAAGAAGTAAAAAAACTGGAGAGGAAAGCACATAATTCCTAAACTAACCTGGCAGTTACCGTCTCCAGGAACCTTAAGCTCTACCAATTCGTACAACTGCAACCTAAGCCAAATATAGACCATCCTCACAATCTAATACAACAGAAAAAAATACCAAATGCAGAATTACGTCATATTGGAGAGTATTTTCTTCTTAAAACATGCATCGTACTAGTATACAGAAAAGGAAATGGATCGAGGGCATAAATCAAGATCATATTGGACAGCATGTAGACAGAGAAGAAAATAAAGTGTATGATCATCAATCTCCACATGAAACAAGAGTGAGAGAGATAACAGATGAAAACACTACAACAGATGCATTTCCCAGTTGTCCTAGGGAACTGTTTATGAGGCTTTTCGCAAGAAACATCAGTAAAAATCATCTGAGGAGAGTACCGTTCAAGAAGCCTCTGATGGTCAGAAATGGCTTCATCCACTGAAGGAATTTCTCCATTGATCCTTGGAATATGCTGCCCCCAAAATTAAAATTCTCAAAATCTTATAAAAATATATTTCACTGAAAATGTAAAAAAAAGGTTTCATACATGGAATGAATTGGAAAATGATCCTCAATACGCCACTTTGGTATCATAATATAAAAACAAATGGGGAAAAAAAATCAATCTAGCCCTAAAAAAGAAAACAAGTCATACCGCAAAGCCTTCAACTCAACGATATTGTACATAGTTTTAACTAAAAATTCAGTTTCCTAGTGTTTTGAACTTGAAATGACTTCAAAGGTACATGCACAAATATAAGCCTAAAAGCAATCAAAGAATGTTACTCCAATGGCAGGGCACATGAAAAGGAATGGAGCCTCGAAATGACTAAAAATCAGAAACATTTACAATTAAAACTATATAGTAACAGAGCTTGGCCTGAGAAAACTTTCAGGAAAAACAAATTCGCAGACAGAAATCCACTAGGTCAAATTTGGAACGAGAGTACTAGCATAAAATCAGTGCCTTTACTGAATACATAAATAAATTTTAATAACAAACAGAAGCTCAAAGACTCACAGGCGTAGGAACCATTTGATTCAATCTCTTTCCAACTTCGCCATCAAGGAGACAGAATTCATCATCCAGTTCTAATAACCATTCCTCCCCATCATAAGCATTTTCCTCAGGGCTTGAGCATGAACTGGATGGTTCCATATTTTCTACATCCCCCTGTTCACAATCAGTCCCTACAACAAAGAAGGATATGAAAACACTAACTAATCCAAAAAGCAAACACAAGCTACCGTACTGAAGAAGCATATGGTGCATGTCCTAATTATCTCAATACCTGAGCAAAAATTTCTCGTTGGAGAACCGTACCACTCTTGTGTAAGCAAAGATTGTTGCAAATGCCCTTCACTTTCATGTGAAGGTCCAGAAGACTCTGCAACAGCAAGTTGTGAGAATTCTTCCTGAAGAGCATGTGCAATAATCTCGTCATTCTCTAGGGCAGTGTGATCTGTGCCATAGTTACTTTCTCCGGTATATTCCCTTTCATAGAAACTGATATCGTTTTGGGCAGGAGTTTCACAGTATTCAGAACCTGAGAATGGGTCACCATGAAGAAATTGGAGACACCGAAGAACATCCGGATCATGTTCGTACATAATCATCAGCTAAAATCTGGTCTTCTAGCATAATATTTGAACTGTTTGAACCTTCATAAATTCCTGGAAGCGATTTAAAGCCACCTAAAAATTAGCACAGAATTCATCAGAAGCAATGCTATCTAAGTTCGACACGAGTAAGAACCTCCCATTAGCAAAAACATATAATTAATAGAAAATTTTATTGAGATATGGAAGAAACGTACACAGAGAAGACTAAATCAAAAAGACATTAGCAAAAGGCAAACAGATTATGAGACACTGAAGAAACTGATGAAAAATACTAGAAGTAATTGTCAATTAAACTACTCTTAACTCGAGTAAAAAGAACACTCCAAATACCAATGGTGAAGCATTATGAAGGGATCCTTGAATACTTGGCTGTATGAGACAACTAAACGCAATGTACACTACATGGTACGAGGAAAATACAGAAATCTGACAAAGGAAGAGAGGATATTGGATTTTGAACACTAGAATACATACAAAGCAGTTTCACAATAAACCTTCAAAATAAGGTAAATGGAAAGGATATGGGTGACCAAAAAATCTTGGATAAGGCTTCTAATATTATTGAAGAAGCTCCAACACCTATGACTAGCTAACAAATCAATCCCTTATGCATTTAGGTTAACATAAATATAAATAGAAAAAAGGTAACTTGTACGCATTTCCATCTGAGAGCTTACACATGATATGGACTGATGCCTTCCTGTTAAATATCCGACAAGAAAGAAATCACAGGATATCTCTGGGTTGATTCATATTTCGTATGGTCTTTCTACAGTAGAGTCAGAAGAACATTTCGTTCCCATGTTTGGGGAAAAGTTCATCAAACTGTCTACATCTCAACATCGAGAGCTATAGAACTTATTTAATATTTGATTCAACTATAACCATAAAAGTTGGATCAGATTCTGGGGATAACAATTGGTAATCTGGGGAGTGGACTTGTCCGTCAATCCATCGCTAGATCAAGTAATTGGGGGGATAAACTTCTTTGTGAATTAGCCTGATAAGCTAACCCTAGTAAACTGTCATAAGACTTGACAGTAGATATTAAAAATCATCGTAATACTTTAGATTCCTTCGAGCCTGTTCAACTCAACTCGAGTCATCTTTTGCAATGCTAGCCGCGTGCTGCTTAGTTACAAGCATACCTTACAGCACCCAATTTTAAAGTCCCTTCCACGAGTATGATAAACTTGATGCTTTACTCCATGGCCATGTCAATACATACAAGTTTCATGATAGCTACATCACCGAACATTTTGTATCATGAAATACCCAAAAAGTTCTCAGAACTCAGAGACTTAGTGTCCGGCCGTTGTAAACCACATCAGGCATGAGAATTTTATCTTAAGTGATTTGTGCATGACGAGGAAATCTAGGGTTTGCTTGGGAACCAGATTCTTATTCATTCGAATCCTTTGCATGAACTATACTGTCTTTATATTTTGCTAGGAGAGAAGCGACGGAGTTGCGGAAGAAATGTCCTGGACCAATAAGGACAGTTATGTCTTGCAGTTCCACTTTTCAAGTAGTTAGATAGCAGTCCTGTAACACAGTCTGGCTTCGTCCTGCGAAAATAGTTAAACCAAAGAAAATAACTGGTAAACCCCTGAAATTTCTCGCCATCATTTTCCTCTTCCTAAAATGTGTTCTTCATCATGCTCCTCTTCCAGATCTCCATCGCCGTCAACCTTCCAGTCCAAGGCGTTATGAGGTCACTGCTAGTGCTTTGTTACACAACGAATAGCAAAACAGAGTTATTTGATAAAGTGCAGAGCTACGCTGCGTTCTGTAGTGCCGGTCTTGGTTCCAAACGAATCACTTGCGCTTGCAACCCCTAAGTCAGATCACCTAAAAAGTCAATCCTACCGCTGGTCAGACCTCTAACCGAAATGAAAAAGATGGAGGTGAAGGTGTCTCCAATCTAGCACTGACAAAGCTCCACTGAATGTGTAAGGATACTCTGGAATCTTGAACCTTGGAGTTTCGTGAGTTTGGGAAATATTACGCATCGACAGCCATACATAGGTGTAGCAGATGGTGAGTGTCGTTTCCTGATTTCGGGTTTATGTTCAACCGCAAAACGATCCTGGGTCATCTCAACATTCTCAAATGATCGAGTCAGCTACACAAGAACAGAAAAGAAGTAGATTCCGCAACCGATCTAATCAACTACAGAAGAACGGAAAAGGAGATCTGAATTCCCGTTGTTGATTCCAGAATCAATAAAATTGGAATCAAATCCCTGTACTACATCAGTCACGAAGACGATCGGTGACCACCGGTAATGCTTAAAAAAGAGCCGAGCAATCCACGCATCCGTACGTCGCATGATCGGCCCCAGAACCTTCACAAGCAAAGCGGGATAAAGGGAAAAGCAACAAATGAATACCGGCATTCCAACGACGGCCTGAATCCGCGCTGAGACAAGCCTTCGACGCGATCAACACGATCCAGGGAGCGGTCCTCACACACACATTTTCTCACATAAATGCGATAACGGGAAACAGTAAAGAGAGAGGGGATAGAAGGAGCGATTCCGAGACGCCATGAGGCGCGAGGGAGGGAAAAAGGCGACGAGGGGGGGGTGGGTGAAGTAGATCGGGAGAAAAGTTTAGTTTACCGAGGGACAAGGGCAGAGAAAAAAAGAAAGGGAGAAGGGAATCTGGTGGACGTCACGGGCTGCATAGAAGTCACAACATGAGTGGCTTGCAGCTTTATGAATCCGATTCCCTGCCCCGCACGCCATCGGTTTTCACGCCTCCCGCCCTTTCCGCGCTCCGCCAGCCGTAACGTCCCTGCGGTGACGCCGCCGGCCTCTGCGCAGCGGCGATCGACGCTGCATGCGTCCCATTCATCACGCCGATTACCTCCCATCCGACGTGGAGTGCAGTCGGAGCGGTGAACATCTGTCGTCGATCCAGCGACTCTCCGATGTGGACGCGGGCTGATGAGGAAGGAAAGGGACACGTCACTAACAGAAACGGAATCTTCCGACAGGACGACACGTCGGACCGGTGTCATCTACACGTTACACACACCCACGTTGACATGTGAAGGGGGAAGAAGTTCGAGAGCTTCCTTCTGAGGTGGATGCGTTAGCAACAGAACCGAAGCTCGCAATCCATCCCAGCGAGCCCAACCACAATCCAAACAGCGGGAGGACACGTCGGGCCAGCGTCATCAATACGTGTGCACCAGCCCGAGGGACCCACGTTGCCACTTCAACCTCCTCCCCTCACATAGCCTGAGTTGAGAGATGATCCCCCCGAAGGCGGAAGAAGCTCGAGAGCTTCCTTCCTCCGCCGCGGCGGCGTCGCCGGAGGGCTCGGCCTCAGCGTCATCCACGATGGCCCTCACCATCGCCGCCACTTCGCTCATCTTCGGGCGGTCGCGGGGCTGCCGGACCAGGCACCGGTTGGCGACGGTGGCGAGCTTCCTGACGGAGCGGAGGGGGTACTTGCCCTCCAAGCGGGGGTCCACGATCAGACGGAATTTCTTCTCGTCGGAGAGGAAGGGCTTCACCCACTCGAGGAGAGATTGCTCCGATTTTGGGCGGTTCGGGTCCATGGGGCGCCGCCCGGTGATCAGCTCGTAGAGGACGACGCCGTAGCTCCAGATGTCGCTCTTGGCGTTGAGGCGCCCGGTGAGGACGTACTCAGGGGCCGCATAGCCGATGGTCCCCACCACCTTCCTTGGCGTCAAGTTTCCAGCTTGGAAATCAGATTGGAACAGAAGAAATCTTCCATGTATGTAATCTTTTTTTCTTTCTTTCTGTTTTGTTAGTATTAATCGAGCAGATTATGAAATTTATTAGAGGATTGCACGGTGGACGTACCAGTGTAGAGACATGGCTCTTTCCCTCCATCGGCCCTTGTCTGGCCAACCCAAAGTCTGAAAGCTTGGCGTTCCAATGCTCATCTAGAAGTATGTTCGATGTCTTCAGATCTCGAAAAATGATCTGCGCCTGATAAATTTTCATCCAAAATTAAAAAAAGAAAAAACAAAACCGATTTCTTCGAAGGAGGAATCAATCACTGGGTTAGCCTCCGATCACCTGAAAGTCCATTTCTTCGTGCAGGTATGCTAAGCCCTGGGCGGTTTGGAGAGCGATCCTCAGTCTCTTTGACCACGAGAGCGTCTCAATGGATCGAGGCGACAGGTGCTTCTCAACGCTCTTGTTCGGCATGTACTCGTAGATTAAGAGTCTCTGTATTCCTCTCTCATCGTCTTCGGCGCAGTAACCCACGAGCTTGACGAGATTTGGGTGGTCGACGACCCCAAGAACGTTGACTTCTGTCAACCATTCCCTGTGCCCCTGAGCCGTGGAACTGAAGGTCAGATCATTTGGTAAAAGCCGGCAGAAAGAGGGAGCTAATAGTCTACAGCTATATGACAGCAAGAAAATAGAATTTAAAATTGTTTCCCAAAAAAAAGAAACGTCTGAAGAACGAAAAAAAGTACATATTTTGAGAAAAAAAATAAAGCCACTAGACACTAGCATGATCCTTGGGGGGCACATCAGAAGGAATTAAAACGGGAAACAATCAAAATCCCGGAAAAAGAACCTAACCTGGAGCCCTGTTGGATCCAACTGTTTAACAGCAATCTCACGCTTTCGATGAGGATTATCTGGGCTACTGATTATTCCCTTATAAACGCACCCAAAACCGCCTTCGCCGATTATCAATGAACGGCTGAAGTTTCTCGTGGCGTTCTTCAGCTCAGCGTAGGTGAACGTCCTCAGATTGTTCGACTTCTCAGGGAAACTCTCAAGACTAGAGCCCCTCGCCGAGTTGGCACCCAATGAAACGCTCCGCGGGCCAAACCCAGATCTTGAGGTCGTCCTTTTCTCGTCTGTAGTGGTGGTGCTGTCGGTGGTGGTGATGGAGGTGTCGCATGATAGGGACGATGGGAACTTTGAAGAGCTTTGGATCCCCCTTTTGCTTCCATACGAGAAATGGAAACACTTCATAGTGAGTGATCCGGGTGGCCTCCTTCTACTGCGCTCGGCAACAACGGTCAGAACACGAATCCCTGTATGGGAGAATTCATGGGATTTTCAGATACTTTGACTTATAAAACGAGAATAAGTATATCAGGATTGTCTGCAAATCCATTCGGATAAGACTCAGAACCCGGAAGAATTCCTCGGGAATCTGAAGGATCATCGTTCAGACGAAAAATTATCTCGATTAATCGTCATAATCGGCTCTTGAAGAAAAGGAAGATCACGAGGATAGTAACTCAGCTCCCTCTTCTAAAACGTCGACACAAACGACCGGAGATCGGAGAATCCCAGAAGATCTTCCTGGTAACACAGCTTGGGATCAAAGAAAACCGATGTAAGACCGTTCTTCTTTCGTTCCACAACACTGGTTTGTGATCTTGTAAACGAGGTTGATTATAAAGTATTCCTTTCGTTTTTCTCCCTCCCAGGTCTTGGAGGAGATAGCTTGCCTTCTAGCCCGCAGGCAGTCCTGCTTCTGGACGATCCTCAGGTATCTTCCGCTGACGTTGAGCCCCGGCGGTATATCTAGGAACCTCCGCCGCCGATTCAGTAGAAGGAGAATTCAGGCGCCAGATGAGCACAGGTCGCTCGGAGAGAGCCACTCTCAGGGAAGGAGAGAAGGCCCCGGTAGAAAGACTCCAGAGCAGAGTGCGTCGTACGGCCGCCGGCGAAGGAGGCGAGGCTTTATAGAGGTTGACGGAAGGAGAAGGAAGACTTTCAGCTGGAGTGTAACATGCCATGAGGGTCTTTCACACGAGGGAGGAGGGTGGGTGGGGCTGGGATTTTTTCCACATGAGACCGGATATTTCTGAAATTACGAAACTAAAATATTTTATATTTTTTTTTGTGATTACAACCACGTGGCCTGCATTTTTTTCACATGTGCAAATTCAACAGTATAGATTATTCGTATCAAAAGTACATTTTATGGAAAACCCCTCATAAGATGTGCCTCTCACATTATAATTAATATACCAATTAAATTTTAAAAGAACAATTCTCATGCCCGTCTCTCTCTCTAGAGAGTACGGGACGCACGCGTGTAATTTTAATGATCTGTTCCAAGTTGCATGCCGCTCAAGAGAAAAGTCAAAGTCAAGAAATAAAACGGCCGACTGAAGGACCCCCCGACAACTCATGAATGCTGTCAAACCGTCCTTCCCGCGGCTCTCGTCCAACCAGCCGTTAGAGGCTGTCCCCTCAACACTCGTTAGACCTAGAGAAGAGAGATAGATAGATTGATTGATTGATTGATAGATAGATCGATAGATAGATTGATTGATTGATAGATAGATAGATAGATAGATAGATAGATAGATAGATAAATAGATAGATAGATAGATAAAGGGAGAGAGAGAGAGAGAGAGAGAGAGAGAGGGCTTGGAAATGAGTGAGGAATTATTCGGTATTCAAGCTCCTTAGTGTGTACGTACGGTGCCGTTGTCAAACCGCAGGCCATTAAACGCCACTAATTAGGCGCCCACGAATCAGTCTTAGACGGCACCGGACCTACCCGTGGGTAACTCAGCCCAAAGTCAATGGGCAAAGCCCGGACGACCCATGATAGTGAAAAAGGGTCAAAGGCCCACAAAGCGGGGCTGAGACCGTACCAATGGGCCTTCCCCAGATTCTGCTTTGACCACTAACCAGAGGAATATGCGCTGCTTAGAACACGACATATTAGTCACAGATTATCATCATGTTCTTGTGAATCTAGCATTATTACATCGCCAGTTTGATCACGTTTCAGCCGCGTGGACTGTGTATTGCTGGCATGTCGTCATCACTTGCGTATGCAAACTGGTTTCTGTTACCCCCTCGCCACCTGGTTTTCCACTCTTCTAGATTCTTTCCCACTCGCCAAGAAGATGCTGCGTGGGTTTGCCTCTTCGCCTCTCTCCAAGGTACAAGGGCTTTTCGACGCTAGGAATCCCTGCTGCCGTTCTACCTCCTCCCTCGCCGCCGAGGAGTCTTGCTCTGGCCAAGGCAGAAGAGCCCTCTAATGTGCAGGACAAGGAAGGACACACAGGCCGGCGAACCCGGACCCAGGCCTGCCCCACTCGTGACCGGAATCACAGAGGTCTGGTCCTCCTCCTCCTCCTTTGCCGCCGCCGCCGCCGCCGCCGCCTCGAGAAGCAGCAGCTTACCGGCCTCCTCCGGCACCGATCGGACCGCCGGGTCCACCTCCAGCTACGCCTCTCTTGCCAGCCTCAAGGACTTTCTACCGGACAAGTACAAGCTCTACTCTTTCCAAGAGATCTGCACGGCCACCAACAATTTCCTCTCCAAGCGCCTCTCCTCCTCATCCTCCAACAGCTGGCGCTGCACTCTCCGCGAGAGAGACGCCGTCGTCTTCCAGCGCCGATTCCAGGGGGACCCTGCCGCGCTGCGCCACCGCCTCGCCGCTGCCTGCAAGATCCACCACGCCAGTATCGTCCGCCTCCTCGGAGCCTCCCTCGGCGGCGAACACATCTTCCTCGTCTACGAGCACGTCAATGGCTCTTCCCTCGCCGATTGCCTCCGAAACCCTCGGAGCCCCGGTTACGCGCCCCTTTCTTCCTGGGTCCACCGAATGCAGGCGGCCACGGACCTCGCGCAAGGTCTCGAGTACATCCACCATTACGCCACCGTGGGAGCGGGGGCGGCGCCGCTCGGCCCCGTCCACAACCTGTTGTCGAGCTCGAGCGTGATCATCTCCGATCCCCAGCTCCGGGCCAAGATATGCCACTTTGGCGCCGTCCAGCTCGCCGGGGAGATCTCCAGCTCGCACCATTCCGACGAGGAGACCGAGGAGAAGGAGACCTCGCCGGATCTGCCGACATCTCGCCGCCGTGAGGTGAGATTCGAGGGAAGGAGCGGGTACATCTCTCCGGAGCTCCTAGGGGGGGGTCGCCCGTCCCAGAAATCCGACGTCTTCGCCTTCGGCGTGGTGCTCCTGGAACTGCTCACCGGGGAGGAGCCCGTCAAGTACAGGTACAGCACGGAGACGAAGGAGTACGATAGGGTTTCTCTCGTCGAGGCAGCGAGGGAATTGGTGGGCTGCTCGGAGGAAGACGACCGGGGAGACGCCGGCGACGGCAAGGATAAGGCGGCGGCTCTGGAGAGGCAGCAGAAGATACTCCGGTGGGTCGACCGGCGGCTGGTGGGCTCTTTCCCGGAGGAGGCGGCGGAGAGGGCCGTGCGGGTGGCACTGGACTGCGTGAGGGCCGAGCCGGAGAGGCGACCGGGGATGGAGCGGGTGGCTGGGAAGCTGTCGAGGCTGCTGCTACTATCACGGACCTGGGCCGATAATGTTCTGGTCTCTGCTGACCTCACGATTAAGGTTGCAGGTCAACAATGACATCATCCATTTGACGTTTACCCCTTGTCCAAAGTGATGTGGCAACAGGGTCAACAAAAAAATGCAGATTCTTACACGGGCGGCGTCCCCCGGAAATGTTTTGGGAGGCCGGCGGCGCCGCCGCGTCCTTTCTATTTTAACTATTATTAATTGATTTATTGCCCACTTATTTTGGCGAACTCGGCGTCCGCCGTCGGAATTAATATATGATCAATCAATAAGACGGTATTAATCACTATTAATGTATGTTCATTCTATACAAGAATCACGACACCCATGAGAAGAAGCTACGTGTTTTATTACCATAACTTCGGTCGTTTATTCACTAATAGGTTCGGTAGGAACCGCGAGATTATTGCCATTCTTGTTCTTCCGGCGAGAAGAACTACAAGAACGGTAAGTAAGCATACAGAGTCAACGGCGGCGCTCAGGCCATTGTCCACGTGACCGGCACCACGCCGTCGTCGATGTTGAGACTGAGAGCGTTCCAGAGGGCGTTCGAACCGTCGACGATGTTGTTCTTGCATGGCGGCTGGAAGGCGTGCTCCGCGTCGCAGCCGTGCAGCGAGTCGCACTCGTCGATGACCTTCGCCGTCGTGCTCCTGCCGTTGGCGGCGGTGATGCGGATAAACTTGTTACACCGGCTGCCGCCGCTGAACCAGCCGGCGGACAGCGCGACGATTCTCTCGGAGTTGCTGTGAAACTTACCGTCGCAAGACGATGCGCCGCTGCCGTCACCACCTTCGCTGAAGTCGTTGTTGGTCAGGAGAGCTCTCGTGGCGGAGGTAACTGGCGGCGAGCAGCTTTACGTGGGATACGAGTTGCTGCCGCAAACGAGGGGTTGCGATGGAGGGCACCCTCCGCCACCGCCTCCTCCTCCACCTCCTCCGCCGCCGCAGATATGGGTACCGACGTCGGGATCATCGTTACACTTGCCGCCGATACAGATGAGCTGGCCACTGCAGTCGTTCAGGGTTCGGCAGGCCCCCCCGCACGAAGAGATGGCGCTAGTTGGGCGAGGCGTCAGGAGGAGGCAAAGGGGGACAAGAAGAAGCACGCGGTTGAAGGTGAACAGAGCCGGTGAAGAACGACGACACCAAAGTGACCTATTTATAGTGAAGATAGATCTTCCTCCCGAGCGAGCCCATTCTCTCCGAATACTGTAGGCAACCTGGAACGTTGACTGACCACCCCACCGTGGGGACCAGTGGAGATCGAAATACAGCGGAGGAGTAAAGAGGAGCGTGAGATGACTGGAAATGCTCGATGACGACGGTGGGAGACCCCGCGGTAGACGATCCACGTTGACGGGAAAAGTCGTCGGATACTCAAGAACGCCATTCTCGTAGACGGAAAGTCAGTCAAACGCCTAATTGGCTACGATCATGATGGCTTGCCGGCCGGCCTCTAGAAGGGAGACAGGAACGTGGCACTGGGGCGCCCTCATACTGGCCATGCCCATATTTTTTCTAAGAGAGATGGGAACGCGTAAGGTGCGATGGCGGGCCTGCCCTTGGTCCAACAACAGCAGCCCAAGGTGAGAGGCCCATCTCGAGTTATCTGAACCCCTGTGGCAGTGGGCCGAATTAATGGGGAAGCAACGGACTCAGTCAAAGTAAGTGTACCCGACTCGGTTCACTTTCCTCCTCTCTCCTTTGACTCTGGCTTCGACCGAGGAGGTTAATAGCTATCGCTGTCAAAGAAAAATACTGGCCACCACCTTACGATGAACTTTCAATACTAGTATATGTCATATATTTTCAAGCTCTTGGACTATCCCATCAAACATATGAACTTTCACCAAACCAATGCCCACCACCTTACGATGAGCATTGTTCCCCATAAAAATAAATTTAGTCGTATTCGTGTAAGAATCAAACCAACCAATATGTGGGCACATATGATAAAAGTAATTGAGTCAAGAATCTATGTGTTCAACAATTCTTCAGATGCAACTAGAACAAAATATACTTATTTGCTATCACTATCCTCAACCTTTGTGACATTAGTCAAAGTAGATTCACTTCTTGTTGTCTTATCATTCTAGTTCTTTGGATAATTTATTTACAAGTGCCTCTTCTCATGGCACTTATGACAAGTTTTATTTTTAACTAACTTATTCGTGATTTGGACCAACTCTTATTCACTCATGTTTTACCTTTTTTCTTTAGTCTGCATCTTTCTTGCCTTCCTTTCACAAACAAACCTTTATTAGGAGCACCGTCAATTACGGATCGCCTCTAATCAAACTCCATCAAGGTACTAATAATCTCAATGAGGCCTGCTATTTAAGTTCCATGTAATAAATTAGTCACAATGTTCTCGTACATTAGGGACAAAGATAACAACAAGATAATCATCTTACTCTCTTCTAATAAGTCATTCTCAGATTTGTACAACTCAACAGAAAGGTAATGGAAATTATCAATATGGGTAGACAATTTGGTCCCTTTTGTCATTCGCATCCTAAATAGCTTCAACTTTCAAAAGGCTTTGCTCATCATTGTCTTCTCCGCATACCATTCTACCAACTTCTTCCATATATTAGCATGATCTTACATTCTGAATCATGATACATCGCACCATTCAACAAGCACTAATGAATAGTTTTAGTGGCCTTTATTTTCATCTTTTTTCAAATATCATATTTGAAGTTGTCGAGCTTGGTACCTTTGAATGCCTCATACATGTTTTTCTCGATCAATAGATCATTCACCTTCTGGTGCCATAGGTTGAAGTTTGTGGAATCATTCAATTTTTCAATATCAAAATGAGATACAATAGAAGGCAACATTTCATGAGCCATAATATGTCCAAACACACAAACCTGGCTTTGATACCACTTGTAAGACTGGTACACACATGCGGAAGCAAATCTAAACTTATATATATGCAGGAGATATCAGAGGAACACTGATAATAATAAGAGAACCACTCTCATCATATGTGGATGACCCTATTTTGAGAGCCTAATAAATAAAGTTTTATGTACTCTTATCCCATTAGATTAACTGTGAATATATTATTCTTCTCCTTCTTCTTTCCTTTCCTCAACTCTATCTCTTGGCTGATTGTTAAATATTTTGAGGCTAAAGGGGCCATCTTGAAGGCTCTCTTGTGAATGATGACATTGTGGATGGAGGTGGTCCACACTATTTTTTAGTATTTTTTTCTTGTTATCGATGTTTCTTGATATCTCTAGCATATATATAAGTCCATACTTGCTTCTGCACACGTGTACCTCTCTTACATTGCCCTTGGTCCACCAAGAAGAGTCCATAGTAAAAGTCTATAGTGCAGCTCATCTCGAGTTATTTGAACCCATGTGGTAGTGAACTGAATTAATGGGGTGCCAAAGGACCTAGTCAAAGTAAGCGTACTCAACTCAATTCACTTTTCTTCTCTCTCCTTTGACTCTGGCTATCGATCGATGTTGGAGAAAAATACTAGCTTTCTATGTGGCCCTTGATAGAGATAGATAGATAGAGAGAGAGAGAGAGAGAGAGAGAGAGAGAGAGAGAGAGAGAGAGAGAGAGAGAGAGAGAGAGAGAGAGAGAGAGAGAGAGGTGGCATGGTCGAGGATGCCATGACAAGACATTAGTTTTTGAGATCATGGTTTGCATGAGATCATGACAAGACATGACAATCACACAATAGGCTGTTTCGGACGTGGTATGCCAACATCCTATTGTCCCCCTATATCTTACTATCTTGCTTTCTTCAGTCCACCTTATAATCTGCATGAATTCACACTTGTTTTTACGCAAATAAGGACACCTACAAGGACATTTATTATATTAAGATATTGCTCACCATTCATCAGTCAAAATGAGATATGTTTGTTCAACACTTTCATCCATATTTCTTGTCTCTATAATAAGTTTGATGACATGACTTAATCATTATATAATAACTCACGTAAATTTAAGATTTGTAAAATTAGAAAATACTAATTTTAAAATTTTTAGAAATATTTCACAAAAAATAAATCAATTATAGTTCAATAAAAGGTTTCAAAAATAGTGAGAATTTTTTAAGGTAATTAAAGTGATATAAGATAATATATGATAATATTTTAAAATTTATTCAAAAAATCTAATTTTTATAATTTTTAAACAAAATGATGAAGATAAAATATATTTAAAATTTGCAAAGAGAGAATTCGAGCGCAGATGTTAAGATGACGTTAGTGCCTTAATAAATATGAATTAGATGGAAGTAGAAATCTATCTAACATTACTTACATAAATGATTACATAAGATTTATTTGATCAAACTAAGAAGTATAAAGGTTAGAAGAATCATAATTGAATTAAGAAAGTTTTTGTAATTAGAAATCACACAAAATTTTACTAAATTAAGTAACAATTAAGTTTAAAGTATAAAAGGTAAAGACTTTGCGGTAGTGATCATCTAAATTCTGTGTGTAGGATGATTATCATGTAATGTCTATAGCTTCAAGGGTTCTCCTTGGACGAGAATGACGTGAACTATCTATAGATCTTCTTGTAAAGTTTAAAAATCATTGAGATGGGTCGATGAATTGTCTTTGATGATTGTGACCCAATAAAACATAAAAATAATGACTTTCAGATTTATAGTGGTTGTCACATGATGGAGATAAGCTAAATAGAGGTGAGGCATATTTTAGGAAGCTTCATTCTCATGTTTACTCAGTAAGAAGTCCCGCCGCTGCTTGAGACCATTGCTGCCGATGTAGGGAGGGAAGGAGGGAGAGGAAGGCCGTTGATACCCCCTTCAAGGACTTCGTTCCTCATGACGCCGCTGCCCGAGAAGTCCCACCGCCACTTGAGACCATTGTCGCTGTAGGCCATCTCATTGCTGCTCGGGAGTTTGCTGCCGTAACCGGACGAAACAGTCGCAATTGCCGCTGTAACTGCCACCGCCTCTACTGGAACCCCATCATGCCATTGTGACGAAAGGAGCTCACGTCGCCTCCCTACAAGCTGTCATCGTGCACTTCGCTGGAGTCTCTCGACTCCTAGTTTGACTGCCACCTCTTCCTCCAGAACTCCACCCTAAACTCACCAAAGCCACCATCCGTCGCTCTGCCCAGTCACTGGCTGTTTGTTGATGAATGCCTGCCTGCTGCCGACGTCAAGAGAGACCCTGCTGCCGTGCCGACGAGCCAGATCTAGTCCAAGCTCCTCACAGGCCCCTACTGGAGTTTTCCGACGATCCGCCACCGTCATGCCGTTTCTAGTGCTGCCTAGATCAGGAGGGCACAACCCTCCCTGGTATCGTCGGCCGGATCATCTCCTTCCTCTGCTCTACTTCTCGGCACCACCAAAGAAGGTTGAGTGTCAGCAGCACTTTGGCGGGAATGCCGAACGTCGACAGATGGGCAGCAAACAAGCTGTTGCCAGAAGGATCGGTGATAAGTCTTCGTTATCATGAGTTAATAATTAGTAAATAATATAGTTTTAGTCTTAACTCATGATAAATAGACCAATATTTATGTTAAAGTGTGAAAAGTGGTTTTTAATTGATTAATATAATTTTTGGGTAATTATGTGATTTTATATGAATTTATTTATATGATTTTTACAGTCTTACTTTTGAGATAAATGAAGAAAAAGAAATAAAAAATAAAAATAAAACAAAATATGAGGGATCTGCTAGCTAGCTAGGCATGCAAGCGGGTCGAAAGACCAGTCGAGGAGTAGCCATGAGCAAGGGCTCAAGCGGCTTGGACTGATAGGGGCATGTGTGCGCCACTCCCCTTCCACGTCACCGGTGGCCAGCTGGCTGTGGGGCAAGGAGTGGTCGTAGACACGAGAGAAGGGACTTTGCTTAGAAATCTAACATTAGTATATATTCGCCTGAAAAATCAACACACAACTGATGTGGGACTAAACCAACGTCACACCTTCTTTTGAAGAGGCAGGTGACGTGACTCAATCGTTGTATATTAAATCATGTAAATATTAAATTTATAAAATTAGAAAATATAAAATTTTGAATATTTAGAAGTATTTATGAATAAGTATATCAATTATAATTCAATAAAAGTTCCAAAAATAGTGATAATTTTCCAAGTCAATCACATAGATGTAATATAATATATGGTAATTATTCAGAATTTTACTCAAATAATATTATTTTCTATGAATTTTATACTAGTAAATGAAAAGGAAATATATTTAAAATTCACAAAAAAAGGAAATAGGGGTGCGGACGTCAAGATAACGTCAACACTTGGTGAATGCGAATCGAGCAGAAATAAAGTTTTACCTGACGATTCTTACATAAGTGATTACAGATAATTTAATTAATCAAATTAAGATCTATAAAAGTTAGAAGAATCCTAATGAAATGAAGTGTATTTTGGTAATTAAAATCACACAAATTATCACTAAATGAAGCGTAAAGTAAGTTGAAAGTAGGAAAATAGAGTTCTGGCATTGTGACGGCGATGCGTCGACGATGCACTAGAATCCTGAGTGTTCAAGAGGATCATCCTGTAGTGTCCACGACCTCGAAGGCTCTCCTTAGACAAAGATGACATGGGCAGTCTCTAGATCTCCTTATGAAGGCTAGAGATCAATGAAATGGGTCGTCGAGTCATCTCCAACAGCTATCACCCGGCGGAGCGGAAAAATGACGACTTTGTGGCTCTCCGACGGCTGTCACTCGACGGAGAGGAGCTAGATGAAGGTGGGGTGCGTGTTAGGAAGCTTCATCCTTAGGTCCGCACAGTAAGAGGAGGCTCTTTATTGCATCTGGTACACTCTCAAGAGGTGGCGAGTCATCTCCCGGCGGATCGTCCTCTTCCCAATGACGGCTTGTTCGTCAATCAATCAAAGATGATTTACTCAATGGATTCGCGATCCTTTGATTACGAATCCTTCAGCAATTTTAGTAACAATGCTCTGTGAATCGTATTGATGAGATTTTCACTGATGATCCAACGATTCTCGTTGCTTAATCCTTCACCGGCAATCTATAAGAAAGTTACGATAATCAAATAAAAATATGAGTTTTGGCTCTAAGAGGATTCGAATCAGTGCCGGTTGCCCCCCGCCTCTTTTGAGGAAGGTGACAGGTTTAGTGCCACATCGGTTATGTGCTGAATTTTGGGCGAATATATAATAATATTACATTTCTAAGCAAAGTCCTTTTCTCGCATGTGTACGACCTTGCCTCATAGTCGGCTGACCACTAGTGATGTGGAAGGGGAGTGGCGCACACGTGCTCCTATTGGTTCAGCTGCTCGAGCCCCTACTCGTGACTAGTCCCTGACTGAGCTTCTGACCTGCTTGCGGGCCTGGCTAGCTGGCAGGTCCCCCTCATTTTGTCTTATTTTTATTTTTTATTTCTTTTTCTTCATTTATCTCAAAAGTAAGACTGTAAAACTCATATAAATTTGTGTAAAATTACATAATTACCCAAAAATTTACAGTAATCAACTGAAAACCACTTTTCACACTTTAACATAAATATAAGTCTATTTATCATGAGTTAAGGCTAAAATTATATTATTTACTAATTATTAACTCATGATAATGAAGACTTCTCAATGGGCAATCGGCACGGGTTTGAGCCCTTCTAGAGTCAAAAGTCATATATTTTTATCTGATTATCACAACTGTCGTGCAGATCACCGGTGAAGGATTAAGCAATGAGAATCGTTGGATCATCGGTGAAAATCTCATCAATGCGATTCACGAAGCATTGCTACTAAAATTGTTGAACGATTCGCAATAAAAGGATCGTGAATCCATCGAATAAATCATCTCCAATTAATCGACGAATAAGCCGTCGTCAAGAAGAGGATGATCCACTGGGAGACGAGTTGCCACCTCTTGAGAGCGTACTAGATGCAATGAAGAGCCTCATCTTG